GGACAAACGTAAAATCATTAAAATACATTTAATTTGTAGAAGAAATTTCATTGCTTTGATCAGATACATTTAATTTTTGTTCAATAATTTGTTCGTAAAAGGAAAGGGAAAGTATAAAATCAGGTTGGGAATATTGATATAAATCGATGGCCATTTCTAAACTAATTATGGCCTCGTTGTAGATAAAAAAGAGTTCATCCTGAATTTCTCCATCGGAACTTGTAATGAAACTGATGGTGGACATTTCCCACTTCAAACGTCTTACAAAATTTCGAACCCGCTCGACAAGATCTTCAAATCGTTCATTCAGGTCAATTGTGATGAAATCATCCATCGCATTGAGTAATCTCTCCAATAATCGTTCCATTCCTAATACATAAAAGAAAAAAATAAGAAAAAAAAAATTAGAAATTGACATTTAAAACAAGTAAAAATATTACTTTTAATCGGATTCAGAATCGGACGGAAAAAGTCCATCAGTTGAAGAAGAAACTTTGGAAGAATTAGTTGAATTTGTGTAAGGCAGTAAAGGGGTGAGAGAATCACAATAGCCACGAATTTGTGAACAGACACACGATCTCACATCATCACGTGTTGATAATAAATGGATAAAGTGGTTAAGGTTTGTGATCACGTCATTTATAGCGGCGGTCATTTCACCTTCATCACCTTCTCGCCCGTCCGTTGATGATATCATATTCTCACTCATGCGCTGTAACCTTGAAGTGAGGGAGCCACGATAATTAATGAGAGTCGCCAGAATATGATAAGTTGGGCTGTCATTTATAATTAGGGTCATTACGTCATATAATTTGAATACGACGGTTAGATAAAAAGCGGAAACCGTCATTATGAGTGAGATGATGGAGATAATTGTTATATTGTCCGCTCTCTTATTCGAACTGCTTTTTATTTGTCTTGTGTACTGGTTGGAGTACGAATCTATTAAAATATAAAATGAAACCTTTATTTAAAATTGTGAATATGGTCTCTCTCTGGAAAGTTGATAGGACTTTCATCATCAATAGTAAAGAGTGCAAAACAGGGAAAAAGTTCAATGCTGAAGTGCTAAAGTACAAGGAAGGAAAATATCTAATCTTCGCTTCGGGTTCTATTACTGCTGTTGGTTTTCTCTCAACTGCACATGCGAGAGAAGGACTGGAATATTTTTTTCCACTACAAACTATCGACTGTTTACGTGTTATCAACATGGTAGCTTCTGGTCAAATATTTATTCGAAATTTTGATGAACTGACTAAATTCAAAGAGGTAATGTGGGAGCCTGAAATCTTTCCCGCTGCTTACTGGTATTACCAGAAAAAGTGTATTTCAATCTATCCATCAGGTAAAATTATAATTACTGGCGGTCGACACCAGAGGGAGCTAACTGAAACTTTCCACAGATTCAAGAGGTATATAAGACAGGAGCAGAGTCGAAATGATTCAGTCAAAAAACATGTCTCAATTAAATTGGCACACGTTAAGTCAAATCAAAATCAACCCTAATCAAAGTTTCATCATCTCTTGGGGAACCGATGGAAACAACAAAATCGTTTGTGGTCGTGTTCATCTAAGATACTATGTCGCTGGTATCCCTACAAGATATGGTGTTGCTCTAAAACGATGGGAATTGAGTCGTCTCGCAAGCTTCATGATTGGTCATATCAACGGAACGGATACAAAACTACAGGATCAAATTGATGAACTAACCATCGATCGAACCGTTTGTGGAGATTATCTTCTCTCGAAACGGGATCGGAGGATTTCCATCAAGGCTGATGATGTAAATAAAATTCTCAACCTTATCCCTGGCCTTTGTTTTCTTCTCGGCTTCCTAAGACCCGATGCATTCATCGACTGTCAAAACCCTGGTAAACTACTTGAAGATGTTTTCATCTGGTCACGGATTATCAAGGAAAAGGATATCGATCAAACCTGGGATGGAGAGGAATGTTTCACTACCGGTAAACTAAATCTTGATCAAATTCGGATCCTTCAAAAAATGGATAATCTTTATGATACATTCAACACTAACATCGGAGCGATGTTGCTGCCCCCTGTTACTTGTAGCAAGAAACAGTTCAACTCTCGGATCATGGGTCAATTCATTGAATCTATCAGTGAACCCTTCAAGAAAGATCCAGAGATGATCAAGTCTCTTGCCCTTGTCCTGCGTGGGGTGAGTCCCGCCCACACCAAGTAGTATAAAAGAAGATCTTGGTTCCAAAAATTCATCATTTTATTATGGATCGTATTTGTGGTTACTTCGATACTCAAGGGTTCTATCATAAGGGATTATTCTATCCTGCTGAAGTGGCTGTTCTTGGTGGTTGTGTTACCATGTCGATCGCTATTGGACACCACCTTAATCCTGACCACTTCTCAAACAAAGATAGAAAAAAGATCGCCTTTGCTGAGAGATACCACGGAATCCCGTTCATATCACTTGATCAGAAGATGGAACCAAATCTTCTCCCGATAATGCTACATAATTTTTACACAGGTAGAGTTGCCCCTGGTAAAGATTTAATCGCTTGTAAATCACTGGAAGCAGAGAGGATTCTTACCACTCTCGCTATTCCTTGTATTAATGTTATTGATATTGGTGGAACTTGGAACAATATTTCCAAGGAGAGAAAACCTTGTCATTTACATAAAAGCGGTAATAAATGTAGCTTGAATGCTGTACTCAATCTTAAAGATTGGGTTGACTCTTTATAAGAAAATAAAAATATTTTTTTTCTAAAAATGTTTGATATTTATTTAAAACATCCTTTCACCATGTTAATCGCCGGTCCAACAGGATCAGGTAAAACACAATGGGTGAAGAAATTAATTAATAACGCGAATACAATATGTTCACCTCCACCTTTACGTATTCATTACTTTTACGGTGAATATCAGAAAACTTTTGATGAATTAAATCATGTTAATTTTATTAAAGGTTTACCTGAAAATCTAATTGAAAAAATAGACGGAGCTAATCCTGAATGGATCATTATAGATGATTTAATGCATGAAACATCAAATTCTAAATTTGTTTCTGAACTTTTCACAAAGGGGAGTCATCATCGAAACATCTCAATTATTTTAATTGTTCAAAATTTATTCGTTAAAGGAAATGAAACACGAAACATCTCTCTCAACTCTCAATACATGATTCTATTTAAAAATCCGAGAAATCAAATCATTGGATCAACTATCGCCAGGCAAATTTATCCAAATAAAGTCAGTAAATTTCAATCAATATTTGAAGATGCAACTAGAAAACCTTACTCATACTTATTTATTGACATGAAACCTCAAACACCTCATGAAGTTAGATTATTAACTAATGTTTTAGGTGAAGATTTAATGTACGCTTATGTTATATAAGAAATCGAGTTCAATGATTCTATTAAAATGTCAGTTAAACAAGCATTAACAGTTGAACCGCTTCTTAGGTCCTTAGTTAAGGCTCCAATTAAGAAGCGGAAGCTGATGATAAAGAAACTACCCGATAGAGTTTTACGAATTATTAGTGGAATAGCCAGAAATATGTTGACAGGTAAAATTCGCCTTTCACCTGGCTCTTTAAAAAGAATTAAAAAATATAAAAAAGATATAAGAAGTATTGGAAAAAGGAAAGGTAAAAACTTGAGAAAAATAATTTCTCAGAAAGGTGGAGCTTTACCAGCTTTACTTATACCAGCATTAACTTTATTAGCTAACATTGTTGCTAGTAAAATATGAACACAGTCACAAAAATGATTCTCATCTCCGAGGATCAGTATAATCGCAAATGTACTGAAGATAAATCCGAATTATTACCTTTACTCAATTCAAATCTATCGGATGATCTTAAAATTAGATTCATAAATGAGGTACTGAAAAGAAAAGGTCAGAAAATGATTCTTCCAGAACCAATAGAAACAAAAATCTCTCAATCAATACCTGAAGCAATAAAAGAACCTATTTCTGAACCAGCAATTGAACCAACAATTGAACCTACAATTGAACCTACAATTGAACCAGTAAATGAACAAAGTAATGATTTGAATGATGATGAAGATGATTATCAAAGTTTCAGTTCAAATGTTTCAGAAACTTGGACTACCAAGGCAACGAGATTAAAACTGTTACTTAATAAAATTCCCGGACTAATTAACGCAAATGGACAAGTTGTTGAAAATAAAAAACCTTATGCTAGAAGTGATATTGATGATGTTATACGATACATAACTAGTCGCAATGATCCAACAAGAGCACCACCAGGGGCTAAATATGTAATTTCGCAAATGATTTCTAAACCAGAGTTAAGAAGCTATATTAGAAATGAGAAAATAGATCTCATTGTTCCAGCGAAAAAAGTTGTAACATGGCTTCAGGCATCAGCTTTGAGGAATACTTCAACCCAGAAAAGGGCGGATCCTTAGGTGGATTAAAACGATTTTTTTATCATTTAAAAAATTCAAATCCATCCGTTAAATTGAAAGATGTTCAAAAATGGTTGAAAGATCAGGATGAATATAATTTATTCAAACAAACAAAAAAACGTTTCCCTCGTCTTCCTATTCTCGTCAATAAAATGAATGAACAATGGCAAATCGATTTAATGGATATTGCCTGGATGAGTAAACACAATGATAATTATCGTTATTTACTAAACATTATTGATTGTTTCAGTAGATTTGCTTGGGTTATACCAATAAAAACAAAAAGTGCAACCGAAATTGTTGATGCGTTTAAAAAATTATTTACGAAAATTAAACCTGAAAAAATTCAAAGTGATCAAGGAAAAGAGTTTAAAAATGTTCAATTAATTAAACTTTTTAAAGAAAATGGAATCAACTTTTTCACAACAACTGATGGGACAGTTAAATGCGATTATCGAGAGATTCAATAGATCGTTAAGAAATAGAATCTCTAGATTTCTTTATCATAAAAATAGTCATCGATTCATTAATGAATTGGATTCAATTGTTAAAGGATATAATCGATCTTTTCACAGAACAATTCAAATGGCCCCATCAGAAGTAAATAAAAATAATGAGAAACAAGTTCTATTGAATATTAGAAAAACTCACATAATTAATAAAGCTAAACAGAAACCTTTCAAGTTAGGAGATACAGTTAGAATCACGAGATATAAAAATATTTTCGAAAAAGGAGATACACCAAATTTTGGAACCGAAATTTTTGTAATTCGTTATGTGAAAAAAACTCCTCAAGGTTATATTTATAAATTAAAGGATTTAGATGATGAAGAAATCACATCAATTTTTTATCAATATGAATTAATACTAACAAAGAAACCATCTCTATATAAGATCGATAAGATCATTAAAACAAGAATAAATAAACGTACAAAGAAAAAAGAATATTTTGTTTCCTGGGTTGGTTATCCGTCTAAATTTAATCAGTGGATTGATAATGTCGAGTCAATCTGATGAATATTATATTGAAGCTGTTTCCAACGCTTCTATGGATCTTTTCCCTGAAAATACTCTGACTAAATTTACTAATCGATTGCATCATCCAATCAATCTAATAGGAGAATGGGTTGTAGCTATCCATGAGATATTTTATCCCGTTGATTTAGTGATTGATAGAAAAGAAATTTATCTCACTTTAGAATTTCCTGATGGACAAAGAAAAATCAAATTCGAAATAAATGAAATTGATGGTTTAGAAGGTGTGATTCATAACATCAACACAAGATTAAAAGAAATTTATGATGAAGTGATTTCCGTTATTCCAGCAAAAATTGCTAAAAGAGAAAGTGATAAATTTGATCCAACAGACGATACAAAAATGGATACATTAAAACTTCTCGCTATTACAGATGAAGAAATGGAAGCGATGGGATCAAATGTCTATCGAAGAAAAATTCAAAGTTTAATTGGTCGAATCGCAGCGGAAATTGAGAAAGAAGAGGAGGTTAAGAAACAAAAAATTCTCGAAATGAATCATAAGAAAACTATTCAACAATTAAAACAACGTATCGAAATCGAAGAGCAACTTGAAGAAAAAAAGGTGAAAATTAAAACTAAAGAAACAGAAATTAGCGAGAAAAATGATATAATCGCTAATCAAAGAACTACAATTGATACCCTGAGGGAGGAAATTAAAGGGCATGAAACAAAAATTTCCGCTAAGGATCAAGAAATCTTGATGTGTAAAAATGCAGCAGATGAACAGAATAAAATTAAAACAACTTTTGATGAAGTCTTTCAGCGTTTAGATGATGGTATATCAAAATTAATCGAAATTATTGATACACAAACAAGCAGAAAAGCTACGGCGGAAGTTGATATCCTAAAATACAAAAACAGTCTGACCATTGAAAATGAAAAACTTGAGAAATTAACTCAAGAGATTAAAGATAAAGAAAATGAACTGAAAAAAGCTAATGAAAAATTACATACACTAATAATAACTAGTAAATCTGATAATAAATCGAATGAAAAGATTGAGGAGATCATAACAAAACCTGTTGAAGAGTTGAAAAAAGTTAATGAAAAGTTAGATGAGATTATATCAAAACCAGATGAAGAGTTGAAAAAATTAAATGAAAAATTAGATGTTATTGCGTCAAAGCCCGAAGAAGATTTGAAAAAGGCTCATGCTAAATTGGATATTTTATTAGCATCATCAGGTTCCAATCCTAAAGTGGTTGATTTACAATATGAAATAGTTCGAACATTGAGCGATATTATTCGAGCGAAAAATGAATCATTTAATACAACTCAATCATTTGCATTTGCATTACAAAGACAATTAATGGACTCTGAAAGAGCTTTGGTAAATAGCAAGATCATAATTGAATCGAAAGAGAAACAACTAACCGCTGAAAGAGAAATGAAAAAACTTCAACAAGATGAAGCAGATCGACGTCTCGCGGATTATGAAAAAGTGATTGCTGAAAAAAATAAAAGAATTGAAGAACTTGAAAAAGAAAAGACTGAATTAATAGCTCAAAGAGACTCGGCAAACGGTCAAATTTTAACCGCTTTGAATGAGATTTCGAAATTACAAGCGGAAATAAAAGAAATAAAATCAATTACCAAAACAATGAATGATGCTCTTCAAACAGAGATCACAACAAATCGTGAACAGGATAAAAAAGTTCAAGCAGAATTAGATGAAATAAAAACCTCGATCGAAAATATTGAAAAAAATATTGAGAAATTGACTGTTAAACGGAAAAAAGTTGCGAAAATTATTGATAATTCAATTGATATAAATGAACCACCAGAAATTGTATTGAAAGATGACCTGATCACTATCAAACGAGGCATGTACGAAGATCGAAAGTTTATTCCAAAGTTCGATGATCCTTTAATGTTAGAAACATTTGGGTTTAGTTATGATCCCTCACCAGTGTTACATACACAGAAAAAAATCACTGCAAGAAAAACTGTTGATTTAAATTATGGATCTCATTTAATTTATGTTTATTCCGATATTGTTGCTGAACATTTTGTTGGTCAACAATCTGTACGAGTCCTCCGAGTTGTTCCTCTCAAAAGAGGGAAAAGTCATGATATTGTTCATGAAAGATTTGTTAAGCCACTTTATTTCCCAGTAAGAACAAATAGAATCGAAGAAATAAATTTCATTCTTGGTGATGAAACTGGAAGTTTAGTTAGATTTGCTTCCGGTAGAGTTCATATTGGTCTACACTTGAAACGTATTATATAAGAAGTTGATTAATGATTAAATTATAAAATGCAACGAAAAAAATATTGTTCATGTGAGTCCGATTTCAAAAGATTTTATCTTAATCAAGGTGGTAATGGATTCTCTGATATTGAATTGTTCAGAGGTTCACCTTACCAGAGAGGATATGGAATCGGAACGCTTATTAGAAGATTTAGTATACCATTATTAAAATATCTCGGTAAACAGGCTATTCGAACGGGAGTTGGAGTTGGTCAAGATATTCTAGAGAAGAAAAACATTAAAGAATCACTTAAAACTAGAGGTGTAGAAGGTCTCAAGAAGACAGCAATGGATGCCTCAAGCAAAATAAGTAAATTAGTCGGAGGAGGAATTAGAAAGAAAGTATATAAGAAGTCGAGGAAGAGGAAAAGAAAAGATATTTTTTCATAATGGAATATTTACATGCAGCCTCTGTTCCCTCAACAAAAAGTGAATTGTCACTTTTTTCTGTTCCACCAACACAAGTAGCAATCGAATCTTCATACGAAGTTGAATACAACCCTTCAGCATCCCTTGAATCAAGTCAATATCATGAGATATACATTCCTGCCTCTGATGATTTCACTGATCTTTCGTCAACAATGATTCATCTTAAAGTGCAAATACTTGAAGAAGGAAAACCAACAAAAAAAATTTTTCAAACCGTTCCCGATTTTGGACATGCAATTTTTGAACAAATTGACTTTATTTTAAATAATGTTAATACAGTCAAGTCTTCAAATATGTATCATTATCAAGCTTATTTAGAAAATCTATTATTTAAATATCCCTCCAACATCGATATTGGTTCAGAAGGTACAAATGGGAGTGATGAAAAAGAAATGTATTTTAATCTTCATGTACCAATTTGTCAACAAGATCGCTTATTGATTAATGGTGTGCCCATACAAATTTGCTTCACTCGATCGAAAAATGGATTTCCAATAGTTGTTGGTGATAAAACACCATTAACAGTGAAAATTACTAAATTATCGGTTCATATCAAGAGAATTAAACTCTTTCCTGACGCTCAAGCTGGTGTTTTAACTACACTTGAAAAAATTCCAGCTAAATATTTCATTGTTAGAAATGAACTTAAAGCATTTGCTCTTAATCCTGGTTCTAAAGATTATAGTTTCGAAAATGTACACAATGGAATCTTTCCGAGGAGAATGATTATTGGAATTGTTAATTCAAAGGCTTTTTCGGGTGAAATTGAATTAAATCCATTTAAATTCGAGCATTATAAATGTAATCACATCTCATTGAATGTTGATGGTGTCATGATTCCAAGTATTCCTTACAAACCCGATTTTATCGCTAAAACGGCTGTTCGCGAATATATTGATTTATTCAAAGCTCTTGATCAAAGTGAAGGTATCCCTCAGATTGATATTAAATACAGTGAATTCTGTGAAAGAAAAACATTGTTCGGATTCGATTTGACTAATGATGGATCAATTGGAGGAGAAAGTGGTACTTTGAATCTATTACGAAGAGGAAGTATAAGACTTGAATTAAGATTCGCTGAAACATTCACTGACCAGTTGAAAATTATTGTCTTCAGTCAATTTGATAATGTTATAACTATCGATAGAGATAGAAATGTTACATTAGACTATTAATGTTAACTACGGAGGATATTTATAAGTTAATGAAAAATAAGAGAAATTTTGGTGGGGTGTTTCCATCTGATAGATTACCAGTTTCATTTACTAAACCTAAAAGCTTCATAATTAATTTAGATCCTGGATATAAAGAAGGTTCTCATTGGGTCGCTGTTAAATTTGACTACAATGGAAAAGCAAGTTTTTTCAACTCTTTTGGCGGACCGCCTGAAGGAAATATTCTTTCATTTATTGAAAAACATGCACCAAATGGATATACATACAATCCCAATAAATATCAGGGAAATCTGTCAACTTCTTGTGGTTATTTGTCTATTTTATTTATTTGTTTGGCTAGTGCAAAGTTTATTAAAATTTTCGCGAAATGTAAATATGAAAGTAATGAGAGACAATTGATTAAGTTGATCAGAAAAAATTTTAATTAGAAATTGAATTGGTCAACTCTACAAATTGTCGCTTGATGCGATCACATTCTTGTCGCTTTTTAGCGACATTGACAGATTCTTTTTTCTGTAGAGCGATCAGCTTACGATTGGCTTTCAATCGTTTTTTACCAAGAAAATAAAGGACAGCTTCTGGATTCTCCTTCATTCGAGCTTCACGGGCCTTTCTTCGAATCCGTGATGATGTTGATGGTGTTTCACTTGGCTGTTGCTCGGCAAGACCCTCAGCCCACAGTTCCTCGAAGTGGGACCAATCCATTGATTCAACAGTTAATGTAGAATTGTATTCAGTTTCCATTTTTCACTTTTTAAAAATAAACTTTCACAAATGAAAAACTATAAATGAATGAGCATTAATCTTCTCTTTCAATTTTATAATGTCCATACGCGAGGGAGCTAATTCCATCTCCCAATAAATATCTTTTATCTTCCAGAGGCGTGATCGCTATTTTCTCTTGCGTATACATATGGATGTCATGGTTGGTTGAACCTAACCTTCGATTTGTTACCATATGGATTTCCTCTTGAAATAAACAACGTTTATAATCGTCAAATGACAGCTTGTTGGCGACAACTTGTCTCTGTACTCCCTTCGCTCTTTTTTTCACGCCCGATGCACTTTTAATAACGTAAAGTTTCGGTTTTATCGCAACAACTTCGTGAATTTCATCACCAGCCATTTCATCTTTCAAATATCCAATTTCTTTTTTATGTTCATCAGAGTGTAACGGATGATTTTGTGGAAGATCACTCAAGTCCATTACATGTTCAACTTGTTTCAGATCTTCAATCAAATGATTTGATTTCAACTCAATCAATAGAGAATCAGTATCGGAATAGATGAGTCGACAACGATCACCGAAAGTACATTTAAAAGTATCGTAATACAGTGTATAAACATGTAGTTTCGAGAGTTCAAGCACTGTAAATCCTGTTACAATTGGTTTGTTCATTAAAACTACATCTTTTTTCATCTGAAACATGACCTTATTTTCATCAATAATTTTGAATCTTTGTAGTAGATGTTTTCTCAGTCGTCGCGCAGCCATTGGTTCGGATGTTGTCACATCAACTTTGACATGTTTTCTTTTATCCTCCATCAATTTACCGTAAATACTATTCACGAATAGTTTATAAAGAGATGAAGTAAATGGATCTTTTGCTTGTTGTCTTTTCGATGTGCAGAACTCAATATAATCTTGTAGCCAAGGCAACGAAGAAAATTTGAGAATACGATGAATCTTAGTCACTTTGAGTCCTTTTTCCATATAGAATTTTAAATTAAGACCATGAACAACGTATTTTTCTCTCTTGAGAAAAGTGGCAACTAGTTTTTCACTACTTACACTATGATGACCTCTTTCTTGTAATTTTTCAACAATTCTTTTAGCATAAGGACTTAACATTTCATTATCTATCTTTAGTTTATGTGGTGCCAGTGGAAAGTCATCATGTTCATCATGAAGTTCAGATGGATATTCTAAATCAACTTCATATATATAATTGTAACCGGAAGAGAATCTTAGATCGCGAAGTACAGCTTCTTCATCATCGAAGTTTTTCCAAGCATAGTAAGCATATGGGAGGTAAGAACACATCGCATAGCCATAAAGATTATTCACATCAAGATATAGTAAATGTGTTTGATCACCACCGTCATATCCAGGTACATTTGGATTATTTGCTTTGACATATCGTCTAGCAACAGTGGTCAAACCGCCACGAATCCCTTTTTCAATCATCATTAACTTATCGATATCACAAAAAAGTTCAACTTCTATTTGAAGACGACGAAAAGCAGCAGCGAAAGAAAGTCCAGGGCCTGTCATATAGTGAGGTGGATCAATTTTAAAATCTTTCATTGATGTTTCTCTGAAATTCTCGAAAGAGGCTGCTAACATGTACACGTCAACTTTAAGATAAACATCGATAAGATCACCGAGCACTTCACAATTAAATTGATGCCAAATTTTTTCTAACCTTGAATACATTTCATCAGAAATGTTAGAATCAGTTAGAGAAGAATAAAATTTGTCTTTTGATGGTAAACAGTTGTCATAAAATTTATCAATAGATGAAATATATTCATAAGGTAATGTTGCTTTTTTTAAAACTTCTGACAAATCCCCAGTTGACCATTCTTGTCTTAAGAAGTGAAGTTTATCATCAGTTGATAAATTAGAACTTAAAGTGTCAAGACTCGTTGGTAAAAAGGCTAGAGAATCAAGAAAAGCAAATTGACCGATAAAAAATCCAATATACTTTTCAAGTGATGATGGAATTACAATAAGTCTAGCATTGAAAATATTTTCAGCGATATTCTTAATAATAATGTGTCCATCATAGTTTTTAAGGTTATGAAAGAAAACGGGGATACGAGTTGGTAAAGAACGTTGTAAATTACATTCTGGGTGAGCGGCACCTCTGAAAACACCAGTGAGATGACAATGATCACGTACTCTCTTTTGTAAATCAAGGTATTGGCCACAGATTACACAATAATCAGTTTTTTTAAAATCATCCTCATCTTCATCAGTCATTACTAATGGTTTAATATTTGCTTTCAAATAGTCTTGTAAAGGTTGTTGTAGATCTCTTATCTCCCGTAAAAAATCGCCTACGATATTGTTTCCATGACAAAAGTTTTTAAATAGAACATTTTTTTCCCAATCAACAACAATGTAACCATAACTACATGGTTCATGTCTGAATGGTTTTTGTGGATCACCTGTCGGAATAGACAAACACTCAAAATCAGCATAAATGACGAACGGGTGTTTTTCTTCTTTACTGAAATTCTTTTTCATTAAATAAGAGGGTTCACCAGTTCGTTTTGGCATAACAATACGTTGTGGTTCATACTGATCACAATCTACAATATGTGCAATAAGTTTTTGTTCATCATGGAAACCAATCAAACATCTTTGACAATATTTTCGTTGATATGACGATTTAGATGATAAAAGTCGTTGAAATGAAGTTATGGGATAATAATGATCACCATAAAGAAAAAGGAGAACATGTTTCTGTAATTGATGTTTGGTTATTCGTATTGGAATAACATATTTATCATCCATGTTGTAAGAATAAACATTTACTGAAATATTGTTGCTTCGTTCAAAAGTGTCTATTTGTTTCAAATCAACAATCCCGCGACATGAAGAGAAATCATATAAATCAATAAATGTACGATAACTTGATATTCGTTGACCATTTCGTGAAGCTGGATGAAGTGAAGCTAAAATTGAATACATAAAACAATCTGTTTCAGTTTTGAGATTTATTAAACACTTTTTTGAATTTAATTTTGCCGGTAAAGAATGAGAAGAACATCCTCCTTTATGCGGTTGATATTTACCAACACTTAGTTCAATGTATTGAATTGACTCAATCCAGAACCCACTTCCTTTCTCGGTAAACTGATCACAAATTTCTCTTATTTCATTAAAACTTTGAGAAATTTCAATATTCAGGTCATCGCCTTGATAAAGTGGTTTATTTATAGAGTGTAAATCTGCAACAACAGTGTCTATTTGTTGACTACTTAGTTTCGACATTTGAGTGTGTAAATTAATGTCATAAACTACACTGCCGAGCTCCTTTCTCAAACAGTCTAGTATATTCTTCAATTTATCACTATATTTTCTTTCAACTTCATCGATATCAACTTCGTTAATTGAACATTTATAATATCGAATCATTCCATTATATGCTTGTTTAGTTAATATAAAATCATCAATTATAGATGTTGAAGGTGTTGGTAATGATGTTAAAAGAGATCGACCTTTACACTTGTGATTAGTTAAACGAGTTGATAGGTAGAATCTCTTTTTACATATTGTACATTGTTGACTCTTTTTTGTTGTTCTTGGAATTGGTCGTTGTATTTTTGGAGTGGTGAAGTCCCACTTTCTACAATTGTCGATGCATGGACACTCATGAGATAAGTAAACTCCTAAATTAATGTTGGTATAATTACAACATGGGCATTTGAAATCCTAAGATTAAAAAAATTTCAATTAAATCTAATCTAAAATGCTCATCATTCAACTTACCATTCTAAAGCCTATCTCCAATCGGGACTGGCAAGGTTTTCAAATCAACAACCGTTTATATACCCGAAAGAAAAAATCACGCATGCGTAAAGAAAAAAAAGTTTAATGGTCATGCGTATTCAAGGTTGATAAGAATGATTATTTACTCTTTTTTCCCAAAATTCTCCAGCTTGATATTTATAATGAATATAATCAAAATATTTTTTGGCCTTATCGTATTGATCAGAACTAATTTCGACTCCATCCCGAACAATCATTTCCATCCATGGCCAACGTTGTGGACCTTCGGTATTAGAGTTGACCCGTCCAGATGAAATACGGGAAAATCAACCTCTCGACGAGCAGCACAATTCATTCTCTTAGTTTTTCGATGAATCCCATAAAGTTGGCTATTGATCCAACATGTTCAGCCACTTGTCTAGCTTTTTCTTTGAGTTGAAAGCAGTATAGACAACGATACATAATTGGATTTGCTTCGATAATTCGTCTTTGATCTTCCTCCATTTTCTCAATTTCCTGAACTTCGTCACGAGCAGCAACAATCCAGAAGTTTTCCTTGGTTGTCTTTTTCTCTTCTGGACCAGAGAAGTTTATCAATCGTTCACCTGGCACGATCGTTTTGTCCCACCTTAGCATTGAAGTGACCAAACCATCCTCTTCATACCACATTTCGAGATCTGAAGGCCACTCATTCATCACCTCACTCACTCGCACTTGCAAAATAGGAGGTTCATCGGGAGTTCGAATCGCGGTATTAGAAGATGGTTCGTCCATTCGAGAAGAAAGACGAGTAATACGACGGTCATCGATTGTCGAAGTTGATGGTTGGGGTTGCTCAATAGCTGAGGTTGAAGGTTGAGGGTCAACGTTGGATGGAGAAGAGTGTTGATCAGCAGAAGATCGAGGTTGATTAATATTCATCTCTTCAAGTGACGGCATACTAATATATCTTGAGGTTGATTGAGACACTATTTGTTAAAGAAAAAATGGAAAAGAAGAAATCAAGTAAAAAAATGATTGAAATTGAATAAATAGATCAAAGCCTATTCATTTACATGGGGAAAATGTTAAACCCATTTACTGACTTAAGAATTGATGAAATAAAAAACGCATGTAAAACGCGTCATTCTCATGTAAAGAAGAAAGGATAAGAGTGAAAAAAATTTTTGGAATTGAATAAATAGATCAAAGCCTATTCATTAACATGGGGAAAATGTTGCACCCATTTACTGACTTAAGAATTGATGAAATAAAAAACGCATGCAAAACGCGTCATTCTCATGTAAAGAAGAAAGGATAAAAGTGAAAAAATTCTTGGAATTGAATAAATAGATCAAAGCCTATTCATTAACATGGGGAAAATGTTTAACCCATTTACTAACTTAAGGATTGATGAAATTAAAAACGCATGTAAAACGCGTCATTCTCATGTAAAGAAGAAAGGATAAGAGTGAAAAAATTCTTGGAATTGAATAAATAGATCAAAGCCTATTCATTTACATGGGGAAAATGTTAAACCCATTCACTGACTTAAGAATTGATGAAATAAAAAACGCATGCAAAACGCGTCATTCTTATGTAAAGAAGAAAGGATAGAAGTGAAAAAATAAATTGAAATTGAATAAATAGATCAAAGCCTATTCATTAACATGGGAAAATGTTTAACTCATTCACTCACTCAAGATGTTGAACATCTGGCAACTTAGATCGTTAGCTAAGGAACAAAGTTAAAAATGTGTGGTTATGAAATGAAGGTATGCAAAAGTTAAGTGTAAACAAGTACAAAATGATCAAATTTCAAAGAAAACATTATCATAAATGAGCAAAGTACAGAAGTATATTAAATGTGGAATTTGGACCTCAACATAATTGATGGAAAAACAATGACGATAGACAAGAACTAGAGTCACGTGAATCAATTTATCTAACTGTAAAGGATCCTAGCTATAGTCATACAGAAGATCATAAAGAAAGATATCTACAATTCATAATGTTGTTATGAATCTTGGTAATACAGAAGCAAAAGAAGAGGTATATAAACACTAGAGAGAGGAAATGAAGTCAAAGGAACTAAAAGAGACTAAAGAGACTGAAGAGAGAGAGATTAACATAGGAGAGAAAAAACACAAGAGAGAGAGAGAAAACAAAGAGAGAGAAAAACACAAGAGAGAGAGAAAACACAAGAGAGAAAACAAAGAGAGAGAAAACAAAAGAGAGAGAGAAAACACAAGAGAGAAAACACAAGAGAGAGAGAAGAGAGAGAGAGATAAACACAAGAGAGAGATAAACACAAGAGAGAATAAACACGGAGGATGGATATAAACACAGGGAAGAGAGATAAACAAATCAAGAATTGAAATGGTGGTATTTCTTTAAAATTATCACATTATCCAACGTTATCGTAAATTGTAGATAAAACGAATGATTTAAATCAAAACAACTTACTTTTTAATGGTTGGTTGTTAATTTTTCGATGTGGTGTAATAAAAAAAGATGACTTTAACTTTTTTTCTTGTGGATATAATCCAGGTATTTTATATCACAAAGATTAGATTGAATTATTAATTTAATAAATTAAATTAAAGATTGAAGATTAAAGAAACTTTAAACAAAACTTCACAAAGAAACTTTAAAAAGAAAACTTGATTATTAAATTTTAAAGATAAACTTCTATTTATCGTTTTACTTACGAATCTGTATGATAAAATGAATATTTTACGCTCATTCATTCATTTATAAGAATTATAATGGATGTGACCTGGAATTGAAAATGCCATTATGATCATTAAGATCGTTAATGATCTTTAAGATCATTAAGATCGTTAATGATCTTTAAGATCATTAAATCTCTTTAATGATTATAAAAATTATTAAATAGGGTGAAGGAAAGAGAGGTGGGAAATAGGTCGTGAAGTGAGTTAATGATGTGTGGAGGAGAGAGGAAAAGAAATTAAACTCAGGGTTAATTTGAAAAAATAAAACAAGTTAATGTTGAAGAGAAAGGGGGAAAGAAATTTGAAAAGAAAGAGAAAGATTAGAAAAAGAAAGGGTAAAAGGGGGGAAGGTGTAAAGGTAAATTGTGCTAAAGTGGTATGCTTTGCATCTACTCTCAAGATAATTAAATTACTTTTACATTGAAATCAGGGTTAAATCAACATGGTAAAAGTAATCATTGTTTCAATGACAAAGTTTACTTTTAATCAATAACTGAATTAGTTTTAATGATCAACAAATTGTTGTCGCTGAACTTTTAGTGTTCTTGTAAGGTCATAGATGGAGTTGTGAGCTATGAGTGTAAAGGTTATGGGAGAAAAAAGCGCGAAATTTGAATAAACGAATGAAAAACTTTTCGTTTACTTGATTGTTTATTTAATTGTTTCGATGATGATTAAAAGATTTAATTAAACTGATGATTAATTATTTTACTTTTTTCTTGTGGCCACTATGCCAATGGTCAATTTTTTTGGTACTTTGGTTGGCTGGTATTTGGAAGGTGGTGAAAAAAATAAGTTTCTTAAGAATCGTAAAGTCAATTCGATAAGTTATTAGAACAATTATTTTTCGACAAGTTCGAGATTAAATTAATTCTTTTTTTTTTTGTTCATTTTTTTCTCGTTCACATTGGAACCAAAGTTTACTATTTTTTTGGCGCTTTCGTGGACTTTGTTGGACATTTTTGTAACTTTTGTTTTCGATTACAAATGAAATTGAAAAAAGTTTTGAAACTATTAAATTGATTGAAGGTTAATTTTGGTTTGATTACTTAATTGATTACCAATCATTTTGTAATCTTCAATTATTTGTACGTATCGATGAAATTAATTTTAAGATGAGTTTACGAAGATGAGAGTTGATTCCTGATTATGAGGGTCATATGGTTGATGATAATTGATTGTTGTGATTAAAATGATTAACTGATTGTGTCTATCGTGATCTGATAATTTTTTCAATCGCTGCTATTGGAGCTTCAAAAATAACAGCTAATCCAAATGAGATTATGTAAGTTATCACAATGTTACCAAGAATGAAGTAAATCTGAGGATTAGATTAAGAAATTGATTATTAGGTTGGTCAGTTTGGGAAAGATCTTAACTAATTTTGTGTTGGTTAATAATATTTACCATTAAATAATGGGAGAAGTGGAAAGTTGTCTCTCTAGTCCCATAGAAACAAGCGATGACCACCGGATGAATGAGATAAGCTGAGTAGGTTAATCTGCTGAGAGGAATGAAAGGTTTCCATGAAAGGATTGAATTGATTATCCCTCCGTGTCCGTTTACACAGGCATAGACTATCCAGGCCAAACCGACGGACCAAAGGGTTCGAGAAGTGGCCGAGTAAAGTCCGGCAACTGCATCGCTCAAAGGATAACCATTAATTGCTGGAAACATTGCCAACAATATACCAGCATTCAAGGTGATAGCAAAAATCCAGCCCATGATTACAAATCTCTGAATAACAGCAAAAAGTAAATAATTAATTAATTACAATTCTAATCAATTCATAAATCACCATTGAAAAGTTTTTTGAAACATTTTCTCTCTCTCTCTCTCTCTCTTTCTTTCCTTCCTTTCTTTTCTGAAACTTGTAACAATGTATTCAATGTAATGTAATTAATAGTAATTAATTATCACCTTGTTAATTATCAAGGTTACTTTTACCTGTGGTCAATGTCCAGCTAATTGAAAGTAGTCACAAGAAGAAATTAAATTCTTTTAATTGTTTTTTTTCTTTCTTTCGAAAAATTTTTTTTTCTTTTTCTTCTTTTTCTAATACAGCCCAAATCAATGGGAGGTAAGGTAAGTAGGAGGGAGTGAGAGGGAGAAAGAAAGAAAGAAAGAGAAAGAGGGAGAGATGAATAAGACGATTAGAGAGAGAGAGAGAGAGAGAGAGAGAGAGAGAGAGAGAGAGAGAGAGAGAGAGAGAGAGTATTATATTATCATTTAGCCCGAGGGTTGATCGTAGATTGAAAGATGAAATCGTATTGATGCTTAATTAAGTGATTAAGCCGAAATCAATTAAATTCTGTATTCGTAAGCGCTGGAATTATGATCATGTCATGAGAATCCTGTTGTATTATTATTATGTTATGATTCAATTTAACCTTGTATAATATTATCTCTTATTATTGGTGCCGATGAACTTCGAGTTTTTTTTTCAGGGTTTTTCATGCTCTATGCTTAAGATTTAGGTTCAAAGTCGTATCAATAACAAGATGGTAATAAACTCTAATTACCTGGTAAGTAAATAATGCTCATGATAAAATGGAAAAAATCGTTGAAGGAAAAGTTCAAAATGTTTGTCAACAAGATATTCAATAAAAACACTAGTTATTATTATTGTTTATCAGATAAACTTAACCAGTGGGAGTTGAATTCTGATAAAATTCAATCATCATGATAATCAAACAATTTGTTTACTAGTAAATGCGAAACCAGTTCTTGTTGTATTCTAGCCTGGTCAAGATTTATTTCTTTCTTATTTTCTAAATATCTCTTTCTCACCTTATAATTTAATTAGGAACCATAATCTCAGGTAAATTCATTTAAAATCCATCAGTCAAACTTGTTTACCAAAAGAATCACACAAATCAGAATATAAGAAAAAAAAAACAAAAACAAACTTCATGTTGTTGTTGTTGTTGTTGTTTTCCAGGTAAACAATACACTGAATTACCTTTGGAATGAAACAGTAACAATTTAAGTTGTTTACCAAAAAAAAAGTTTCAAGAGCATCAACATATTATCATGAGAATCATGATTAAGATAAATTACCATCATCATCATGGTGAAAGTGAAAGGAGCAAGAGTTAACTGGGTAACATAGTTTTCGTATCAAGGTGTAATTACTACAATTGCCTTCTAATGATTGGATATAATTTACAGGTAAGAAAAGAAAAGTTTTTGTTTTCTATTCAGTTTTCTAATTCATTTACTCTGTCATTGGGCCTCTTCCAATATAATAACTCAGATCATTGGTCTTTCATTTTCAGATTAATTGTAATCAACTGGCAAACTTGTTGCTGACTGACCACGAGTTTGATGGTCACCTTGAAATTTGTTTACTTTCAATTTTAATATTTTTATCATTTTTTTCTGATAAAATGAATGATGAGTGACCCTGACCCAAGATAATTCAACTACCTTGATTTAATCTTAATGATAATTTACATGTTATATAATCAAATTGTTTATTAAATTTGATAATATTTACCTGTCTCCCTTTTTAACGGTTAACTAATTTGCTCTCTCTCTCTTTTTTAATTCAATTCAATTCAATATCTATTGGTTAGTTTAATTGCAAATAATTAACTTTGTTGTTGAATAAAAAGTTGCTTGTTCTGTTGATTTATATATTAGATTTATAAACGATATTGAGTTACCTTGTATTCTGTAGCTATATTTTTGTAGGTAACTTTCATTTACTATCTTATCAAGTTAATCAACTAATTAAAATTGTTTAGTTGAACAAGTTAATTTACCTTTATCTTAGTAATATCTTTTCTCTCTCTCTCTCTCTCTCTCTCTCTCTCTCTATTTGATTTCTCTGTCTGTGGTTAATAACTTGATCTGTGGACAAATATAAATCGTTGGGAAGTTCATTCGTTCAAACGAAGTCAACGAAACTTCAACATGAGATGAAAAATCTTTGAAAAGAAGAAGAAAAATAAAAACAAAGTTCACTAAACTTTTCAAGTTTCTCTTTCTCTTTCTCTCTCTTACTGAGTTCTTCTACCTATGAGTCTAGTAAATTATTACGAAAAGTCAATGGAATTTAATTTCTATACAGGTAAATAAGAGAAAGAGGAGCGAGAGAGAGAGAGTTTAACCTTAAGAAGAGAGATTAAGATCATTCATTAATCTGTCAACATCTTTGGTCGATTGCTATTCAATTTCTTTCACGTTTCTCGGGTGATTTTTTGTATTTCTCGTCGATTTTGTCAAGAGAAATTGTTAATTGTTTTAATTATTTACCTTCTTAATTGATGGTTTACTATTACGAAGATAAATTAAATAAGCAATAGCAATTCCAATTAGATATGGACCAATACGACACCAAGGTTTTATGTAAATCCAAGCATAATAACCATCAAGAGTCTCTCTGGATCTGATTACCAAGAAGATTTGACAACAATTAAGCTGATTGTCTAAAATGATTGTTGTAAACTTTGAAAATTGTTTTAAACACTTACGTTATATTGGTTAAATATGGAACCGGTGGATAATGATTAACTATGGTTAAAGATGCAGTGATTATCATTGATGCCGCGAGTAGAAGGACAATTAACAAGATACCATAAAACGGGAACCAAAAAAGTGGTACTAAGATCAACGGAGATACTAAGTAAAGTTGCATATCGACCGCTGAATACCAAGAGTGACTTAAACACTAGAAATTGATGATAATTAGTTGATTGTTACAAAAAAACGAATCAATTTTATTATAATGAAAACACTTACCATGTTTTCCCGATTGATAAAATTGTGAAGATAGAGTGAGTTAATCCACCAATTATTTTGACACCATTGGTCAAACATGGTCGTCGATTCTGACCATGAAGGTCCAGAGCCCATGTACTTCAATAGATTGACACAAAATCCAATGATAATCATCATCAATGGGGTCATACGAAGGTAGCGATGAAGGTAGAACTGCAAATAGTTGATTCGACCTTTTCGACGAAGCTCTTTGAAAACGGAAAGTCCAACTAATAGACCGCTGGAATTATTAGAATAACAAGAGAAATCGATAAATTCAAATGTTCAATTGGATAAATGATTAAATTGTACAATTAGTTTACCTGATGAAAAAGAAACAATCAACAGAGAAATTGGTATTTGCATAGATTTGACTGATGATCATCTTTGAATCGTATTCAATGTCCTGTGAATTCTGAAAAAATAGCCATTGCATTGCAAAGGAATAGGAATGACCACCGATGATCCAGAACATCGAGATCACTCTGAGGCCATGAATCGATGATATTTGACTATTAACATTGAGACAAGTTGACCCACTGATCCCGTTGGTGTGAGGGGTTGGGGAGGGTGAAGTGTTTTCACCATTGGTGTTAATTGGTGCTGGATGATTGTTATTATTATCGTTGTTAATTGTTGTAGTTGTAACATTGTTTGTATTGTGATGTGAACAATTATGACGGACAATTGGTTTAGTGGTTGTGTCCAGTATTGAATTAATGTTTTCTTTAGCTGAAAAGGCTAAAACAATTGATCTAATCAAATGATAATAATGATGAACCTTTGGATCAGTTGAATGATGGTAATCACGATGATTTGGTGAGATATTGTCAACCGATGGATCTGAATCGAGGCTAACAATTGATGAGCAATCATCTTTCATTAAATTAGTGGTCACACAATCGGTACTCGTATTTGAATCATGGTCAATTTTTACACCACAATCTTGGTAATAATGATAATCTAATACGGTTGCGACAATAACGAAGCAAATGATTAATAAAATGAAAACTCTGTCAGAGAAAAAAAAAGAAAAAAAGAAAATGACCAATTAGAAAGTGAGAGAGAGCAAAGATGACCATTGCTTTGTACAAGAAGAAGAGATGATTGAGAGAGAAAGAGAGAGATGGAGTATAATTATAAGGTCTCAAAGGAGTCGAAGATAAATAGAAGTGAGATCATAATGATGATAGAGAAGAAGAGGGAGAGAAGATAAAAGAAAAGATGAAAGATGAAGATAAAAATGATGACCAATATACGAAGATTATGGTAGAGAAAAGAAGAGAAAAATGTTCTTTTTTCAAGGTGAGAGGGCAGAGGAAGAAGAAAAGATTAGAGGTCAATACTTTCATCTCGCAAAAGCGGGAAAAAGGTAAAGAGGTTGTAACCATCGAAGGGTCATAAAGGGCAAGGTTACTTTGAGATGATAGGTCATTGTTATATGTCATTGACCCTTCGTCCTCTTCGTTCGGCTTCTTATTCATTTTCTTGTCTTAACCCCTATGGGTCAGTTCGTATGAATGAAAAACACCGGACAACTTCCGATCTATTATAAGAAGAAGGAGGAGAAAAATATTTTTCTTTTTTTTTCTTCTTTTTCTTTTGTAACTTTTTCTCTTCTCTCTTTCTGATAATAATGATGGACACGTACACATAAGGGTCAGTTTCGCAAGTTTGGCCTTTTTGTCTTCGAAAAAGTGGCCTCTCACTTTACCGGACAATCATTCATTATGCTTTAATCTACAAGACCAAATGGTCAGTTAAATAGTTAATTGATGGTTAGAGTACAAACAATACGATAACAAGAAGAAGAAAAATGTAAAAATATATTTCTCTCTCTCTCTCTCTCTCTCTTTCAACAAAGACTTTGACCCTTGGTCAAGTAGGTAAAATGGTTAAGTGACGAAATTGATTGAAAGAGTTTCGAAAAGAGTTTGAAATTTTTTTCTTTCCTTTCTAGAAACTGATAGAGACTAACGGGGGTGGAGATGAAGATGATGATGGTCAAGGTATTTGATGGTATAGGTAAAACGATATAGGTTGGTAACCATAGGTCATAAAGGGTCATTTGAAATTTGAGTGGTCAGTTGCTGGTCAAGTAAAAAGTTGCTTCTAGCAAAATGTATGCACACACACACAGTAGTCTTTGTATTGTTAATTGTGTTTGATTTACTCTACATAAACATGCAATTCAAATGATTTATTGTTCAATTGAACTTGTATAAGTTTAATTGATTGTTGATGATTAAATTTAACAATTGGAAATGTGATTGTGATCAAGTAATTGTTACTTACAGGAAGATATAGGCTTTGAGATCAATCTCATCATTTGTTGATGGTGATGAGGAAGATAAAGGTAAAGATGAAGGTAATTGTGCTGATGATGATGAAGAAGATGATGAGGATGATAAATTTTGATGGTTTACTGTTGATGATGAAAAGGAGATCGTTGAGTTTTGTAAGAATTTGATTAAAACTGTTACAATTTAGTTAATTGGGAAGAGACAAAAAAGAGGAAAAACTTAAATCAGTTTCATGTTTAATCGTTGATTTTAATTGGTTGATTAATTGTGATTATCTTAGTGATAGGATGATGATGATGATGATGATGATGGTTAAGTGTTGGGATGAGGATGATTTTAAGTTGATCATCATCTTCATTATCAAGTATCATCTAAGGAGATTGTAAAAAAAAGTTGTAAATTGTTACGTTAATTTAATCAACTCACCATTATCAGTTATGTAATTAAGATCAATCATCAAATAGTTACATGAAGGTGATGATAACCCTGAGATCTGTGTGACAATTAAAAAGGAGATGGTTAATTTAGTTTAAATTGTGTAAATTGATTATGTGGGGGAAAAAATTATCAACGATCGCAATCAAATTGTAACAAGTTAAACTGTAGTTAGATATAGGAATCTTTTTGTTTCATTGATTAAAAAGAGTTTACAGTTTAAATTGGTTTGAGTTGATTAGCAATTTAAATTATCACAATTAACTTACCTGAGCTTTGGTATCAGATGAATCAGGAACAATTTGACCAACTATTGGGAAAAGGTAAATAAATAATCAGTTAATTGTTGGGTGTTAATCACTTGAAGGTCACACTTTACTTTACTTTAATTTATTTAGTTAATTGTTGTTGATTTAGAAATTAAAATTAATTATGATTAAGATACATGAATTTAAACTCGGAAGGAAAGGTTATAGTTAATTGATTTCTCTCTTTCTTTCGCTAAATTGATTAAAAGTTAAATGATTTATTTATTTGTTCTTAATTAAATTCTCAATTTTGCTAATTACTGATTCAGATGATTAACATAATTAACTAAATTAAATTAAATTGCAAGTTAAATTTATAATAATAATCGAAAGTAAGAAAAAAAAGTTTAAAATGATTTAGTAATCAAACTGTCAACAAGTGAAAGTAATTGGGAAACTAAAGCGTAACTATTAATATTGATTCAAAGTTAATTTAGTTATCACAATTTAATTTGGAGAATTAATTTTAACAATTTACCTTTAATTGACCAATCACTTCGTAAAGAAATTAACCATTTCAATATTCCCGTTGAACAATTTCTTGAAGCTTTAGTATCGGTGGACATTGAGACGATTCGAGGAAAAATTGACCGAAGAGCCGCTTTGAGACCTTTTAATGGGTTAAATTAGTTAATTAACTGGTTAATTTGGTTTAATTGCGAGGGTGGGGTGGGTTTAATTACCTTTCTTGAATCCATTTTCAACATCATTCCATTTGTTTGTAAATTGTTCATTGTCCTTCAATTGATTTAAAGGTTCAACTGGAAGCGAATCAATTGATTCCCAGTTAATTTGATTACTATCATTTTGTTCAATTGATTTGATTGTTATCGTGGTTGTTGGGCTAATTGTTGTCGTTACAATTTTCATTGATGATGGTGATGGTGGTGTTGGTGGCGATTCAACAATTAATGATTCAGATTCATGATCAATTATTGAATCGTTGGTTAATTTATCAACAGTTAACGTGCTTGTGGAAACACAATTAATCACATAAAAAACTAGAATGAAACAATTAATTAACCTATTACTATAATGGTAGGGTTTCATGTTGATCACAATTAGTTTAGGTGTTAATTAATAAAGAAGAAGGTGAAAAAAATTTCGATTAAAAAAAAGTTTTGTATTGAAAAAAAGTTATCACAAAAAAAAATTAACGATTAATGTAAATTAAACCATAGGGATACTTTGATTGTTGATTGACTTTAATCCTAATGATAGTAATTAAAAAATCCTAGTGGCAATGATTAAAATACTAATGATGATGATGATGAAGATGAGGATGATGAGGATGATGATGACGATTGACAATCATAAATAAGAGAAAACGAAGAAGAAGAAAAACAAGATGAAAGTGAAAAGAAAGAAGAAAAAAAGAAAAGAAGAAGAAGAAAATATGAAGATGAAGATGAAGATGATAATGAGGATGATGAAGATGAAGTAAGAACTTTTTCTGTACTCTTCGTCTTCAGAACATCATTTGTAGTGTACGATTTAAATAAGAGACTAACAAGAGACCACAAGTAAGAATTAAACTGAGATGAGAGAGAGAGAAATAGAGAGAGAAAAAGAGAGAGAGAGAGAAAGAGTGAGTCTAATGAAGAAAGAAGATGAATTGACGATGAGATGATGATAAATGAGAGAGAAAGTAAACCAAAAAGGTAAAACTTTCTCTTCGAGAGACGAGAGAGAAAAGGAAACTAAAGGAAGAAGATGATGAAGATGATGAAGCCGAAGCCGAAGCCGAAGACAAATAAGAAGATAAGAAAGAGACAAGAAAGTAAGAAAAGAAAGAGACAATATTTGGGACAGGTAAGAACAGGTTAGCGTATAAAAAATTGGCTTGAAAAAGATTCAACTTATAAGTTAAACTTTTTTACGTTCGTTAATATATAAAACAGGTTAGGTTGAAACGATGAACAAAATTTACAATCAAGAGATCAAATTAAATTAGTAAACTAAACACCATGTTTGTTGTCAATCGTAGTTAAAGTTCATTGATCCTTAACCTAGTGCCCTACCTGATTCAGTGAGAGAGAAGATAAAATGAGAGAGAGAGAGAGAGAGAGAGAGAGAGAGAGAGAGATAAAGATGATTATCATCACTGATAAAATTAATAACGAACTGACCATTACTATTATAATAGGGATTTTCTTTTTCGCTTGGAGACATTTTAATTTCTCTTTCTTTCTCTTTCTTTTTCTCTTCTTCTTTTTAATTAATTCATAATTTACTTACCTACTTTTTTATCATCTTCTCTCTCATTTCAATTCTCTCTCAATAATGATTATTATAAGTTTATTAATTAGATTGATTGGTAAATTGGTTCGTAAAAAAAGTTCGACTTCAATTCAAAAATAACATAAGAGAAACTTTTTATTTTCTTGATCGCTATTCGTACGTGTATCTATCACCTCCTCCAATTATTATCTCATTTTCATCTTTTCTTCCTTATCATTAACATTTTCTTTTCGCAATTGTGATCGCAATTGTTGATTGTTGATTGACTTTTATAATCTAAATTGTTCCAATAAACAATCGCGAGTTTGTTCACTTTGGTTCGCATTTGAAAAACTTTACTTTCGAAATTGTTTTGGTTTCTTTTCCTAGGAAAATTGGATCTTTTCACTTTTCGAGAAATTTAATTCACTTCATTCGCAATTGTTGATTGTACTTTTAATCTTACAATTTTTTTTTGCTTCGTTTTCTTCTTGTTATTAGTTTAATAAGGAAAACTTATTGGCATAGGATCATTTAGATTATGATTAATGAATGATGAGCAGTTAATTAGATCATGTGATTTTGTATCAGTCGATCACAAGTTTACCGTTGCTTTTGTTGTTCAGTCAATTAAAAGTTACTTAAGGTCAATCAGTGAATCAAGGTTGTGATTTCAATTAAATTCAGGTCCATCCATTAACTGGATTAAGCAGAGTAATTTAACTCTGGTAGTAAAACGATAATTAATCAATTTTAAAATCAGAGTTTTATAATTATCGCAACACAATTGATACGATTATTGGAGAGATAAGTCAAATTGTAAACTATGCAAACTTGTCTAAATTGATCAATTTGAACAATCAAGTTTTACCACAATCAGTTAATTGCAGACAAATTACTTCTTCTTTCACGAGTGAGAAATTAAATTTGTTCTAAGTATTGATTCCTAGGAGGCTTAATTGTAAATCGATTGTCTATTGCAATTCATTCAAGAAAATTATGACCATCGGGTGATGTGTATTGAAATCAATTGCGAATTCAGACAATTTTTTGGGAGCTTTAGACTTTATCGTTTTTTTTATTAATTAAACCAGATAATAAATTGGAAACTATATAAGTTAAGCATTAACTTCAGCGTCCAATTTTGCAATAACAGCCAATTTCTTTTGGGCAATCTTATTCCTGCGAGCGGCAAGAGTTTGCTTAGGTTTGTTCCATCTTTTCTTGACACCTTCTGATTTCTTAGCTTCATCAGTAGTTCCATCAGTAGCTTTAGCTTTAGCTTTAGGTGCTTCTGGTTGTGGATTAGCTCGGATGGCTGCATGTGCTTTAGAATACATTTCTTCAATCTGAAAGGAAAGTGTTAAATTAAAAAAGAAAACAAGTTTAGAATAAAAATTAAAAAAAAAGAGTAAAAAATATTACAACACAATGGAAAGTGAAACGTTTCAGTTTTTTTTCTCTTCAATCCTTTCGCAATATAAAAAAAGGAGGATTTAAATTTACCTCATCAGCGGTTATTCCAAGTTTGACGTAACGAGCGAATTGCCTTTTAAAAGCTTCTTCATCTTCTTCGGCAAGACTACGCATGTAATCGGCGACATGTGTACCCATGATGTGTTTTCGGTGGACTTCAGCGTCAAATTCCTTAGAATCGGCCTTGTAACCAGGGAATCGTTTCTCACTGTGAGGAATATCGATACCTCCATCGACGGCACCTTTCATGGCTCCGAAGATTTTTGCACCAGTTGATGTTCGAGCGAGTCCAACATCTAAGTATGCCCTGAATGCTCTTGGTTTTCCATCGATATCTTCAACACTAAACATTTCTCCGGATGCTTGTTCACATCCCTTGTAAAGTTTGTCTAATTTAAACTTTTTCAGCATCTAAACAATTAAAAAAAAATGGAAAACGTGTACATTAGATAACATGCTTTCTACTAAACGCCCAAAGAAATAAAAGAGAACAAAATGAAAACTTACCCTACGAGCAAGAAGAAGACCGGTACAATAGGCAGCAGCATAATTTGTTAATCCAACTTTTACACCATATCTTGGTAGTTCATGGGCATAAGCTGAACATACAACAAAGTCTCCTTCAATTTTAGCATAAGCAATTTGACAAATTACATCTTTGTTGGTTATTCTAACAATCATTCGATATTTGGGAGTGTTATATTTATTCTTGTCTTGCCAGATCAAACGTTTCCGAGCATAGTAATCAGTTTTACCCTCTGTAATGAGAACAAAAAGGAAAAAAACAGATAAGAAATGTTGAAATCATTTAAATTTACACAGAACAATCACAATGGTTAATTAAAACAAAAGGATAAAAAACTAACCTCGTCTCCTTCGGAATTTAACTTGATACCTCTTGAAATAAGCCTTGTTCTTAACAACTTTGACGAAACCCTGAATGGAAAAGAAGACAAATCAATACGGAACAAGAACAATTTAGATGATACATAGTAGATGAGAGTCACAACTAATTACTTACCATTTTAAGAAGAATAGACAATTAATTTAAATTAAAATTAAATCCAATCAAGAGACAATACAATGAATTACAAAAAAAAGAAGTCAATTGCTGCAAGGAAACGGAAACAGAAAACATATGAAGGTGGAAGGCGGAGCTTAGAGAAAAACATTCGGTAAAAGAAAAGCGCGTTTTTCAAATTCTAAACTGAAAGAAATAAAAAAAATTGTTATTGTTTGATTTTCGGGAAAAAATCAAACGGAACTGATTGTTATCCTTAACAATCAACAGATAATTAAGATTAGATATTTTTTTTCACGATTAATTGATTTAGTTATTCAAATGGAAAGAAATGTTTTGATAAGTTTTGATTGTTTCTCTATCAATGATTTGTTATTCTTTTAATTGGAAAATTAATTCTTATGAAAATGAAAATATTGGTTGACAGTGAATATAATTTATTAATTGTAGTTACAAATGTAATCAATTCAATATTTCAAATATTTATTGGTCTCTCGTGATGATAAATTGGTAAATCACATTTAACAGTCTAAAAAAAGGTAGTGACGATGATGAGTGATAAATTGTGAGTACAAAAAAAAATTAGAAGAGGAAACTTGGAGGTGGAAAAGGAGTTGAAAAAGAGTTGGTGGTGTTTTTGTTGTTTGTGTTGTGTGTTGGGAGTTTAATTGTGATGATTATTTGATCACCAATTAGCCACATAATCAAATTCCTTGAATAATTGATCATCAAGTCTTGGTAAATATCGAAGATCTTTGGGTGGGCTTAATACTGGTTTTTCTGATGTAAATTCGTTGTCAAAATTGCTAACATCTTCCAGCGATTTCTGTTATTGTGATTAAGAAACAAAAAGAAATTAAAAAGAAAAAGAAAAAGAAAAAGATTAAAATTAATTAGAATTAGAATAATAATTAGTACACATAGTTAACAATTACGAAAAGAAATTAGGAAAATATTAATAAAAGATAAGTATATAAAGAGGAAAAAAAAGGGAATTACAATTAGGTAACAAAATTTTTCAAGAAATAATTCGTTATCCTGATTAACCCAAATTCAGTGAAGAATTAAAAATTAATAATCAACCCAAAACACTTACAATAGTGGGCACAAACGGAGGCTTAACTTTACGAGCGAGAAGATCATCCCAGTTGATATGCTGAAATAAGAAAACGGGAAGATGATGATCAAGAAAATAGATTAGTATTTGTACTCTTCTCATGAGGAGCTCATGCAAGACCGTTGAACTTTTAGTTATATGATTACAATAGTAATCAAACGTATTCGCTTTTTCCTGTAATCTTACCCTGAAGAAAGATTGTTTTTTAACATCTTCAGCGTCTCTTTCACTTGATCCTAGTCTTCGGTCTGGATTCTTTCTTAAAAGCTAAAAGGGAGGAGAGAATGAGAGGGAGGATAGATTAAAGAATTAGTATCATGATTAACAATATCTTCTTCTTTGAGTGACATAATTTTCTGACAGATAATTATTTCTCATTTGCATAAACTGTAATTTTCGCAATCAACACCAGTTTCAACTTACTCTTTTCATTATGGCAACTGATTCGATTGTTAAACATCGAGGATATCGAACTTCTTCATTGACTATACTGTCGAAAACTTCTTCTTCGTCATCACCAGGGAATGGAGACTGAAAAGAAAAGGGAAAATTATATTAAATTAAGTTCCATGGATAAACTTTACTCGTTTCTCTTACTTCTCCGATAAGCATTTCGAAAATTAGAACTCCTAATCCCCACCAATCAACTGCCCTTGTGTAGGAATTATCAGTAAGCACTTCAGGTGCTAGAAATTCGGGTGTACCACAGAAAGTTCCAGTTCTATCACCGAAACCGATACCTTCCTTGCAGAGGCCAAAATCAGCGATTTTAACATAACCCTCGGCATCGAGAAGAAGATTATCCAATTTGAGGTCCCTGGAGAAATAGAAATGCAAAGATAATCAACAATTAGAATAAGATAAATTAGAAAAAATTTCGCTCATAATTGAGAAAATAATAACTAATATCTGACATCCTTATAGTAATGACCAAATGTTTCATTAACAGTTTCATGATAGAAACATGAAAATCGTCAGAATCAGATGATTACTTTTTAGCTCTATGTCAATATGAAGTTCATTTTCCTGTATCAATTAAATTTCTCGCATTACTTTTCAAATGATTTATATTTCTGTTAACTTTTTGTTTTACTCACGAATTGTGAAGTAAACATAATAAAAGATTATGCAGTCAATTAATTATCTTGGTTAAATTGTGACAAATTACTGAAAACTCTATTCGGTTTTTTATTCTTTCCTTTCTTTCTTTCTTTCTTTCTTTTCTTCTTTAATTCTCTATACAGTGTTGTAGTTTTAATAGTTAATGGATTATAATCAACACTAAATTGTTACCGTGAGGAGAGAAATGGTTAGTGGAAAATTAAAGGAAGAGAATCAAAGGAGAAACTCGGTCAACAAACTTTGTTTTTTTTTCTCTCTCCAAACACAATTACAACAAACGAGCGAAGACACAAGTTGCCTTTTTTTATCGTAATAAACAATAATAACGGTAAAAATAATAACGATAATAAAGTGTTGGTATAATAATTTTGATTCTAACTAGTCTCTTTTTAGATGATTTTGTTTTACGTTCATTATTATGATTAATATTCCTTTCTCTCTCTCTCTCTCTCTTTCTTTCTTCCTGAATTTCTTTCATAATAATCAACATCAAGTGTATGTATCATTTGCTAACCTGTAGATAATCTTGTTTTCGTGTAAAAATTGAAGGCCAAGCACAATACACGCAGCGTAAAAAGTAGCCCGAGGCTCAGAAAAAATGTCTTGATGAATATGAAGCATGAGATCTCCTCCACAAGCGTATTCCATGACAAAACAAACATGAAGATTGGTTTGGAAACAGGCGAATAGGTTAATAAGAAAAGGATGACGGGTTTTGGTGGCCACTTCGAGTATCCGTTTCTCGGCCATTAGACTTTCAATCTCATCTCGAGCGACAACATCACCTTTTTTAAGAGCTTTTATGGCAAAATATTCACCGGTTGGTTTGTACTTGCTTAAAATGACCTGGTCAAGAAAATAGAGAAAAGGTAAATTATAATCAGAACAAAAAAGATGATCAAGGATGAGGATAAATTGGGCAGGTGAAAAGGTAAGTAAAAAGGGAAAGATATAATCAGATCAAAGTTTAAATAATGATTACAACTAATTGGGAACAAGCGAGTTACTGAAAAAGAAAACTTGAGAAAATCCTTCGGTCAGTTTGTTCATCTTCATCTTTCTTTTCTCTTCTTCATCATCTCTTAACATGCAAAGAGAAGATGATGATGAGCAAGATGGAGGAAAAAAGAGTATAATAATAATAATAATTCAGGTAATTGGAATCAGTATAGCTTAACCTTGATTATCTTTATCAACTCTTTCTTATTATCATTTTCTTAGAGTTATCATTTAACTCTCACGCTTATAACATTTAGATGAAATTTACAGATAATTTAAAAAGTTCTGATAGACTGAAAATTGAATAACTTGAAATATATTAACTATTTGATTCGTAGACAGACATTTCCGTAACTATTATTATCATGTTTTCATCAATATTTTTTTTGCTCATTTTCTTGTTCCTCTTTGTGAGTTAATTGAATGTCAATAACAATAACGATGTTCAGTTGATTGTTGCTCATTAACTTTCAGGGAATGAGTTTTCATTGTTACACTTTTAAGTATAACAATAAATTGTTATCTACTTTATGTTGTTAAGTTAACCTAGAAATCAGCAGAGTAAATGATTAACTAATTGCTTGTTAGTAATGGTATAAAAAAAATTGGATATTTGTAATTCAAGAGTAAATCATTAATCCGTTTAATGTAATAATGATCAGTTGATTAAAAAATATAATCAATGATAAATTTAGTGATTGGTAAAAAAAAAGGTAAGATTATGGAAATGGTAATATAATCAATATTGGAAGCCCAACTAAAGTGATTTAAATTGATTTGAACTTTTTTTTCTGTTTAATCAACAATTGACTAGATATAAGGCATTTTATAGTCTTCTGAGGGAATTAACTAATTGTTATTAACTTTTTTTTGTTGTTGATTGTCAATCTGAATATGATTGTGATTAGGGAAGAGGATCAAGATAATTTTTTTCTGTTATTACAAATGATTTATGGTTTTCATTTGTTTGTCTTCAGTTGTTTCAAGGTTGGATTTAAGATTATCAAATTAGTTATGATCAATGAATTAAATCAACGTTTAAGGATAACAATTAATAGAATGATTTAGATGATTTAAGGATGGCTTTGATTATCTTAGCAAATAACCAGAGGTTACAACATGGATAAAATCTTACCTTTCCAAAGTGACCTCTTCCTAATACACTGATAAATTCAAAGTGATTAATTGTCATTCGTTGTCCCGATTTAGGAGATTCAGGAATTAATGTTTTCGGTGGACTTTCCGTTTCTTCGGGAAGGTCAACAATTGGCTCGGGTCCAGGAGAGTATCTTAATTTTAATCGGGCAATTTCATTTTCATCTATACTGTGAATACTGGCTCGTTGGTAATCATTGAAATTTGGAGGTGATGGTGTTGCCTCAGTTGATCCTGGTGTGGTGACTATTTGTTTAGATTGTTGTTGTCGCAGGGTATCATTGACATTACACTCATTGAGGAAGTCAAAACTTTTCAAGGTCGAGTTAACTTGTGAATCGTTGGATAAGCTTGCTTTCAATCGAGCCTTATTATGGTCAGCTGATTCTTGTTTATTACGAGACTCATTAGCGGTTTGAATAGTTGGTGTTGGGTGTAAATGTGTTGTAACTGTTGTTAAAGGTACAATTGATGGTATTGTATTTAATGATGATGATGAGGATGATGCAGATAAAGATGATGAAATAATAGTTGCTGCTGGTGGTGGTGGCGGTATTGATGAGATAATTGTAGATGAAGGTAATGATGTACTAGTAATTGTAGTGGTTGAAGCTACTCCTTGTGAGCTTGGTATGTATGTTGGTGCATTTTTATCATTAGCTGCAATTGTTGTGGTAGTTGTTGATCGGGTTGAAGATGAGAATGAATTTGATGCAAGATTAGTTTCGGATGATGCTTGTGGTAAAGCTCGTTTAATTAATCGTCCCCAAGTGGCAACGTTAATATTCATTTGATTTGGACGGAGTATGTTCTTATCTTTGTGACGGAACAATTTTTGACGTTGTAGTTTGGGTTTACGTGAAATCATTGGATCAATAAATTTAATTTCAACAAAAAGGATTCCTTGTGGTTCAAGAGGTAAGGCCATTCCGTGACGAACTTCTTCAACAAAATCTTCTAAACGAACAAACTTAACGGCACATAAAGAACGCCAATCATGCCAATAGATTTGTATCTCCAATTCTCGAGATCTGTCAAGGTTAAAGGTGAATCTACTATCCCAGGCCATTTGACTACAGGCTTTCCAACCTGTTTGACCAACTGTAACACTATCCAATTTAAGTATTGCCATTATTTCATTTGATGTTTCATCTTTAACACTGTAAGATCTTGATGAGCTTAAACTAAGGCCTTTACTGGTTGCACGCACTAAACTCCTTAAATCACCGGGACTTGAATTGTTTTTAGGTGATCGACCGGGAATATCTTCCAAAAGTCCTTGGCAACCTATTAACCGAACTTCAAGTTTACCGGTAACGGCAGCGGCTTTGGATATGGTGGCTGGAGATGTTGAATTAACGAGATCATCTGAACATTTGAACGTTTGTATAGTCGGAGAATAGACTGAAGGTGTAATTGATTGACTATTCTCCAGGTCAGCTTTAAGTATAGCCGATTTTGGTGAACCAGGGGGTAATTGGGTTCGACATACTTCCAAGGCTTTCCGGAGAAGATCAATTTTTTGACTCGATTCTAATAAATTGGATTGAGCTTCTTGTAAAGCTTTACGATCGGTTAATTTGGAACTTTGATATAATTTGATCACATTTCTTGCACCATCAACGATGGCACATTCAACCTTTAACCGGTGTCTTAAATCTTCAATACGTATCTCTAAAGGTGATAAAGAGTCAAGTAAGTTAACACTTCCACTACGAGATGAACCATGATTACCTCGGTTAGTTGATCCAGTTAATCCAGTAGATGAGCCATTATTATCACCTTTTGAAATGTTTTCCAAATCTTGTTTTTGTTTTACCCGGTTAATCATCATTTTAATATATTCAATTTTCTCTTTGGCATCACTTAACATTAACTGAGCCTCGGCCAGTAATTTTTTATCCTTTGATGAACCACTGGTATACATTTGTAACAATTTTTCCGCACCCTCTTTAACCTTAAGCTCAATAACCAATTGTTTCTCCAATGAGGCTAACCTTTGTCCAATAGTTGTCTCATTGGAACCAGAATCAACATCTCCAGAAGAAGGTACCAAATGACCACCATTATTATCACTATTTGAACAGATTGAGGAAGCCATCATCATTGTCCACCACCTACACCTTAATATTTAGAATAGAAAATAGAGAAAAAAAAGTGTGTGTGAGAGAGCGAAAAAAGGGTAATCCAAATATAAGGAACTCGAGTGAAAAATATGTTCTTGGTGTTGTTGTGATTTCCAAACACAGAGAAAGATGTAAAAAAACAAGAAGAACAGCAACAAATAGAATACAAGAGAAGATGAAATGATGTTGATGATGGTGGAACAGAAAAGGAGAGAAAATTGGGAAAGAAAAAAAGAGAAGAAAACAAACAAAAAGAAAAAGAGAAAAGAAGTTGAAACAATCAACCGTTAAAACATTAGCCCACTAGGAACATAAACAACAGAGAAAAATATTAAATAATAGAAAATTATATAAACTACTACATGAAGTAGAAAAGAGGAAAATTTATCAACAACTGCAACAGTAAAAAGGATCAACATTCAGCTTTTCAAGTTGATGGTTTTTGGTAGAGTGGCTCACACATTCACCACTCCCCTTCCTTTTTACTCTTCTGCTAAAAGGGGGCCGCTGACATGTAACAGTCTTAATTATACATAAAAATGTATTTCCTACTTTTACATGAACACTAATTTATTAGAATCACAATTTAAATTGATGAAAAAAAAACTTGATTCAATTTAAACGAATTGAAAATATTTCTTTTCTGTTACGTGTTGATGTAACTCTCTCTATGTCAAACTATCAATAGATCGTTTCAAGTCTCTCTCTTTTTTCAATATGGTTTAATTTTCTGATTGGAAAATTGTTTCTTTCTTGTGATTTTGTTTGATTTGTTGAGTTAATTTATGGAAACACAGCAAGATAATTAGTTAATTGTCGTTATTTTCTTTTCTCTCTTCTCATGGTTTGTTGAATCTCTTTCCAAATTTTGGTCCACATCTTTTCCAATTGTGTCATCAGATAAGCATAAATGTGACTTGTTGACTTTGTTTCATTGTTGATTAAAAATTTCATCGTTACCATAATGATTAGAGTTTAACAAATGAATTACTGGTAGAGTTAAGTAATTGATTGATTGATTGTTGTTCATTTATAATTATCTTCCTCTTGAATTTTACAACATTTTAATCACTTTCTCTAGTTACCTGTGTATGTTATTAAAGTTGTTTTCCTGTTGTTGTGAATAAAACTTGAATTGATTAGATTTGAGTGTCACCTTTGATCTACTTGAAAGATTCACTGTAATTAAAATATTGTACTAACACAATTTACACTATCATCATTTTGTCACTTTGTTGAATCAAAATTTGAATCACAATTAACAGGTACAAAAAGATGTCATCTTATTAAATTGATACATTAATCACTTTGACCCGCCTTGTTAACCGGCTTGCCTTTTGTTTTTGCTTAACCAACAAACTCACCGGTAAATTTGAAACTCTAAACCTTAATCACCACAAAACCGAATCAAATTAACTTAGAAATGATCAAGAACAATTGACTAATCATCGTGAACAATTAATAAAATTACAAGAGAAACTAAAAGAGTAAAAGGAATAAAATGAAAAAAAAGAATAGAATTTTTTTATTATTCTTTTCTCCATAGCAACCAAACTGATTTGTTTCTTTTTCTTTTTTAGTTTCGCTCAGTATGTAACTCAATTTCTCTCTCTAAAGATCAATTTGATTTTCTATTTATTTTAATTCTCTCCCAGTGTGATTAACTTTCTATTGTGATATTTTTCCATTAACCGTTTGATTACAGTAACAATTAGATGACACGTTTTGATTGTTAACAATTAAAGAGAGAAATTGAATCAATGGAAAAGGTTGGAAAATTTTTCCTTCCATTTTCAGCCTACACTCATCAAGCTCTATACAAATCAACGATAGCTTTTTTTTTGGAACCTGTTGAATGTCTTATGACAAAATCATCTTACAAGCCAAAGTGTAATTAAGCCAACAATTTAAAAAGTGAATTTCTTTAATCATGGTTAACTCACTTCTCTTTCATCTATCATCAATTGATCATTTCTCAGCCTTAACATTAACTTGACATGGAATAGAATTTGTGTCTTCAATTATGGTGTTGATGATTTGGTAATTCTTTCGATTGTTGTTGTTGGTTCTTTTGCTTGGAACAATTAATTTCTTTCTTTATTACGTCAAAATTGTTACTTACAAGTGATTAAATCAAACAAAAAGAAACCATTGATTAACCGGTAGATATACCAAATTAGAAATTAAATTGTCCTTGTTACTTGGTGGTGAGACAATTTCAACATGATAACTGATTTTTTGCAACATTTGAAATGTGAGAAAAATTTCTTCCAATCATGTAAATTAGCTGTTCTTAATTGGAAAATTTCACAATCAATCTAAATCAGTCTGTTATTCAAGATAAATCCAGTTTTCACCACGATAATGGATAAGTTTGGACCTGTGTTAGTTTACTCAACGATTGGATGTCATTTACATTTAACTAATCATTAGAATTGATTATGATCAATGATGAAGTGTTTCACATGTACAATTTAAATCATTAGTTTTATTTGACAGTGATAACATTCAATGAGATTTGATATTTTCATTGTGTTGATGAGATTGACAAGTGAACATGAATTCATCGTCGCTGATGAAATATGATGAGGACAAAAGATAATAATCTGTAATAAGATGACAAATCAATCTCAAACTGTCAGAAATTAATTATTCATTTTTCTTACCACCAAACTATTAATATCTGTTAATCTACTATATGGATTACATGTAAAGGATTAGATTAATTTGTTACTCTCAACTTTGGACACTTGGCGACTTATATTGTTAACTCGATTTCCTCGTGAACCATTTTCCGTGCTAATACTTTGTGTCCCATCGGAAGTTGATTTTTTACGAAATTCATTGACCGTTGTGTTTCTGCCCTTACAAATGTCCCAAAGAGTGTTGATCATCATTCTGAACGTGTGTTCCTTTTAGGAGTAAATGGCCATTTGATTAGTGAACAAGATCAATTAATCAACGATTAACTTACCCTTTCATGACGAGAAACTTTCTTAGCTTTCCAGATGAACTCAATCACTACAAAAATAACGCCAATGATTAGACCACAAACTAGAACGATGAAAACACCACCCACATTTGCGACATCAAGAGCACTTGTTGTTTCTGAATCAAGAACTTCAGGTGGACATTCAGCTTCCAATGGATTTTCAAGAGCTCGAATCTCATTTGGATAATCTTCGAACCAAGTTCTTTTAAGCTCATCGATTCGACCTTGCTCTTGAAGCCGAAGAATCTCATTCGAGAAAATTGTTCTAAATGGTGATCCAGGTCTCATGGCTATTCCGTAACCTTTTTGATCTAACAGATCACCAACTTGTGTTAAATTGCAATAGCGATTGACATTGTATGTTATCGATAGTGATTCCATAAGAAAAGCGTAGTTTCCTTTTAGGACTCTTCGAACTCCATCAGAATTTGTTTCCGTATAAACTGGAGGTTCAGCCGATTCCATGGAGGAATACATTCGTTGGTACGTCGTATAATCCGAATTCTAGACAATTAAAAATCATCTTGAACATTAATTAACTAATATTCAGATTAATGATTAATTTACCTGGAAAAATTTTCGAGTTGATCCTGATTTTAAACATCCATAGCCTACTTTTGATTGCATCGCGAGATCCTCAGCGTTTTCAATTGGTACGTCCATTTTGGCCACTGTCAGGAAAGCGGCTAAATTAGCGGTGTAAGATGAGACCATAATTAAGGTGAAAAATGACCATGCTGAGGCCACTAATCGTGTTGAGATCGATCTGGTAAAAAAGTGATAACAAATTTTATTCATTAATACTCGAAGATGAACTATTTGAACTGTTCAAAATGATTCTCGTACTTTGGACCTAAATCTGAACCTTGTTGCATAATAGATCCCAAACTGAACCACAAACAGTTTCCAATTGAAAAAGTGTTGGTCAACTCTTCCGGTTCTTCGTCACATGGATGATCATTAAGCCATTCGTAGGGACTAATTCGAGCTACAATGTACATGAGCAAACTCACACCGATAAAAGCGGTCGCCGTGTATAACCAAACCTCAAGTGAAAAAGGGTCAAGAAAAGCCCAAAGGTTCAAAGCTGCAGCTTTAGGTTTACTATGTAAGATCGAAATGCCCAAAGTGATGAAGGGAATCGTAAAGTCCACTCCAGTTTGCCGTTCATGGGTAATGGTCAGATCGGTTGTCGCTAAATCGTGATTCTTGTCCAACATTTCACCAATCAATCCAGTCCAAGTTCCGTTCTTTTTGTTTCGACTTCCATAACCTTTACCCGTGTAAATGGTCAAATCGTAACCAGAGATGGACAATGATTCTTGTATTTGTCTCAACAAATCAATACAAAATCCTTCATATTTATCAAATTCATCGCCGGTCATATTTGCATAATCTGGTTTCTTCATCACATATGGAATATTCTATTGAATTTAATTGTATAAATTGTAATTAAAGATTAGACAATTTACTCTGATCATTAATTCAGTTAATAAGAAATTGAATTACCTCAACAACAATTAATTTCAATTTAGTTGTTTTCAAATATTCGATGGCACTTTTTTCTTCAGCTTGAACTTCAGTTGTTATATTTATTCCTGAATCTGAATCCCATGAACCAATCTAATGAATTAGAAACAATTGATTTATAATTTGTATTAATTGCTGAAAGTGATCAAAGCGATTACCTCTGACCATTGGCCTTCCTTGAGTCGGATTAACGATAAAATTAATTTCTCTCGATTACCTTCATCATCGAAAGTTAATGATCCAGTTAATCCATTGACCCCAATCTATCAAGAAGTTAAATAAGTTGGATTAGATAATTTTCTTAAAAAATAATCCAATTGTAATTAACCTTTTTCATTTGATTAACTAATGATTTACCCAAAATCCATGTATCATTGAGACCACAAGAAACCGATGGAGCAAAAATTTGATCAGTTAATTGTGAAAGTCCAGTTAATGATCGGGCAAATAACGTAACGGCATCATAAATTAAAGCCAAATTAAGCTATTAATTAGATGATAAATTAAAAAGATAAAAACAATTTTTCGACCAAGAAAAGGTCAAATTACCGTTAATTGAACGCTGTCCGAAGAAGCATCATATTGGCCTGTCTTCCATTCCTGAGCATTGAAACGGATTTTGGTTCGTTCATCCAAACCATTGTACAATCTAAATCCCGTTACATTGAAAGCACTTAATTCAGGATCACTTAGATTCCAAAATTGTAAATCCTTTAAATTGCAAAATCAAATGATCATCATCACAATCAAAACATATTCATCAACTGATTCAAGACTCACCAAATCATTGAACATGTAACTGCAATAAAAATCAAGTAATGAAAATGATTTAAGCTGAAAAAAAGAGACAACAATTAATATTAATCAATAGTAATTGAAATTCTCATCAATCAAACCTTTTCCAAAATAGAATTATAATTATCTTGATTAACACTGACGATGAAATTAGAATCACGATTTTTCATTATACTTTTGAACAGAACTTCGGGTGGATTTGATTGATCGAACTTATATTCTCGAGCTTTGATCAGTTTACTATTCTCGTAGGTAGTGATCGCCAGGGCATCTTTAATCTTGATTAAATCTTAATCCATATTAACCAAATGATTAGTAAATTTCTAATAAGATGAACAATTAAAACTCACTTTCATTGGAATCAAAGATTAAACTAAATGATTTCCATTCAGTATTATCCATGACATAATCTAGAATCGCTTTGTTTAATTTTCTAAGATCAGGATAAAGTGAAACTGAATAATTTGGTGTAATCGGTTGATTGGCAAACAATTTAACTGAATATGAGTAATTAGGTCCAGTGTGAATAAAGGGAATACCAAGTCGGTCAGTTAGCGATCTGATTATCCAGGAATTGACCCCCGAATAGGGATAAACAATTGCCCAAACACCGGAATCTAATAAACGACAAGCTGATGATTGGATGGAGAACAATTAACCATTTGCAATTTGATTGTTGTTAATCATTTGGTTTACTTTACCTGCATTAACGGCACTTAGACTGTCGCTTAGGTCAACTTGTTCAATATGAGCTTCAATCTTTGACCCTTGAAGAGCAACATTGTTAATCCAAACTGCGTGTTTGAATGCTAACGCTAAATTGTCATCTCCTGAACTGAAAATGGCTCCTGGGTTAATTGTTTAGTTAGATTGTCATTTATTAGTATTTGTATTGTGGTTAATTGTTGAATAATATTTACCAATTTTGATTGTTTCCGGTAATTCTGATGTGATTAAAGTGATGAGACTGCTAATCAATGAACAGGTAATGATGAAATTCATTGTTGATTATTGTAATTAATTGTAAGTGAGAAATCAGCAACAATTAAAAGAAGATGATCTTGAAATTATTAAGTAAACAGTTAATTATTTTGTTGTTGGATCAAGTTTAATGTCATCTCATTTTTGATTCAGCAATTGGTCACAATTTGATTGTTTTAAGTTAATTAACTAGAGGTTTAGGATTGGAAGAAAATTAAAATCGTTGATGAGTTTGGTGAATTAAGAACTGATTCTTCACGTAAACATGATGAATGAATGAAATTCTGGTTAATTATTTTGGTCTTTTTATATTTCTTGGCAATTTGCCCTCTGACAGTGAATCTAATTTAATTTAATTGGTACACTTAGTGTAACCTTTTTGCTTTTCATTGTAACGTAAATTGTTGTTTTGTATTCCCTGTTTTTGGTGCAATCAGTTAATTGTTTTTATAATATCAAAGAAGATGAAACTTTTAACTAAATAAATACCTTAGCAGTTATTAATTTGTTCAAACAGTTGATCAAGTAAACTTAATTGTTTGTTGTTGTCATCTAGAAGTAACAATTAGGTTGAAAGGAAACTCATGATCAATTGGTGATTTAAACAATCATGGAAACATAATCAGAGTTGTAATTGAAGAAATGGTAAAACACATAATATAAGATTACTTGAATTCACCATGAAAATGATTTGATTGATGGGTGAAAATAAAATTAAAAGATAAATTAACAATTAACTGATTCTGAAGGTGAGACGAAAAAAATACAACTCAGAATTTGAAATAATCTCATAATAAGAGATTCACAATCAGGTCTATTGTTGGCACTCAGAGTTGGGAGGATGAAGAGACACTTTTAATTGGACATTAATTGTAATTTTTTAATTGTGATTAATAAAAGAATAACAATTAACAAGGTGACATGAAATCACTTGCGAGCAAAATGATTAAAGAATTTAGTTTTGTTCTGAGCCGAGTGATGTCGCTAGTCACTCATTTTCTTCATTTGGTTTGAATGTTTTGATGACAATTCTGTTTATTAATTGTTTTGATTTCCATTGATTAACAAAGTTGTTCATTAATTTATTGTCTTCAAACTTTAATCATCTAATTGTCAATCATCTCAACTATTTATTAATTCATATCTTTTTTTACAACCATCTATTTCTTACGTTGAGCTTCATTTTTGTCTTTATTTTGTATCACCAAAACATTGTAATTGTTAATTAATCTTACACCTTGAATGTTAACCAATTATTTTTTATTCTATTAATTTAATCTAATTTAATTATTTCTCTTTTTCGTTTCCTTATAGTTTGTTGACCAAAAAGAATTTGTTTGTGTTCTATTCTTTTTTCTCAATAATGTGAATTCTATTCTTCTTTTACTTCTCTTCTACGGTTTTCGATTCATTTTTCTTTCCTGTTTAATGATTTGACTTGATTTCTTTAATTTTCTGGTTGATTTGTGAGCTTTTTTCACCCAATTCAGTGATTTTTAAACTTGGGTAAATCTATTGGTCATATGTTGGTATTTTTTGCCCAATCAATTTTGGTTTCTTGGTGAATCTCGGATTGGAAAATAACCTGTTCTGTTACCGGTTTCAAGTAAATGGTGAAAATTCAGCAACACAATCAAGAAAATCCGTATATTAGTCAAGGGACTAGTGGAATTGAAATGAGTAATTTGGACTCTTTGCCGAATAGTCTTCTCACTGATCTCATAACAAAAGGTAATTACAAAGAGAAATCTCGACAAGATCATGTGGACGCACTTTCCTGGAGGCGACTTCATCTGAGTCGAGCGAAATTAAAGGCCTCTCAACGAACCTCCGCTCTCTTGTCTGGATTCGCCATGGTGAGTATTTCTATTCTTTTATTTGTTCCCTTCACCCATTTAGTCTACTGATTTCTACGAGGAAGTAGTAATCACTTTGAAGCGAATGAAATTTCATATCTTTCTTTATATCCTCTTCTTTTCGTCGTGATATCTTTCAGATCGCAATGGTTGAAGTACAATTAAATCCCGAAACAAAGAACCCGATCCCTTATGGTCTTTTGATATCGTTTAGTGTGTGTACAGTTTTACTTGTTTCCATGCACATGCTCGCGCTCATGATATCGACTTGTATTCTACCTCATATCGAAGTTGTTTGTTCTGTTAATGGCCTAGGGGGAGTGAGTGATTCGCCTCACGAGAAGCTGAATCAATTCATCGAAATCGCCTGGACTTGTTCAACTGTTTTGGGAATATTTCTGTTCCTAATTGAAATTGCGATTCTGTGTTGGGTCAAATTCTGGGATTTTGGTGCCAATCAAGGGAACACAGGCCACAAAGCAGCTCTCGCAGCGACTATACTTTTGATACCGATTTTCATTCTTTTCATTGGTTTTGCTGTACATTTTTACCGAAGACTAGTAAGTCACAAATTTGAAACTTCTGCTAAGAATCTACAAGAAATCGAATCCATGGCCTCACAGCTCAAAAATGAGCCCATTTCACTGGATAATTATACTAGCGAACAAACTACTTTTCAAGTTTGATCTCTGAGAAATCTCAAAGTCTACGAGCCCAATGATCTATAAATCAATTTGATTCTCAATTCCTTGTTGCATTTATATACTGAAAGCTAATGAATAAACATGCGAAATCGATTGAAAATAGACAAATTTACATTATATTTAAATTCTTTTATTTTAGAATTGAAAACCCTAATAAGCCAACTTATATAGTTGATCATTTTCCTTCGACTTCCCGTAAACGATCTTTCTTGAGAGGACCCTGAAAGAATAAAAAGAAATAAAATTAGAAAATGTACAAAGAAATAACTAATATGCGTGCAAACTAAACTAACCATGAAGGCCTTCTTTTCGGCATGTGTCTGGAATCTTCCGTGTCCGAATTTGGATGATGTATCGATGAACTTGAGTTTGATTTCCTCAAGAGCAGCTCGTTTAGTGTGAACCAGGAGAGACTGGAAAAACAAAAAAGATTAATTCAATGTAAAAACGACAGTTTGAAGTTGGAAAGATATTTTTATCAGTCCTATCATATATCATATCATGATAAATATCGAATGCGATTCATTGGATTGGCTCAGTTTTATCATCAAGTTAATTCAAGTAAACAAAAAATCAAATATTGAACAATAAATACCTTTCTAAGAGTAATAACTCGTTTCTTAGGACCCATTACACATCCTTTCAACATAATGTAGTCACAATTAACTTCACCGTAATGAGGGAATCCACCCTGTTTAAGAAATAGAAAAAGATGATTAGAAATTGTACTAATAGATCACAGGTCGACAGTTTGATTCCATCTCAGACCGCCCTAGAGTTATCTTCAGGGAATCAGACATACAATAGTTGTACACACATAGAATCATCATGTTAAAGTATCAAGTTAATAAAAAGGGAGCAAACTCTTACCATTGGTGTGATAGTTTTGTTGGTCTGGTCATAATCAGTAGCAGCATTGTTCTTGATTGTTTCACCATCTTTAACATGGACACCCTTTCCAATTCTGTAAACCTTCTTGTTCATTTCAGTTCTATGATGGTAACCCTTTTGACCAGCACGGGCAACAGTGTATTGGACACGACTTGGATGCCAAGCACCAATACAAGCGACCTTTCGAAGACCTTTGTGAGTCTTTCGAGGAAGTTTCTTTGTGTGCCAACGACTGGTTACACCCTTAAAACCTTTACCCTTGGTAACACCAATAATATCAAGCATTTCACTTTGAGCAAATACTTGGCTAATAGGAATTGGTTTTTCAAAATGTTGTCTAGCCCATTCAACTTTTTCAGGTATGGTACCACCATTGAGTTGAATTTCCATGATGTGAGCCTTCTTTTGTCGTTTCTTCATCAATTTCATTTGAGTGTGAGCGATAACTCGGATAACACTACAATACTTTTTGATACGAGCAAAATCTTTTCAAGAGCTTTCTTACCATCATCATCTGCCCATTTCTTGGCATATTTAGTGAAGGCCTTTTTCTTGCACTTGTGCCTGTAAAGTGAGGTAAAAGGTTAGTAATTAGTTTTGTCTCATCATGAAGCTTTTAAAGAGCTCAAGAGAGGAGACATAACTATACGTCTAGATGATTGACTCATTGGTGGACAGATTCACTCAACACCAAGAGGAGTCTATTTTAGCCGGATAAGTAATGCCCCCATCTCTTGAGAGAGATAACCAATACCAACCAATTCTTGTAGAATCGTCGTCGACAATCTTCACTTAAATGTTCAGAGAAGATAGTCTTGAAAGTCCTGAGGCCACGTGGAGTATCAATGTAACCCACCAAACCAACAATAACCATTGGTGGTGCCTCCAAAATGGTAACAGCCTCAACAACTTCCTTTTTATTAACCTCTGTGAACAATATAAGATTGCAAATTAGCAACAAGAAACCCTCAAGAGTAAATTTTAAAAAAAAATAAACGCAATCAGAAATTGTATAACTTACTTGAACCAGGTTTGTCTACTTCACGGACGATGTGGGTCATACCAGCTTTGTACCCAATGAAAGCTGTAAGATGAATAGGTTTCGATGGGTCATCTTTGGGGAAGGCACCAATGCGACCGCGATGACGACGACTTCGCTTTTTCTTGAATCCCATGTGCCCATGACGAGGCGCTGAGAATTTACGATGACTCTGAAGAAAAAGAAAGAGAATAAAAGAGACAATTAACAATCAATCAAACCACCAAAGGTTAATAAATAGCAAAAATCACAAAGAACAATTAATTAATTACTAACCATTCTTATAAAATTAAATTAACTTATCACTAAAAAACACCAACAACTCAACTTATACTTGAAAAACTCGGAAACAGAAATCTAAAGGAAACGGAAAAGCGAATCGAGAAAAGAAAAAAGTGGCTCCATCTTCTGTTAGCCGTAAGAACAAATTCTACCGCAGCATTTGGATTAGCAAACATTTTCTCCTATTATTTCAAGCGATTTGTTTACACATGTAAATTTAATTAATGAAAAGAAATTTAGTTAATTACCTTGATTGTGATCACTTTTTAGTCTCCATTTTTTTCAATTTTCTAATCTCAATCAGTACTGGACACATTTGATTAACCGGTAAGTCGAATTAACCAAAATAATTGGTACAAATTATAATTAGAATTTATCTCCTTTGGTACTTTGGTTATCATGCTTGTTTCATTTATCTCTGTTATCAGAATGTTTGTTAAATTGTCTCTTGATTTTAGCTTTTTTTTTCTTAATTATTGTCAATTAATTCTTAACAATTGTTTTTTTCCGCGTGTCTTCTATTCTTTTTTATTAACCAGGTTTTAACTTTTGGAAACGAGTGGCGATTTTCATCCGTTCAAACCTGTGGCTGTTTATGTTTGTTTATTTTTGTTTTCTTCCGATTGACTTGATTGAATTTCATGCGAATTGATTTACCATAATTACTGTTGTAAAATTTTGAACTATTCAAATGGATTTGAGTTCCCTTATTACAGAATCAACTAATGCTGATGGATCTCTTAATTATGGTATCGTTAAACAAAAGTTATCTGTGATTAATGAGAGTCTTTCCAAAAATGAGACAAGCTTGGAAAATTTTATTCTTGGCCTTGGAACAGCATTAACATCAGCTAAATTAGATGAAAGAACCAAAGGAATTAAAATTCTTGCAGCATTTATTGAATTGCTTACCCCTGAAAGTCTTGGTGAAATTGAAACTGAATATTTAACTGAATACTTGGTAACACGGTTAAGTGATCATCATTCATTCATTCCGATAATAATCAAAGCTTTGCTTCATTTGTCACGATTTTTTTCAATCTCTGATAAACAAGCAATTGACATATTTCTTACAATTAACCGTGAGGTTGCTAATCAACAATTACCAATCCAAGAAAGATTTCTAATCTACCAGTTAATTGGAAGTTTATTTCCATCTCATTTGGAAGCCTACAAATCGATAAACAATGATTTTCTCTATGGATTCATACAGATCATGGAGGGCGAACGGGATCCTCGATGTCTTTTATTATGTTTCGATCTATTTACCCAAATAGTTGGTTCTCTTACCCCAGGACATTTAGCTGAAGAATTGTTTGACATTGTCAGCTGCTATTTTCCAATTGTTTACCATCCAACTCGAGACAAAGGAATACAAATTACTCGAGATGATCTTCATGAAGCCCTAAAGAAATGTTTCATGATCAGTCCATCATTTGCTCCATTTGCTTACCTTTTATTCACCGAGAAACTTGAATCGGAAGTCGAAAGTGCCAAACTAGATGCTTATGATATGATAATCAGTTGTGCTCCAATTTATGGAGATAAAGCAATTTCATCTTTCCTCCAAACCATTTGGACATCGATTCGTCTTGATGTTTTACGAATTAATTTTGGTAAATTATCGGAAATGGCTACACAAACAATGATCGCCATTTTGTTGACAATTAAAAGTTCACCTGAAATGTTGGATAAATTTCTCAAAGAAGTTTTCGATGATATGGAAGGAACTCTAACCAAACTTTCTCTTGGACTATTTAAAGTCTCATGTCAATTTCTCGCCTCAATCAGTGCCTGTTCTGATTATTTTATGGAGAAAATTGGTAAACACGTTTTCCCGATTTTCATGAAAAACGTTATATTTGATCAGACCGATAAAGCTAAGGAATATCTAGAAGGATTTACCTGTTTTTTTCGATGTTGGAAAAAGGTTACTACGAATAACCTTTTCTCACGAATTCCTGATCAAGAAATACTTCTTACCCAATTACTTTCTCTATTTGATACCGATGAAAATCATATAAAAATCTCAGCGATTGAATGTTTATCCAATTTTGTTCAATGTTCATTCGTATGGGATTATCATGAAGAACAGTCTCTTGCCAATGGTCTTTTATTCATAATGCTCAGTGATTCTTCATCTTCAGATGATAGATTGAGGTAATTCTAAGAATGATATTCATAATTTAACACAGTTTACTAATTGTTATCTTTTTCTCTCCAATCAATTAGGATTAAAGTCAGAGATTTACTGGTCGAGTTTAGTTTAAAACACCCGGAGGTGTGTCAAAGTGAGATAACCCGAAAGTTATTTGATAAATTGCCTGGTAAGTAGTTGATTTAACTTGTAAATATTTACGATAATTGACTAATTATCTTTTTTACTTTAGATTCAGCTGATTTAACCAATGAAAATTTGGAGCGGTTATTGAAAGTTTCCGGAGCATTGAAATGTTGTCTTCATGGAGCTCAATCTGATGAGAATTATCAAAAATTAGCCAATCTTGGTGTTCAATTATTTTTTCAAGCAACAATTAATTCAGGTAAATATTGAAACTACGAATTGAAAAGATGGAAGAGTCTTAATTATCGTCATCAAACTAATCTATTTTGTTTTATTTTTGATTGTAGATTTGTTAACAAAGGTTAAAAAAACCATCACTGATTGTATTTGTCAAACAATCAACTCGTCCAGTCTTGATATTTTTTCCCAGGCCATTCTTAGTCCACTTTTAAAGGCTGATTCGAAGTCGCCAAAAATTGAAATTGATGATAATTTGAAACAAATTGTCAGTAAAATTTTAATTCTGACTTCATGTTCATACAAAATTTGCATTTTTGAAAATTTTCTCAACTCATTGCGGACTATGCAACCAAGTCAATCATCTTTAGCATCCTCATCACCAACTTTATCACCTCCGCCACTCATTAAATTGATTAAAGTGGTTGAATGTATTTTGTGCAATTTATCAATTGATTTTCAATTCTCTTGGACTGATCTCATACAAAGTATATTGATGCACATACATTCAACTAATTACGATGAACTTTTAGAATCAACAACAATCATCATTGAAGTCATATTAAACAAATCACCTGATCAAGGATTGCTGAATATAACCAATTTTTTAAACACCAAATTAAGCCAATTATCAACTAATCCTGTTACACTAATACCGTCAATACAAATAATGATTGCTTGTAATCGTGGTCTAGTCATACGAGGAGGACAATATTCAAATTTTTTCACCAACCAATTGTTAAATCTGATGCAAACCCATGACAATGAATCAATCGTTTCAATGATTGCCAAAAATTTTGTGCCTTGTCACACTAATCATAACTATTATCAACAATCCAACGGATTTAATATATCACCGTTTTACCAGCAGAAATATTTCCATGAAACATCACCAATTTTACTTAAAGGATATAATGATTTAACCGAATGGAGGAAACGTTGTTTTGCCCTTTGTCTTCTCAATCATTTGAAAAATCTTCCCAAAACTGTAATTCGTGATGAGATTAGTAAATTTCAATCGTTAACACTTTTCAATCTAGAGGAAACTAATGCACCAGACAATCAGATAACTGCTCTTGATTGTTTAATCCAGTTGATTGAGACTCATTCAGTGACTCTAATTCGTAACATCTCTGGAATTATAAATCGTCTTCTATCTTTAACCAAAACATCACCTCACCTGGAAATAAGACGTAAATCACTTGATTGTCTTACCACAATTGCTAAAACAGTTAATGAAATAAATTTACTTCCTTATCGTCCAACGGTTCTTTACGATCTTAAAAGTGTCCTGGATGATCGTAAACGGATAGTTCGTTATGCTTGTACAGTTGCCAAACATCATTGGACATTAATTGGTCAACCAATTTAATCCGAAGCATCTAAACTCGATATCTAAATAATATACCTTAAATCGCAGTCAATTAATCAACTTTTAAGGAAACGATTTTCAAGAGAAATAGATTTGCATGAAATATTATATTTTACTGTAATTTCTCAATTTTTCTGTTAGCATTTTAATCACTCCAAATAAGATTAGCTAATACAATTAATGATAAATCGTTTTTTTTTCAATTGCTGCTAAATCCCAACCCTTTTTTCATGTATTTCCCACTCTGACCTGACCTCTCTCAAAATTTCACCTTGTCAATCTATCACAAACAACAATTAACTACAACCTTGAGATGATTATCAAAAAAATCATGGAGCTGAAATAACCAAAAAAATCAACAGAATCAAATATAAATCACCCGATTGAACCCAAAGGATTCCCATGGATTATTTTCAGGATAACAAACAATCGAGATTAAATTAACACACTATTCACATGCAAAAGGATCAAAGATTATCAACTAATCACAATCAAAGACACATCCAAAAAAAGGAAAGCAAATTGATATGAAAAAAAAACAGCGGAAAAAAAGTGAAGAAAAAAAAATTCATGTAAACGATTCACTACGAAAATGTAGGTTTCAAGATTGGCGTTTTTTCATCTGCATAAAGAGTTTGGTGTTTAAATGTATTAAATTCTGTATCCAATCTGTTAAATCCTCACAATTATTTTTTGTCAACCCAATTTAACGGAACAACAATTAAGCGATAGGCTTTTTCAACCTTGTCACTCTATTCAATCGTTACAATTGAACAATCTAATGTTGATTCTTGATCAGATGAATACAATTTGTTTAGTGTTTAGTGTAACCTATTGACATGAGGTCAAAGTTTTATTGTGCTTTAAAAGATTACGATTTAATTATCTTTATCTGATTAACCAATTATCTTAAGGCTCAACTGTAAAAACACTTAATCGTAGTAATTAAATCACTGCCTTCTTGTTAGATTACCAGAATTCAGCAGAATTTTCAATTTGATCTTGATTTTATTAATCTCTTTTTTTTTCTTATTCTTTAATCAAACTGATTACTATTGTTACCATTTGATTTGTTTGATTCTTTTCACAATAAGGCCAAAACTCACAATTTAATTTAAATTTCATCATTAGGCATCTCCCACAATTTAATCTCTCTCATTTAGTATATAATGATACGATTATCATAACCCAAAGATCAGTAATCAGTTAACATTCAATCATCTTACAACAAACAATTTGCTAAAGAATCAGTTTGATTCAGTCAACAATCAACAATCAATAATGAAATTAACTCTCTTTTTCCTTGGTGTTTTCATCGCTTTCCAATGTTCCCTTGTTATTTCATCGGCTCTTGAATCAGCTCTGAGTTCAGCTAAACCCTTACCATTCAAGTAAGAATTGACAATCAAACAGATTAATAGAACAATTAATTCAATTCAATTTGATTTCTTCTAGTTTCCAAATTCATCCACTTCATCATCACCGATGTAAATGTGAGGAGGAACATCATTACCATCACCACAAATACAAGGATCATCACCACAAACACGACCATGGACACAACCATGGACACGATCACGGACACGATCACCACCACGGTCACGAGCATCATCATGAAGGCGGTTGGTGGTAAGTGTATCAATCGACCGGATTTAATTTAATTCAACTACTAATTCACCCTTTGTAATTATCTTTCAACTGTAGATTTCCAATCATCTCTCCTATCAAACTATTTATTATATTTATGATCACAACTGTAACAAATTAATCTCTGTTAATTGTATTTATTTGTAAATTACTTCCAACATTAATTACCAACCGATTATTATAAAAAATAAATTGATTGATTAACTTAAATTTTATGAGAGATTAACAAAATTTTTTCAATTACTCTGTTCATGTTTAATTCTTTGCAATCATAATCATAATTTTCTACAATTTTTTCACTCTCGAAAACTAATTATTAATTTGTTACGAAAAACTTTCATCAAAAGTTTATCGAATCAATAGATCGATTTATCGAAAGAAAATCAATTGAAATCGATTAAGAATCGATTCCGAATGTTTTGTTTTCTTTTCAAGTTGCTTTTTGAAATTTAAATTGTTTTTAAATCAGTGAAAACCAATTGGAAATCATGTTTCAATTAGTTGAATTACGAGATACAATTAGGATACCTGCGAGTTTTTTTAACATCCCCGTTGATCAGGCGATCGCTGATCAACTTAATCGTAAAATGGCCAACAGGGTAATCATTGATGTCGGTCTTGGGATCACTTTGTATGATATTCTTGATATAAATGAATCTTTTATTTACCAAGGAGATTCGGGTACACATACTAAAGGTTTGACTCATTTGATTAATTAGTTGATCACTAATTTGGTCACAGTTTCCATCTTCTTAATCTTTCCATTCTTATTGTTCAACAGTTCACTTCCGATTCCTTGTGTTCCGGCCTTTTGTTGGTGAAGTTCTTGTTGGTAAATTGAGAAGTTGCTCTCGTGAGGGTGTCCATGTTTCTTTGGGCTTTTTCGATGACATTTTAATTCCTCCTCATTGTTTACCTGAACCATATCGATTGTAAGTTGATTGTTCTCGCATTTAAATTGGTTTCTTTCCGTTTGTAGAAAAGATTGTTCTTTATTCATTTCATCAATCACTTTCTTCAAACGATTGTACCGTGAAATTGAATATCCTAATTCCGATTTCTATCTCATTACAATTTCTCCATCAATTATTTTTCTTTGATAATTGTTTCTAATTTTTCTTTTCTTTTTCTTCTTTTCTCTTATAAACCTTTGGTATCTCTTTTTATCTTCTATTTTTGTTAAGTGATGAGAAAGAGCAAGTTTGGGTTTGGGAATATGATAATGGTGAAGAAAAGAGCAATTTATTCATGGATATCGGAGAAACCGTTAGATTCAAGGTGAAGGAGGAAATTTTCACTGATACATCACCTCCAGGACCGACATCAACTATTCAGGATATTTATCAACCTTCGGGTTCATCAGATAAACCAGCGGTGGAGAGGCAAAGACGAGTACCTTATCTAATTAAAGTAAATTGATTTGATCTTCATTAGATTTTACCTTTAATCTTTCACCTTTTTCTTTTTCATTTTCAGGGTTCTTTGGTGATCCAGGTCTTGGTCTTGTCTCATGGTGGAGATAATTTCAGTAAATTTTTGTGATATTTTTGTATAAAAAGAAACGAAATGGTTAATCGTTATTGCTCAAGTTGATTTATTCGTCTCTTAATGTAATCTACTAAATCATGATTGTTACCAAATTCATCGGTTTTATGATATATCTCATAAAAAGGTATATTTACCACATTTAAACCCAATTTCTGTAATAATCTCTCTCTCAATCTATAGTGACCTGAAATTTGACAATAATTTTGATCAATGTACATTTGCTTTCCTTGGTAAACTATAACATAAGCTTTGATGAAAGTATTTGGCGCTCGAATTGGACCTTTCAAAAGACGAAGGTGTTTAGGTTCAGTTGTTAACATTAAATCGGGAGTTAATGATGTCGATAAAAAGTAACCAAATTGGACAATACGATCGGGAAAAGCATCGATCGTTGCTTTGTACAAAAGGTTCAAGTTTCTGTTATTCATGCTCATTTTACTTTCCATGTTATTAGTTATCGAACCAATCGGGACTCGTAATTTATTTACATGAATTCCTTTACTATAAACCTGATCCAAATTTTGTGATTTCTCTTTATAATCGGCATTTCGTTCAATCATAAGGCAATCACGAATTGTCATCAATAACCAATAGTGGAGGTGAATATCGGGACCATCTAAAAGATGAGAAAGTAATGGAAAAAGATTCAATTATTCAACTAAAAGAATTTGATATTTAGGTAAATTAACTTACAGAAATTAAGTTTCTTCAACCAATCTTTCGAGAGAATGAAGTTAATCATATTCGGCGGATAAATGTCCAGAAGGAAAACACTTCGTAAAAGTGATGGAATCGTTTTCTCTAAATCTATTGGACCAGATTGATCAATAACTGAATCCAATTGATTAACAATTCGATCGATATTTGGACATGGAGGTTGAAGATGGTCGAAAGCGGTGGCACATTTTAAAATTCTCTCGATATCTTTTATTCGTAAATGTTCAATGACATTTTCCAGCATATTGATTGACTTATTAATCAATTTGGGAGAATAGAATTTCTGTTTCACGCAGAATTCATTTAAATGGATAAGGTTATAAACACTTAAATTGTCGACCTCTAAAAATGAGTTGACTAAATTTTCCGCAGATTTAATATCAGCCCTGATTAGTGAATAATTAACTCCTTTAAGTAAACTTGACCTTAAGGTCGCATCTCGTTCAGTTTTTGCTTCGATTGAAACTTTGGTCACAATTTTCTTGTACAATTTATCGTCGACTATGTAAGTCCGAGTTTTATGAAAAGCGACCAATATGAGGGACAATTCAGCCAAACTTAATTCATTTAAATGTTGATCAATGAATCGTTGACACCAATCAACTTGCTGATTTACCATTTGCTGTCGACTTAGAACACAACAGAACATTAATTGTAAAAATTGTCTCTTTGTTAGATTCACTTTTCCAAGAATATTTTTCACCAAAGTATCACAATAAAGGATTACGGTGGGAGGTGAAAATTTGTATAAATCGATAGTTAATTGTAAACAATCATCGATAAATTTTGATTTGAGCCAATCACCTTTGGATAAAAGAAAAGAATAACAATTTAGTAATTTGATTTTGATCAGAAACTTCTTGATTACCTCGATTAACTCGTTTACAATAATTGACTAGATGAGAATCAAGTTTCTTTATAAATTGCCAGTGACTATCAAACGGAGCCACCAGTGAATTTAAACAATTAAAATTAGCTCGGAGTAACCTTGAAATTTGTCCCAAACAATCAGAATTACCCAATTTAATAAGATCAATAATTTGGGTGTAAAGCTGATCAACTGATTTCTTTTCCAATTCTTTCAATGAATTTTTATCAGGAAATTTTTGTCCATTGTCGATACCAACTTTTGGTACTTTGAGTCCATCATCTTCGATAAGGTTGACAAATAATACTGCATTTTCCGTTGGCGTTTTCACATAATTCCAAATGTAATTTTCTGATGAATTAGTTGATTTGAAACATCGTTGATCAAATTTAATCCGATCAAAGTTAAGTGATGAAAATATTTTGATTGATCTAAACACAGAGACTCTAGAGTCTAACAAATTACGTCTGAGGATTAAGGGAAAAGGGAAAACCATACTAAAGTAGGAACAATTAAGATACAACTAAACACAACAATTCAAATAATTAAATTAATTCCATTAAAATGACAATTTAATAAAAATAATTAACGAAACTCAATCAACATGTGAGTAAAAAATCAGCTGGAGCTAAGAAAAGGGATCGTATTGTTATAAAAAAGAGCGAAAAAATTTTCGATTTCAAAATTTAGATCAACAATTAAGAGGCAATTTAATTTAACAATTTTAAAGGAAATTTTTACACAAATTATTTACAATCTACAATTTACACAGAATAAGAATTTATAAAGGATTTAATTAAATAAATGAAGGCGAAAAACGAGATTAAGAAATGAAAAGAAAAAAAAAACTTTCAATTCGTCGACAATTAATCCGATGTGAGTTTATAACGAAAACAATTAACTAAATTGTACTTTGAATAAAAGAGTAATTAGAATAATTATTTTTCGATTGATTGAATTTCTAAAAGTTCATGATTCCATTGAAATGCTGTTTACCAACAATCTGCCAGCCATGAGATTGTTTTCCCATCTCGACACTCAACATATGACCCCAATGTCCATGCTGTTGATGACCATGATGATTGTGATGATGATGACCATGATGATCATGTCCATGATGGTGACCATGATGATGACCATGATGATGTTTATGAGAGTGACCATCATGCTGAATGAAAAATAGTAAAAGAGACACAAACAGATTAATAGTAATGATAATCAATTCATTTATATGAATTAAACTTTTGACATTTGTTTCAACAAAGTAACAACAATTTATAATTATCTAAACAAATGTCTACCAGTTAATTTTACAATCAAATAGAAACAATTAATTAACTTACCAAATGATGATGATGAACTGATTTGTGACAATGATGTTTCCTGTGATGTTTATGATGATGGTGACAACATTTATGGTGATGACGATGACCATTAACCATTGTGATGACATAAATAATTGTCACAATTAATAATAAAAGTAAAGTTATCCTCATCTTGATAGTTGTAAACACAATGTCAAAGTTAAACGTTGATTGTAAAAGGGAATCAGCAACAATCAGCTAATCACGATTAGTAATTTAACTTTAAGAAAATGTTTCCACTTTTATACTTGAAATTAAATGTTGATTGTTAACCTTTAATCATTAAATCACCTCCTTTCAAAGTCCAAGTGTCCATTTAAGGTTGACAATTAACACTAATTACATCAATCACTCTAATTTTTGATTCATAAACTCACAATTAATAAATTGACTGAAAAACTAATCAACTAACATTAATCAATGGGTTTGAATGTCACCATCACCAATTAATTGCGACCTAACAATAATCAACTTGATGAAAAAAAAAGCAAACAAACAATCAAATTTAATTGTTGAGCCTTAAACAGAAATTTGAAGAAAACAAAAAACTCAAACAACATAATCAATAAATTGTTGTTATACAATTAACTCTGATTTTTTGATAACAATCATACTAATCATGTAAAGCCTAAGCCGCAGTTAGTTATCAAAGTTAATTGTTGGCCTTAAATGATTAACGATTTGATTGTTTATTGAATCAAGTGAGAAACAGAAAAAAAAATTAGTAAATGATTTAAATTAAGTGGAAGAAGAAAAAAATTTCAACTTCAAATCAAAAGTTTCCATTGAAAAAGTTTATTAATTGTTGATTGCTTCATGTTGTCAACAATTTACTTAATCAACTGTGAACTTGATTCTTTTTGCTGTGTTGATATCATAATTTAATTTGATTAGTATGGTAATCATGACAGTGAACAAATTAGTTGATTATTAACTTTCAATATGAAAGGTGAAAAAATTACAAACAAATTAAATCAACTAACGATCAGACATTCATGATAATTTAATAACTTTGGGTGTAAACCTTTAGTATAATTTTCATGCTAAATCATTTTTCATATTTCATATTCAGTTAATTGTTAACATTGCATTTGGAAACCTGATTCTCAAATTTAATTGTCATAATCATAATCGTAACTAATAATATCATAAGTAAGAGAATCAATTTCATAAGCAAATAAATCACCCAAGGAATTGGATGAAATTTTTGTTTTCCAATGATATTACAAATATTTCTTAGTGATTAGTTAATTGAACAAGCAAAATCAATTGAACAAGATGATAATGATGAAAACAACAGTTGATTGTGAAATAAATTTGTCCAAACTGTCAAATTATATTATCAACAAAATGATCATAATATTGATTTTAACCTTTCAATGTTAACAAAAAATTACATTCATATGATGATGATGATAATCACAATCAACATCATCGTAACAATTTAATGTTCTAGTTTGTTTTTCCGATGAATTACTGAAGGTTCATGATGATCACCCAAGAATAATCATCCATCCAAGAATGAGGAACATGATGAGGGCGAAGATAATAAACAGATTTGTTCAGATTTTCTGTCTCTTTTTATATTTCCTATGAGATTTTCATTCATCTTAACAATATTTTGCGTTTGGTCCCTTCGACTTTGAACATTATGATTACCTGAGTTCGAGTATCTTATCAAGTAGATAGTGTTTTATATTTATACGAATACAATGTCATACCTATCATCTGATAATATTGCAATGGAGAGAGAGAGAGAGAGAGAGAGAGATGAATTTGTAGAGTGAGTATATTATTAGATGTTCATCTCAATTTTTAATAACATTTCAAGCTCAACAGAGCAAAACAGATTGATATTTTTCATCATCATCATCATCCTCTTCCTGTATATTACAGGTAGGTGTAACTGCTTATAGGGTTCATGATGGGAGTTTACACTCAGAATCATCTCTCGGTGGTGTTGCTATCATGTTATTGTGAAAGGTTATGAACATGAGATTAATTTTCATGTTTCTTGTACTTTTTAATGTTCAAATTTCAAGAATCAGTTCAAGTGTCCATCAGAGATTTGCCTTACCCTTTGTTATACTAAATTGTTGAGAAATTTTATTTCTATTTCATGATATTTATTCATCACCTCCATCGTAATCATGATTATCGAGTGAAATTTATATTATTTATTATTATAATTACAAGTTAATAGTTATTATTATTACATGATTCACATTGAGGTTGAGGGAAAAAAAAGTTCAATTGAAATGTTTATTTGATTTGATTGCATGATAAAAGTTGAGTGTGAATCTTTATCATTATCCATGGAAATCATTGAACAATCAAATTTAATTGTCTATTAAAAAGCATTTTCGTAACAATTGAAATCGCTCCTTTAATGATAAACTATTAATATGGTCAAGTTATTTTTAGAATTTCCAAAAATTCTGATTACATGGTAAAGAAATGAACTATTTTTACATTTTTAGGAATTTCTTTTTTGTTTCAAATTTCAGTCCTCCAGATAATCAAATGGAATCAATAATCTAATTGTTATAACAATATTATTTTCTTATTCTCGTGATTAAAGTTAATCTTAGGAGATTAAAAGTTTTCACTCAAGTTAAGTGGTCAATGATAAATGACCTTAGATGATAATTGCGCTAATATTTAATGAATTGAAAATGAATCCATGTTAACCATAGTACTAATAGTAATCATTATCATGGTAATTATCATTATCATCTAAATTATTTGCTTGGTAATCTGACTGATTAACTATGAACAAGTAAAATCACATGGGAGGTTAATCATGAAATGTGCTAATAATAAGAGGCAATAAAATTTAATAAGGTCAATTTAATTTCACCCTTAAACTGACCAGTCAACGATTTTCATATCAATTAAGTAGATAATTAGATTAATCAATAGTAACAATTAATGAAGTAATTGTGAATAACTGAATTCACTTTCAATTCATTTGAAATTAACTTTTCTTTTGTTCAATTTAAACACAGAAACATTGATCAATCTAAATCAAGAATTAATCTAATAATTTTTGGAGTCATTTTAACACTAATATAATTTATTTATATTAATTAACACAATGGAAGACAAAAAAAAACTGTTGATTGTCAAATCCTTTGAATACTTATCATTAATTAATTGTTATTAAAAAGAGTATAAATAAAGTTTCATTAAGTTAATGATCAATTGTTAATTATTCAAACGTCATTTAATTGTAATTTATTACATTGTCATTAGATGAATGAAGGTGTGGGTGAGTGTTAGTTTTATTCTGAGTGTTGATTCAGGGTCAGTTGTGATTATCATGAATGAACAAGTTCCAAAGTGATTCAGTCTTGTAAATAAGAGAATCGGATAAGGGTGAAGATTTTATTCTGAGGAAGTTCAAGGATCTGATGATGATGCTGAAAATTTACATCATCCAATGATCAACAATTCAGGAGAAAATGAAAAGATAAAATTTTCTCATTCTCATGATTCTTATCATCTTCTTATGTATATAATACTTTAAGTCAACCATTGAGATATTTATCGTTATTTGGATTTGATTAAAAAAAAAGGAGAATAAAAGAAAATAGTAAGGAACCGGAAGTGGGTGGTAAATGGGAATAAGGGAAATGAGATTGATAAGGATGAGTTTTAATTAGTTTTTTTTTCTCTCTCTCTCTCTCTCCAGATAATTAATAGTAGTTCAAGTAACAAGGAATGGGAGTTAACAACCATGGTGATGAATTGATAAAGATTTATAGTTGATGATGATGATCGTTAATGTGATGGTTTGTATTATGTTTTAACAGTTATAATCAACGATAATTATAATTATAACATTTGTTAATGGTCTTAATGGATCAATGATAGTCTATTGGAAATTAATTTCTTTTGTCATTCTCTCTCTCACTTCACTTTCTTTTGTACCTTTACCTGAATGTCTACCTTTAGTTATATAAGATTTCAAGTGTCAAACATGTCGGAAGTCCAATGGTTACATTGGTGATAAAGTTTCTATTCGAAAAGAAAAGTTCTGATATAAGGAAAAAAAAGAAAAAAAGTTTCGATACAAATTGTAATATCTACACGAGCTTTTTTTTATCGATTCATTTTTCTCTGGCTTAATTTACACTTCTTTTCTTACTATTGATTGGGAGAGTTGACCAGTCTATCTATAGATCTATTTGGTCAATGGAATTTGGTTAAACATTTCGATCGGAAGTTCATCTGTTAGCTATTATTCTGGCATTATGGGTATTCATTGTTCTGTAAAATGATTGATTAATATACCAACTGGATTGTCGAGTAAGAGTAGAAGAAAGAATAATAATTAAGAATAGAATTCCCATTTCTCTTCGTCCATAAAAGGAATATCTTATTGCATGTAACAAGATAATATTATTATTCATAATCATCGAACTTGTTGCACTTAATCATCAGAATCGCAAGAATTTTCATTCTTTGATAGAATGATCAACAAAGAGATTTTCAATCTCTGATCTACGATAAGTTGATTCTAATTGACAATATCTATACTATGTTAAGAAACTGTTTACACTTTGAAAGTTCTGATAAATAGTAGATATTAAAGTTTATTCTAAAGTTTACTCGAATCATGGTGACCCTTGTTAAAGGTCATCTGATTTTCAGAATGAATGAACATCAATGAACAAAAAGTTTCTATTCTTACGTTTCTACAGTAAAAAAAAACGATAATATTGTGATCATTTTTCATGAGCTGGGCCAAGATCGTTAGATGAGTTAACGATTAAGAATTTCTTTTTCCTTTATCCATCATCATAATTAATTGTATTGATTTCTCACTTACGATAATCCTTCTTAGTATTCTATCATTATATAAATTATATATTCTGATTCATATAATCAACTGTCATCTCGATTAATCCATTCTAGTCAAGTTCATCAGATATCTTATTAATCAGATCAGATTGAATTGTCGTCAACTCATTGTATCATTGTTGATATCTAGTATCATTGTTTCATTGTAACCTGATTCTAAAACTAATCAGGTCCATTTGGTCAAGTCGAATCTCAGTCAATTCCTTGGTGATACCTTTTTTTACTCAATCTAATTTGATTGTTGTCGACTATGGTGATTGTAGCGATAAATTATCGTGAACGTTGATTGATTAACTTGAATTGGTTTGTTTGGATAATCAACAGAATTTAAGTTTATTGTATTAGGTTTAACATGTAACAAGATTAACCAACCATGATAATCAATGTTGATTTACATGGGAATCAATTGGCTTTACCAATTAGAGATCGATGATTAGTTTTTTTGATTGACAAATTAATACCATGTTTATTTAATTCTGATAATAATAGTAATATATTGGATATTTTAATTTTGATTTTGATTAAAACTTTATATGGACAAATATAAAATCAATTATCAGATTATTGTTTTGAAAAATTATCTTATTAATACTTTCATTTACAATTAAAATATTTTCTTGCAATTATTGTGTCTTTAGTAAATTAATTCCTATGGATACTTTAGCAACATAACAAAACTATCTCTCAATTCATAGTAATTAGATATTTAAATTACATCTAATAGGATTATCGTTATAGTGAAACTTAAAAAGCTTTTATCATATTGATTATATATTCCGTTCCCATGAAATAATTGTTATTGTGATCATGATAATCGCAATGAAGAAGCCATTTAGTAGGGAATGATCATTTTTCATCATTATTATTTCATCATCAATTAGATTGAGTTTATTATTCATTCAGAACTTTTTCACAACTCAGTAGTGTAGTTGTCCATTTGTTGCGTTGTTTATTATTATCACCTCATATTTGATCATTCATGTTTAATGTGGTTCGGTCGGAACGGAAAGACAATATTGGTTATTTTGATTGATAATTCACGTTCCTGTTGAGGAAAAACATCAAATGAAAGGAAACGGAAATGTAGTTACTTTTGCTATCTAATAATGTTCATTAATCATCTTTAATTCATCCAAATCATAATTGGTGCAATAACCAAATACGGAACATTTTCTCAGTTAGAATTCTGTATAGAGAGGTTATTACAATGTTTCATTGATTTCAAATTCAATAATAATCTCTCTCCTCTTTTCTACATCTTAAAATTCCCTGAACCCTGATTATTTCACCAAGAATTTATGAATAAGAAAACATCATATTTATCTTTCAGTGACGTATCCGTTTCCATGAAAAACGTATTCTAACTTTATCTTGGAATCGATTGTATTATTGAGATGACCATTTCTTAGATATTCGCAGCAATTCATTTACCTTGGAATATTTTCTCAGAAGTTATCATTGATTATTCCTTTGTTAAACTTTGATTCCACTTGAATGGTTAAGTCATGATGAAACTTGAGATGTAAAAAACTAATAACAAGGTAATGGGCCTTCAGGGTGAGTTAGTTTAATGAATGATAGATAATGTAAAATATCATTGAAATTAGACTCATCTTTTTATCCCATTCCCTTTGTTCAATTCAGTTCAATGGATCATCATAATAGACCAATTCACCTGAAAGCTATATTATCATTCAGAATAATATATGAGAAATATCAGAATGTATTTGATGAAATGTCAGGGAATTGAGGAGGCGTAGAGATGGTTGAAGAAAGAAACAAAATAAACTGACCATTCAGATAGAGAAATGTTATGTTTTTTTCGTATTTTTTTTTCTTTTTTTCATTATCTCTTCTGATCTTATCCATTCATACGTTTATCATCATGTCGATGAGATGATAACTTGACGATAAGCTAATAGTTTTTTTCCTTCACATCTTTCACCTTCACTTTTTATCCAGTTCATTTCATCAGTAGTTCAGATAAGTTTAATCAATCGTAAGTATATTTCTCCCTCCTTTCATGCTTATCTTCATCATGTTCATCATCTTTAGTTGAATGAAGACGATGATGTAGATTCTCTTGATCTGAACAATTTTCAAATCCCATTCTCCATCTTTATACTTAGTTATTCAAGTGAGCAAAAAATATCAACATGAGAAAAGAAGCCGAAGAAAAAAATTCTCAAATGAATCATACAATTGATTGTTATCCGTTCATTTTGTTTAATTAGCTTTCCAATTGTGATCAAAATGTTACCAACGTCAACCAATTACGATTTATCACAATACTAAACAACTTTATTAACACTTAAAAATCAAATGACAACAATCAAAATCCCGATTTAACAATCAATGGCTCTTCCGTATTTCCAAAGTCAACAAGCAATCAAAATCCTTTTTCCACCTTGAAAGTTCAAGATTAAAGGATAAGATTAACAATAATCTCCTGTAACTAAATTAATCCTTCAAACTTGACTTAGAAAAACGAAAACAACAATTTATAATGAAATTAAGTTTCGACTTTTTTATTGTACCAATTTGATTAGAATTGATCAATGGTCAATAATGAACTGAGATTCACCCTAAATTTCAAATGATAATAATCATCTTGAAGATAATAAGAAATGAACAGTTCTATTAATACATCTTAATTGTTCACGATTTAACTTGAGATTGAGTGTTTAATATTAAAACGGTTCCTGACAATTAACCAAATCACAGTCTTAGTTAATTTTTTTCTCAATATTTAGATCACATTTATAGCTATCAAATCATGTTTAAGATCCTGGTTGTTAATTAGTTTAATTATGATCACTTGAAAATTATGCCAGTTCTCACAATTATTAATCAACAACTGTGACGAAATTAAAAAAACAAAGCCCAGCTAATGATTAACTGGGAATTAAGGTTAAATTTTTACTTCTATCAATACAATTAACGAAATTGTGTAAAGATCATTGATTAACTGATCAGCAAAGCCTATTAATTTCTCATTAATTTGATTGATCACAATCAATAGTTTCCAATTAATCAATACGTTAAATACATAAATATACGAAATCTTAATTGTTAGACTCAATTAACTAATTGAAAATATTAATTTTCTCGAGCCACAAAAAAATCAACTGATTGTTAGCTTTTTCAGTAATAAACTACTCAATTATAATACTATTATTGTATATGATTTAAATGTCATAATTAAATTTAGATTATCATTTAATTAATCTATCACCTATTGATTAACAATCAATCAACAGTAGCTATTGATTGGTAACTTTACTCCTGGAAATTAGTTTGATTATCAAACTTTGATATTTGTAGAGTTGCAGTTAAATTGATTGTCTTTACTTTGTGGATGATTAATTAACCATTCCTATTGATTAATTAAGTATAATGGAAAATAAATTGTTCCAATTTAATCTGGAATTCAGTTTTTATCCTCATTGTATAATTAACTGATTATATAGTCAATTGAGTAACTATTAATATTATTAGAACTTTGTTTTAACTTATTGACAGTAAAAAAAAAGTATTTCAATCCCAACAATTAATTGATTGTTGTCCAACTATTAATATTATGTATTCTGTAATCTGAGTTATTTTTATCATTTGATTGTTTCCTAGAAATGATCAGTTATCATGTAATCATAATTAAGCCCAGAAAAAAAGTTTTAAGACAATTAATTGTTAATTTGTTTTCACCTTTGGGTTTTTATTGATTTTATTTAACTGTTTTCAGTTTAATTAGTTTAATTTGACATTGATCTGATTGTTTGATTGATGGGAAGATTGGATAAATCAAAGTAAAATCTAATTAAACATATAACGTATGATGAATTTATTAATGAGACAATTTACTTTTAAACAATCAGTTTAGATTGGATTAGAAATGAAATTAACTTGATGAGATTTGATTAACTTATTTGATTTGTTAAAGGTAAAGAGGATGAAGTAATCAGTTGATCAGATTAATTGGAAATCAAAGTTATTGTTGTTTGATTGTTAACCTTTTATCATGATGATGATTGTGGTGATTAAGATTTATGATAAACTTGAAACGATTCTGAAAGACAGGCAATATTATCATAAATTGTTGATGATTGATGAGAAATAAACTGGAAAGATTAGAAGATGATTTAAGTTGGAATTTAAATAATGATGATTATCAAGATAAATTGCTTGATATTGAAGATGAACATGATGATTATGATTATGATTATGTTGTAACAAGATTGGGAATTGATATGTAGATGATTAAAACCTTTCGAAAAGGCAACTTGGGAGTGATTACTAGTTTATCAGAATAGCTTGAAGGTAAATTTGAAGTTGGTTGTTGAATGTTTACAATTTGATTGATTGTGAAGACTTCATTTAATTTGATTGCTGATGAAAATTTGCTCGAAACTTTTACTTCTTTTCCCTTTCAATTGTCTTTCTTTCTGTTTTTTCATTTGATCTGATTAATTTATTTTTCTTTCATTTGAATTTGTCATTTGTTTTTTTTCACGATTTCAATGATTTCATGAGTTTCTTTCATTTGTCATTCGTTTATTTACCTTATGAGAGGTCAACTGGTGCATCGTGCCAGAAACCGAGGTTGAAAAGGTTGTCCACCTTTTTCGAGGACTCAGAGGATCGATGGGAAGATTCATCGGGATTCGAGTCATAAATTTCCTTGCTATTAGTAAGCACTGCACCGAAGCCCAGTTTAGGTTTATGTCCAGCGTCTTTTCGAGATGAAGGTGATGGAGTTGATGTAACTAATTGTGATGAAGACGAAGATGTTGGACTTGAATGATGTAATTGGTCGGGTGACATTACGATGTTACCATAAATCGCTCCAAGATCATTTTTGGGTATTGAGTAATCAGAAAACTGCCCTGGAACTGGTGAGTTGAATCCGTTATTTTGACCTAGCGAACTAGTTGGAGTGAGTCGATCTTTTATCGAACCAAATTCACCCACTTCTGAATAAATATCATTAGAACTTTTACCGTTAGTGTTTTCATCATTATTATCAACAATTCCAAATGCTGGATTAACTAGAACAGGTTGAAATCGAGATGGTATTGGCTCAGGTTCAACGAAAACTCCCTTTCCACTCCCACTCATACTGTTCACAATTTCACCACCAAATGAATGAGTATGATGATTATGTTTTCTCAAAAGTAGATTAGTTAGATAAAAAGGATTTGCATGTAATTTAGGATGAGAGAAGGCGAAATCAGGTCCATACAAATTAATTGCCAATCGATTGGCTTCTTTCCAAAGGTATTTTAATTGATTACAAGAAGGAATTGAATTTACTGAATTAGAGAATTGAGAATAGAGATCATTTTCTGTGCGATCAGGATTAGGTTCTGAAGATGATGATTGAGGATCAACAAAACGATTACCAAATAATGAAAGGTCAATAGTAGGTGAAGATGCTAATGATGATGATGAAGAAGACGAAGATGATGATAATGATGGATTAAATCGATGAGGTCCATAGTAGATACGATGAAGTGGTGCATGAGCTTCACAGAACCAGATCAATGATGAATACGAAGTTAGAATAATTAATTGTACCAACATGATTAACACTTTACGAACGCAAAGGACGTCGATTTTATAACGATTTGGATAATGGCCTGGCATTTGTGGTCTCTTTGAGTTAGAACAAACAAAAAAGTTCTAAATGTTACCAAATTTGAGATGGAAAAAGTTTTACAAGAAAAAAAAAACTTTTCTTCGATTTAAATCAAGTTCTAATTACTTAGAATTACTTATTAATTTAGCTTGTTATACTTACATTTACTTGAGTAGGTGAAGTTTAACAATTAGTTAATTACTTATCTCAGTTTGCATTATGATTATCATCGGTTGACAATTAGTGCATTAGATTGGAAAATCAAAGTTGATCAAACTGTTAATCTCATGGTTTAGTTGGTAGTTAATCCAATTAGATAGTTGAAATTGTTTTTTCGTTCACACAAAAGTTAATCTACTAACGATAAATTTCACAATCAAATATGATCAATATTTGTTACTATCAAAGTGTTGACAGCAATAGATTATCAATGTCGTTAATCATAGTTTCATAGATTGGACAATCAAATTGTGACTGTTGATTGTTAGTTAATTTGGTTACTAAAAGTAAGTAAAAATTGTTCAACTTTTCATCTGAACATTTGGATTAAAAGATTTCAGCTGATTGTTGGAGGTGAACTTGTTTGACGTAACTATTTTTATCGAATCGAAATGTCCTTTTTATAGGACTTTTTTATCATGAAATCGATGATGACGATGATGATGATGATGAGAAATTGTGATGATTAGATTGAAGTTTTGTTTTCTCAAGTTATGAAAGTTTCTGAGAAACTGGAGTCTATTCAGAATCGAGAAACTATTTTCAGGCAGAATCTCAGGTTAGAACTTTCCTTTTTTCTATCTACTGTCGAACTGCCTTTCGACTTGATTGTTACGCTCATGAGCAATTTAGATGAAGAAAAAGATGATAATGATGATGATAGAAAATTGTTTATCTAAATGTTGTAATTACATGATCATTCTGAATCGATTCATTATCAACATGATAAAACATTTAAAACTCCGAGTTAATCTGAACAAAAAAATGGAAACAAAATCTAATCAAACATTTTACTTTTTCTTTCATCAAGTTGATCTAAATTATTGATAACCTTTTCTCTGTGTATTCAAGTTAATCATTTTCTAAGATTATTGGATTTACATTTAACCGAATTAACTTTAATCGCCTCGATATTTAATTCAAATTGATCAACAAACTTGCATTCAAGTTCATTTCATCGTTGATTTTATTTTTATCTAGATTAACCTTTTTCTTTTTGATTGTTTTGATTAATTTTCAATTGTAAAAATGTTCCAGAATTAAATCTAATCACCAATATTGACCTTTTGTAACAATATTGTTTCAATTTATTAGTTTTATAATATTACAATTGCTCATTGGTTATATATTAATAACTATCGTTGAAATAGTTTATAACAATTTAGATGTTGAATTTAAATTGTTTCAATATTTATCGTTGTTTATTTGTAACAATCAATCATCTGGGAATCAATTGAACCTGAAAACTGAACAAAATTTCATCAAGTTGATTGTTTGGTTATTAGCAGTTTGAATTAATAATAATTAGTTAGTTACTTCAATTATTTGACTTTCAAATTAAATTGTTGTTTTATAATTTAATTGCAATAATCAACATGAGATTATAAAAGTTAATTGATAAAACAAATACAATTAAAGGGTAAAACAAATATACAAATTGTGGTTTTGTGTTTGCTTTTAATTGTTATTATTATTTTGTATTCACTATCTCATTGATTGGGTGTTAATCAGATGATTAGTTCATTTTTGTTGTATATTGTAGTCAATTAAATTCCAGTGATTTATTTGATTGTTTGGTTGTATTAAGCAGCAATTAGTGTGAAGATCCTTGATAATCTTCGTTAACAATTTACGTCACATTTTAATCGCTCAATTGATGATTAAGTATCATTAATCCTTTCGAGGATTATAACTTTGTTTCTACTTTGATTGCGAGATTAACTTCAACAATTGTATTCATTGTCTCTTAATTGTAGATGATTATGCTAATTGTGGATAAGAATTTGACTTCTTATATATGGATAACCTCTAATTTTCCAATTCATTTAATGTTATACATTAATGATTAGAGAGCGAGATGTAACTTATCATCTTAATGTGAATTTAATTTGATTGATGAAAAGGTCTTGACTTAAATTGCTGTGAATGATTTAGGGATAAGTCCATGTGTGTAATATATTGTATCCAATTAAAAGTTGATCACATCAATTTAATCTCGTATTCACACTTGAATAATAAAAGATGAAATGATCAATCAACTTTTCCTTTTGTCATCTTATGTTCACCTTCCTTGACTTCCTGTGAATCTAACGGTTTCCATATCAAAGTTATGAATAAAACATTAGAAGTTTAATTTTTCTCTGTCATCAATTATTCACTTGAGTATATTTTCTTCATTAAGGTAATTAGTTGGATTGTTATTTCACTGGTTGACACTTCTCCTTTTTTCGTGGGTGTAAAGTTATCGATTATCATTAGTCATGATTGTTTCTTATGTTGACGATTAACTTTTTAAGTTTATCCTTTAATTGGATCAATATATTTTATGAATAATGTTTGTCCAGTTTCAATTGATCCAAGTTCAACTAATTGTGCTAATGTCAAATCAAAGGGAAGAGTTTGCTCAATTTCTGTGGTGATTATTAATTTTGGTTGATCGGGTTTATTATTGTTGTTGGTTAGATTCAATTTCTCAGCGATAAAATCAATAGATTTCCCAATGGACCAGAAAGATGAAAGGTAAATTGGTTTGCATGGTGTTTGATTGCCTAAATTGAGGTTGAAATAAAGCCTTTCAGTTTGAGGTATTGATTGTAATCCAATAGCTGATTGTTTCAATTTCATCAGGGCCACTTTTTTAGCTAGAGAATCATTTTTAGCTCCTTTAGGCCCTTTGGGTGTTAATGATGATAATTTAATAGTTGTAGATGATGATGATGAGGTGGCGGAGGCGATAAGTTGAAAGGCTGATGGAGTTTTTTTGGTTTCTGTGGTTATGGATGAACATTTATGTCCCTCGGGGTGGCGATGAGAAAGGCAGAAATTTGATTGACAGTGATCACATTTAATCATTTCAAGTCGATTCTTAACAACCTGAGAACAGAAATTACACTTTTCATGAACCTGCTTTTCAGGAGTTTCAATGATAATCCTATCCGATGAAATGAAATCCGGACATTGATGAATCTCTGTTGATAGGTGATCCTTACTATTTAGAAGAAGAAAAAAACAAAATAAATCAATACAATTGTAATTCAATTGACAATTTTCTCAGCTTAATCATTTGTCACTTACCAGAATAAATTCTTACAATAAGCACAAACAACAGGTAGGAAATCTAAGTGGATAAGAATTAGAAGATTAATCAACCAAAATTAAGAATAGATTTTCTTAAATATTTACCTAACCGTTTACAGGTTGAACACTGATCACCAATGTGAGGTAATTCAGCCATTACTACAATTTAGATTGGATATTTAATCAATTTAATTGTTGTAGTTTGAAACGCCCGTCCAGTGATTAATGAGATGATGGATCAGCTGATTGAAACATTAAGAAACTTGAAATTTGCTCTGAAATCAGATGAAAAGTAAAATTAAATTAGTAAGTCTGACAAATAAGAAATCAAATTGATTGGATTGTGAAAATGTTACACATAAATTAAATTAGTGAATAACATGTAATGTTACTTACGAATCAATTTAACTAATCAATAGTTGGTTGTAATACTTTAGGGTAAAAGCGAGATTGTGTCACCATTGACAGTTCAGATAAAATTCTGGTTCTTGAATTATAAAATATTGAGTAACAGGGAAAAAAAGTTGATGATTAATTGTTGGAATTAGTTGAATACAATTGAACAAAAAAACGAAAATGAAATTTGTTTTCAACTTTTCTTTTCTCTACAATTTAACATTCAATTAAATTCTAAATTCACACTCCATGTAAACTCCACTGTAAACTGTGTATCACTCGTATAAAAAAATAACTTTTTCCATTACAATTATAAAATTAAATTAGATTGTTGCTTAATTGTTAATCTAAAATTTTTAATTCGAGATTTTTTCTCTTTTTTATAACTATGCGGTCCCTTTTCTTAAGAAACAGCTGATTGAGTTTCCACTGGGACTCGATATTAGTTGATATCGAATACTATCAATTGGATCCATGTGATACTCACATGTTTTTGATGAAAGAAAAACAATTTTATTTAATTAACTGAATTTAGTTGCGTATTGGTATTAAATTGTCACTTTTATGGAATTGATTTGATTATTTTCGCTGGCTTGTTGTTTCTCATTGGATCTTAATTGTTCGCACTTTATGATGGTTAGTTCTTTTCCCTTAATCTTCAGACGTAATCTATTAGATTCTAGAGTCTCTGTGTTCAGATCAGTTCAAATATTTTCATCACTTCATTTTGATCCGATTAAATTTGATCAGCGATGTTTCAAATCAACTAATTCACCATCAACATGTGATAGTCATTGGCAATTAGTTAAGAAACTTGATTCTCATCTAGTCAATTATTGTAAACGAGTTAAAAAAGGTAATCAAAAAGTCAACAGTTTTCTGATGAAAATTACTAAATTGTTATTCTTGTTTTATCTTTACAGGTGATTGGCTCAAACCAAAATTTATCGATGATTATTTACAATTAACTGTTGATTTATACAAATTTTCACATCCCATTGTTTTACTTTATTGTGATACTTTGGTGAAAAATATTCTTGGAAAAGTGAATCTAACAAAGAGACAATTTTTACAATTAATGTTTTACCAACAGCAAATGTTAAGTCATAAAGTTGATTGGTGTCAACGATTCATTGATCATCAATTAAATTCATTAAGTTTGGCTGATTTATCCCAATTCAGTTACGATGAACCTGTAAACTTGATGCCACCTTCAATTCCTCCCTACAGATCTTTAAAAATTATCAAAAGAGTTGATCGAGATGTTCAACCCTCAATAGATGAAAAATTTAGACTTCATTTGGAAGGTAAAACACCAGCCCAAATGATTGATACACTTCGAACTTATCGACATCTAGTTGATCTTGTTCGTTTTAGGACTTTTATTCTACAATTTTGTTCAATTGGTCCAATTTACGAATACCATTTGACACAAGAACAATTTGAATTTCTCCTTGAAATGTTCAGAAATTTTCCAGAAATGGTTAAAGACATTTCCAACTTATCGGATGTCACATTGTTCATCTCGAAGATTCGTGTAAATTCATCAAATCTGCTTCTTCGCTATATCGTTGGAGAAGTGATCAAAAATATCGACGAGATGTCACTCGATGAAACCTTTACCTTATACAAAGCTCTTCAAGCCATCAGACCATCGGAAACAATTGACGGATCAACCGATCAACTTAATCTACTAAACGATGATGTGATTCGCTCTCGTTACCTGTTGATATCTAATGTCGCATTCAGAATCGAAACCCTACATTTTGACGAAACTGATATAAACACTTTATGTGAAGTTTTCCGAATAATTAATCGTGAATTATACGCAAAGGAGGCAATTGATATTCTGGTTAAATCAATCGTCAGCATGAGCAGTTACATGAGAAGCAAAAATTCAACCGATATAATTGCTGGATTCACTTCACCTCATGGATGCAAAATATTGAAGGAAGTTTTCACCTCCGGGGATAAGGAGCTGATTAAACGGTACACCCATTTAATTGATTTATCTCTTCATACTACTGGTCGATTAACAAATTCTCATGATAATGTTAAACCAAAGAGTAACCGATACATAACTGAATGTTTTATTCGTATGTTAATCAAGGAAGGTGAAAATTTCTCATCCATTACTTTTTGGCGAAATTTTCTCGATGAGATTGATTTTAATCGACATAAAATTAACTTGATGGGCTGGCAAAGTCTTCTAACTTTGGTTAATCGTTTTCGAGTCTATTGTCCAAACATAATTGATTCTTTTGCACCAATAGTTATCCAAAACGCTGAAGATTTCATTCGAGATGACCGAATATCGCCAATTCCTTATATCTACCTGATGGCTGAATGTTATCATAAACCTTTGTCCGTTAATTGGGATAAATTTATCAATGTTTTGTTACATCCTAAGAAATTAACGGAAATCCCAGCTGAACGGACTTTAGCTTTAATCTCTCGTTTGGCCATATTAGAGGAATATAATATAGTCCGAAATTTTGACCTTAACCGTACGAAATTATCACTGTCCACCTGTAGGAATATACCTCAATGTAAACGTTTAATTACCTTTTACTCTGGTCTAATTCAAGAGTCAAATGATTCTGGACATAAATGGTTAGTTAAACGAGAATGTGGACCTTTCATATACAAAGTTATCTCAACCTTGGATAAAGATATACGTATGGGTATATTGTCATGTCTTCAGCCCACTTTAGAGGCGGCTTTTGGTGGACCTGAGTTCGTAATCAATGGAGTTTGGAGTAAATCGGGTATCTTTATGTCTCATCTATTGGTTTTCCGTCGAGGTGAATATCCAGTGGCCATTAGAAATTTTGATGAAGAATCTAATTCAAAATTAACTTATCTTAATGATATTTCAATTCCCCCTGAAGGGAAAATGTAAGTTAACAGACAAACTGAATTTTCATTTTCCAAATAACAATTGAATATTTTTTCGTTGTTCCTGTAGAGTTGCTGTTCTGCCCGCTTATCGTTACTATTACACTAACAATTCTCGTAATTTGAGAGGAAAAATTCAATTTAAATTGCGTTTAATGAGAAGACTGGGTATCATACCTGTTATAGTAAGTAATTTACTAATTGTTCCAATCAAATGATGAGTTTTTTCTTCAGAAATCTAATCAAATTGATCTATTAAATTGTTTCTTCTCAACTTTAGGCTGATATCAGTGAATTTGATGAGTTACCAGTTCATGAAAAGACTCATTGGTTGGTCACCAAAATCAGGACGAAAATCATGGAAAATAATTCCGATGCTTGGGAATTTTGGAGATAATCAATCAAGAGCATTTATATTGAGATAATTAGTGCCTCAAAATGTATTTCAGTTAATTGGATAATCATCATTTAAAAAATCTGATCTGGATCTCACTATAATTTCCGATTAGCGGATATTGACAATTAATGTGATTCTGTTGTATTTTTTTTTCTACGACAATTATTGATTATTCATTTACTCTAATTGTCAGTGAAAGGAAAGAGTAAATTACAACAGTTTAAATCCAAATGCAAACGATACTTGATGATTAACTTCATTGTACAGTCATTTTGATACCAAAGTTAATTAACTGATTGTTTTTTTTTCTTGTAGAATAAATTTGTAAATTCTAATTGTAGTTGATAAACAGATAATTAAACTATGTTTCTAGTAAAAATTATTGATGATCAAATTTTAATCTATTCAATTAAAACTGATTGGACCAATGGAAGAAAATTTCATCGAGTTTAATTACAATGTAAAACTTAATTAAATGTAATTCTTTGATTTTGAAAAACCAAAGTGGACACTTTATGTCGACTTGTGTGATTTAATTGCTTGGATAATTGTTGGTAATTAGTATGATTAGATTTTCATATTTTTCTTCAAAGTCAATTAATAATCAATTTGAGTTGTTAGTAATTCTCATATTTAATTGTTGAGAAACTTGTTCATCAACAAATTGTTGACTTTGAATGTTAGCTCTTGAGTTTTTTGTGTGTAACTTTTTTATTTGAAATCCAAAGCTTTTGTCCGGATGATTAGTTAATTGTTGAAGTTTCACTTGGCGTTTATTGACCACAATCAATAACCTGATCAAGTGTGAAATGTAAATAATCAGTAAAGAGACAAAAAAGTCAATCTAATTGATGGTAAATATGATCAGCAAATTGTTATAATTTATCGTTGAAAAAGGTTATCAGTCTGATTAGGAAGCAAATTGCAATTGAGTCGGGGGGTAACAATTAAAGTCTGAAAAGTAGATCCTCAATCTGATTGTTGATGATTGTCACCCAATAAGCTGAAAAGTAATGAACAAATTAAGCTGATTGTCATACATTTCCAGTCAATTGTGACAAAAATCAATCAACTGTCATTTAATTTTCAGGTTCAACTTGGAATTGATCAAATCAAAACCTAAAACAGCAATCAAGTGTTCAACACAAAAACAACAACAACAATTAAGTCTATCAAATGATTAACAATTAAACATATAATATTTTCCTTAATCATGTTTTCAATTTATTCCCAATATCATCAAATCATTTGGATATTTTTTTCTTTCACAACAAAATCAATTTTTCTATGACAATTAAACTGGACCAATTTAAAAAAAAAGTACCAACGGAAGTCAAGAGTAATTAAAACGTTTCCTTTGTTTTATGATAACTGTAATCAAACATCAACTAATCTGATTGATGTACAATCGATTTAAAATCAATGATAACAATTGGATTAAAAGTCTTGATTAATATTTGAGCTCAAATGAGAAAAAAATTTTCAAGTGAAAACTTCAAGTATCTTCAGTTGAGATGAAGTCAAATTGATTTTCCAACAGTTGATCCTCTGTGGTCTCGATAATTAACTTTAATTATTTCACTTTAAGTGATCAAGTTTCATTCAAATTTACCTGTGAAGTTTCATCAAGGTAAGTAAAGGTCACTTTCTCATTCACTTTCCCCACAACTGGTCAGTCTTGCAAGAAGAAGGCGATTGCAGCTTCTTGGTAAGAAGCTGGTGAAACGAGTTTAAATTACCATTTCTTCAGGTTCTTGTTTCTCTTTCTTTACTTTCTTTTTCTGGAAAATATCCTCAGGTGAACTAGGTATTTCTCCCTCTCTATCTCCCTCACTCTCTCACTCTCTCATCGTCATCATCTTCAATGATTCCATCGCAACCCTTTTTATATGTCGATTGCATTTGGGTTGTGATGATGATCTTGAAAAAAAACCCTTAGCAAAACTGAAACTTTTTCATTGATTAAAAGTTAATTTCGTCTCAAGGATTTAATTCAGTTTACATGATATTCAATTTTGATTTACTTCTTGTCTCATCTTATAATTACTTGATTGTGAATTAGTGTTAATTTTGATTCTGATATCAAGATTTTGGGATCATGTGGCTGATGAACAGTTTAATTGTTGGATATTTACCATTTCTACTGATACATTTATGGGCTAATCAAGTTAATTGTTCTGATAATTCAACTCAATTGTTACAATATCATCAGAATAAACTGTTAATTGAGAGACAAACTCATCTAATCACATCAGGATTTTCTGCTATCTTTTGGAATTACCTTCGTAATTTAAATGATTCAACAACAATTAACGGTGTTTCTAATCAATGCTCATCTTCACTGGATAAAATAATACAATCAACTTTAAATGGTCAAGTTTGGGCTTTCAAGTGTAAGTTAATTAGTTGATTTATTTGTCAATTTAAATTGTCACTTTGATACAATTGCGATTTTTTAAAAAATTATCAAAATATTTAAGGTTCAATTGATTTGTTTTTTTTTTCATCAATTGTGATCAACATCAATCAAATCAATCAAAGTATTAATAACTTGCCCTTAAGGGAAAAATTATTTTTTCTATTGGCAACAATTAACTAAATTTCTTGTTAATTTTAAGTACAAACTCAGTTGATTAAGTATAAATTGGTACAATTAATAAGGTTCAATGATACTAATCAACATAGATGAGTTTTAGTCACTAATTAATCACTTGTAAACCTAAATGATTTACTCATGATTAACTTAATTTTCTTGAAGAGGTTTTTATTAACAATGTTATCGTCTAATTGATAATCCAAAATCATGATTAATCTCAATTAACCCTAAAGGATAATTTTACAATGACTAAAGATTCTGATTAATTGTAATTTATTCTCAATTGAATTAATCAACTATAAACACCAATGATTAACCTTGAAACTAGTTTATTATCTGAATCAACAATTAGACCTGTAAACGTGTTTATATTAATTTTTGGGATAAACTGTTGACCAACGAGTTGAATTAAAGTTAATTACCTTAAATTGTGACGGAAAATCCCTTGCGATGATATTGTCTACTGAAGTAATAAGGAAACTCAGAAGCTGATTAACCGGTGGAAAGTTAATTGTTAATCACTTAACGGTTAGATTTTCTATTAAAATTTATCATCGTATTGTTACCAAGGTTGATTAGCAGTTAATCAAGGTGATTATTGGTGATTATGTAAATTTGATTGCTAATTTTTAATAGATAAGAATTAATTTATTCGTTGAAAAAAAAATCAAAAGTTAAATTGTTCATATAATAGTGGAAATTGATTGGTTAACAATCAATTGTCCAACAATTAGAAACACAATTACTAATATTATTTATGAATACGAATCTTGATTTACTAGTATCTTCAATGAGAGTCAACAATTTATCATAATTATGTATCTTAATTGTTACTGATTATCTGGTGAATGTTTATCGATATTCAATTTAATTAGTTGTAGATTTATTTACTAATCAAATTAACCTTGCAGGTATTTTAATAAACTGGATTGAAACAAATTGAAACAACAATTTAACATTTTAATTTGATTCTGTTGTTTACTAATCAGATTATTAGCCTTTAATCACATGGAAATAAATTCTCAATTTATTAATCAACAACGAGTATAAATAAATTTCTCCCAATGTTAATTTAATTTCTTAATTGTTGATAACAATTTACAGTTATATCGTTTTCTGGTTCGAGGCCGACCGATTTTCTTGACGGTTCCTATGCAACCTTTGGTTCTTATGATTCTTGCCTTGAATTTAATCAATTAACTAAATCTAGTAATCAAAGTGAAACAATTAAAGGACAATATTGTTTAACTTCATTGGAACCTGATTTATTGAGAAATGATCAATCAGAATCTCAATTGTTGAGTGAATTGTATTCACATCATTTGGATTCTCAGTTTAATTTAACAATCAAATTTGGCCTTTGTCTCCCATCAACATGTTCACAAGGTGATGTCCAACAATTAGTTAATCAAGGTAAATCATCAATTCCTTTACAAATTAGAATTTTAGAAAACTAATCAGCAACTAATTGATTGCTCATTTAATTAGCTCTAAATGATTACAATTGGAAATTGGTTGATGTTAATCAATGTGAAGTTTTGGAAACTTTTTTCGATCGGTATTCATCAGCCACTATTGGTGTTAAAATCTTCTTGTAAGTTAATGATTACGAATAAAATTTCCAACAATTAGATTTAAAACTAATTAAAATCTCTTTCTATTAATAGCTGGTTATTAGTATCATTGATTGTTACAATTATCTGGGGAACTCTGATCGACTATCAAGCTAAATCATCGACCAATGAACTGGACTCTAAATCGAATCACATTTTCTGGATTAAACAATTTTCAGCAATTAAAAGTGTTCGTAGTTTATTTCGTAAGCCTGATTGCTCACCAAAGATCATATTATTAGACCAATTAAGACTTACCTGTGTGATGATTGTTGTATCGTTACATGCGGTTATGTGGTTTACCGTTATCAATGCTGGTTTCCTTGTTGGTTAGTTGATTGTGACAATTATCTATCTTGAAAATTTACTAATTATGTTGTTAATATTTTCCAGAAAATACAAGGAAAGGAATTGAATTGTACAAACGATTTGAAATACAACCAATAGCCAATGATTGGATTACTGAAGGTCTAATTGTCGTTGGGTAATTAAAACTAATTGTTTCTTTTTATCGACAATACATATTCTAACAAATTAAGTTAATTCTCTTTTAATTGTAGTGGATTAAGTTCTGCAACTGTTTTAATCAAGAAAACTACACCACAAACTCCGATCTCCACTTATTTATATTTAATCTGGCGACGAGCAGCTCTGTAAGTTGTTGTTAATCTAATCTTAATTTAATCAGACTAATGGTTACTCTTAATTATTGACAATTTATGCAGATTGATTCCACCAATTATAACTGTGATTAGCTTGGAAATTGTTTTACCGCTATTTGGATCTGGTCCATTCTTTAAATCAGTTAATCAATTTAGATCAACAGTTTGTCTTAAAAATTTCATTTTCAATATTTTACATTTGCAAAACTATTGTGAACCTTTGGAGATTGTGAGTATTAGTTAATTGTTGGTCGTTTAAAGTTAATCTGGTGGTATAATTGCCTCTAATTTGATCTAATTTAACAGTGTGCATCACATACTTGGTCAATTGCTGTTGAATGGCAATTGTTCATCCTTTTAACTGTGGCAATTTACATCTACAAACGTAATTATCGAGCTGGATTAGCCTTTAATTTATTCTTAATTGTCGTTGGATTCAATCAAGTTAATCAAGTTATCTTACGACACAACATAATACCTCATATTTTAATTACTTCAGCAAGATTCAGGTAATTTTAGGATTTAACTAAAGATTGATTTTCTTAATTGTCTAATCATAAATTACAATTTATTAACCACACAGAGATATTGCCGCTCGTATGGGCGCTTATTATGTCTCTACCGAGTCTCACATTTGGAGCTACTTTTTGGGACTTTTACTTTTAATCATAATGCTTGGTAATTATGAATCTAAATTGGGAATTGTAAGTGATTAAAATTGAAAAGATAGAATGACAATTAACTGATTTTCCTTTGATTCCATATCAGATAATAACTAAGCTACGATACAAAGTTAGCATTGGCTTGACGATTGTACTTTCGTTCACTTCCTTACCTTGGAATACATTTGGAATGCCGATTGAATCAGTTACAACAATTATCTCATCAACGATAATTAAGATTTTAATGGCTCTATGGTGTTCTATGCTTGTCTTCCCTCATGGTAAAAAGTTCCGTTCATTTTTAGCTGATTCAAAGTCCAACGATATTTATATTTACTCCGATGTCGAAAATGAAAATTTGAATGGTGAACAATTAAAGGCTAACAACGAGTTAATATCCGAAAGAGATAATGAAAAATCATCAGCAAATAACAACAACAACAATAACAATGTCAATCTAAATAACAATCAAAAAACAATCTCCACAATTAATCAATTTAAATCATCAGCTAATTTCAAATCTCTTCATCGATTTGAAATAATCCTCCGATTATACAAATCGACCTATTTTATACATACAATTGTCTATGCATTTCACTTTACCACATTAAGGACATCACTTACTTACAGTTTGAAGAATTATGTAAGTTTTAATTACAATTTAAAGTGAAACAATTTATTAATTCTTGTTTTTCTTAATCGTCTTATCCAGTTAATGATAATGACCACGTTAACGGCGACGGCTCTTCTTGGTGGACTCTTTTTTCACATTCTAATCATTGGGCCTATTGAGAGGATTCAATATATTCTGTCGAGAAAACCGATCAAATCAAAGACTCTTTAGTCTGACAATTAACTAATCACTTGTTCCTTTACCGCCAACAATAGTTAAATCAATTAGTATTAATCGTTGAGAAAAGTTTTAATTTTAAAATTGTTCAAAGTCATTTATTCATATGTGCTAATTTTATATTTAATAAACAATTATTGATGAATTTGTTTTATTGTTCATTTGCAATCAATCAAATGAAGCAAATTAAAAAGTGAGAAATTAATTGGAAGAGGAAACAAATCAAAATTAATAGAAGAAATAATTGATTAGTGTTAATGAGATTTACAGAAATCTCAAAGAATAAGGAAATTTTCATTTGTGTGTTAAGATTAACAGAGTAATAAAATCAAATTTCATTGGATCGTTATTGAATTGTCGTTAAGTGATTAAGGGAAACAATGGAATCACCAACAAGTGAGACCAGAAAACAATACGAATTAACGTCTAAATGAAAAGGTAATCAACTTTTTTTCTTTCACACTTTGGCCTTTTTCGCACTTACGAACTTGCTCTCTCCCTGTTAACCATAACCATCCCTTGGCCTGAATTGTTTGGCTGCAAAGGTTTTTGTTGAGCAACCACAGAAGTGAAATTGTCATCTATTACTTGAAAAGAAGTCGAACGATTCATTTGCACTAATTATATATTTTTATGTAAACAATTATGGATGGAATTTTTCTCGTTTATTTTGAAAAAATCTAAAAGAGTAATTCAATTGAATTAATGGTTAACATGATTAAAGAAAATTCAACGATGTAAATTAAGAATCGGTCCCTTTTTCTACCTACATGTATTTTTATTTTTACCGCTTCTGGTGTTTTCATTTTCATTTCAATTAAATTGTTTGTTTTCCTCTGGAATTTAATTTTGTTTTAATTAATTGTTGTTGATTATTCTTTGACATTCTTTATCTTATTGTGGTTTGTTTTCTGGCTTACTTGAGAAGAATACTGATCATGGAGATTGAAGATTCTCGGGTTAAGTTGTACCGGTTACATACCATCATGTTGGAAAATCGCTCCTTGCGTAGATTAGTTATTGCTTCCAGTGGACAATTTACACTTTTCCAGAAAGATTTAGATACAACTGAAGTCACCTCTAGAGATGTTATTCTCAAAAAGAGTCGTGTTTATCGAGCGTTAATTGGTGAAAGTTTAGAAGAGTTAAACGCATCAAAATCTGAAGATGGCGATTCTTTGGAGGCTAAGGATATGCTCTCAAAGATCCATGTTCTTTGGCATCTTTGTGAAATTCTTTACATTGATATTCTTGCTCCTGGATTTCTGGTTGACCAGTTACTGGTTTGGATTAGATATCAATATCCTGATATTACTTCCGATGCTCATGCTATGATGCTCACAAAAAATGTTCACAACCATCCCGATTATTGGACTTTATTGATGAAGTTTGTCGCCCGAGGTGAAGTTAAAATGGCTTCAAACCTTCTCAAACTTCATCCACAATTTGAATCGAATGAAAACTTTTACCTCATCCAGACTCTTATGGATAAAATGCCCCAGTTCACAAGAGACTCAATCAAGTATGAATTTTTCGCTAAATGGCAAGCCTGGAATGTTCAATGTAAATCCCATTTCAAAAAGAACGTGTTCACTTCACCTGAAGAAAGAATAATCTTGGGGCTTTTGTGTGGAGATTTTTTAACATTCTCATCAAACAAGCATCTCTTCGAGTCGTGGTATCATCTTATGGTCGCTTTCCTACACTTTGCCGATCCATTGATTGCCGAAATGGATGTACCATCATTAGCCCATCAAAGTTTAACAACATTTTTAGATATTCGTTCAGAGCATCAGGCAACATCCTTTGATCGAGCTCTTCTTTCAGCATTTTCTTATGACCTAATGGCTGTGGTTCAAGAATCTTGTTCATTCCAAGACAATTGGTGGTTTTTAACTCATTTCCTTGACCTTCTTTACCATGGTGGAATCTTGAATACAAATGAAATAGAAGAGCCTAAAAAATTGAAAGAATTTTTCTTACTTGATTATGCTGATTCTCTAATGGGTGATTCTGAACTTTGGTCATGTGCTGTTGATTATTTCGCCTTTTGCCCTGAGCTTGGATTAGAATCGTTGAGATTACATTTACAAAGAATTCCTTTGGACTCTGAAGAGACTGCATTCAAAATAATCGCTTACAGTGAACAGTATCACTTTGATGATGTCACTCGAATTGTTTCCCTGGTCATTGCTAATAAAGCCTTAGCCAAAAATGATTTAGGACAAGCCATCACTTGGTCGGCTCGAAGTAAAAGTCCAGTTTTAGCTTCTCACATAGCCGATATTTATTTGAAACATTTTGTGGAGAAACACGAGTTTCCTGATGAAGAAGCTCTCAAATCTCTTGGAAATTTAATGTTAACAAGCGATAGACTCACTTTTCTTGCCAAATATCATGAATTTGTCGAATTAAAGAAACAAGGATCTCTTCAAGAAGCCGGTGTTCAATTGGAAAGTTTAATCGCATCCAAAATAGCTCCTAGTTTCTTCATTCTCACCCTTTTAATGGATGCTATTCCTCTTTTAGATGCTGACATGTTGACTCTTAATGGTGATCAAACATTTCAAATTTTGATGGCTTTAGATAGCTATTTAACTCTCCTCAATAAACAATCAATTGACGAGGATCTCAAAGACAAAGAAAACTCCCTTCGACTTGCCATCGCTCGTAACATGGCCCGATCCATGGTTTATGCTTCGTAAGAATTGTTATTAAATAAATTCTTGTTCATCAAATTTATTCTGTTTATATTTCCCAATAAAAAAAAGTGGAAGAATTGATTTGGTATAAATATGATATTTCGATCATTTTAAACACATTAAAATTCGTCCTCTGAATTTCAATGTCGCTCGACTTTATTCAAACTCTTTTACATTTCGAGATTTCAATCCATTCGAAATGAGACAATTTCTCAACAAAAGATTAACCATAAAAGTTTTTACATTGAAGATGCTCAGTTGATGTTAGAAACTCATAAAGCGCAAGGAAAACCTCATGAAGATGAACCGGAAACATGAAAGAACAAAAAGTATTGCCCAAGGTGAGGATCGAACTCACGACCTTCAGATTATGAGACTGACGCGCTACCGACTGCGCTACCTAGGCGGCAACTGAAGGTATTCGTTATTAATTAATTTAAACATTTTATTCAGATCGAATCAAATTAAACCGATTAATTAAATTACATGAAAACAAATGAGGTTTTAACTGGATTAATGAACTAAAAATGCAATAGCAATCAAACCTTGACTGACAAATGTAACAATTTTATTGATTAAATGGCAACTTTTCCGATAATTGGTCAATTAGCTCAATCGGTTTGCCTTTAAAATTATCAAAGCGTTGAATTAGAAGAAACATTTCTCAAACCAGTTTGAATAGATTTTTTTATTCTCTATTCATCATTCATTCTACCTTGAGTCTTCTGAAATTGTACACAATTCAAAATTATCATTTACGCAGTTAATTATTAGAATGATTAATAATTCTATCTGATTGAAATTCTGTTTATTGTTTAGTTGCATATGAATCCAATAGATGGCGATACGTTTTCTCCAAAAAACGTGACCCATGTGGGAATTTAATTTAATCAACAAAAGAGATTAAAAGGAAACAGATTTACATTTAATTAATCTTTCTAATTATAGTTTTAATAATTTCCTTGTCGAATCCTTTTTCGTAATTTAATTACTATCCTTGTCTTTTCTTTTCTATCAATTGGTCGTCTCTCACATTTGTAGAGTTTCCTTTTTGTTCTTGTGTTTAAAGAGACCTTTTTTTAACCACCAGCGTCTTTTTCATTAACACGTCGTGAGAGTTGAAGATAATCACAATTCCATATGTTGATTATTTTGTCCTTTAATTGATTAAACGTTACCTTTGGATGGTTTAAGTGTCACAATTAAACTCCTCCAGTTTTGATCTACTGTTTAAAGACATTTTCTAATTTATTCTCTTCTAAAAACCAACCATCTTTTTTTAACCTTCTCTTTTTACTGGTGAGTATTTTTTTTCTCTCAATTTAATTTACCAATTTATTTTCTCTTTTCTTTCTATCTAATTGTTCTAAACACTTTAGTTTACTTATATTTAACCAATTTAAATCCAATTGTCTTATAAAATCCCTTCCATTTTCCAGCTAATTGTTGATTTTTCCAAATTCTTTATACTCCGAGCCAACTCTCATTTTCTATAATAATTACATAGAGATGGAGACACTGTTTTCTCCATGGTTTTAATTTTTATCTTTTCTCTTTTCCAAATCTGTGTGGTTGAAACTTGAATCTTGATTCTTTTTTTTGGTTTTATTTCATTTCTTATTTTTTTCTATCTTTTCCTTTCCTTTTCTTCTCTTCGTTTTTTTTACAGCGTGTGTGTTGGCAACGTCTAATTAACGATCAACAATGTCGGATCTTAGTAAACTATCGGACATTTTTAGGGGAACCATCGATCCCAATGAAAGAGAAAGTGCGGAAAAGCAATTGGAAATGGTAATGTCTCATTTGTCTTTAATTCTAAAATGCTCTTAATCTATTCCTTCTCTTCTTATTTATACCTTTTTCTTTTTTTCCATCTTATCCTGTGTGTGTGTGTGTGTGTGTTTATCTCCATGTTGTTACTTTTTCCAATGAATTTTGGCAATAGTGAAAAAAAACATGGTGAAAACACGAGTCACCGGTGTTTCATCTTGAGCTTTTTTGGTGTTTCCTTTTTCCTTTTTTTCTTACTCCCCTTTGGCATCTTTTTGTTTCATTTTTCTTTTGATTGTTTTTCAAATTTTCCAAATTTTATTCTTTTCTTTATCTACTTCTTGCCTTTAATCCTCTTTTTCTCTTTTTCTCACTTTCTCTCTTTATTGATATTCTTTACCCTTTAATTTCGACCCCTTTCTGATTTTCAATTGGCATTTCTTTGTTGTCTTTTTTTCTTTCTCATCTTGTTAATATTTACTCTTTACTTTAACTCTACAGATTCACAAGATAATCGGCTTTACACCCTCCATTTTGAGACTTGTTATGAGTGAAGGTGTTGACATGCCCATTCGTCAGGCTGGTGTTATATATTTAAAAAATAATATAATTGGTTACTGGACTGACAAATCAAACGGCCCACTACCTGACAATGAGTATAGTATTCATGAAACCGATCGACAAATCATTCGTGACTCGATAATCGATGCTATTGTTATGGCTCCTGAGCTTATCAGTGTTCATCTTGCTGTTTGTATTAGTCACATAATTAAAACTGACTTTCCAGGGAGATGGTTTGGACTTGTTGATAAGATTTGTATGTATCTTCGTCATCCGGACACTAAATGTTGGATGGGAGCATTAGTATCCTTATACCAATTGGTGAAAATTTATGAATACAAAACAGGCGATGATCGAGCTCCTTTGGATGAAGCAATGACCCTCCTTCTACCTTTAATTTATCAACGCGGTGTACAACTTGTACAAACAGATCATTCAGATTTATCAATTTGCCTTCAAAAACAGGTTCTGAAAATTTTTCACGCTTTCACTCAATATTCATTCCCTTTAAAATTGATCACTAATGAAATTTTCGCCCAATGGATGGAATTATTTCGTGTTATCCTTGAAAGGCCAAAGTACCGTAACTTTGAACAAGAAAGAGAAGAACAAAACTGGTGGAAATGTAAAAAATGGGTTCTTCATATTCTATCTCGAGTTTTTGAAAGATACGGTTCACCTGGAACTGTGGCAAAAGAATATAATGGATTTGCCAATTTCTACATTAAAACCTTTTCCGGGTGTGTCATCGGTTTACTATTGAAAATATTGGAACAACAAGGTAACAAACACTACGTTGACTCTAGAGTTCTTCAATTGACCTTGGTATACCTGAGTACAGCTGTTAACCACGCTGTCACATGGAAGCTGATTAAACCTCATACTATGCTGATAGTTCAGAATATATTGTTCCCATTGATGTGTTACACTGATGAAGATGATGAATTATGGACAACCGATCCTCATGAGTATATCCGATTGAAATTTGATGTTTTCGAAGATTATGTTTCACCAGTTACCGCTGCACAAAATTTGTTGCACATTTTCTCTCTTAAAAGAAAAGAAATGCTCCAGAAAATATTGGCCTTTGTTTTCCAAATTTTAAATGACTCAAACTCTGATGCTCGAATGATTGATGGAGCTCTTCATATAGTCGGATCGGTAGCAGATATTTTATTAAAGAAAGATATGTACAAAGATCAAATTGAAGAGCTTTTGGTCACCTACGTATTCCCCTATTTTCAAAATCAACATGGTTATCTACGAGCTCGAGCTTGTTGGGTGTTAAACTATTTCTCTGGTACTCGATTCCAAAGAGATTCCAATTTAGCTTCTGTGGTTCGAAGTATTGAAATGTGCTTGATGCATGACAAAGAATTGCCTGTTAAAGTTCAAGCCGCAATATGTATCCAAGGAATCCTATCATCTCAAGACAAAGCTCAAAAGCTAATGGAACCCAATGCAACATCAGTTACCTTTGAAATTTTGAACCTACTTCGGGAAACTGGTAATGAAGATTTAACCTCAGCTATGCAGAAATTGGTTTGCTTGTACCCCGAACAATTAATGCCCATGATCGTTGAGATGACCCAACATTTAGAACAAACTTTCTATCAAATTTTGGACTCAAGTGCTGATGAAGATAATGAAGACAAAGCAATGACCGCAATGGGAGTGCTCACCACAATCGACACAATTTGTACCGTTATGGAAGATCAAAAAGAGGTTATGGCTCAATTACAGCCGATCGTTGTTCGTCTGGTAGTGAAAATTTACCAAGAAGAGTTGATGGAATTGTATGAGGAAGCATTAACCCTTGTGTGTACCTCAACAACAAACAGTATATCACCTGATTTGTGGAAAATTTATGAACTTATGTACCAAGTGTTCAAAAAAGATGCCTTTGAATATTTCGGTGACATGATGCCCGCCTTGCACAATTTCATTACCGTTGATCCTCAAACTTTTGTTAACAATCGTAATCACGTTCTGGCGATGTACGATATGTGCAAAACTGTTCTAAACAGTGACGCCGAAGAAGAGGCTGAAAGTTACGCGGCTAAACTTTTGGAATGTATGATTCTTCAATTTAAAGGTCAAATAGACGATTGTATCAGACCATTTGTGGAACTTGTTCTTACTCGATTAACTCGAGAAGTTAAGAATACAAGTTTACAAACAATTTGTCTCCAAGTTATCATTGCAGCCTTCTATTATAATCCTTATCTTCTTTTGAATATTTTGAACGATATGCAGCCAGTTGATTCAAATCAATCGCTTTTCACCCATTTCATCAAGCGTTGGTTAAGTGATATCGAATGTTTCAAAGGGCTTCATGATAGAAAAATCTGTGTCTTAGGTTTGATAACTTTAATCAGTTTGGCACCAGAGAAACGAGTTGCCATCGTCAACGAAGCATCTCCACAATTTATGCCATCGATTCTTAAACTGTTTGATGGATTAAAATTGGCCTATCAATCAAAAGCTAATGCTGAAAATGCTGATGATGATGATTCTGAGGAGGAACTGGATGAAGAAAGTGACGTGGAAGCTTTGGATGATGAAGAAGACCATGTTGCTAACTCTGATTATCACAATAGACTATTAGGAAAAATAAACACCGGTTGTCCTTTTCCGGTTTCATCGGTATATTTACGAGATGACGAAGATATTAGTGAAGATGATGAGGACGAGTATAGTGATGATGAGGAAGCAGATTTTGTCCAAACTGCCCTGGAAAGTTACACCACACCATTGGATTCAGATGACACTGACACAGATGAATATGTTATTTTTAAAGAAGTTCTTGAAATGTTACAAAAGAAAGATCCAAATTGGTACAACCATTTGATGTCACCACTAAAACAAGATCAACAAGAGGCTTTACAATCCGTCTTCATCTTGGCCAATCAACGAAAAGCCGCAGCAGGTTGGTTTAAATGATCAGCGATATTTAATTGATCCTTATCCCAGCTTGCTTGCTCGTCGCCTCTCCTCCTTTTCCCAAGCAAAATGATCCAAAAAACGCTCGTTTTCTAAAAATCATCATCTGACCATTCATTTTTTCTCTTATCTCTCTTTTTGATCCACAGAATCACGTAAGATCGAAAAACTCGGAGGTTATATGTTCCAGAATCAAACCGTGCCGAGCTCTTTCAATTTCGGAGGAACACCTATTGTATAGCTTTAATTGTATTCATTGACAATTTCTTTGAAAAAACTTCCTCGCCTCAATAATCAGCCTCTTTGGCCTTTTTCTGAAAATAATCTTTCAACCTTTTTCTTTTTGCTTGTTTGCTTTCGAAATGTTTCTTTCGTCATTTACCACGCTCACCCCTCTTACTTATTCTTTGCCGTGTTCCCCTCAACACCACAACCACCACCACCTTCTCCCTCCCTCACTTCCTCTTTTCTCTCTTACTCTTGATATAAAATCTTTGAAACAAAATAACGAGTATGTGTTAGTAATACTTTCTATTTTTGGTCATATCACATTCGTTTTATCAACAAGTTACAATGATCATCGATCAATCCAATTGATTGTGACTTGAGATCGGTAATTAAATGACTTTCAATCAAAATCAAAGAAACTTTTCTTGTTAAATCAATTAAGAAGAAAATGAGTTAACAGTGAAAATACAAAACTGGAATTAAATTTGGAATCATAAAGAATTTACTGATTATTTATTGATTACCAGTTGAGATTCTCTTTAATCACCAGTAAGCAAGTTTGATTAATCGTCTCAGCGAAAAACAATCTTGGTCTTACAATAATCAATAGGAAATAACCTAATCTGCTCTAAAGAATCAATCAAAACACTTCTTAAGAATAAGAAATTGATAAACTGCCAATTGCAGTACAATTTAAAATCCTTTGGTTACGAGGATGTTAATCCAATTTGTTATTCTATTTGATTATGAAATTTTAATTCACAGAAAAGTCAAAGCTGATCAAGAAATCAACTATTGATCAACTTCAATCTCTCTAATAGTTTCTAGGAAACAGAAATACTGAAAATAATCAATCATTTTTTTATATTCTTTGCTATTAAAAAGAATCAGCAAATGTTAATTTCATTTAGTAAATTACTTAATTAAGATACTCTTTTGATTAGGATTATAAGAAAAGTAGTCGACATTTATGCTAATTGTTTACGTTTCTATGATTGTTGCGTCAAATACTAAGACGATTTTACTGAAAGATTTGGTTAGATTGTTAACAACTTACATTAATTCTCGAGTAGCAATTACAATCGACTGGAATTCAGACTAAAAAATGCTCGAAGTAATTAAATTGTCTTGAAACACGTTAATTCACCGATGACCTTGATCTTTCAATATGACAATCGAGTATCGCTGATGCTCAAACCGCCAAGACCTCAGTTCTCTAGGACTCAGATAGTTATGAAAAAACATCGGTAACTCAGCTAAATAGATCTGATTAATTCGATTGACATTTAATCATTGAGAATTAATTGTGTAAAAGAAACAATTAAGTCTCTGATCTGATTCACTACGAGTTGTCAACTCAAATCATTTGAGTCAAATGTCCACTTTTTGATGAAAACATAAAAAAGAAAATCTCATTTCCTAATTGCATCAACAGATGGAGTGTCGAATAGATTTAATCACAATTTAAGTTAATTCAGTTTATAATTAAAAAGAAAAGTTCAGAATCAATTAAATGGAGCAGCAATTTAAATTTCTGCAAAACCTGATTTCTCAAAATTCACTTTCATTTCTCCTCGTTAAGTAAATTATCCAATCCAAGTGATTTAATCAACCACTCCTATTAAATTTGATTTAGTTTCGCAAAAATTGTAGTACAATTGATTAGTGAACTTTAATTACAACTCTGATGGAATCAATTTCAGGGATGTTCTGAGGGTTTGGTTAGTTGATTAGAAAAGAAACCGAAATCAATTGATTGTTAATGAAAACTGATACTCCGATTAACTAAATTGTGTTTCACAAAAAATCCTTTATTTTTGTTGCCATTTTTGTACAATTTAAATTAGTCAATTATTTTGCTTTAAGAGGATAAGGTTAATTAGAACAATCAAGAAAATAGAGATTTCTGTTTAATGCGAATGGAAATTGTAACGATTAATTTCAAAGTGATTGAAATTAAGAGAGAGAGAGAAAGGTAAGTTCGATAATCGATTGGAGATTATCGAGTGTTACAGTTTGAAAGGTGACAAAAAATTAATGTTGATAATTAGAAGATAATTTGATGATGACCAGTTAATTGTTCGCTGTGATGTTATTTGGTTATTACAGAAGATTGTAAACACCAAAAGATGAAATTGTCGACTAATGAAAATGTGTGAGAAGAGAAAAGATGACAATTAAAGATGATTGTTTAACAAAGTGAGAATTATGATTAATCCATGAGGTATTGGGTTAATTCAGTTTAGTGAATTGTTTTGTCAAATTATCAGGATAAAATTGTTCCGTCATCTAAATTTAAAGATTGTTGGTCATCGATGAAACTGTTGCTTTCTATCAATTGATTTTCAATTGGCAATCGTTATTTTTAGATGAGTTGATAAGTTTATCGATCTCGTTTTTTTTTGTTCGATTTTGTTTGTTTTCATCCAATGCAGAACAAGGTAACAGAGAGAGAGAGAGAGAGAGAGAGAGAGAGAGAGAGAGAGAGAGAGAGAGAGAGAGAGAGAGAGAGAGAGAGAGAGAGAGAGAGAGAGAGAGAGAGAGAGAGAGCTATGAGAAAATGAAATGAGTGGAAGAAAGAAGACAAGAAAATGAATAAAGAATAGAACGAGAAATTATTGCAATTGTTCACATGGCTTCGAGCCAATTGTTTGGTTCGGAGAAAGGAAATATTTGTACGACTTGACCGATGCACTTCGATTGTCCTTCTCGAAAGAGTATTCGACATCCTGGTTGAACATATTCGGGTTGCCTGAGAAATTTAAGCATCATGGAAGCCGTTTCGTTCGTTGTGACTCCTCTTTTACCCATAATTGCGATAACCACTGCTGTCTGACAAATATTACCGATATGAACAGTGGCCTGATAACCTGAAGAGATCATAGTTGCATGATAAAGTACATGCATTCGAGCTTGAAAATAGAGACAAATTGAATTATCTTGATGAGGTTCTCTGGCTAATGAAAGGATAACCATTCCTTTTCTTAATTGTTCCAATGATTCAGGATCTTTATTGGCAAGTGCAAATGTCGCACTTTCACCTGCACGTACAACCCTACAGGGAACTTTATACCGATGGATTGACTGAATCTGAGCCTTAACAAAATTTCCATCGATATTGGGACCAACTTGAATCCAATTTCCTTCTTTCAAAATTCCCGAAGTTAACAGTCCACCGACAACAGTACCAACTTCAGTTACATGAAAAGTTTCATCAACCTTTAAGTTCATCAGAAGAAAAGAAAACAAGATTATGACTGAATTGATTCCGATGCAAAGAACATTATTGTTAGTAAATTGGGTAAAGGGTTGTAAGAGTAAAGAAAGAAAAGATTTGGCAACAAGATTACGATAGAAAAAGAGACCGAACAGGAAGAAAAAACTGGTATTTAAGCGGGAACACAATTTACGCGGGCAAATTGTTGATTCTTATCCGATTCTCATAATGATAATCTCTTGAAATATTCTCTGGAACAATTAGGAAACTAACAAATTAAGGGCAACGAGAATCAATTAGATCAAACTACCTGAAACTCAGCATCTTTTTGAATTAACTTATCGACATCTTTGTTACTTAGACACGGAGAGAAAACGTTGAGAAAAGTATACAACAGATCGAGTCCAGTCCCGTTGAAACAGGACACTTTAAATATCGGTGTGACATTTGAGGCCATCGAACTGGCGGCAGTAATTGCATCATCTTTACAATTAATTACAATTGGAAGCTATTGAAAGAGAGAGAGAGAGAAAAAGAAAAAAATAAATTAAAAGATAATTAGAAAGGAAATTATTAGCTAATTGATTGTTGTTGAGATTGGGTTTGTTATGAGAGTATAAGTGATTAAATCACTTGTGCAATTAAAGGTTAATTCAGAAAGAGAACGTGTATAAACAGTTGATTATCATCATTATCATTAGTAAATCAACTGAACACAATACCTGATACATCATTAAATATAACATAATAATGATTATCTACCTTGATTTTTTTACCTTTCCTACATTTTGCTTATTAATTGAATTACATCAGCGATGCTGTTAATTGATTATGATGGGATTCTTAACGAAAAAATGTCAGAAAATTATTAAATCAATGTTTACACTTAATTGTTTGTTGATAGAAAATGTGATTGAGGAGATTGAAAAACAAATGGAGCGATTTAAACACGTCGACAATTTTTTTCTGCATCACATTACTCAAGATCTTACTGTTTCCTCTTGCCTCAGGCTATATGGTGTTGAGAGTGTGTTAGTTTAATTATGTATCTGTCAAGTTGATTATTTAATGGTTGGAGAGAAATTAAGAAAAAAATTATGTCGATGGAAGGCTGATTTTTTCTTCCACTTGTCATAATTGTTTCACTTTTTTCTCTAATTATTTCACTTCTTTTTTCTATTTACTTTCTTCTTCTAATTTTTTTTCTTCTCTATTCTATCATGTTTAATGACGATCATGATGATGATGATGATGATGATGATGATTAAATGACTGAATGGATGAAAAGTGTAGGGATAATGTTTTTTTTTTCTTGATTTGTTACCTTTTTACAGGCTGGTGATTTAAGTAAAGATTCAAGTTTACTGAGAGTGTCCTTGGTTGTTTCGCTTGTGGAGAGATCAACTTTGTTTACAACAATTACTATTGGCACGTCCAAGGCCAAAGCCAATCCAAGGTGTTCCAATGTTGTACCGGCAAGACCGGCAACTGCACTGACCACCAACATTGCAATATGAGGAGAATGTCCCATTAATCCGAAAATGGTTGTTCTCAAATATTTCTGATGACCAGCAAGATCTATGAATGTAATTAACTTTGACGATGATTCATAAATCTCTTCGGGAGTTCGGCAGATATTATAAGTTACTGGACAACCTCTACTATCAAAACCTAATATTTCACGACTTATGGACGATGTATGGCCACTTTGAATCTCATGACGATGTCGAAACAAATTGAGTCGTGCACTTCCTCTACCATTATCGAGTTCACCTTGAGTTAGAACACCGAGTAAAGTGCTTTTACCAACCTCAACGTTACCCAAAACTGCAACTCGAAGTTCAATTGATCCTTGATCATCAGGAACTCGTCTAATTAAAACTTCCATTACTTTTCTTTTGGTTGAACTTGTTGCTGGGCTAACTATTTTCTCTCTTAAAATGTTAACAGAAGCCCCTAATTTCTCAGCCATCAAGTATAACGTTCGAAGTGAAGAATCAGCTTCTTCTTCTGTCAAACCAACGAGTAAACCTTTATCCTCAACACCAATCTCATAAATAGCTTCTCCATGACCTAGGGATTAATAATAGAAACAAAAATGATGCAATAAGAGAATAGAATATTATAAAAAAAAGGGATACTCTTATTGAAAGAATAAAAATTTACAAGTAAAGGAAAAGAAATTAACAAAAACGAACCTTCTCTAAGTCTCCATTTCATTTGTGTAACCAAGTGTTCAAATCTACTTTGAGACGGATTGATTAATTTTAATTTGTACTCAATATTACCCTCTGCACATTCAGGAGGAAGGTAATTAATATTATCTTCACCAACAACAGAAATAGAACTGTTGTCAACCATTAGTTCACCATTATCACGATCAAATTCACAATTACCCTCTAAGCCAGCACTATTTACGCTTTTCTGTCCAAATAGACCAATTAACGGATCCATATTGGAACAAAGAAAATAAAGAAAAGGGAGAGATAAAGATGATGAAGGAAAAAAAACGAAAGAAAATTGAAAACAAAAAAGGGCCAAAGGTAAATCGAAAAGAGAAACAAGAGTTTAAAGGTGAAAATAAAAGATGAGATCTATGACCAGGTTCAGGTTACATGGATGATGAACACTCGGTAAATCCCCACAATTGGAATAGAATAAAAATAAATAAAAGAATAAATTATGGAGAAGGAAAAAGATCACAGGAGAACATCAGAAACTGATGAAGGAAAAATTGATCTCCAAGAGAAACTGTCACCAAGAATTAAACAATGTCACTTTTATTGTTGCTTGTTTACAGTTTCAAAGCTTCAGAGTTTTGTTTCTCTTCAGCTGAAACGATTAATTGAAATGTTCTATTCTATTCCACCAGGTGGCGCCACGAGACCATTCGAGGATTTTGGGAGAGAGAGAGAGAAAGAGAGAAAGAAAAGAGAGAGAAACCAGTTCAGTCTTACTTTAGCCTCTCTTTTCTAAGTTTAAGAGTTTCCTTTACTCTTTCTAACTAAAATTTTCTCTTTTCTTTCTTTCTGTGTTTTTTCAAACCTTCTCTTGGTTTAGTGTAATGTATTTTCTTCCTTCGACTTCTTTTCAAGTAATAGATGACAATTTCACTTCTGTGGTTGCTCAACAAAAACCTTTGCAGCCAAACAATGCAGGCCAAGGGATGGTTATGGTTAACACCACCCAACAGGCTACACCTAATCAAACATCAATTCCACAGTTAGAAGGTAAAATATATATTCAAATTAAACTAATTTCTATTTTTTTTATTTCTCTTTCTTTCCCCCTCCCTTTCCATCTCTCTTTCTTTTTCTCTTTCTTTGATTTCTTTCTATTTTTCTCTCCTGATTTGTTCTCTTGCTCCTGTTTCGTTTCAATTTCTTTACCTTACGTTTGGGTTTTCGGATTTGTTCTATGTCATTATTTTCCTATTCCTTGCCTTGCTCTCTCTTTCTTTCTCTCTCTTTTTCTCTATCTGTGTGTTAACTGTTTTTTATTTTCTGTTTGCTTTTTACTCCCATATTATTTTTGTTATAGTGGCGGAACTACAGGAAAGTCCATACACTATTGAAGAGTTGGCTGCTGATCCTTCTTTCTCATCGGCGGCCTTATGCTTCTACCAAGCTGATAGAATGGTTATTCTGGAAACCCAAAATCCAAACAAAAGTCAAACTGAATTAGTGACTATGACAATTCAAGAATGGCATAGCAAGTTGACGACCAGTCAAAAAGCAAAATATCTTAGGATAGCTGAACGAATGGGCCTTGCAAGTATTTGTAGAGCACCTCCAGGGACCCATGGACAAGGAAATCTTTTGTCAATGTCATCATACGTTAATTCAGGCCCACCGCCACCTTATGGTGCAGGCCCAATGTGTTTGGAAGAAATGTTAAAACGAGAACCCAAAAAACCACCTAAAAATGGTTATTCACTATTCACATCAGAACAATTAGCCAAGTATGTAAATGTTGAACCTCAGAAACGATTGGCAGAAGTTGCACGGATTTGGAGGGAGAATGTCACTCAAGAGGAAAAAGAACAATACGATGCTAGGAACAAAGTTCTTCTAGCGCAATATCACAGACAATTGGAAAATTTCATCGAGGTGAGTAGTACATTTTTATCTAATTCTAATCACTTTTATTCTCAATTAGTCTTGTCATAGCCTATTAGTGTCTCTTCATTAATCACACACAAGCGAAGGTTATTTTCCTTTCTTTTTGAACGACCGCTATCCAGCTCACTTCATTCCAGGCCACCATTTAGGCTAACTGTTTATTCCGTTTTCTAATTTTTCTTTTCTCCCTCTTTCATTCTAAATCTTTCACTTACAAACAAATGATAGACCCTGACTCCCGAAGAGCGTTATATTTATGATGATTATTGTCGAAAAAGGAACAAGTACAAGCACCACAAGAAAAAGTATAAGGGCGATGATGGTTTGGAACCTAAAAAGAAGAGCAAAAAGAAGAAGGATGTTGTTCAACAGCAACAACAGCAAGTGCTCCATCAATGAAATCAATTTGTTTCAACTGATTTTTCATCTTAAATTCTGTAACTGCTTCTTCTATAACTCTTCTCTTATTCTATTTCTTTCCAATCTCTCTCTTTCTCTCTCTCTCTCTTTCTCCCCTTGTTCATCATCATTACCATCGTCTTCGTCTTCTTGTTTAATTATAACTTGTGATTTATCAATTAACCGATGTATCTAAACATCATCACATTAATTACAACACTGACTGTATTATAAAGATAATTATAAAACCTAAAAAAGCAAGACCATTAAAAAAAGACAAAACAAAGATGAAGAACTGTAAAAAATGGTCATGTATCAACATCTAAATCAATCTAATACACATAAAATATACTAAAAACATTGTGACTTGGTTTTATTCAAATTCTAAATCTCATCAATTGAACATCAAACACTACAAAAAGAAACATCATCAATCCAATTAGATAATATTGATTATCGATACACTAAGTGTTTATTTGTGTATTTAATTGGTAACAATTAATATTTCCAAGTCTAAAGGGAAAACCAAACCAAAAGAATAACCAATGAAAAGGTTAATTGAAAAGTGAACAAAATTGAGGAAAAACATGGAACTTGATTTGGAATTGGATAAGAGGCTTTGAGTCTTTATAATCTAATAAGCCAATTATTGAATTCGCTTTTGTGTAACTCATAATGTACCTTGATGATTAACCAAATGAACGGTTTTTGTTTCCTTTCCAATGTGACAGTTGATGAAATGAATTGAGAAAGTTAAGGTTTGGTCAACAAGACTGGTTATTTGGGTTCATCTTTTTTTCTGGTTCAAAACTGGTAACTGGTTTATGGTTCATAGTTACCATGATTAGACTAAAAAATGTTTTGATAATGAAATAAATTGTTGCAATCAGAATGGAAGAGAAAAGTGAATGACAAAAAAATTCTATTTTTTTGTTTTCTAAACAACATTTGAAGAACATGAAAAGTGGAGAGAAGAGAAAAATTGAGAGACTAAAATGTCTCCTCTTTTTCCCTTCTCTCTCTCTCTTCCTTTCATTTCTGCTTTTTCCTCTTTTTCCTCTTTTCCTATGCTTCTTTTCATATCCTCTCTTTTTCTCTTTCTTTCTTTTTCTCTTCTTCTTCTATTATTGCAGTAAAAGCAAAAAGAAAGAAAAATGAATCCAAGCTTTTCATCTTTCTTTTTTTCTCTTCTGCCTTTCATCTTGCCTCTTTTTCTCTCTCTTTCCCTTTTCCACCTTTTTCCCTCTTCTTCTCTTCTCTTCTCTGTCTATATTTTGTTTCTCTTTCTTTCTCTCTTCAAACAAGAGTAATAGAGTGTAGAGTCTATAGAAAGGCGAAAACCGAGAAAGCCAGCGAAGTAGGGAAAGAAGAAAAGCTGCATAAAGAAAGAGAAAGAAACAGAAAACTAAACGATGGAAGATAAAGAGACAGACTCAAAAGAGAAAGAGAGATGATAAAGAAGATAAAAGCAGAAAGAAGAAAAAAAAGAGGGAAAAGTAACACTGAAGGGGAAAAGAAGCAAAAGAGAGAAGAAATGAAAACTGTTAGATGATGAAAGCCAAATATATTCTCTTCTTTTGTGAGTGGAAATTCAGTTGAAATATATCGATCTGAATCTCTCGATAGACGCTCGAATATGAAGAAGATGATAACAGGGAAAAGAGAGAAAGAGAGAGAAAATAAATGAAAGAAAGAGAGAGGATCAATGAAAGGGAAGAAAGAGAACACAAGTTGAAACCAAGGCTGAGAAAGAGAAGGAGAGAGAGAGAGAGGGAGAAAATAATATTCTTTATAAAAATAATAAACAATTAATACGAAGAACGATAATATTAGTTGTTAATCAAGTTCGTCATTTATTTCAATAAGAAATGAAAACACACTCACTCACCTTTATGATCGTTTCCAGTTTATCTTACCTTTTTTCTTCTTACCTTCATCTTGTTTATCATCATGTAAACAAATGGATTCCATAGACTATCAAGCGAAATTCATTGATCAAGATCTTAAAGAAATTATGAGAATAAGATGATGAAAGTGTTTACAAAAGAAAGAGAAGAAGATGAACCTCACCTGAGAATCTAAAGAGAAGATGAAAGAGTAAAAAAAAAGAAGAGAAAATTCTGAGAGAAAAAAGAAAACCAGATAAAAGGTAAGAAGAAAAAGAGAAGAAGAGGGAAAAAAGAAAGAAGAAAAGCTTCGGTTGTTTTTTTTCTTTCTCTTCTCATTCAAATAAATAGAAAGAAAAAAGAAACTAAAGGAAATGAGAAGAAAGAAAAAAAAAGAGAATAGAATAAAAATGAAAGAGAACATTTTGACTTCTCTTTCTTTTTCTTCTCTCTTTTCAATGTTTCTCTTTTCTCATTTAGAAATTTAATTTTTGTCAATATAATTTTTTCTTCCATTTTATTTTTATTATAATTTATTTAATTCGATTGTGAATTATTTGTTCATCTAAACCAGTTAATCATCTAATTGTTGCTGTTGTTATGGTGTTTCCAGAATTCAACCTAAACCTGTAGGTTTAGTATTGGGATTAATTTGTTAATCAAAATTCATGTTTACCAAAAGTGTGTTTCATGTTTCATGTTGATAGTCAATGGTTTACACTGACAACTGTTAACTAATCATCATCATGATAATTGTCAGCTCATTTAATCACAAAACTAATATCTTGTCACCAACACCATTGGGTTAATTATTGTCTGTTTAATCAACAGAAAAACCCAACAGGTTAACAACAATTAACTTACTGTACATTGAAAATTGGAAACATCATCTTACTTGTATTGCTTAGGCCTAAGAAGGTTTTAAGAATAATTAGTTTAAACATTGTAAACAATCAGTTGATTTTTTACAAATTTCAACACTAATTATCGTCGGTTTAATTAATCTAGTTCATTGATTGGTGAGATCCCTTGTGAATTGACCATTGATTTTTTTTCCTTATCAATATTCGGTTAAAATTAATCTCAATCTCTCAAAGCAAAAATCAAATTGTCACCATTTTTTGTCTTTACAATTGATCTACAATTCTAATTGCTTAGAGAAAGAGAGAGAGAGAATCCAAATTATTGTTGATTATCATTGACTCTAATTGATTAAAAAATCTCTGATTATGATAAATCAGACAAAAGATTTGTTATTAGTAATAAATACCAATTGTTACGATCCAATTTTCATGTTACTGGCAACATGATAATTATTGGTAAATTTAATTCACTATCAGAGTAATTAATATACTTAATTAGCGCATCACTGGTTTTAATTAACTACCAAATGATACCAATGATTGATACAGAAAACAGTAAATTCAATTTAACCAGGAAAAGGATGATTATTTAAAAATGATCGAGAATCAATTGTTAATCCATTTAATTGTTTCTCTTCAACTACAATTTACAAAGCTAATGGTTAATGTTTGATCTCACAATTAGTTAACCAGTGATTTAATTTGAATTCACTTTCAAGTGAATTATTGTCGTTTATGACTATGATAATTAACGATTACAATTAACAGGAAAATGATTATTATCATGATGATGATCAGACTCATTTTGTAATGAATTTAATTGTTATCGTTATCGTTTTCACCATAAAGTTAATCATTTGCATTAAATTTTCTGTGTGACAATTTAATTGATGAAAACAAGAAATAAAAATCAATTTAGAGTTGATTGTGAATAGACAATCAAATCAACTGTCAACCTTTTAACCACAATAATCAAATTAATTACTAATCAAAATGACAAGAGTTTCACTTTTTCAATTGTTTCTGTTAATTGTTATTACATTTCAATCGTTTTGTAAACAATTAATTAATAGCTAACAATTTACGAATGTGTAAATTGCTGATCCACCATTAACATTGGATGAACAATAATAATCAATTTGATTGATTTAATCGTAAAGGTTAATTACTAAAATTGGTAAAGACAATTAACTTTCATTACAATAACAATTTAATGGAAGGTGAATTTTTTTTCCCAATAGTTTCAACTAATAGTTGTGATTAACAACTAATAACAATTAGTTTTAATTGTTAACCATAAAGAATCGTAATTAATTGTTGGTCTCCATTTTTATCCGATTTAATTTTCTTCCAACTCAATCAAGTTGATTAATCACTTTGATTTATTGAAATTGGTGATGAACATTAGCATCAGTCCAGCGTTTTCGAGGAGATACTGTAATTAAAAGTTAATTGTATTCGATAGTTAATCAAGCGAACATTGTTAATTGTTACTAATTAACGAGAAAAAATGTTAACTGACCAATAGGAAAGTCTTTGAATCTAAGGTACAAATACCACCGAGACTGAAGCCGATCCGATTGATATTCATTCGTTCACAGGTCGCTAATAACTGAGATTAAATTTTGATTAGAAATTAATTGTTCGAGTTGTTGATTGTCAATGACTCACTTTTAAATTCGTAGATAAAGTTAATTTACAACGTCGAGCGATCTGATAGTTAACCGAATGGCACAATGAAACCTGATTAAGTTTTGATTGGAAAAGTTTTAAATCGATAAAGATGATTAACTGAATTAGAATTGGAAATTTCTTTTTAATTATTTTGGTGTTTACCTTGGCGACTGTTAAAGCTGCGAGGATATTGAGAGCGACTATCGCACTAAAGGCCATGATTCCTATGGAGGAGATGATCGTATCGAAGAGATCACTTCCCGTTCCTATGAAAAAGCCAACAAACATGGCGAAATCAGAGTAACTTGAGACAACAATTACTCCGTAGAATAAAATTTTACCCAAATCCACAGTCGACGAATTGATTAAATTGTAGATCTTATTTTGCTGTCGAAAATATTTGAATAGGTCTCGTTGATCGGCTTTTGGTCCCGATTTGACCAACAATTGTCCAAAGAGTTTATTTGAGTTGAGAGCGAATGCAACAAAGGCCATGATCATTGTGTTCTGACTGAAATGCCAGAATGAGGGATAAGCGTCGATAGTAAATGTACCAGAAATTACGATTGTCCAAATGCCGATGATCACAGAGTTGTACAAATTTTCGTAGTTGATTGGGTTCGAAACGAAGGCAAAGGTCAACCAACCAGCGATTCCCAAGCACGTTAACGGAGTTGCGATAAGAAAGAAATAAAGAAGAGGAAAAAACGCCTTACGTATGTGTGAACAATCAGCGGGTGTTAACATGAACTGTTTATGGTCAAATTTAGTCGATCTTAGGCCATCATATATTCTGAACGTTTCCATTCGACCTCGACTTTCACTTAAAAACGAAAGGTACCTTAGACCACACGAAAGTATCAGTAGAAAAGTAATCAACATGTTCTGAATCGCATGAGCCTGCGAACCAATGAATAGATCACCCAAAGCGATTCGAACTGAATCGTAAGGTATAACGATCACGAAGAAACCTCTTAATATCGTAATAGCACCAACACAGTCGAGAAAAAGTTCGAACAAGTAACGACCTTTCGATATTGGTTCGATCTGTGCGAATCCGCTTATTGTGCATAACCAACGAATCCCCAACCTCTCGACCTTGTTCATCAGGTCGGTTGTCGCTTCTCTCGTCGTTTTTTGAACCAACCATTGTCTCCAACGGGTTTCGATAACTTCGTCTTGTTCATTGAACTCACGATATTTATATGGCGACATTACAATTAGATATTAAATGGACATTCGATTCACTCAACAATCGACAATCAATCAAATGAACTTTTGATTTCCAATAAAAGTTTTCATTCTGTTTGTAAGATTGGCGATGAAAGATATTGATTAACTTTCTAATATCTAATTAATTAATCTCACATCTTTCAGATCGGACACATAATTAACACAATTAACTCATTAGACAATTACAATATAATGATTATAACTAATGATTAACAATTTAATTGTCATATCATTTTCGAGTCTCTTGTGCGACAAAAAATTAGTCTGAAAATAACTTCTTAATTAAATCAACTCACGATGTATATTGCTAATTAAGTTCCACTAATTTAGCTGATTAAAATCATGCGATATTATCATTAAAAGACTAATCAGCTGACTAATGATAAAGAAATTGTATCTGAACAATTAAAGGTGAAAATAATCAATTAGATCAAGAGACCATTGGTAATTATAAACATCTCGTTAATTAATATCTTAATCGCTCTAAATTTGATTGTTCAATTAATCAGATTAACTGAATAAATTACTTCAATAGAGGGAGACACTAATTTGTACTAATTGTCAGGTAATTGAAACAATTTATTGAAACGAAAAATTTGATTGATGAAAATTTCAATAGAAATCATTAATTTTGTGAATTACTGTCAAGTCACTTGATCAATTAAAACGAGATTGATTAAATCATTTGCAACAATCAACTTCCTCTATATCAACACACAATTTGTTAAATGTTGTTGGTATGTCCTCTTGTGGTGATCAAAGAAACATTTAATTAGTTAATCAAGTTTAAAATATAAAAAATTGACTTTCTATTGATAATCACAATTGATTGAGATGATTTAAAATCAATTCAATAGTTGGTCTGTCTTTTTTATCATATTCAGTTGATTGTCGAGACAATTTAATAATGGACATTGCAACATTGAGATCCCATTGACCAGCCTTAGGATCAATAATTGATTCAACCAAATCAACTGTTAAATCATCATTAGAATCAATATCGATCACTGATTGTGACCATGAAAGGATATCACCTCCTTCACGATTCTCGTCGAATGGACTTAATCCCGTTACAAGTTCTAACAAGACAATACCAAACGAGTAAATGTCCATTTTCGTAGTTAATTGTCCTCGAAATGATTCCGGTGCCATGTAAATCGATGTGCCAATGATTGTGGAGGTGAAATTGGTTGAAAAGGAAGTTGATTGTGTTGAAGAAGATGATGAATAATTAAATCGAGACAATCCAAAATCACCAATCTTTGGATTCCAATTGTAATCTAATAAAATATTAGCACTTTTTATATCTCGATGGATAAATGAATTGGCGTGAAGATGATTAAGACCACGAGCCGATCCAATTGCGATTTGTTTCCTAATTGTCCAGGGAATCGGTTCGGTATTATTTAGACAAATCAATCGATCGCCAAGTGACCCATTGACCATATATTCATAAACGAGGCATAAATTGTTACCATCACAAGCGATCCCAAGTAAAGCTAATAGATTTTCGTGACTAAATCGAGTTAGAACATCTAATTCACGAATAAATTGTTTACCATATTCATCTCGAACACATTTAATTGCGATCGGTTTTCCCAAGCAATTGTCTCGGCCCAAATAAACAATACCATAAGCACCTTCACCCAATTTGTATCCACCTTCATTTAATGGCAATGAATTGAAATTGTTGGTACTTTGGTTAAGTTGATTGTAAGAATATTTTTTAATTCCTGAATCTCGTTCCAACATTAATTTAACTTGACAATTAAGTGAATTGTCATCAAGACTAAATGATGTTACGTCAGTTGATTGAACAACATCGAGTTGATTAACTTGATTGGAAGTTAATTGTTTCTGGAAAATCAATGGAAATAATCATTAAAGTTGTATTCATTTTTTGTTAACAATTAAATACTAACCAGATTTGATTCATTTCCACAATCTGTTTGAACTTTGTCGTTTAATTGTTTACCGTTTTTGTTAATTGTTTGGTCATCTAACTTATCAGAGTCTCTAATCACTGGACCTTCATTCAAAAGTTTAATTGAAACGTAATCAGCTGCTTGATATAATTTACAAGTAATTAAATTATCAATTAGATCCTTAATTGTTGCTCGTTTTCGTCCATATGTACCCCAATAATCAAGAAGAGCTCGAGTTGGAGATCCGTTAATTTGATTCTTGTGATTTTCCAACAATTGGATCATCTTACTAGTAATTAAATAGCCTTCATTACAATCGGGTTTCGGTAAAATGGAAGCTAATTGTTTCCAATGATCACCAGAATCTAACATTTCAATTAAACAACGACGATCACAAGGACGAAGATGACGAATCTCAGTATTGGCTTCCATTTGAATTACACCGGAAGACGATGATTATGATTATGATGACAAATATGATAGGAAGACAATAATGTTTACAGGTAACTAAACAATTAAGGTTGTTGTTTGTTTGGGTTAGTAGATTGTTGTTATTGATTAGCAACTGATGGTAAACAAAAAGTACTCACATTCATTTAGAGTTGAATGATTAGTATCATTAGAAGTAGAAAGGTTAATAAACAAGCTAATGTTTATTTCTGAACAATTAAAGTTTTCACAACAATTAAAAGGAAACTTGATTTCCAAGTTAATTGAAATTAAACAACAATAAAACTGGTTTAACTTTGTTTCTTAATAATCTACTAATCAAGGAGACAGGCGGTTAATTTGTCTTTCTAACAAAAGAAAACTAAAACTATCAATGGTTATTAAACTGGTCAACTAATTGAGCACAATCATTCACGAGTTAACTAATTATAAGTTTCTCAGGTAAAAATTAATCTTTTTGAAGGCAAAATTGAGAAAAAATCTCAATAGAATCGCAACTTGAACCATGGGAAGAATTAACTTTTCTTTAAACTTCCGATAGATGTCGTTACCTTAAGGGACTTTTATTCTTTCAAAAGTTTTGTTTGTTGATCTTTAGATTCCTTGTTTTGGATTTAATTGTTAAAAGTTCAATTAAAGATATAAAAATGCCTATTGTTTCAAATGTTAAGTCGTCTCTGAATTACTTTGTGTATTTCTATCTATTGAACGGAGAAAACATCTTTTCTGATTTTTTTAAAATGATTATCGCTTTACCAAATGGTCAATTAGAAGAGGACATCATAGACTATCATTTGGAGGATTGTGATGGTGGAATCCGTGTTGTTATGGAGGTCACTCGAGTTTTCCGACAAAAGATGGAGGCCAGGGAGATGCTTTTGATGGTAAAAGGAAGGCTTCTTCCTTTATTTGATTGTGTGGAAACGGAACCTCTGATCAACAAGGTGCTTGGTGATGGAGAAATCAGCAATGAGTGTCTTTTTAAATTGGAAGAGAAATTTATTGATTCGAAGGTTGTGTATGTCGAAGTAGATGTTTGCCATCAAGATTCAGATCGAGTTGAAAATTTTGATGGAAATTTATGTAGATTAGAGTTTCATCTCTGAGAAGTTAAGAAAAGGCTTATGTTTCTAATATGAAATTTAGTAATTAAATCTTTACACTTTGATTATACTTTTGCTCTCATTTTAATTTGTTCATTTTATTTATAATGTTGAATTTGCCCTTAACCCGGTTCACTCGATTTCGGAGGTTCACTTCATGTTTACCTGGTCATCATAATTTGTCCATCACTTTGGTTCAACGTGCAAGTGACTCTATATATGCTCTCTATATCTCATCGAATGGACTTAATCCCGTTACGAGTTCTAACAAGACAATACCAAACGCGTAAATGTCCATGAACATTAGCATCAGTCCAGCGTTTTCGAGGAGATACTGTTATTAGAAATTAATTGTATTCGATAGTTAATCAAGTGAAAGTTGTTAATTGTTACTAATTAACGAGAAAAAATGTTAACTGACCAATAGGAAAGTCTTTGAATCTAAGGTACAAATACCACCGAGACTGAAGCCGATCCGATTGATATTCATTCGTTCACAGGTCGCTAATAACTGAGATTAAATTGTGATTAGAAATTAATTGTTCGAGTTGTTGATTGTCAATGACTCACTTTTAAATTCGTAGATAAAGTTAATTTACAATGTCGAAAAGATTTGAATGAGTCTCGTTGATCGGCTTTTGGTCCCGATTAGACAAACAACTGTCTCAAGAGTTTATTTGAGTTGAGTGCGAATACAACAAAGGCCATGATCATCGTGTTCTGACTGAAAAGCCAGAATGACGGAGTAACCGTCGATAATAAATGTACCAGATTAACAATAATTATCAAAAGAAATGCGATCAAATTAGAATCGATCTGATCGAAAACGATTCAAGTCAAACTGAGAAAGAGAGCTAAGGAGTGACATCTATTGGTTTACCTTTTCTCTTTCTCCAAATAAAAGGTTTTCATTCACCTGATTGTTTGTTAGTAATTCGTTAAAGCGGCAAAATCAAATTCCACGAATCTCCAACTCAGCTAATCAATGAATTGATGAATATTAACAGGAGAAAATAAGTATCTCATTGAAATTCTCATTCGAAAACAATTAATCAAACCGAATCCCTAATTAATGAATATTCGATAAATGAATTTATTTGGTTTAATCCATTTTCGAGCCAACGAGCCGGTAGATTCACTGAAGAGCTGATAAATCAGCGTTCGGAGCCACTGAATGATTCTGTAATTGTGACTTGAGTGAATCTTTTTTAATTTGTTTCTAAATCAATTAAACTAATTGATTGGTTTTTCTCTTTTTTAATTACAGTAATTCTATACTGTTAATCTAATATCTATACTCAACTATTCTCAGATCAACTGATTGAAAGGGTTACATCAATCGAACCATTTTAACAACAAGTGTTTGTTTGTTTTCTGTTGAACGAGGAGCAAAAAAGCTGAAAACAAGAGATTGATCCTTAATATTGAAACCTCTTTCTCTTTTCTTTCTCTTCTCTCTCTCTTTCCTTTCTTTTCTCTCTCCTTGTTCATTTTTTAATCATTCTTTTCTCTGTTTCATCATTAATTCTCACCCTCTATCTCTTTCATCTTTATCTCCCTATTTACACAATTCTACCAACCCTATTCTCTCCCTCTCTCTGTTTTTCTAAACTTCCACCTTCATCACAGTGTTTTTCTCATTGGTGTTAAATAATTCATCATCACCATCATCATCATCATATAAAAAGTAAATAAATATACAAAATGCAATCGCTTGAATCAGTTTCCCAGAAACTCATGAGATTAGATCTACAAGTTAAAAAAGAAAACGCGTGCCATAGACTAGAGAATGATAGTATTATGGCCGCTCACTGTTTAAGTCCTCGACCTCGAATTCGGGCCTTACCCATTGACACCAATTATTACGGAGCAAATGGTAGAGCCTCAGGTAGGACCAGCTCACCATCTCGACCAATGAAACAACCAAAACCCCTTCTATTTACAAGTGATCCTTCCACTCCGTTGAATATTTCATCTTCATCTAGATCCACAAATAAGCCAAATTTAAGTGATCGATTCACCAGAAATTGTACACTTCAAGTTAACGGAAAGGTAATAATAATTTATCATCACCCATTATAATCAATCGACCTCCTGTGTTGTGAATAAAACAATGTTTATAAACAATTCTATGGAAATATAATGAAAGGGATTCCATCATCGACATCATCATTAGATAATAGCTTTGATCTATATATTAATCTATCATTTTTGTTTTGCTTTTCAATGTTTTCCAATTTCTAATTGTTTCTTTGTTTTTATCAATTCTTTTTCTTTCTCTATCACTTTTAGACTTATAAATGTGAAATGGAGGATCTAGAGTTTATCTGTGATCTTGGTTTTGGCTCTTGTGGTCAAGTAACTGAAATGAAACACAAAGAATCAGGAACAATAGTCGCAGTCAAGGTAAGCCGGATAATAAATCGTCATTAAAATTGTCACATCTCCACAAGAACTAAATAAAAAGAAGTGAGAAAAGAAAATGAAAAATTTTTTCCTTTCATTGATGGAAAATTTCTCATTCATTTTTTTCTTTCTCTCTCTCTCTCTCTCATGTAAAGAGGTACCAATTTAACCTTTTCAACGATAATCAACCTTGTGTGGTTTTTGTTTTCCATCTTATCTGATGAATGAAAGGGGATCATCAATATCAGATAATTAGATCACGGGATAGAGTGAAAAGAGCGCGTTTGAAATCAATTGCAAATCATATAATATAATTTGATTATTTCGTTTTTAGCTTATCATTATTTCACTCGCATCAAGTACATACTAATACAACTCTTCAGCTGACATTCCATAGGGTTTAATTGACATTTATTTGCTGTTAATATCCTCATTAGACAGAAGAAATCGACAGAGGAAATGAAAGTGGTTTAATGAAAAGAGAAAAACAAAACAATAATCATTAACTTAATTACTGTCACATATTAATTATTCTGCCAATCAATGTTTCGTTCTTTAATGACTGAAAATCTCTGTCTACAATTGATTGTTTATGTTTCGGTAACAACAAATACAAATCAATTCTAACAATTATTTCTCTTTCTTTCTTTCTTTTTCTTCCTCTCACCTGTTCTCATATCTCACCTGCGATTTTTACTATTACCAGCAAATGCGACGAAGCGGCAATGACGAGGAAACCAAACGAATAGCTATGGATTTAGATGTTCTTTTAAAATGTTCGTCTTGTAAATATATTGTCCAATGCTACGGTTATTTGATATGCAATTCAGAAGTATGGATCTGTATGGAAAGAATGACCACTTGCTTTGAAAAGCTTCTTAAGAAGTTAAATCCACAAACAGATGATGAAAATCCGAAGAATAAGAAACGAGGTGTACCTGAAGATGTTCTCGGTGCAGTTGCAGTCGCCGTAAGTTATTCACTTCATGGATTAATATCATTTCCGATCATCATTAATACTCATCATTCTGTTTTCTATTTCTTCATCAGACTGTGAAAGCCTTGAATTACTTGAAAGAGAAACATGATGTAATTCATCGTGATGTTAAACCCTCCAATATTTTGATTAATATGAAAGGTGATGTCAAACTGTGTGACTTTGGGATCAGTGGAAAACTAGTTAACTCCAAGGCGAGAACAAGACAAGCGGGTTGTGCCGCTTATATGGCGGTGAGTTGATTGCTTTCGATTGTAATGTTTTAATGCTAATTATATTTCATTTCTTTCTCTTTGATTTTAGCCTGAAAGAATTGAACCTCCAGAGCCTTCTTATGACGTAAGAGCCGATATCTGGAGTCTGGGAATAACTTTATTAGAACTTGCCACCGGTGAGAATCCTTATCCAGGCTGTCAAACAGATTTCGAAGTACTAACCAAAGTTATGATCGCCCCACCGCCAAGGTTACCTGAAGATGGTAACTTTATGCCACAATTACGACAATTTATCGACTCATGGTGATTATCTTATTGAATAGAAAATTTATTCTTGGGATTGTCTAATTTGTTTTTTTTTCTTCCTTTTCGTTGCAACAGTTTAATTAAAGATTTTAGAGCAAGGCCAAAATATAAAGAGCTATTGGTAAGTTTCTCTCTTCAAATTCTGTGACATGTTACCTCAGTTTTGAGAAACAATTAGCTACATTTATTGGCATTGATTTCTAACTCACAGTTAATCAAGATTTCAATTCCACTCGAATTCACTTACAAGCTGATTTGCTTTGATTGTTTTTCAATTTGCTAATTATCCTCATATTGATTGATTAATTTTTTACTCTTTTAATTGCAATAGGCCAGTGACTATATTAAATATTTCGACGATAAAGAAGTTGACATTACACCCTGGTTGGCATTGGTTTACGAAGAAGACAAGAAATAATTTTTGGCAGCAACGACTTCATCATCTTCATCATCAATTCCATCTTCTTTTCCTTTCCCTCTCTGTCTCAATATTCACCATTATCACAATCATCAATTTCATCATTCTACAACAACAGTCGAGATCCGAATTTACTTTGATTTTAGTGACTAAATCATCAAAACCAGAGAAAATGAAAGCTGCTGTTTTTTGATTCAATACCATCACACAACTAAATGAGCAATAACATTTGTCAAACTTTGCTGTCAAATGTAAATCCAATCATCGAATCAACTAATATACAAAATTGGATTTAAAATAACGAGTTATAGTTAATATAATCAAACGATTGTCCAAATGCCGATGATCACAGAGTTGTACAAATTTTCATAGTTGATTGGGTTCGAAACAAAGGCGAAGGTCAACCAACCAGCGATTCCCAAGCACGTTAACGGAGTTGCGATAAGAAAGAAATAAAGAAGAGGAAAAAACGCCTTACGTGTAGTGCATAACCAACGAATCCCCAATTTTCGACCTTGTTCATCAGGTCGGTTGTCGCTTCTCTCGTCGTTTTTTGAACCAACCATTGTCTCCAACGGGTTTTGATAACTTCGTCTTGTTCATTGAACTCACGATATTTATATGGTGACATTACAATCAGTCATTAAATGGACACTCGATTCACCCAACAATCGACAATCAATCAAATGAACTTTTGATTTCCAAGAAAAGTTTTCATTCGGTTTGTAAGATTGGCGACGAAAGATATTGATTAAATTTCTAATATCTAATTAATTAATCTCACATCTTTCAGATCGGACACATAATTAACACAATTAACATCATTAGACAATTAAAATATAATGATTATAACTAATGATTAACAATTTGGTTGTCATATCATTTTATAGTCTGACAGCATCGATTAAATCATTTGCAACAATCAACTTCCTCTATATCAACACACAATTTGTTAAATGTTGTTGGTTGTCCTCTTGTGGTGATCAAAGTAATATAAAATATTGACTTTCTATTGATCATCACAATTGATTGAGATGATTTAAAATCAATGCAATAGTTGGTCTGTCCAATTCCTGGATTCCAATTGTAATCTAATAAAATATTAGCACTTTTTATATCTCGATGGATAAATGAATTAGCGTGAAGATGATTAAGACCACGAGCCGATCCAATTGCGATTTGTTTCCTAATTGTCCAGGGAATCGGTTCGGTATTATTTAGACAAATCAATCGATCGCCAAGTGAACCATTGACCATATATTCATAAAAGAGGCATAAATTATTACCCTCACAAGCGATTCCAAGTAAAGCTAATAGATTTTCGTGACTAAATCGAGTTAGAACATCTAATTCACGAATAAATTGTTTACCATATTCATCTCGAACACATTTAATTGCGATCGGTTTATCTCGGCCCAAATAAACAATTCCATAAGCACCTTCACCCAATTTGTATCCACCTTCATTTAATGGCAATGAATTGAAAACGTCTGTCGATTGAACAATATCGAGTTGATTAACTTGATTGGGAGTTAATTGTTTCTGGAAAATCAATGTAAATAATCATTAAAATTGGATTCATTTTTTGGTAACAATTAAATACTAACCAGATTTGATTTATTTCCACAATTTATTTCGAGGGAACATTCGGTGAATTCGTCTTTCTAACAAAAGAAAACCAATCACAAAACTTAAAACTAACAATGGTTATCAACTACTTGAGCACAATTATACATGAGTTAACTAATTATAAGTTTCTCAGGTAAAAATTAATCTTTTTGAAGGCAAAATTGAGAAAAAATCTCAATAGAATCGCAACTTGAACCATGTGAAGAATTAACTTTTCCTCCAATAGATGTCGTTACCTGGAGAGACTTTTACTCTTCATTGATTTGAAATCAAAACAAAAATTTTGCTTCATTTTTTATATTGAATTAATTGAATCTTTATATTAATTAAATTTACTTTTATTCTCACTTTGATTTGTGCATTTCATGTATAATGTTGAATTTTTCCTTAGCCCGGTTCACTCTATTTCGAAGGTTGACTCCATGTTTACCTGGTCATCATAATTTGTCCATCACTTTGGTTCAACGTGCAAGTGACTCTATCGATTCAAGTCAGGAATCCAAATTAATCTCTTCATCAGCAAAAATTAATCCATCGACTGAACCATTAACATCAATAAAAAAGGATAATGGCGATTGTTGGAAAACAAATTTACCCTGTTTGAACGAATTTTTTGATAAAGAAGAAAATTGGGGAGAAAATGTGGTGAGAGTAGGTAAGATTCGTTGTTTGACATTCAATTAAATTTACTTTTCTAATATTATATTTAATTTTATTCTTATTTCAGGTCGTTCTTGGCGTCAAGAAGAATTGAGGATTAAATCTAATAGCGATCTACATAAATTATGGTTCGTCTTATATAAAGAAAAAAATAGGTTGCTGACTATGCAAGAAGCATGTAAAGCGGAAGGACATGTATTTCCTTCCGAAGAGAGGATAGAAAAGGTTGAAGAATCGATGGAAAATTTGGAGAAAATTGTCAGAGAGCGAAACAAAGCTTACTTCCAATTAGAAGTAGGTGAAAATGCCACAAGCGAAAGATCAATGGCATTCAGATTAGATCAATTTGGCCGATGGCGATGGTACGTATTCATTCATTTGTTACTCACAATTTATACGAATGATCTCGTTTTTGCTCATGTTTCTCATAATTACTTTTCTTTCTTTTTATTTTTACTTTTTAGGCAACCAATTTACGAACATTATAAACCATTTAGAGCGAGTCCAAATTGGAGAAAAGTATTTGGCCCTTGGTCAAGTGCAGATACTTTGAATTTTGCACGTGCTTATAGAGAGAGAAGACGAAACGCCCTGATTGCACATTTAAAAATTAAACACAGTTTAGTTCAGCAATATTTGAGGCGATTTCCGAACTTGGATATAAATTATCTACAGAAAAAATTTCCAGAAGTTCCAGTTCAATACATCAAAGATAATCTCAACTTTGATCCTGAGTATTGTCGACTGGTCAGCAAAGGAGCCTACGAGGAACTTCATTAATACGGTATATTGACTTTCTTTTGATCATAACAATTTATCGAGATGATTTAAAATCAATTCAATAGTTGGTCTGTCTTTTTTATCATATTCAGTTGAGTTTCGAGACAATTTAATAATCGCCATTGCCACATTGAGATCCAATTGACCAGCCTTAGGATCAATAATTGGTTCAACCAAATCAACTGTTAAATCATCATTAGAATCAATATCGATCACTGATTAGGACCATGAAAGGATATGGATGGACTTAATCCCGTTACGAGTTCTAACAAGACAATACCAAACGAGTAAATGTCCATTTTCGTAGTTAATTGTCCTCGAAATGATTCCGGTGCCATGTAAATCGATGTGCCAATGATTGTGGAGGTGAAATTGGTTGAAAATGAAGTTGATTGTGTTGAAGAAGATGATGAATAATTAAACCGAGACAATCCAAAATCACTAATCTTTGGATTCCAATTGTAATCTAATAAAATATTAGCACTTTTTATATCTCGATGGATAAATGAATTAGCGTGAAGATGATTAAGACCACGAGTTGATCCAATTGCGATTTGTTTCCTAATTGTCCAGGGAATCGGCTCGGTATTGTTTAGTCCGCCAAGTGACCCATTGACCACCAATAACTAATTCAATAATCACCAATCAATCATTATCATGTTTATAATTCTTTAATATAATCAGACCTCTTATATTTAAGTAAAATTGGTGTTTTGGTCAAAACAAATGAAAAAAATGCGGAGAATTTGAAATGATTTAATTCTCCATAGAAAAAGATAAATCTAATGAATAATTTCATTCGATATTCTCACTATTCTCACTAATCTCTCTCTCTAACCAATCGACTCGAAAACAAATTGCGATAATCAAATCGTCTTAATGATAAAAAATTCCAATCAATTCAATTCGAATCGAAAAGAATCCAAAAAGAAATTAAAATGATTCTATTTCCGAACAATCTGATTTTCTATTTCCCTCTTCTTTTCGATCCACTTATGATCCTCCCCTTTGTCTTTTGTTTATTACAAATCAAAAGCTCAACTTTCAGCTTTTTGTTTACTTTCACGACTGATTTCATGACTGATTTCTAGGTTCCTTTTAATTACCAACATGTACAATTTAAAAAGTTCTAGATTTAATTGTGTTAGTGCCATTTCATTACCTGTTTTATGTGTTCTCTTTGTCATCCTTCTCGAAAAGGTTCCTTCCCTGGAAGCTCATATCGGTCAACCTTGTGCATTATTTGATCTTTGTTGGCCTCCCAATATTCACATTTATTGTGATGATGATAAAATTTGTCGGTGTAGACCAGAAACTCCTGTAATTGTTGGTCCTCATCAATGTAAACGTAATAAATCTCATGGTGATAAATGTTCATCTGACCAAGAATGTATCTATTCAGATAACTATTCTTTCTGTGAATCCAATCTGTGTAATTGTATTGCCAATTACACTTATGATCCCTACCTGATGAAGTGTATGCACTTTTCAATCTCACAAAGGTCAAGTTTCAATGTTCTATACACCATGTTATCATCGGCTGCCTTATGGTTTATCCTGCTTTTCATTGGTCTTCTCATTAGTATTCCCTGTTGTTTAGCCTTTTTGTACCATTGTGTTTGTTATGAAAAGTCAAATGGAGAAATGGATTCATCTATATGCCAAGATACAAACACTCAGATGAGACTTGCTGAAAATGGGGCAAATACATTGAACAGAGAAGGAAGAGAATCAACTAGAAATATGAGAAATGGTATAGAAGGAGGAGGAAGTGGAGATGCAGCTCGAATTTCATCTCGTCATAATGAATTATCTTCTCATAAATCTTACGAAATGAGTTGTTTTGATGAACCACCTCCTTCCTATGATGAAGCTTGTAAACAATGTCGACCAGCACCAAATTTATCCAATCAACAACAACATAATACAAGTTTACCCGATGGTTCCTCTAAATGATAAATCTCTCTTAATCTATACATATAAATCCAATTCTATATCCACCGTGCCAAATAATATCATTCTAATGAATACCATTGATAAGAAAATGTAACTACTAATTAATCGACCCAAGAATCATGTACATGGATTTTTCAACTTAATTTATATTTATGGAAGTGACTGTATAATAAGCCAAGGTAATTGTTTCATCTAAATACCACATCAAGGACCAATTCGGATTGACCACAGTTTCCAAAAGATTCGAGGATATTGCTGATAATCAATTCAACCATAAATCAATATGAATTGTATCTGATTCTTCAACCATGTCAGCAATTAAGATCCAGTTTACAAAATGCTCTAAATTTTGTCTTTACCCAATTGTCGACCTTGTGATCTTTGGTACATTGATCTATCAGATGGAAATATTTACCTGAAGCTGATTGTGCTACATTCAAGCCAATTGATGACAAACTCAAGAGGCATAATAATTATGACGACAAAAAAAACAATTAAAAACATCAACTGACGATGGGAACAGGAAATAACAATGGTTATGTCAATAATTGAAAGCTTTTCATAGTCAATGGAAAAAGTAAATTGTAAGTTGATTATTCAAAACAAAAAACAGTAGTTTATCCTTGTAAATTGTTGATTGTTAATTACTTTTCTTTCGTAATTTTTGTTACAGGAAAAAGCTATAAAAATGAAAACATATTCAATTGTTTTTTGATTGTTCATCAGAAATCATCGACGAGGACATTTCACTTGATTGTCGAACACAAATTTTATTATAATTCTGGAATCTGAAGTTATGCCCACAATCAATTGGTCAACCATTTACAGCCACTGGAAGCACAATCAATTAAATTTACACCAGTCAAATTAAATTGTTAATGACGAAAAGCAAGAAAATGGATCAAACCTCTTAAAAGTCTCATACCTAAGCCCCAACCCCACAAATGGTTTGACCATTGGTCAAGAAAATGAAGTGAAAGTAAAGAAACAAACAAATCTTCTGGTTAATCAGTGAGATCTAGAAGATGTCGTTCAAAACAATTTGATCTCATTAGTGCAAATCAATGCAATTTAAACCTAAAAAAACTATTAACTTATTTAAATTTCATTTCATTTTACTTTGGTCATTTAATGGATCATAAAAACAAATCAAGAGCTTTTTAATCAGATCAAAAAAGCAATACATTCATTTTTATGCTCTGTCATCTCAACTTAATTAACTAGACTTAAATTTAAATTGTGTTGCCACCTTTTAATTGTTTTACATATTTTGTAATGTTTTTTTTAATCCAATTCCAAACAATTAATAGCAATCAATAAACCTGTTAATGAATCTATAAAATGGGAGCAAATTTAATTCATCAACTAACCTGTTGATTTATCAACTATCTAATTGAATGGAGAAATTGGTTAGTAAATCAAAAGTAATGTTAATCAAAAGATTGAAATGTTTCACTAATGAATAGGAAAATTAGGTAAATGGTGAAAGAAATTAATAGATGATTAAGATTAAGTAGGTTGAGATCATTGGCCGGAATAATTGTAATGATAAGATTCAATTGTCAACTTAATGATTAGTGCAATTCAATTTTACGATAATGATAAACCATCCATAACGGTTAATTTTTAATCTTCAGGTAAATCAATTTGATTATTTTTTACACAAAATCAGTGTAAAAGTTACAAAGTAACAAGCAAATGAATGGGAAAAGTGTTTGATTGAATACAAATGATTTTTTATGATAAGAAAATGTCATCATCGGAATTAAGATGAGCATAAACAATTAGCTTATCATCTGGTGTAGTTTGTTGATAGAGAGACTAGAAAATCAATGATGATGATTATCATTGAGCTATTTTACAATTTAGAAAACTTTCAAAATGAATAAAAATCAAGTAAAAAGGTGAACAGATTGAAATTTTTTTCTAAATTGGTGAGAAATCGTTTTGAGATCTGAAAGTGAATTTGATTTACTTTCACATCGATCTTATTGGAAAGTCGAGATGAAAGAAAATTTGATTTTTTCGGCATTGAGGGAAATCCTTAATTGCTCCTTTATTGAAACAATGAGAGTTAATTGTTCTCCATTGAGCTTTTTATTCCTTCAATCTTTCATAAAAGAGCATATATGCTGGCCTGGAAAGAACTTCCATCAAGGTCACAGGTCGAACTACTTGGTCTGAGGTGAGATACCAAGAAGAATCGTTTCCCACAACATTCCGTCGATAAGTAATAAAATGACCAGATTGAGAATCTCCGATGTGAACGATCGTTGAAACCAAACGGTAACGATATTTGACTCGATTGGATCCAAATAATTTGTTATTGGTATTTGAACCGAGTAAAAGGTTTGGTAAAAGTGTGGATGAAGGGTGTGGATAAGGTGTGACAAAAGAACCTAAAAAAGCACCACCAATAGAATCGAGATTATTTTTCTTTGGATCAATCGTCTTAATTAATCGTTGTTGGTAAACATAATCATCCATTGTGAGATATTCGGGAAATGAGACATGATCTGATTTTTTGACAGCCATTCCATTTGGAAGCCATGTTAACCGGTGAAAGTGAATACAAAGTATTTGTGGTAACTTGGCAAAGGTTAATCTTTTAACGAAATCAGGATTATCTCCAGATTTACTGCATTCTTCACATCGTACATTTTGAATAATCTCATTTCTGACAAATTTATCAAGACAATTCTTGAGACTTGATGCAGCACCAGTGAGCAATACACTTGGCATTGCCAAAGAAACTGAATAAAACCCCTCCAAGTGAACTGGATACTTGTAACCACAATTAATACATTGTAATTGACTGGCCAGTAATCCCTTGGTGGGTAAAGGTCTAGGGATTAATCCAGTGATTGAAGTAAATGCATCTTGGGATCCACGAGTTGTTATCCGAGGTGATGATTTATTCCTTAAACTATTTTTCATCAATTCCTGTAAAAATATAGTCAAGGGAGAAAAAAGAAAAAGAAATGGATTAATCATATGATGGAAAATGATTCGTATACAAATTTCAAGGTAATTACAATCAGTGTGAGATCTTTTTTTTATCATAATTATGATTGTTCATTCTTCCAAGGCCTCCAGTCATCATCCCTTTCATTTCAAATAGACTCACTCAATAACAGTATCATCCTCATCCTAATCATCATCATCTGAGGATCACCTCATGTTGTGATTCAACATCATCCGATTTTGCTAAATTGTTAACTCATCTAATCTTTGGCAAGTAAACAATTCTTACCAAAAAAAAGGAGATTGAGTAACATTTGTTTTCGTTGAAATTACAATATTGAAAGTTTGGCTTCCTTAAAGATCAACTCATCAAAACGACAATCGTAATCATATTGATAATATTTTGCTTACCTCCATCAAGATTGCATCGCTCAATGAATAGACAGGCATTGATGAATAAAGTTCACTTTCCAGTGTTGTTGTAAGTGCATTAAACAATTCATGAGCATCCTGAACAATTAAAAAGAAAACATGATTAACACAAAACAATTGATAAAATGGTGATAAACAATGGCTTCAGATAGGGAATGAAGAGCTTAACCCTTAATAACTAAATAAAAGACTTTAACATGAGAATCTAAATATAAGACGATTGAAGGTTTATGGAGAAATTAATTGTTATGATTTAATTACCTGCTCTCCATTTGGAATCCTCCAACGATGATATCTGAGAGCATTTAAAACGCCTTGAGATGAGGCATTGGTGTTACCTTTATCTCGTTGATTAATACCTAAGAAATTGATAGAAAATATGAAAATCCATTTGCTTTGAGACAATTAAATCACTAATCATCACTTACTTTGTATGGTTGTGAGTAATGAAGAGGTTAATTTGTTTTCCTTTGGGCAATTTTCCCTTGTATTGTTATTCCCATTGATCACATCGGTCAACCATTGGTCATTTAATTTGGATGAATATTGAAGCCAATTAACAATTGATCGGCAACCAGCTAATGATTGGATAACCGCATTAACGAAACACTGACTTCCATAATTAATTAATCCAGTTATTCCTTGATCAAACATATTGAAACAAAAACAATAACAAAATAATAAAAAGATGAAACACAAGGAAAAGAAAACAGAGACAGAGAAAGAAAAACCAGAAAAAGAAAGAGAAATTAAAATAGACAGAAAAAAATTCTTTTCTTTTCAAAGTTGTTGATTTGTTTACATGAGAATAAATTGTTTTCTCTTTTGTTCACATTTAATTAGTGATTAGACTAAATTAGTTTCATTTTATTCTAACAATTGCTAGTCTCTGGCGATTAATATAAAATGGAAACAATTAAAAGATTGAAGAAATTGTTGTTCAACTGTTGTTACGTTTAAGTTGAGCGATTGTCGATTGTTAGCCTAACAATGTTAGGTAACTGGTAGTGGAGATTGAAGTGAATCAACTAACTACAGTTAATAGTGAGCTTAACAATCAAGACAGTCGCAATTGAGACAAGTGATCAACGTTAAAATATGAGAATTCAAATAAATCATCAACATCTCACATCTAATTTTGTGTTAAATTGATCATCATCATGTTCACCTGTGTAATTAAAATGGTTTATAATTAACCAACAAGGTGATTTTTTGATTGAAATTTAATTTAGTTTACTTGGTTATCGTAACTGATTGAGTTGAATGATTTAATTAGTGTTGATTATCATTAGTTGTCTGATGAGTTGATTAACTATTTATATCAATTGAGAGAGGCTTAACTACGGAAGTAAACTGTTCAATACTAAACATTATCTTTGTTCAACAATTAACTTACCAAGGTGACAATTTAAAAAGGAAAACTTGATTTTCTTCAAACGATTAACAATTTAATCAACAAACAAAAAAGATTCACGTTTACTGAAACAATCAAGTTAACCTGATTCATTTAACGTTCACTGATTTTGACAATTTAATTTTTTTCTATTGGTTGATCACACAATTAATACGATTCACGTTTTTTGATGCAAACATTGAGAAAGAACCTGATGTGCTACAGAGACACCGAGACCCTTATTCGAAAGCTTTTCAAATTCCGCACCAACAAAAAATAGAACGATTGTTGTAAAGGTCGAGGGTCAAAAGTAAAAATTTTTTCAAATTTTCTCTTTCTTTTCTCTTTCTTTTGACTTTTGCTTCTTTTCGTATCCTTCAAATATTAGTATTGTTTAACAGTTGCATTGTTGTTAAAAATGATTTTAAAGAGAGAGAGAGAGAGAGAGAGAGAGAGAGAGAGAGAGAGAGTTTTGGTTAAGATTTAAACGACTAAATAAGATTCACTATAAGAACTTTTAAGGTTAAACAATATCAATCGACCACTAGTCATTAATTACTCAGATAATTTTATTAGTTAAATTCACGATTATCAAAATTAACTACAATTAAACTATAATCAAGTTGGTCACCATAAAGGTGCCAACTCAACTAATCCACCAAAATGGTGGATTCAAGGAAAAGGAAAAGAGAGAGAGAAGGGGAAAAATTAAAGGGGAAGATGAGGTGGTTTGGACCAGGTATTAAAACAGGTTTAGTACCTGGTTAAAGTTGTTATGACATTATCCGGACGCCATCCTCGTAAAGTCCCTTTTACGAGCAGAATTATTCAAACGACTCGGCAGACTATCCATATCGAAGGTTGCAGTTAGATTGTTCAATTCCAGTATGCTAATAAATTCAAAAGGTTAATAAATGAAATTACCCAACACCAAACCCAATCACCGAGTTGATTAATTATTGATTAAATTTGTTTTTAAGATAATAATATTCAGCTTCCACGGCATAATCCTTAAATTCATCCATTGAATTTACCTTTACCACAGCAATATACTTTAAAATACCAGGGAGGAATCCATTTTTAATATATCTTATTTTATCATCGAAATCCATATTTGGGTCAAGTTTAGCACACAGGCCAACCATTTCAAAGAAATAAGATATAACATCTTGACCTTCGTGTTGCTTTTTATTTTCAATTTTCGAGCGTAATTCATCTTGGTATAGCGAAGGTTGTTTGAAAGCTGCGAGTAATTTAGCTTTCAAATCACTGAAAGTAGTTGGTCGTTGATCGACAGGTTTACTTCTTATACTACTAGCATACCAATCTTTAGCGGGACCAATTAAATAAACAGGTAATCGTCTTAATTTATCAATATTATTTAAGCCAGCGGCTTCAGTTATTTGTTCAAAATCGTCAAGCCAATCATAGATATCAGCATTATTTCCATCAAAGTTTTTAATATTGTTTAACAAAGTATCATCAAAATATCGGCTCGTCATACTTAAGAATCTTTGTTCAATGTAGACTGACTATTAAATCCAACAAAAGCGAACCAGCAATCTTGAAATGAACGGCTAACTCAATTAACCAAAAAGACAAAAGTTTCACAGATTCTGGAACAACGGACAATCGAATCAGTTACTTGAACGACAATTCATCAAAATAACTATTTATAACTAACTGATAATCAATAACTAGATTATCCAAAGACTCAAATACAAAATTTTCTGTTATAACAAATTTTCCAAACGAAATTGACTATTGAATCCAAAAAAACGAACCAACAAATCTTGAAACGAACGATTAACTCAATTAATCAAAAGGACAAAAGTTTCACAGATTCTGGAACAACGGACAATCGAATCAATTAGGAAGAAAAAAATAAAATTTTCTCAATAGGGTTTAACAAAGATGATAAACCATGACCTGTTTATCAAACGACATTTACCAAATGTTGAACGAAATTAACCAATTGACGAAGATGATAAACAATAACTAGTTTACCAATCAAATTTTAAACGGAATTGTCCAAAAGACGAAGGTGATAAACAATAACTAGTTTACCAATCAAATTTTTAAACGGAATTGTCTAAATGACGAAGGTGATAATTAATAACTAAATTATCAATCGAATTTAACCAAATGTTGAACGTAATTTACCAATTGACGAAGATGATAATTAATAACTAAATTATCAATCGAATTTTAACCAAATTTTAGACGAAATTCACCAAAGGACGAAGATGATAATTAATAACTAAATTATCAATCGAATTTAACCAAATGTTGAACGTAATTTACCAATTGACGAAGATGATAATTAATAACTAAATTATCAATCGAATTTAAACCAAAGGACGAAGATGATAATTAATAACTAAATTATCAATCGAATTTAACCAAATGTTGAACGTAATTTACCAATTGACGAAGATGATAATTAATAACTAAATTATCAATCGAATTTAAACCAAAGGACGAAGATGATAATTAATAACTAAATTATCAATCGAATTTAACCAAATGTTGAACGTAATTTACCAATTGACGAAGATGATAATTAATAACTAAATTATCAATCGAATTTAAACCAAAGGACGAAGATGATAATTAATAACTAAATTATCAATCGAATTTAACCAAATGTTGAACGTAATTTACTCAATCAAGTTACTCAATCGTTTCGACAAAACAATCACCGAGAAAGCAAAATGAAGCACAATTGTAACTAATAACTAAGTTACTCAATTGTTTCGACAAATGAATTGCCAAGAAGATAAATGGAGGACAATAGTAACTAATAACTAAGTTACTAAATCGTTTGGACAAATTATTCACCAAGAAGACAAATGGAGCACAATTGTAACCAACAACTAGGTCGCTCGATCGTTTCGATAACTTTATCGCCAAGAAGACAAATGAAGCACATTAGTAACTAATAACTAAGTTACTCAATTGTTTCGACAAATTAATTGCCAAGAAGATAAATGGAGGACAATAGTAACTAATAGCTCAGTTACGCAAAATAATAGCTTGTTTATCAAACGGTTACTAGTCACGCAAAGACGAATTTTTTTTAATGGAATTGAACTGACAAAAAGTGACAATTAATGACAATGTACTATCAATCTTAACCTTATATTTGTGGAATTGAAATAATCAGATTTGAAGAAACAAGTTTTTATTCCATTTAATACGTGGTTGTAACCAAGTAATGTAACTCTACTTATAAGATCAAGAATATCTAAGCAATGAGCTCGACTGAAAAACTTGATAAACAGGTTTATATTAAGATCAAAACTACAACCTCATTCAGATTTCAGGCTATAATCGATTTCCTTAAACAAAGAAACGATTTTTATTATGTTCCAATAACATTTAATTTAACAAATATTCGTAAAATTATTCGGTGACTGAAATTATCAAATGTAAAAGAAAAATACGTATACTAAAATATTCAAAATAATATTATCGACAAAATCGTTAGAATAACATTGAGAAATATTGAGATAGTTGGATGTTGAAGCTTAAAACTAGTCAAACGAAAAAAATGGCTAATCACTGTTGCGAGCCCAATTCACAATTAAAATCCAAACGATTCAATATAACTTCAAATTCTGTATTTTAGCTTTATGAAAACAATTAACATGAAATAAATTGTATCCAACATTTGATGTCAACTAGATAATGAGAACATCACGTCTAAGGGTCACCATGTTTTGGTTAAGATTTAAACGACTAAATAAGATTCACTATAAGAACTTTTAAGGTTAAACAATATCAATCGACCACTAGTCATTAATTACTCAGATAATTTTATTAGTTAAATTCACGATTATCAAAATTAACTACAATTAAACTATAATCAAGTTGGTCACCATAAAGGTGCCAACTCAACTAATCCACCAAAATGGTGGATTCAAGGAAAAGGAAAAGAGAGAGAGAAGGGGAAAAATTAAAGGGGAAGATGAGGTGGTTTGGACCAGGTATTAAAACAGGTTTAGTACCTGGTTAAAGTTGTTATGACAAGAGAGAGAGAGAGAAATAGCCGCGTAAACGTCCACGGAAACGACCTGGTCTGCGACATACGATCGTATGGGAACCAGGAACGCATTCGTGAAGTTTAGTTAGCAAATGGCGGGGCTTAGCCTTGCATATACGAAGCTAACAATATTGTATAAGCTTAGCGATCATGTTGATCGCTCGCTCCCTTGTTGTTATTATTTCAATTATAATCATAATCATAAACCACTAACTATTAATCTAAACAATAACAACATTCAAAAACATAGTTAATTGAAAATAATCATTGTTGACCAATGAATACAGTTAATTAAAACCGACAATTAAAGAATCTATGAATAGGTTGTATGAAAATACAATTTTTTAACGAAAAAAGTCGTTTGTCAGAAATGAACCCGGTTTGGTTTTTATGAGAAGAAAATTTAGTGCGGGCTGACATATTTTATTTGCTTATTTTGAATGAAATTTATTTATTAAATACTATATTTATTTGATTCTATTTATAGATCATCTTTGCGTCAAGAAGAACTTAAAATCATTGTAACAGTGATCTTAAAGAACTATTTTTTGTTTTGTATCAATAGAAAAATACGCTTCGAACTATGCAAATCTTTATTAATTAATTGTACTTGTGTTAATATTCATTGGTACATTTTATTTATAATGTTATCGTTAACCAGTTTCTCTCTATTTAATATATATTATATTTTATAAGATTTTCAATTTATCCTTCATTGTTATGGAAAACAAATGAACCTTGTTTAAATGAGTTTTTTGATAAAGCAGAAAATTGGGGAGAAAATTTGAATAGAGTTGGTAAGTTTCATTTTTTGATATTAAATGGATTTTATTTTTCTAATATTATATTGTAATCTAATTATATTTAAATTTAATAAATTTAATTGCGATTTACATAAATTATGGTTCGTATATTTCACTCTTTTTCAAAATCAAAAAAATTTTATCTTACTGTTTATATTGATTTTACTTTTGTTTTCATGTTAATTATTATATTTACATATAATGTTCAATTCAACTTTAACCCGGTTCACTCTACTTCCTAGGTTGACCTTATGTTCAACTGGGCAGATTTTTAAGCCACTCATCACTTTGGTTCAACGTGCAAGTGACTCTACAGTTTCTAATCAAGAATCCAAATTAGCCTCCGCATCACCAAAGATTAATCCATACACTGAATCATCGGAATCAATGAAAAAGGATGATAAAGATTCATGGAAAAAAATGAACCCGGTTTGAATTCGTTTTTTGATAAAGAAGAAAATTGGGGAGAAAATGTGGTTAGAGTTGGTAAGATTTTTTGACATTCAATGAAATTTACTTTTCTAATATTATATTTAATTTTATTCTTATTTCAGGTCGTTCTTGGCGTCAAGAAGAATTGAGAATAAAATCTAATGATGATCTACATAAATTATGGTTCGTCTTATATAAAAAAAAATATGTTGCTGACTATGCAAGAAGCATGTAAAGCGGAAGGACATGTATTTCCTTCCGAAGAGAAAATAGAAAAGGTTGAAGAATCTCTGGAAAATCTAGAGAAAATTGTCAGAGAAAGAAACAAAGCTTACTTCCAATTAGAAGTAGGTGAAGATGCCACAGCCAAAAGATCAATGGCATTTAGAATGGACCAATTTGGCCGATGGCGATGGTACATATTCATTTGTTCATACTCAGTCCATACGAATAGTCTCGTTATTTATTTATTATTATTTTTCTTTCATTTATTTTTACTTTTTAGGCAACCAATTTACGAGCATTACAAGCCATTTAGAGCGAGTCCAAATTGGAGGAAAGTATTTGGACTTTGCTCAAGTGCAGATACTTTAAATTTCGCACGTGCTCATCGAGAGAGAAGACGAAACGCCCTGATTGCACATTTGAAAATTAAACATAGTTTAGTTCGGCAATATTTGAGGCGATTCCCTAACTTGGATATAAATTATCTACAGAAAAAATTTCCAGAAGTTCCTGTTCAATACATCAAAGACAATCTCAACTTTGATCCAGAGTATTGTCGACTGGTCAGCAAAGGAGCCTACGAGGAACTTCATTAATAAGTAATATTGACTTTCTTTTGAGCATAACAATTTATCGAGATGATTTAAAATCAATTCAATAGTTGGTCTGTCTTTTTTATCATATTCAGTTGAGTTTGTGACAATTTAATAATGGACATTGCAACATTGAGATCCCATTGACCAGCCTTAGGATCAATAATTGATTCAACCAAATCAACTGTTAAATCATCTCACCATTTAGAGCGATGAAAAAAGATTCATGGAAAAAATGAGAATGGTTTGAATTCGTTTTTTGATAAAGAAGAAAATTGGGGAGAAAATGTGTTCAGAGTTATGCCACTTATGCTCAATGAAATTCTTCTATTTAATATTATATTTAATTTTATTCTTATTCTCACCGTCAAGAAGAACTTAGGCTAAAATCTAATAGTCATTTACATAAATTTTAGTTTATTTTATGTAAAGAAAAAATATGCTTTTGGCTGTACAAAAAGCTTATTCAGCGAATTTAACATATTTTCATATTATTTTATTACTTTGGGAAACTAGAGAAAAATTTGAAAACATTACGAATCATTTGTTCACACTCAGTTCATACAAATGATCTCGTTATTTATTTATAATTATTATTTTTTATTCTTGGCAACCAATTTACAAACATCTTAAATCCATTTTAAGCGAGTCCAAATTGGAGGAAAGTATTTGGACTTTGCTCAAGTGCAGATACTTTAAATTTCGCACGTGCTTATCGAGAGAGAAGACAAAACGCCCTGATTGCACATTTAAAAATTTAACATAGTTTAGTTCGGCAATATTTGAGGTAATTCCCTAACTTGGATATAAATTACCTGCAGAAAAAATTTCCAGAAGTTCCAGTTCAATACATCAAAGACAATCTATACTTTGGTCCAGAATATTGTCAATTGGTCAGCAAAGAAGCTTATGAGGAATTGTATTAATACGTAATATTGACTTTCTCTTGATCATAACAATTGATTGAGGTGATAAAATCAATGAAAAAGTTGTTAAAGGTTCATGGAAATGAGCACGGTTTGAATTCGTTTTTTAATAACGAAGAAATTTGGTTAAATGTGGTTAGAGTTGGTAAAATTCATTTTTTGACACTCAATAAAATTTATTCATCAAATATCAAATTTCATTTTTTCTTATTTTAGGTCGTTACGTCAAGAAGATTTACAAAAATTCTGGTTTGTGTCATATAAAGAAAAAAAATATGCTTCTTACTATTCAAGAAGCTTGTAAAGCGGAAGGATATGTATTTCCTTCCGAAGGATTCCGAGGATAGAAAAGGTTGAAGAATCATTGGTGAATTTGGAGAAGATTGTCAGAGAAAGAAACAAAGTGTACTTCTAATTAGAAGTAGGTGAAGATGCTTCAAGCGAAAGATCAATGGCATTCAGATTAGATCAATTTGACCAATGTTGATGGTACATGTTCATTTGTTCACACTTAATTCATACAAATTATCTCGTTTTTATTTCTTATTTTACTTTTTAGGCAACCAATTTACGAGCATTACAAGCCATTTAGAGCGAGTCCAAATTGGAGAAAAGTTATTTAAAAATTAAACATAGTTTGGCAATATTCGAGGAGATTTCCAAACTCGGATCTAAATTATCTATTAAATCATCAACATCTCACATCTAATTTTGTGTTAAATTGATCATCATCATGTTCACCTGTGTAATTAAAATGGTTTATAATTAACCAACAAGGTGATTTTTTGATTGAAATTTAATTTAGTTTACTTGGTTATCGTAACTGATTGAGTTGAATGATTTAATTAGTGTTGATTATCATTAGTTGTCTGATGAGTTGATTAACTATTTATATCAATTGAGAGAGGCTTAACTACGGAAGTAAACTGTTCAATACTAAACATTATCTTTGTTCAACAATTAACTTACCAAGGTGACAATTTAAAAAGGAAAACTTGATTGTCTTCAAACGATTAACAATTTAATCAACAAACAAAAAAGATTCACGTTTACTGAAACAATCAAGTTAACCTGATTCATTTAACGTTCACTGATTTTGACAATTTAATTTTTTTCTATTGGTTGATTGTTATTATTTCAATTATAATCATAATCATAAACCACTAACTATTAATCTAAACAATAACAACATTCAAAAACATAGTTAATTGAAAATAATCATTGTTGACCAATGAATACAGTTAATCAATCAAATTGCTACACATCGATTACCTTAATTGTAACGGTAAAAAGATGAGGGAAAAAATGATTACAATTACAACAAAGTAATTGTTCACAATTAAATTAACCGTTATACTGAAAATGTATGATAATGACTTTGTAATTAAATGATTAAGTTAATTGAAACAATCAACTGTTCAACTGATTAACTGGTAAACTATTTTTAATCATTGATTGTTCAGTTTGATTTAATTTTAACCATTTCTAATTTCAAGGTAATCAACTTTCAACCTAGGATTTAATTGTGATTTGTGATCATGATTAAATTTAATTTCTTGTAATTATTTTTAATCAAGGATTATCTTCATTGTTGATTAGTTAATTTTTTTTTCTTTCCCTTAATTGTAAATTTTTACTCGTTTTTTAATTTCATTCAATAGTCAATCAACTTTTGATTGATTGTTGACTAACGACTAACGACTAAAAATAAAGAAATTAAAGTTTACAATTAGGTTAATTATTAGCTATTGGTTATGATTGCAATTGATCACGATTTACAGTTTTCATCGCGATTAACTTTTAATTGTGATCAACAAACTAACTTTTTACCATCAATAAGTTACAATTATTAATACATAATTGTCATTGAACAAATTTGTTCATTTCCAAACAGACCAATTAAAAATATTTGCAATCAACTAATTGTTTCAAGTTAATTGTCACCTAGATTTGTTTTTAAAACTTGTATCTTTAATTAAGATTGTCGGTCAATTAAATCAAAGTTAAATTGTGAAATTAATTGACTTTTTAAAACCAATATAATAATATCAAAAGTAACAATCAGATAATCAATGAATTGATTGTTATTAAATTGTTGAAAATGAAAAAGTTTTTAAGGAAAAACAAATTAGTTGATTGTCAGAAATGAAGGAAATGAAGGTTAACTTAATTAACATAGGAAATTATGTTCACCTGTTTCCGAATTGATTGCAATCAATGGAAACAATTAAAACGATCTTGTATTGTTTAATCACTCCTTTGATTACCACTCCTATTAATAGTTAATTTGAATGATTGTAAATAGCAAGAGATGATTATAATGATAATCATGTTAAGAAATCAATGAAAAGTTTGATGATTTAATCGAGTAAATCAAATTCTTATTGTAGTTAATTGTAAGAATATAAAAGGTTAATGAAAATAAAGAGTTAGTATGAATAATTAAATTCTAATCGGAGTTAAATTGTTTTCCATGGACATCATGATATTAATTCGTGATTGGTGTTCATTGTTCGTTGTAAACAATTTACTGATTGTAACACAATCAATGATATTATAACAACAATCACCTGTCCATTGGTCAATTAGAGAGTCAATTTGATAAAATCTCAGGTTAAACAATTTAACTCAAGTTGATCAAATATCATTACAATTTAGTAAACATCGAGAATGAAACAAAAATAAACTTTTTGATGACCAACAATTAAGTTAATATATTTACATTGTGACGATGTAATTAGGTTTCTAATTGTGATTAAAGCTTCCTTTGTGACCTGTAACTGTAAATCATTTGATTGAATTGTTGCTAAATCATCTAATTGATCAACAAAATCATCGAATTAATTGTTAACCAATAGAAAAATTTTTTTTTTCTTGTTCTTCATGTTAATTCAATTCGCTTGTTGCTAACTCATCTACTCTTTTACTATCATCATCTTCCTTGTCCTTATTTCTTACTATTTTATCATCATCTCTATATTATCATCTTCTTCTCTTACTTTTTCCACTCTTAATCATCTTCCCTCTCTCACAATTCACCCACTCTCACCTTCTTCCTCCTCCTCTGTAGTTTCTTGATTACAACGCATGGACTTAATTCTGGATCAATAAAATTTAGGTTTGGCAAAAGCGAGAGAAAAATAAAAACAGTTACTCATTTCAATTGTTTACTTCACTATTTTCATCTAAGATTCTTGATTGTTGGATAAATACCCAACAATTAACTTAAATCAGCTGACCAATGTCAGATAATAAACCAACTGGATCAACTAAATCATCAACGGATAAGCCAAAAAATGTTACATCAGTTGAAAGGTTGTCAAGAGGAGCCCAACGATCAGCGAGTCGAGGTTAGTATAATCACAATTAAAATCACAATTAAGTGTATATTTAGTATTAATTGTTGTCATCATTAGATCATTACCTTTTTTCACAAGTTAATTACTTTCTTTGGTTTTAATATAAACTCATATTGATGTTTGATTAATGATGAGAATCATTAATTACTCTTTGTCCTTCTTAATCCATTTCCTCGTTTTCGTCTATTAATATTTCTATTCATAATTGAAGATCAATATGTTTATCCATTAACTAATCATTTTCTTCACTTAATTGTTATCTAATTGTCTTTCTTAATTGTGTTCAATAGATTCAATGAAAAGTCGAGATCCATCAAATTGTACATCTCCTACTAAAGATTTATCAAGAAGTAAGTTAATCATTTGATTACATTCATTTTTCCTATCAGATAATTAATCCATCTCATTAGTTAATATCATCTTCAACATTAAATTGTTATAATCTGATTGTTTGTTAATTGTTACAACATTGTAAACAAAATGAGTAAACTAGTATTCACTATCTATTGTAATAATTAATACTTTCACTGATTAACAATTTATCTCATGTGTTACTGGATTTGGATAGTTACCAGAAAACAGATTAATTAACCTAATTAACTTAAACCAGAGTAGTAATTAAGTTAAAAACATTAGCAAATCTATTGTTGGTTAGTAATTAATTCATATAATCAATATGATTTGATTTTCACATGTAAATTGAATATCAATGAATATTCAAAGTCAATCAAATAACTTAATTGTTTTCTTATAATCAGTAGATTGAATTTAAAACTATCTAACCAATGATCAGCAATTTAATCAAATATAAACAAGTTAATTCACTTAAATTATTGTTTAGTAATCATAAAAGTTAATCATTAGACATCAATTAATTTGCTGCAAGTCGACATGACAAAAAATGAAACTTTTCTGATCGATTTAGTGATTGTTATTACAATTAACTGTGTTTTAATTGTTGTGCTTTTTTTAATCATTAACACTAATATTTGACATTCTATCAATTTTCATTGTTTGTCTTTTAATTGTGATCAGAATTACCTCCAATCAAAGCACCAGTTGGATTGGCGAAAGGGCCTGACCTTAAAAATGTCAGATCGAAAATTGGATCTTTACAAAATGTCAAACATAAACCAGGTACTTATTAATACTTCAAATTGTTGATCAATAAACAATTAATTGTTTCTTAATTGTCAATTGTAGTTGGAGGTGAGAAGAAAGTAATTACACAGAAATTAGAATGGCAAGCAAAGCCTAGAATTGGTTCACTTGATTACGTTAAACACAGACCAGGTAAGAATAGGAAATGGATCATCATTGGATTGCGATTTAATTGTTGATGATTTACTAATTGTTATCTTATTTTCTAGCTGGAGGTGATGTGAAAATAGAGAACAAGAAATTGGAATGGAAAGCGAAACCTAAAGTTGGATCTTTAGACAATGTCAAACACAAACCGGGCGGAGGTCAAGTGAACATATTTGACGAGAAATATACAAGTAGATCATCAACCGGAGGTCGATCACCAAGTGAGAATCGATCGATAAGTCCAAGTTCAACAGCGAATTCGGTGAAATCTTCATGTAACACTCCGACCGATGGTCGATCACCGTTACCATCATCATCCTCTTTGAAAGAGGGCAAGGAAAACAAACCAAGTGAATCAACACCGATCGTGAAAACGACGAAAACACCAACAGATCTGAACAATAATAACACCAAAAACGATAATAGTGTAAAAGAATTGAAATCAACTGGATCAAGTGTCAACTCGAAGCCTTCGAGCGCTAAAACTGATGAAAACAACAACGACAAAATCGCATCTCGACCAAACAGTTTAACATCAACCGCATCTCAGCCTGTAAAGGGTTAATTAATTGCCGCTATTTGGACCAAGAAATTACCTTCGAAATCACCTTGGTAATCAGCGAAACAAATCCACTTGGATTAACGCTAATTCCTCACAATTAACTGATCATGGCAAATATTTTATTCTGCTGTTGAATCCACTTTATATTCTTGATCAAAATTGATTTAAATTCTTTCATTTAATCATCGTTGATTTAAACCATTTCCTCTGATTATTTTCTTCTTCCTCTTCTCCAATCAAACGGATTGATTAACTTGGATGACAGTTGATCACAATCCTGAGATGATCAGGGAACAATTAAGCCAATCATTTACTTTTCGAATTTTTCATTTTTCTCCTGAAAAAAATTGAAAGAAAAATTAAACAGTTAATTGTATTTTTATTCTTTTCTTTTCTTTTATCATTAATCATCATGATTTAGAATTTAAATCATTTTAATTTGGTCCTTGTTTTTCCATCACAATCAACTAATTGCAACATGGTTACTATACAAATGAGAGAAAATGATTATTTAAACACTCAAAATGTGTCAAAGAAAAATGATATTAAGCTCACATCAAATATTCAAATTATATATTGATTGTAATAAATTAAATACTTATCAGTTTATTGTAACAATTAAAGTAAACTAAATTATTAAGAAAGAGTCACACTAATTAAAACTATCGATAACTTGATTATCCTTAAAACAATTACTCCAAGTTCAGCTATTCAACAATTCAATTTAATCGCATGAACTAAATTGATTTAGATGATTAATCATAACTCACCCGATTGATTATCTAAATTAATCACTAGATTTGAAATAATTAACAAAATAATTTTCCCTTATTAAGAGTTGATTGAAATTAGATTACAACTCCAGTTAATAGAGTAATCATCTTTTCCACCTTTCTTACAGACTCATAAAGTCATAATCTTCAATTAATTCAGGTGTCATCAATTTTATCAATACTAAAATCTTACAATTTGGTCAATTGTTTCATCTTAAATTAAACAACAATTAAATGAGTCACCAAATGATCAATACGATAGAATACAAGTAGCGCCACCTGGAGGATTTAAATTCGATTTTGATGAAAATCATCATAACCATTTGTTTGTTGTTTTCTGTCACAATTAAGTCTCTGTTTTGGTTATTATTTTAATTATTTTTATAATTGTTTCATTTTATTGTCTCTCAATCAATTTAATTCACTATTGTTTACGTGATAGATCAATTTGTTACTTGCCACAATTAAGATGCCCGTAAGTAATTAACTAAATGTTGTTAACCTTTTTCTCTCATATGTTTTTAGAAAAACCTTATTATTGTTTTTCCAAATGTTACATATCCTCTCACACCCATTTAATTATTTCTCTTCTTCTAATTTACCTTATTTGTAATAATTATTTTTTTTTCTTTTCGTCATCATCCATAGGGATATCATTCTAAATTAACAAATGCATCTCGGAAGATTGGAAATGTAGCCTTTCTCACATTTAAAACTAAAGTTCGTGGACCAGTGACAACAATGAGTCCAGAAGATTTGGTTGATAATGAATTGGATATAATTGATGAAGCTCTTTTCAATTTTAAGGCCAATGTTTTCTTTAAACAATTTGAGATTCAAAGTGATTCTGATCGAGTTCTAATCTATTTAACCCTGTTTATCACTGAATGTTTAAAGAAACTACAAAAATGTACCAGCAAAGATCAAGCATTACAAGAAGTTTACTCTCTTGCTGTTTCCAAATTTGACATTCCCGGTGATGTTTCATTCCCTTTGAATACCGTTTACGCTAAACCATCAACTCTGGATGAAGCTAATCAAATGCGAGCTTATTTTAACCAATTAAGACAAGAGACTGGTCAAAGGCTGGTGGAGAGAGTGTTCGATAAGGAAACGAATAAACCATCAAAATGGTGGATCTGTTTCGCTAAGAGAAAGTTCATGGATATTAGTCTTTCAGGGAGAGGACAATAAATTGCAATTCTTTTGTTTTTCTATTTCAAAAAGAAATCGTCACTTGTTAACCATTGTCATCGGTTGTAAATTCCGATTCTTTGATTATCTTTCTCTCTCTCTCTCTCTTCTATACACACATACACAGTCTTTTCCTCTCTTTAGAACTGCTCAAATTGTTTTCATGTTTCAAATTGCCGAAAATGTGGACCGATTACTATGGATTGATAATTAACACGATAAAAATGAAATAAAGTCATTTAGACAAGAAAATATTATCAACCCTATGTAACAGATTTATTGTTTCCACATGGATGTTTTTTTGTGTTGGTGTTTGTATATAGAAAGTTGGTTATTTTGTTTCAATGAGTTAATATTTATTGTTGTTGTTTTGTTTAGAAGAAGAATCCTAATATTTTTCCTCCAAGATGCTTGCGACGGGCTTCCTCATGGTCCATGATTCCTCCTGATGTTGTTAAAACAAAATAACCAAATTGACGAGATGGCAATAGATTCCTCATGTAAGTTTCAATGTTCCTTAATTCAACATCAAATCTTGGAGCTATAACACCACATTTATTTAACCTTCCAGTAAGGTTTACTACAATTTTACCGGCTCGATGGTCATCTACAATTTCAAATTCACCAATGTAACCATGTTTCATCATTACCTTAAGGAATTTAATTATTACCTTAGATGATGGACGTATTAACACTTGGCGTTTACCTCGTTTCTCTGCATTGTTGATGGACTTGAGAGCATCAGCTAAAACATTCATACGAACCATTGTTAATTTTTTAAGGTTTTAACAAATTACCTTTCGTTTAATTAATTTCAAGGGAAAATAAAGGAATAGATCAACACAATAGGTAAACTAATTATTAAATTAAATTAAATTAAATTTACAATAAACACAAAAGTAAATTAACTTTTCATGTGGTCTTAATATTAACTCTTAGAGTTGAGTTTACATTCATTTGGAAACCGAGTCTTCAAGTTTCCTTTTCCGGGCTACGTTTCCATGGAAACGAGAATAGAATATCAGTAGAAAAACCGCTCGATTTGAAAGAGAAGAAAAAAATCAATTTCTGTTCATTTAATTTCTTCAGTTGATCAATTGGAACATTTCAATTTAATTTAATTTAATTTGATTGGAATTTAAATCTACAATTTTAATTAGAATTTCTTTCCTCAATTAAATTCGGAGATCAATGTATCAAAGTGAAACCATTGATTCATCGATTGTGATTGTTTATATTTTCATTTATTTTTCATTTGTGTTCATTTGTTTGTTTTGTGATTTTTTTCAATTTTCATTTTTTCCTTTTTCTATTTGATTAATTTTCTAAGGTAAGTCTTTTAATTAGTTGTTGATTTGATTGTTTCTCTAATTAGTGTCGTGGATTAATTGTGATTATTTTACATGTGATTGTCTTCAGATTTCTATTGGAAACTGGTGACTCTCTTTTTTCCTTCTTCTCTCTTCCTTTTTCTCTTTCTTTCTTACTTTGGGTTTTCTTATTCTCTCAATGGAATCAAAATTATGTCATCATGTTGATTTTTGGTTTTCACTTGAGACTTTGATTAATTTGGTTCCTGATTAGTTTTTATTCACCGATATTCATCAATTCAGCCTGGAACAGTTGGTGATTATTATTACCTTTTTATACTTAAATATTGACAAGGTAAGTCCATCGATTTTTAATCAACTCCAATCAGTGTTTTCTTTTTCTCCTCTCAATCTCTTCATCATTATGATGAGTACATTTTTTATTTAGTATTAATAATAGATTGTAATCTTTTAATTGTAATTAATCGTGGTGACTTGATGATACTTATTGTTTTTGACCTTTTTCTTCATTAATCAATTCGATTCAGACTTTAGGTTGATTATCTACTTTTTAATGGTTAAGGGAACATTCATTTTCTCCCTGAAACATTTCCTCTCAAATTGATGTTATATTTACTCTTTCTGATTATTGGCTTGACAATTTACACAATTTCTGCATAACAATCAGTTCATGTTTCCGTTTGTTTTGTTAAATTAATTGCTTTCCATTCCCATCGATATCATAGGCCTGTTAACATCCCAAGGTTCGAGTAACAACATGAAGAGAACAAAATTTCACCTCATTTTCTCTCTCTCGATCATTTTATCCTCTCTTTAATCATTAACTAATGTAATTAAACTAATCCATGGTCATCTTATGACTTGGCTTGATTTGGGAATTTTTATTAATATCACTCTTTAAGCCTCCACACATCGTATTACATTTCGTGTGTCCAATCTTCATCATTTGAAGCTAATCAGTGTGTTCACTTAATAGTATTTAATCAATTCCAATCAACTATTAGTATCTTGGTTACTCATTTAGTTCCAAATTCTTTCAATCTAATCACCTCATCCTTGTTCTAATTTCATTTTAACTCTTTTTTCATTCTAATTGTGAACTTCAATTTCTAATGACAGTTTCTTACCATCTCTTGGCTAACAATCCAACAATATGAATCTCTAATTAGATTTTATCCTCTGTGAAATAACAATTAACCAAAGATTAACTTGTAAATCATTTTTCCTCTTTACAATTTAAATGTGATTAGTTGTTTTTCTTGTCAATGACACTTCCTTCAATTCAAGTCACTTCTTATTGTTTCCTTGGTTAGCAAACTATCAAATTTAAATAGTGTTCAGATTATGAAAGTTTCCAAAGAATTAAAAAAATCATCATGATTTAAATCTCATCATCATTTCTATTCCAATACAATCAAGGTAATTCTGTCAATTTCTTATCCGTGTTTACTGAATCTCCCTGACAATCAACAATAACCAACAACTATTCAATCAAAATGATCATTTATAAACACGAATTGATTATTTCCTTGTAGAATATTCAATCGATTCATTAAATTAATAATAATTTTCTCTTACTTCTTTCATTAGGTTTCCTTCCGTAAGAAAATTAAAAATGTCCACAAAAACTAATTTAACTGACCAATTGAATTTCCTACGAAACCAATATGATGCCCTTTGGTTAACTTTCCATAACTACGAATGTAATCAATTTAAACGATCACTTAAACGTAATCCAAAACAAATAAGAGCTGATGTATTCAAAGAACCATCAATTCAGGTAAATAAGTTGATCAAAAAGTTTTCATGTTATTGATAATCAAGTTTAATTAAGATTAATAATAATAAAAGATTGTCAATATTGAAGGTCACTGACATTGTCCATTCATAAACAGTAGTAAATGTTACAATTTCTCATTGATTAACATGGTAACATGATTGATATTATTTGTTTATTTACTATTAACATATTATTATTCTCATTCTCTATTTATTATTATTTGTTCCAATCTAAATATTTACAGGAACTTATTGAAAAAGATCCTGAAATCAAGAAAAAGATTGACAAGATTTTGGATGAAATGTCACATACATTTACGTTAAGATCGATTCGTTTCATTGGTTACTTTGTTGTGAAAATAATGAAATCTATTTACCGTCATGCCTGGATCGATGATAACATTTCAATTGATCCAATGTCCTTCTACTTTGATCCAAATAATACAACAATACCCGCAACAATTAATCGTCTGGTCACCGAATCGCCGGTCGTTTATCTCCCAACACATCGAAGTTATGCTGATTTTCTTCTCTTGTCTTACATTTGCTTCCAAATGAATTTACCTCTTCCTGCCATCGCCGCGGGCATCGATTTCTTATCTCTCAAACAAATTGCATCGCTTCTTCGTTCATGTGGTGCCTTTTTCATCCGTCGATCCTTCAAAGGGTCTGAGGATAAACTATACCGTTCCATTTTTCGTACCTACGTCCAAGATATAGTTAAAGGAGGAGAAATGCCTCTCGAGTGTTTCATTGAGGGAACACGTTCGAGGTCGGGAAAATCTTTACAGCCGAAACTCGGTCTCATTGGAACCGCTTTGAAACTATTCTGGACCTCACAGATTCCCGATTTGATTCTTGTTCCTATTTCTATTTGCTACGATCGAATCCTTGAAGAAGATCTTTATGCCAAAGAATTGAGTCCCCCTCAAATTGATGCTTCAAGTGGTTCGAAACCCAAAGAAACGCCCAAACACTTACTATCCGGAGCCAGAGCGATTCTTGCACAAGATTTTGGCTCATTTTATATTCGCTTTGGATCACCGATTAGTTTACGAGAATTCCCTGGTAATCACGATATACGATTAAAATACCAGAAAAGCAATAAATCATTCGATGGTCCTCAAAGTAGCGAAGAGCTATCGTTCGCCTCGCAATTATGTCGATGTGTTATTAAAGAGCAACATCGGGCTTCCATAATATCGCCTTTTTCCCTGTTTTCTTTTATCATATTTTCTGATTTAATTTCCAAATGTAATTACCTGGAATACGAACCAATCATTTTGGAGGAAAACACTTTACACATCGATTATGATATTGAACAAACTTTAGGAAACATGGATCTGCTGTGTGATCTAATTTCGGACAATAATTTATCCCATAAATTAATTTCCAATAGTCTTAAGGATGAATTTTTTTCCTGTCTGTCGATTCATCATAATCTAGTCAAATTGCAACAATCAACAACAATTGGTCCTCAAAGTTTAAGAATATCATTTGAAAATAATTTAACTTTAGCCCGATTTCGTAATTATTCAAATCAATGTCTCCAATTAATCATAGAAATCGCCATGGTTATTTATTCATCATCTTATCAAGTATATAAGAATTTGGAGAATCTCCTTTCGCAAGAATTTGTTTTAACACCTAAATCATCAGCTGATTACGAGAATGAAAAAAATATTCATCAAAATTTGTCACCTCAAGTTATCGAAATATTAACTGTCCAGATAAACTATTTCCTAATCAACTACCATAGACTTGGTCAATGGCTTCTATCAACTGGTCCTGATGAACTTTTGGAGACCAAATTTTTCATTCGTAAAGCTCAAAGTGAAGTCAAAGTCCCAATGGATTTAGTTCAAAACTTTGTTCAACTCTCATTAAAAAATGGCTCACTAATTAAAAGAGGGGACCAGCTGATTACCAATCAGAATGTAACTCGAGATCTACTTGATTCAATAATCTCAACCTCATACAATAGCTTGGATATTAAACTGATGGCAAAAGATTCAACAATCAAACCTAAATTGTGAATTTAACTTCCATACCAATCTGTTGGATTTTCTAAATCAAGACTAATCAATTTTCTTCTTAGCAATTAAAATGAATCATTAATGAAAAGGTCACAAATCAAGATTAACAGTCATTGTTAAACCAATTTTGAATAATCAACTTACAAGTTTATAAAGTTTACCAACAAAATTAAATTAGTCTTGAAAAGTTTTGAGTCTTTGGAGTTTAATCAGCAATAAATCAAAAGTAAATTGTTTTTAATTAAAAGCAACTCCAATAAGTTTGCAAAATCCATTTATGATCACCTTAATTGTTACCATTGTAAACCTAAAGTTTAATAAAATTAAAAAGTTGCTACGATTAAATTTCAAACGTCGATCTCATCAGCAATCAGTAAACTGGGTTTCATTTATGACGATAACAAGAAATCTATTGATAAAAAGCAAGTTGATTTAACATCGACTGTTAAATTTTCTTAATTGTTTTTTAATTTTGAACGAAACAATCAACTTTCCCCGATGAAATAACTGAAGATTCAATTGCTCTGTTGGTGGTTATCAAGTTATTCTAAAGGTGATTTGTACAATTAACGAACTTGCTAAATTGTTTGCCGATGATTTGAGCGAAACTGTGATGACAATTAAGCAGAAATCAAGGATTCGGGGCCATTAAAGCCGAAACATGTTCGAGAAGCCGTTAGAAAGGTTGAGTTGAGAGAAAACTTTTCCAAGGAAACTTTTTCATTTCTCAGATGAAATTTCTTAAAGATGATTAACTTTGTTCATCAACAATTAAATCTCGGTAATCATGTTGTGCCATTTGATTTGATTGCTTTCTACATTTAACTTACGTTAAACATTTTCCGTGATTAAGGGAAAAAAAGTTGTCACCAAAATAACAAAAAACTCTAATCGTCAGAACAATTTAAAAACTGATACAAACAATTAAACGTAATTGATGTTTTGGTTAAAATAGACGTTAATTTGTTTCGTACTAATCAAACAGAATCAAGTTTTACAACAATTAAGATTAATTTGAACATTTTCTTTCCTCTTTTTTTTTCTCAATCATAAATCGGCAATTTGATTCAACAAATCAATTAAATGAATAACAATAGTATTAACTGATTATGAATAAGATGATTGTGCTAATGATTACAACAATTTAAATAGTGAACAGTTGTGGTTAATTGTGAATTATCTGATTAAATTGTATTATCACAATAAACTTATTCAATTGATGATTGGAAATCAATTTAAACTGTTGTAATGGGAAAGACAAATGAACACATCAAAGTAATCAACAGTTGATGATCTTAATGATGATCAAAGAATGGTAATTAAAGTGTAACCATTTTGATTTAACTCTTCTCCTTCATTACCGTTACACAATCAAATCAGTTAATTCATTTGATTTTAGTAGTTGAACATTAATAACAACCAGTGAATTTGATCAAATGTTGACACATGTTAAACTTTGCCTCGGGTTGATTGTTTGTCTTAATTTGATGATTTCAGTTGATTTGACTGGTTGATTATTCTAATCATTGGTAAAGCCTGTAATTAAGTGAAAGAAAAGTAACAGTTAGAAAAATTTTCTTCATTAATTAACTTACCATTAAATATATTGATTAAAGTTATTCTCTAATTTTTACTTGTTTCCCAATCAATCAAATCAACTATTGGGAGAAGAGAAATAAAAGGACAATTAACTAATAATTTGCAAATCTAATCATAATTGTTAACCCTAATTTAGTTAATTTTCCTTCTCTTATACAAAACCTTGTGATCCTTTTGACCTCCAGAAAAAAAGAGTAAAATTTTATGCCAAAAGCAAACGTTATTTTGTCAAGTTCAACTGTTTATAATAATGGTAATTATCCAACTGATCATTAATTATGATAACGATGAGAGTTAATTGTTTCAATATCACCCAATTTTAATAGATAATTGAAAAATTATCTGTATTTTAGTGAAAATTAGTCCAGAAACACCATTGTAACACCAAGCAACAAATGCGAATAACATTTAACCAAGACAAGGCGAAAAAAATGTCTCCCAACTCACTGATTACCAATTGAAATCCTCAAAAACGGAACAAAAAAATCAGGTAGACAAAAAAAACATGACAATCCAGGTAAAAGGATTGACCAAAAAACACAATCAATCAATTAATAACAATAATATAATTAATCTAATCACTTTAGTACAAAAGAGACAATCACGTTAACAGGATATATAGAAAACAAAAAGGTTCCACTTATAAAAACAATCCAACAACTTAAACGTTTAATCGGCTTAAATCAGCTAATAATTCTAATCACTGAGTTGATTGTAATTCACAGAATTTCATAAAAAAAGGTGTAAACATAAATCAATTAGTAAAAGAAAATTAATCTTTTAATTGTTTTATTAAAACGAAAACGGAACCACAATAAGAAAAAGAAAAGAAATTAAAAACATTAGAAAAAATCGCCAACAGGTGTAGACACTTGTTCGCATAGAAATTCTCATTCACTTTCTAAAGAACAATCAACTTAATTAGTTGATGATTCTAATTCTAAATTGTTAGTTTTTCTTTTCAGTTAATTAAATGTTTATCTATCTTTTTAAACGATTGTCGCAAGTGATTAATGTTAATGACGTTCCATCACATGTTATACTTTTAACAAGCTTCATTTCTTGTTCTCATCTCTTATAACCAAAGGTGAGTTACATTGGTTTCTGTCAATCATTATCTCCATTAACATTATAAGTCAATTGTCTTTGTTTTTTTTTCTTTATTCTCTTTCATTTCTTCTTGTTCTGCTGATTTTTTTTCTATCTCCTCTTTTAGCTCTCTCTCTCTCTCTCTCTTCAAAGTTGAATATCACACATACGCATCATCTCTCCTATTTTCATCTTCTTCTCTCTAAATCTCATCATTACCCATTCTTATTTAATCAGCATCTTAAAAAACCTCCAATGATAGGATATCAGTGGCAATGATTTTCTCACAGAAATTGTATAAATCTAATGATCAATTTGAATTCTTTTTCATTTTTTGTTCTGTTCTCCAATACATTTAATAATTTATGAATCTTTTCTCTCTCTCCTCACTTTTAGCTTCCATCATGATTTTAATTCTGTGAATATTCATTAATCTTCTGTGGTTTTTATTTCGTCACTTTTGGGTGACCATACTCGTAATATCATGTATGTGTAATGTTTTTGTTACATTTTTTTCTCTCTCTCCCTATCATCTTTTTATCTTCTCTTTCTTTCCCTCTCTTTTGCTCTTGCTCTCTCTCTCTTTCTCTATCTCTATCATTGCCTATCTATTTTTTCATGTTTCTCTCCTTTTTTGCCTTCTCTCTCCCTCTCTCACTCTCTGGTGATTTATTCACTATATTTATCTTGTGTCATTTATTCATTGTGTTTGTTTCTCAAAAAAAATTCTTCACCATCTCAATGGATTTTTATTTAGGTGAATTAATTGATTTATTTGATGCTATGAAATTAATTCCAAAATCTTTATTCTGTTTACAATTAATTTTTTGATACGGTTTTCTTTTCTTTTCTCACTCTCTTTTTCTTTCTTTATGTATATAAATTTCTTCAGAAACCAGTCTTTTCCCCATTTTTTTCCTTTCATTCTCTATCTCCTCTTTCTTTCTTTCTCTTCTTTTCTTTCCTTTTCTCTTTCTATTTCTCTATCTTTTTTCTCTTCTCTTCTGTTGCTTTTTTCCCATCATTTCATCAGATTTGCTTTTTTTCTGGTTTGGTCTTAGCGTTTTTCTCTTTCAACTTATTTTCTCTAATTAATCCTCTTCTCATTTTTTTCTAAATTACTTATCTCCTTGATTTATCCGCTTAGATGCAACCTTTCCCTTAGGCCTCTCTCATTGTCTCACTTTCATCTTTCTCCTCTCCCACCAATACTCACATATTCATGTACTCAACAATATAAACATTTGCCTTTCTTTAGTTGTTTCCATTATTGTTTCATCTTATTTACATCATTTGACATCTTTCTGCATTTTTCTTCTCTTTATTTTTTTTTTCAGTTTAATTTCAATTCTTTGTTGGTGAAAGTGGATTCGGTAAATCAGCAATCGTGATTAATTCAACAGCCTGTGTGTGTTTATCCTTCTACCTCTCACCTAATGGTTCCTTGAATAGGGGAGGAGAGGTTACCATCTTGCCTTGGTTTGTTTCCTCCTTTGTTAGCGGAGGATCAGCCAATATGTCAGACCGAGGGAACACGGCTACTGCTGCTTCTGCAAATACCACAGTGGCTTCTTCTTCATCATGTTCATCTTCAAATCTTCCAAGTACAACTGCAATTCAACAATCAAAGAACCATTCAAATTTACTTGTGATCGATCTTACCAATTCAGATGAAGAAGATAACCACCGAGCCAGTGGTGGAGGAGGAGGAGGAGGTAGTGGTGGTGGTAGTGGTGTTGTTGGCATGAATGTTAATGGTGGTTCAACAACACTACCAACTAACACTGGTACCAGTTTTAGCTCCAATAATAATATTAATAATAATAGCAACGGTAATTCAATTCAGTCTCAAAATCATCATCACCATCCACAAGTACAACATCAACATGGAGCTTTATATCTTCCTCAACACTCTCAACATCCTTTACAACTTTACAACCATCATCCACCTCATTCGCACCATTTTCATCATCATCTTCATCAACATCCAGGACGCGAAGCAGTGGAAAGGAATAAAAAGTGTACGAGAAGGGACAAGATTAATTCTAACTGTGTACATTCACCTGGTGATAGTAATAATAACACCACGAGCCAGATCAATAGTAACATTAGTTCTAATCACATAAATCATTACCCGAGCCATAACCAAAGTCAAAACACTGGTAACAATGGTAATGGTAATAGTAGCAATAGTAACAGCAGCAGTAGCAGTTCCAGTAGTAATAGCAACCATAACGACAATAACTGCTCCCAGAATATACCTTGCCACAGTTCCGTTGGATCACCTTTACCACTCCCACTCAATATTGATCCACCAGCGATGTCATCAACAAACCCTTACTTTAACCCATGTAGATATGGTTACCTTCACCCTAATGATCCTATCACTTCAAATCGTAACCTATGCCCTGACTTAAGCAATAATAATGGTGAAGCCTGTTCATCTTATAGTAATTGTTTTGTTGCAAGTTCATCTAACGGAGTTAACTCTGCACCAGTAACTGGACCGTGTCCTCATAATCATGGTTATTGTCCAATTGGTAGTCCCCATACATTGCCAGCTTATCAAGGACAACCCTCTGATTTAAGTCGTCTTTTTGGTCCAAATTTAGCAGCACCAATACCCTCGCCTAGACCCCGACAGGAGCCTTCGATTTATTTTCCATACTACTCAGGCCAACCACCTCCACACCACAGCCACAGCTATGCATATCAATTGCCTCATGGAATGCATCCAAATCATCAACGGATTCTTATGTCTCATCAAAGGATCGGTGAAAATCACCGAAGGAGTTTTTTTAGACATCATCAACAGCGCGCTGGCCTGCCAAGGTTTGTATTTCTCTCTTTCTCTCTCAATAACCTTCAACAATATTTTCCATTAAAATTTACTTTTTCATTTCTCTTTCTTTCTCGTTCTTTCTTCTTTCTCTATCCCTTTCTCTTCACTTTTTGAACAACTATTCTTCTGACGTCAATTGAATAAATTTTCTAATGATCAAATGTTGATTATTCTAATTATTTACAATTTTTCTTTCTTTATGTTTCTTTTCTCCCTCTCAGCAGACGATACATGGAAGCCGGAAACCAAATCAATTACCAGCGGTACATGGATTCTGGTGTTAGCTTAACCCCGGGTAGTCATGGAGCTCATAATATTCCCGGAGCTCTTGCTCCTAATGCCAATTCTCATGTTAACCTCTATGATTGTCCAAATAACGAGTCATCTTTCAGTTGGAACATAGGAGTTTCTCCTCAATATATCGATCAGGTAAACAAATCCTTTCCATTCACAAAATTACTCATTACTCGCATTTGTTTTTTTTTCTAAAAAAATCAATCTAATCAATCTCTCTAATTTCGTTTTATCAATAGAATCAAGCCAGTGCCGCAATGACTAGTATCGCATTGCACACAATCTCGGGACCTTCTCCCTCGATTCCTCCCATGTCTATACCAGTGCCAATAAATCCTCTTATAGCTACAAGTAGTGATGGAACTCTTGTCACTACTACTGGTGATACCTGCAATAGATTTGATGTTTCATCATTAACTATACCATCAACTCGCGTTCCTAATCTTAATCCAAATGTAAGGCCAAATTCTAACTCACCTCAAGTATCATCTGTAAACAATCCCAACGAAATGGTTGATCTTAACGATGCCATTCAAAATGATGTAATTGTCAACACATCTCCAGACGCTGCGCATTCACATATACACCATCATGTTCATCAACATCATTATCATCATTCCCATCCAAATAGAGTTCATCATTTCGGAAATCCTCATCTACAAATCACAATCTCACCTCAAATGGTAAGTTCATTAATGTTTTTTTTTCTCATCTTCTCCACAAACGGAAATGCGTATGTTGTTTTATTAATAATTTTAATCTGTTGATAATAGTATGTGCATGTATTCATAAATACAACTATATTTTATTCATGATTTTTATATCTTTCTTTTTTTCTTCATCCCCTTTAAATTTTTACTTTCTCTGTCTCTCTCTCCGCTCTTTCCATCAGATTGTTGCCCCGAGACAGGATGTGATCTTTTCAGAACTTACTCCAAGTTTTTCACCGCCTTTTCACCATCCATATCCATCTCCTTATATAACTGGTTATATGAGGAGTATTCAGCAACATCGTCACTCAGCAACCGTCAACAGAGGAGCCTCTCAAGCTGTCATAGAGCGAAACACTTTCCCGCACAAGTACAAGAAGATTCAACGAAGTGCCGAGGTTGAGGACACCATTGAAAAGTGTACTATATGTCTATGTGAATTTGAAGATACCGAAGATGTTAGGTAAATATTATTGTCATTTATCTGTTAATCACTTAATAAGATAAAATACCAACCTGTTGGGTTATGTCAATCAGTGTTTATTTTTTTTATACTAGATTATATCTTATCCATTTACTATTTCTTGATTATGTTTGACACTTTTATTTGACTCTTTTATTAGTTTTTACTTTTCTCAACCATTAACTTTTCTTTGATAATTTACTATTAATTATATTTATCTCTTTCTTTTTTTCTATTCTGTTTATCTTTACAATCACTTAGACGTTTACCATGTATGCACCTATTCCATGTTGAATGTGTTGACCAATGGCTAGCGACCAATAAACGATGTCCAATTTGTCGTGTTGATATCGAAGAGCATCTTAAAGATTTTGGCCTGGCCTCATCGTGACTTGAAGAGCTAACTAAACTACTGTAAATGTTAATAATTATACACATAAATCTATATATATATATCTATACATATATATATCTACACCTGATCCACAAATACCAATCACATCATGGGAAAACCACTAATCATAATTTCTATCTCTTCTAATGTGTGCTCAAAACAATCCTCAATTTCACCGGAAACAATTAACCTTCTCTCTCTCTCTCTCTCTCTCAATATCATTTCACTGTCACTATTTTTCTTCCGATACCCTTTCACCTTTTTTATTATTTTTATTTTACCTCTTTAACTCTTTTAAAACATAAACAATCCCCAAATTCACATTGCTAACCACAAGCGTCCTAATCCTTTCAAAAGTAAATCCCTTCATCATCCACATCATCATCCACCATCATAACAAAAACCTCCAAGTCCCATTTTTACCCTTTAAACATAAAAAAAAAATCCATTTCTTGTGTTGTGTTTAAATGTGAGTGACCAATTTGAGTTAAGCTCAAGAAACAAAAGCCCAATATATATTTATTTTTTTCTTTTTTCTATCTAAAGAAAGAGAAAAATCTAATTAATCAAACTTTACAATTTAATTTTCAAACTATTGAAATTTAAATTGACCAACAAACAAACTTATAAACACGCATCTTCCTCTACCTCTTAAAAACTAACAAACAAGAAACATAAACAACACTTTTTGTCTTTGCTTGATCAACACTCTACCAATTTAGCCTTGTCTCTAGAAAGGATAATATGTGTAAGTGACCCCACACTCTTGACCTTTGTTTAGACTAAAGGTGAGAGGGGTCGCTTTTTTTGTCTATTTAATTCATCAAAGAATTAGAGCAAAATTAGAATGAGAACAAAAAAAAATTGCAAGAAAAAAAAACACTTCGAAAGAAACAAAGTTCTTATCGAAGAGAAAAAAAAGATTTAATTCAGAGCCGATATTTTAGATTACCGCCCAAAGAAATTGATGTAATTAACCACAAACTGTTGATACAATTAACAAATTATATATTATTACGATTTTATGTCCACTTAATCAAAAACAAAGCGATTATATTTCTTGTCTCTTTTTCTGAGTGTCAACAATTAACTCACATTCTCTGTATATTCATGTATCTCTATCTCTCTGATAATTAATTGCTAATTGCTTTGAACTCTTTCTATTTTTTTCTATTCTCAATTGTTTCAATTACGAGGGATTGAGAAACAATTGAAATGGAATCTTTAACAATTAACTAATTACAAGAAAAATGTTTCTCTCTCTCTCTCTCCGTGTCTTCAAGTTTATCTTGCTAATCATTTTCATTTGTTTTTCTTATTCATTATTAGCTTATGATCACCATTAACCAAGCAAACAATTAAAAGGATAATTTAGTTAGATTAAGCAATTCAACTCAGTTTGATAAGTAACAATTAACTGATTTTCTAATAAAATCAAGCACCCAAACAAAACAAAAACATTAATTATATTTAAAGAAAATATTGTAATCAAAAACAAACAAATGATTAAACAAGAAAAACAACAATTAGCAAATTAACAAAGCACATTGTGAGAGTTTTAATTAACGATATTGTATTAATAATTAACCAACTATATTATTTAATTGTATCATAGTTATCAACAATCAATCACAATCGTAACAAACTTGTATACACATCAAAATGCACAATTAACAACCAAAATTTTGTGTATTCATTTGAAAAAACAATTTAATCAATTTAATTGTCTTTTTTTTATTTCATCAATAATCAAATACAATTAACTTGATATGATAATTAACCTCTTCCCCCATTCCTTAATCACTTAAATCCTTTGATTGATCTTGAAACCTAATCACCGTCCTAATCCTTTAATTGTTCAACTTTTTTTTCTGTTTTTTTTTCGTTTATTTTTTAATCATCTCAAGATAATGAGGATTTGAAGAAAAGGACTCATCAACAATTAACTAATTACAAAGAATTAACAAAAAAAAATTATTGTTTAAGCTCAAACGGATTCCAGGATTTCAACCCGTTCGTCTAATTGTCGTTAATTTGGTTTCTGGTATCTCGTCCCTTTTTGATAGTTAATTAATTTGGAATCAATAAACTAACAAAGGAATCATTTAATTATCATTGACACACTAACTCACAATTAAACTTGGATCTGCAACAATTTAAACAAACACACACATAAGGATCACACAATTAATAAACCCGAGGAAAAATTGATTTGATTGCAACCGAGAAAAACAAAACAAATCAAATCAATAGAGATGATCAATTGAAGTTAACTAATTAATAATCAACTCGAATCACTTGCTTTAAATGTTTTTAATTGTTCTCATATTTTTTTTAATGTTAGACATGATTACTTTTTAATTGTAATCCAAATAGGTAATCTAATTAATACCTTTCATCAACAATATTTAAATAGTTAATATAAAAAAAAAGTAAAAAAAAATTTCATCAAGTTAATTGAAAAAAAAAGATAATTAAATGATTATGATTAATTAAATGGAGAAAAATAAACAAACTCATAACTGATGATAACAAATTAAAAAAAAAGTTAATTCACTTTCCCGAAAACCAAAATTTGTTTAATTATTATCGAGCTTTTAATTACAATTAACTCTTACGGTGTAACAATTGAGTTAATCGATAGTAATTGACTAATTGTATTAGTTTGTAGTAAATTTTCTTGTGATTTTTCTTATTCAGTCAGAATTTAATTTACAATTGTAAAAATTAGTTGGAAGTGATCATTTATAGTTAATTGTTCGTATTTAAAGTTAATTGTTTACTTTTTTTCATTCGTTCGATTTTTGAATTTGGCGCCTTTTTTGGAGAAAAATGAAAACAAATGTTACTTCATATTTTTCTTGTGTCAAAACAAGAGAAATTGAGCTTTTAATTAACTAATTGTTTCTGTTTTAAATCGCAACAATTTAAATTGATTTGTTTACTTAGTCGAACTTTTAATCGATTAACTCTCTTTCTTTAATTATCTTCGTCTGAGTCTACATTTTCAATTAGCTTTTCTTAAACCTTTGTTGTTATTTGGTCGTTTGTTTTTTTTTTCAATTTCTATATTTTGTTTTTTTTTATTGTTTACAATCAAGATCGTTTCTATTAATTAATTTACGCAATTAACAAATTATAATGGTTTGTGAAGCTTGTGAAAAGAAACAGAGTAAAGTTATCGTTCCAGATAAATGGAAAGCTGGAGCTCGTAATACTAATGGTAAGAACTTTTTTTTTTCATTCTTTTCACTTTTAAGAATATAAATTGGGCCTTGTATTTTTGTGGTCTAATTAATTGTTTACTTTTTGTTTTACAATTTAGAAAGTGGAGGTCGTAAAATTAACGAGAATAAAGCCCTATCATCGCGAAGTCGATACAATCCTGTGGCTCAATTTTCTAAATGTAAAATTTGTAGACAAAGAGTTCATGTCATTGGATCTTATTATTGTCAATGTAAGTCTATTGATCGTCGTTGAAACAATCTAAAAATTGTATCAATCAAATTGTAACGCAGAGATTTAATCACGATTGCAACTTTTATTAATTTATAGATTGTAGTTTAATGCTCTCGTTAAATGACAATTGAAAGCAATTCAATTCCAACAGTTTGTTATATATAATATTTGATAATGATGATTAATGAATTTTGTTGATTTTTCTTTGATTCTTTTCAGCTTGTGCTTACAAGAAAGGTATATGTTCAGGATGCGGGAAAAAGATGCTGGATACCAAAAATTATGTTCAATCTGCAGTTTGATTGAAATTGCATTTGTATTATCACCTCATGAATTGATGCCGATGGAAGTGGTCATGCTTTTGGTTGGAAGTGATGGACAAAAATGCTAAACGAATACACTCAATAAATTGTACAACACAGAATATAAGTAAAAAAAAGAGACAAGGACAAAATTTTTATCCAATTTTTGTTAACCTATCAAGAAGAAGAAGCAGAAAAGATAATATTGCAAAAGGAGAAAGAAAAGTGACCATTAAAAGAAATGAGAAGGACATTGGATTGTGTAGATCAGCGTCATCATTTAACGATGAAAAAGCCCACAAAGGCCACAAGAAAATTATCGTCATCTCTTCTGTCTTTTCATCGGGATAATTTCTCCTTAATCATTCATGAGTCAATCGAATATCGATTTCCAATTGAAGGCGCTTCCACCATCGGCAGTTTTATCATCGGAGAAAGAGAGGAGATAAATAGAGACACAGAGGGAGTGGGGATTCAGAACAAGAATACTATCAATCTCATGTAGTAGTACACAGCTTATGTTTATTTGGGTTTGATTAGTGTTTTTCGTTTTTGTTTAGAACTTTTTCTCCTCCAATTTTCGTTGAACAACGATAAAAAAAAGAGAAAGTGAAAGAGAACACATTAAAGAACGTATTAAGGATGGCAAAAGAAGAGGATCAAAAAAGAGGAGCGGGAAACATCCAGATCGTTTTTTCTTTGTAAATTTTTCTTCTGTTGGTCTGTTACAAATGATAAATGAATAAAACCAAGGTCCAAAATAAGCATGAGCATGATTCCATTAAGCATTTTGATTAGTGTGACAATCAAACTTCTACAATCATCTTTTTGTGGATATCGGTGTTTCCTACAACCTGTTGTGTGGTAATCAGAGAGAGAGAGAAAATAATCAAGATGGAAAAGTTGAATGAATTAGTCGTGCAAATGAAACATTGTTTTCATGGATTCAATACCAAAATCTACAGAATATCAAGATCAATTATCAATGATAACATTGAATCAAAGTGGAAATTTGAGATGAAGATGAAATTACAGTAGGATTTAACATTAGTAATACTTCATCTCTTTTCCTCTCAACGGAAATGTAACAAAGAAAATAAGATGAATACATATGATGTATAAAAGAAAATTCTAATATGTATTCAAACTAAACTATCATGAAATCGATAAGTAATTAACTAATAGAATAGAAGATAAATTTTCTTACCGCACAAAATTCTTCAAAAGATATTTTTCCATCTTCATCTTTATCCGCGAAAACAATTGTTTTGTCCACAATTTGCTGTAATTGAGTGTCTTTCAAATTATTACCAACCATCATTTTAAGTACTTGAAATAATTCACCATTCGAGATGAAACCATCATTATCCATATCATAGATTCGGAATGCAACTAAATGAGAAAACAATAATAATCATGATCAATCCAATAACCAGAGAAATGTCAACCGATATCAATATTAATACTTACATCTTAATTTTGACTCTTTATCACCTTTAACACTAAATTGTGAAACTCCTTGAATGAATTCTGTGTGTGAAAATAAACAACATGAAATTGATCAGAAACCCTCAAATATGATAATCAATCACCAAGTATCAATTGTATATTAGATAAAAATTGGTCATGTTGGATAAGCTTAATTACCCTTGAAGTCCACCTCTCCATTTCCATCAGTATCAAATATATCAATTACTCGTTGAACCAACGGATTCTGTTGTAATTCAGGTAGAATCATGAATTCCTCCACACTGAGAGACCCAGAATTGTCTAAATCCAGTTTTTTAAAACGTTTACCAAGTCTTTTGATCTCATCAGCATCAACTAAATAGATGATAAAATAATATCATCAATAAAATAGGAAGAAGAAAAGTAAAAAAAAAAATTAAAATTAATGACATATACATAAATTGATATTACAATTACGAGTCAATTTGAGACACAATTAACACACAGAATCAATGAGAAATGTTGTAAATAAAAATATAAAATCAAAGTAAATCTCATCCCATAAAAATCAATCGATTAAAACAAGTTAAACCGTAAATACTATTAATATAAAACATATAATAATAAAAAATATAATTTCTACCAAGGTTAACACTCAGTCAAGTTACTTACAAGTAGAGCACATTTCCATTGGTAAAGACGATTCATTTCCCTGTAATGAGAGTGTCAATTAATGTCCATGTTTTAGATGACCATTGGGAAAATTGATCGTAAACAGAACCAAAAAAAAAACAATTTAAATCATGAAGGAAAGAATGATTTAAAAGAGAGATACAGGTAAAGAGAAGCCAATGTTATATTAATTGTGTGTGATTACAATGGAATAATCAACAACCAACATTGGATGATATCCAAAGGCAATGATGAAGATACGATGATCCAAAAAAGGTGGAGAATCATGAGAAAAAGAAAAAGAAAAAAAAAGAGATAAATTAAAATAGAATAGAATTAGCATTGGGTCATCATTTGGAATAAAATTGAAGTTGATTATTTTTAGAGAGAGAGAGAGAGAAAAAATAATAGAGAATTTTAACAAAAGCGAAATAGGAAATAGAAAATTTTGTTAACAGGATATACGAACCATTTTGATTGTTGAGATTGATTAAAAATGCAAGGACCAAAAAGAGAGATGGTATTAATTGTATGTAAAGATGTGAAGAGATGTTGTTGTTGTTGTGATTCCGAGGTCGAGAAATGTATCAACAATGAAGGATGAAGCTGATGGGAGATGATGAATATAAATATGTGTATAAATGATGGTGATTTTCGCTCTCTCTTTTTCTCTGTGTGATGTTGTTACTTTTACTGTTATTATTGTTGTTGATGATGATGATAAGAGGAAAGCGATGAGAGAAAAGAGAGTAGGACAGAGTAGAAGAAGAAACGAAAAGAGAGAATTACTGAGAAAGGCAGAAAGAGAATAACTTATATGTTAGTGGAAGAAGAAAAAAAAAGAAAGAGGATGATGGAGAGATAGACAGAGAAATGAGAGAGAAGATGAAAAAATCAATTAACAGGCAAATTGTAGATGAAAATGAGGATCGCAGATGATTAAAGGTGAACACCAGAAGGATAATGATTGGATGACAATTAAAACACAACAACTGACTGGTTAGTAAAGAAAAGGAAGAAGAAGAAGAGAGAAAGAGACACACACAGACACAGAGAGAAAGTGAGAAAGTGAGTACTAGTGAGAGATGGATGAAAAGTAGGTAAGAGAGAGAGAGAGAGAGAGAGAGAGAAGAGAATTGGTAATTGAAAAAGAAGAGAGAAGAAAAATTTCAAACTGATCTTCTTTGCCTATGAAAAAGATACTTGTTGTTACACTATAGCAGATTTGGCGACATAAAACTAGGCAATAGAATCACAATTAACATCCAACGAATGATAATAGATGATAATCAACAGCGATAATAATGATTTGTTAATGGAAAAGATATAAAACTCAATTCAGCTGATTTACCATTTACCAGTTTTTACTTCGCTAAAACCTTCAGTATCTTTCTCAGGCTCTGAAACCTTGAGTTTTTTTCTCTTCTCTCCCTCATTCACTTACTTTTCTTTCTTTCTCTTTCTCTCTCTCTCTTCTCTATCTCACTCATTTTCCCTGATTACGCTCATGCTCGTATTGTAGTAATTTAAATTACCATGATTTCAATTATTATGAGAGAGAAAAGAGAGAAAGATAGAAACGAGAAGATACAATTCCAACAATAGGATTGACGAGAAACATTGATAGAGATAAATCCATGATTCTTTCAACTGAAACTTCATGACTGGGATTACCAAGAGAGGGAATACAACCGATAACAATGGTCACTTTGGGTCAAATCCATGGGACGTTAATCAAACCAAACGATAACAAATGAGAATCAGTCATCTGAATAAAAATTTATAAACAAAAACAAATTGTCAATGTGTTTATATGGATAAACATAATTAGCTACTTTCTGTTTGTCCCATTAAGTCATTGGACTATAAAAGATTAACTAATTAATCAATTATTCGGCCTAACAACTTAATCCACAAGTTCCATACTTACAATTATCTTCTCATGGGTCCACCTAAATGGTAATTTATTAATTGTCACATTGATTAAATTGAGAACAACAAGTTCAACTCTAATTAAATGAAATAATTAAGAGTATAAACAAGATAAATAAGTTGAAATGGAAAAGAAATTAGTTTAGTTTGTAATCGAATTCATAGATGGCGCTATGTTGGCCGATTTTCTTCCAATTAATTAATTGTCATCGACTCTTAATTAATTTTCAAGTAATTTATTAGGTTTTTTTAAGTTATTACAAACTCAGAAATGATGATTGATTGTGCTGGAGTATATTAGAGTTGGTTTATTTATTGAAAGCCAGAGATAATGATAGTTAATTGTTTGGAAGATGAAAAAAAGTTTCAATTTGGAGTTTGAAAAGTTTAATTAACAATTTAGTTGATTTGGATTTTAATTGATGAGAAAACGATTTAGATATAAAATTTACATAAAATCTTTACCTTATTATATTAGATAATCTATTGTTTGGGTTAATTGTTTAATTACAACTTGTAACCTTCAAGGTTAATTAATTAATTGATTATTTAATTATAATCAGATGGAAAATACCTTGACTAGAAAATTAAATAACAATCGGATGATCAGTTAATTGTTACATTTTGTTTTGTTGGGGTTTACACAATTTGGTTAAATATTAATCACGTTGTAAATCAAATAATAATGAATAAGATGAGTTGAATTAAAGTTAATTGTTGAAATCGTGATTGTGATCAACCTGGTTTCCATTAATAAACTTATCTTGATTAAAGAAAGGAAAAAAAAACAAATTAATGAATAACAATCAAGCATCAATTCAATGGTTTGTCATGATAATCAAAATTATTTCCTTTCCAAATCAAACTGATCTTAATTATGATACAACGTTAGACAATCGTGATTAAATCAATCGCAATCAAATATAACAATCAACGATTGTAAAATAATATTCATTGATTGTGGTAAACAAAAAGTTTGATTCAATTTTTTTTAATCACTGATAACATATGATATTGATTAACATCAATATTATTAAAAAATTCTGATAGTTATTGATTAAATTGATTCAGACAATTTATTGATAAAAATTAAACAATTACAATGAGTCATCATTAATAAAGTCACATATTAATTATTAAATCAATCACTACATTATTGTATTATCAACGGGGCTCTGATTGTTGGCCAAAAATCAAACCGGATTAATGGTTAATTAACTGTAATCGTGAGCTTGCCACCCTTGAGATTTTAATTCCTTTGGTTAATAATCAACTATAACAATTAACGTTTAATCATTCACGAGGTATACTTATTATTAACCAACATTAATTCACTTCAATTAATTCTGACTAATCAATTTAAAACTCACACACATACAAACCACTTAACTGTTTCTCACAATTTGTATGTCATTTGTATTTTCCCTTATTATTATTATTATTATCAATTGAATAGATTGTAAAAAAAATACAAATAAAAGTTAATAGAAAATAATCTAATTCTAAAAAAATTAAGAGACGAAAATAATTATTTCGATGGAATCATTTTCCTTTTCAATTTTCCCGCTTTTCTTTTCCTCCCTTGGGTGGGTTACATTGATTTCTAATCGGTTCCAATGTTGACTCTGTGAAGATGAAAACAATCAATGATTAATTTTGTGTTTCTCTTTTTAATTTAATGACAATTAGTGAATTTGGAGTAATTGTTTCTTTCTCTTTTTCTAAATTGTGAATTAAAAGAATCACCAGATTGTGTTGTACACCATTTGAAATTGTTTCGATTACTCTTGAAATAAATTGTTCTAAAAGTGGAAGGAAAAAAAAAATTCTATTGGAAAAGAAAAAGGTACAAAAAATTATGATTCTATTTGATTATATTGGTTTGTCTTTCCATTTGATCTCTACGTAAATAAAATGGATTTATCATTGGCTGTGAATTATTTATCATTAAATTATCATCAACATCGTCATCACTCATTACTAAAACTACTGTTGCAGTTACAACCATGGATTTGGTTAAAATGTCATTTGGTTGTCAGATGAAAATCAAAGGTTTCATTTTGATAATTTTATGTCTCATATTATCAACTTTATTTTATTGTCTTGTTGGTGATCAAAAGCCACTGAGGATCATTTATGATAATCATCTATCTCAAAGTTTGGTTAAGATAAAGAATGTTGTGGTTCCTGCAGTTGAAGAGAATAGAAATTATTACCTTTCCAGTAACACCCAACAGCAAACAACTTCCGAATTAAAGGAGAAATACCTCAAGAATCTTGGATTTATTTCTAATCCAAGATTATTTCCTAATTCTAAATGGGCCAATGTTACCTTACCCGTTTTTGTCACTGCCATAAAGAGTAACGAGATCCATTTTATCAGAGAATTGGTTCAATCATTGCAAGAAAATTATTCGCAAGCTTCATTACTCACTTACCTTCTCAACATGGATGAGGATGAAACGGAGATCGTAAGTGAATTTATTTTTCCTTTTTGTTTTTTTTTCTCTTCTCTTGGAATAGAATAGAATTTAATATCTAATATCTTTTGTCTATTTATATATTCTCTTCCCTCTCAGGTTACCCAATTTTGTAATTCATCTGTATCTTGTATCAAGATCAACAACAATTTATCTAATTCAGTTTCTTTTAGTGTAGTTAATTTAATTACTGTGTATATAAAACATTGATTGATTAGCAATTAGTGTTGAAATTGCCATTGATCATTGAACAATTAACCAAATATCGATTGTGACAAGTTTTGTGTTAATTTATTTTGTTTAATTGCATCGACAATTAATTGATGTGATCTTATTATTATTATTATTTTAATGTTGGTTCAACAACAATTAACTCTGTGACTGTTTGGACCTTAATTTTAACTTGGTACCGATTATATTGGACATTAAACTGACCATTGATTTTAGTATAAACGGAATAATGAATTTCATCAAATCAGCTGTTTTTGTCTACGACACAGTGACCCTACCTGGGTACTATTTGGCAGGTAAACCCTGGGCATCGAAGTCCATTACCTTTGGACGGAAAAATAATACCAAAGTGCTGGTCACTCCAAGTATAAATCCGGAAACTGGACTACCCGAGTTGACCATTGTCCGAGTGGGTGATCAGCCAACTTCTCACCTTGATTCGCATGAAACTGTTGATTCGGCGATGGCTGAAGTTTTCAATCGATTCTCATCTAAACCATGTTTGGGATATCGTGAGGTTTTGTATGAAGAGGAAATCATTTCGCCCGAATCCGATAAACGGCTTAAAAAGAAGGTGTTAGCACCCGCTTACAATTGGCACACATTTGCTCAGATCGATAAATTGGTCGACGATTGTTCAAGAGGTTTATTGTCACTTGATTTGGTCAAATCAGGTGACCGAGTGGTCATTTTTGCAGAAACTCGAATGGAATGGCTAATCACTTTTCATGCTTTATTACGTCTAAACTGTCCAGTGGTCACTCTGTATGCTAATCTTGGTTCGGATGGGATTGTTCATACTCTTAATCAATCAGAGGCAACGATTGCTATTGTTTCACCTGAGGTATTACCCAAACTGACCCAATTACGAGGTGAACTTAAACATCTCAAGAATTTAATTCTCTTAGAAAGTAAAGGTTGTCTCCCAATGGAGACAACTGAGCTCGAATCTTTGTACAATGTTATTCAATGGTCACGACTTTTGTCGACCGGTGGATCTGCATCACCACACTTGAAACCTTCCTCTCGACCAACCGCTGATTCAACTGCTCTTATCATGTACACCTCTGGTTCAACTGGAGTCCCAAAAGGAGTTGTCATTAGTCATAAAAATTTTCTGGCCGCAGTTCGCGCCATGAATACCATTTTGTCCCAATATCAAGCGAAAGACGGTAATTACATTGGTTATCTACCTTTGGCTCATATTTACGAATGTGTCGTTGAACATTGTATGATGATGATGGGCCATCCCATTGGCTACTCATCTCCTTTAACTTTGACCAACAATTCACCAGGAATTAAGCCTGGAGTCGAAGGCGATTTAACGGTCCTCCAACCTCGATTACTTTGTGGTGTACCTTTGATACTTGAACGTATCCGTAAAGAGGTAACCAAAATGGTCGAGGCTAAAGGCGGTATTGCAGCTAAACTGTTTCACTTTGGTTTAGATTATAAAAATTATTGGATGTCAAAAGGATTCCAAACACCATTAATGGATCGACTAGTTTTTTCTCGAACTCTTTCCGCTCTCGGGGGTAAATTGGTTGCCATCGTTTCCGGTGGAGCTCCTCTCTCAGTAGAAACCCAGTACTTTGCACGTGCGTGTTTCTCATGTCATTTAATCGTTGGCTATTCAGCCACGGAAGTTTGTGCGGCAAGTACCTGTATGGATCTTGGAGACATGAGCCTTGGTAATGTGGGTTACCCGTTATTCAATGTTAAAATCCGTTTAATCGCTTGGGAAGAGGGAGGATATCGACCAGATGATAAGCCTAATCCACGTGGGGAAATCCTTATCGGTGGTGATACAGTGGCCATGGGCTATTATAAGAACCAAGAGGAATCCGATGCCGCTTTCAAATTTGAAAATGGCCTCATATGGTTTTATACTGGAGACATTGGTGTAACATCAATATTATTAAAAAATTCTGATAGTTATTGATTAAATTGATTCAGACAATTTATTGATAAAAATTAAACGATTACAATGAGTCATCATTAATAAAGTCACATATTAATTATTAAATCAATCACTACATTATTGTATTATCAACGGGGCTCTGATTGTTGGCCAAAAATCAAACCGGATTAATGGTTAATTAACTGTAATCGTGAGCTTGCCACCCTTGAGATTTTAATTCCTTTGGTTAATAATCAACTATAACAATTAACGTTTAATCATTCACGAGGTATACTTATTATTAACCTTAACAAATTGATTAGTAAAATTAGTAAATCATAATAATTAAACCTGAAAACAGTAAAAAATTAAAGTCGTAATCTCAAATTTCAACAGATTTTAACTAATATCAATACAACAATTAGCTAAATTGTAGTAAATCAATATTACTATTAATATAAATATTGACACACGACACTAAAGTTTAGTTAACAATACGAATTGATTTTTTCAAATTCCAATAATCAGATAAGTTAATTGTCTGCAAATCAATAAGTTTAATTTTCCTAATTGTTAATAAGAATTGAATATCAAATATCAGAGTAAAATTTTAAAATATCAAAACTTAATTGCGATCAATTAAATTACCCAAATGATTAAGCAAATGATTTGATTGATTATCAAAAAAAATCATGAACAATTTAGTAACCTAATATATTAAAACTAAATATTAGATGAGATAATCACTGATTAAAAGATTAATCAAAACCTTAATCACAACAACAATAATTCAAATGTTTTCTCAATCATGACTGATTTGACCAACAACAATTAAATCTAATCAGTGAAAACCAATCAGTACAATCAACAGGTAGTTGGGAAAAAAAATGATTCTCATTAACGATTAACACCAAGTCCTAGTGATTAATTCAAATTGTCTGAAAGATGAAAGGAAAGGATTAACTTAATTGTTAGAGTTTAATCTTCGTAAGTTAGAAATTAGGATAAAAACCTAATTCGATCTAAAAAAGATTCGATAAGAGAAAAGTTCTAATTGAATATTCTGATTGTCGACCTGAAAACCTTTCGTTAGAAGTTTAATTTAGAACATGATTAAAGGGATGAGCAGATTCGTCGAGTTGCCAAGAAATGTTCATCTAAATTAGAACCACTTCCTACGTCGAATATTTTTTAACCAAAGTCTCTGTGATTTCTCATCATCTTCATCCTCATCCTCATCCTCATCATCATCTTCATAATAATAATTATCTTCCTTTGTCGTATCTTCATCTTCGTCTCCATCGTTAACCTTTTTTTCCTCATCTCTTTTACTTCCTACTTGTTTGAGTTCACTAAAAGTTTCGAATAGTTTTTTTTACCTCAGATCAAATTGATGGAAAACTTTGGAATTAGTTGATTGTGATTAATTTTAACAGTAATTAAAGAGAAAGAGTTAAACTAATTTGATTAATCATGTTTTCTAGTCGAGTCACTGAATCACCAATACGAAACATTGGTAAGTTTAAATTGTAAAGTGATCATTGATTTGATTGTTTCATTTGTTTAATTTGTCACTAATTGTTAATTTAGGATCATCAAGGATGGTAATTAACTCGACTAATTCAATTAATTGTAATCTTTGTGGTTCTTCCGGAAGTTCAGTTAAATGTGATCGATGTGATTCAAAAACCTTTTGTATTTCCTGTGATGATATGTATCACCGTCATCCCAAGAGACGATTTCATTTGAGAAAAACAATTAACCAGGTAAAGAGTTAATTGATTCAGTTAATGAATATGCTAATTGTTGTTAATAATTTTCTTTAAAATTTCAGCAATCAAATGGATCTAATCAAATGATATCACCTTTAACTCGTCCCTTTCAAAGTTCATCTCCATCTCCATCACCATCGCCTTCATTATCTTCAGTTAATGTTAATTTTCATTCCGAATCACGATTGGCTTCATCATCACCGATTACCAATAACACAATTAAATCACAATCAATAATCTCACAATTCCAATCATCAGAATCTTCTCATCATCATCCATCTAAGATGCCAATACCACCTCCAAGGAGAAAGAAAAAACCACAAGAGGTAAGAAATTGATTGTTTACCATTAGTTAATTGTAATCGAATCTCATCTTTGGTTAACATTCAACTGGAACACAAGAAGAAAGAAAGAAAAATAATCATGATAATCACTGACAATTAAGCATAATTGATTAGGGAAATGAAAGGCATGATTTGAAATGACAATTGAAAATTTAACCAAAATGATCTTGATAATTTAAAATTTGCATATTCTAATTGTGATTAGGATCCAAATGGATCATTCTTACCCCAATTTGGTCAAACTCGAGTTATTCAATATCAATCTGGATCAAATTACCGATCAGTTGATCATTTAAATCAATCAGGACAATATTTCAATGACCAACAATCAAAACATCAACAATCTCAACCATCACCGAATCAACAACAGCGTTTAAATTACAATTATCTTCGTCCATTTGATGAAGAGTACAGAAGAGGAAGTTCAAATATTGGAACCGGAAGTTCAAATCTATCGAGTGCTAATAGCAGTAGCTTATCAAGTGAGCAATGGTCAAGTGAGGTTGGTTCAGCCGGAAATGTTGTACCACCGGCACTTCCGTTGAAAAAGAAATGGTCACAATCTTTACCAGGAAAATCTGAGTCTCATGGATCTGAACAGTCCATATATCAATTCAAATCAATATTATCACCAAGTAACTGGACAACCGGTGACCATTCAAGAGCAAATGATTATCAATCAACAACAGCAATCAGCTAATCATCTTCATCATCATAATCAATCATCAATGATTAATCATCCAGCGCTTCCTCCTCATCATCCAATGAACTTCGGAGCATCACCTTATCATCATCAACAATCAGCGCAATTAAATCAACATGGTCAGTATCATATGGGGTCAGTTTCTCTTGCTCAAAGTATGGAGGATCTCGGGTTGGATGATAGAGATGATCAAGTTTCAGATGAAGATTTTCCTGATCATGGGACATTAACTCGTAATAAGAGTAGATTATCATCATTAGTTAATCGTCGAAATGGTTCAATGAAACGATCTCAAAGTTCATATTTAGTTAATCAGCAATGGCAACAACAGAATCATCAACAACCAATGGTTCCACCTTATTGGATTAATCCTGTTTATCCAATGTATTCAGGAGGGTATCCGATGATTCCAGGGGGTGGTATTGGTCCTTCACCTTTACCACCTTCTTCTTATAATAATAATTTAAGAGCGTCACCCTCACCATCATTACGATCGCTTAACTTGAATCGCCCCAAGCGAAGTGGTTCAAGTCAATCAGTTCGGTCATCGGTAGTTCGTGAAAGCTCACCTGGAATCATGCGAAAATCATCCGTCTCATCTTCATCATCTTCTCACCATCGTTCCCATCCTCCTCATCCTCATCCTCATCCACATCATCATCAAAATCATTCATCACAATCTCGGAATAAAATGTTTGATCAAAGATCAACATCAATTCCCAGGTCACTTACGTCATCTCGTTACTCAATGAGAGCAACCGATTCAGAAGATGAAGATGATTACGCAAGCCAATCGGAAGATGATGAAATTGATGAGGAAGATGATGATAGATTTAGTCAAGCATCTTCGTTAGAGCCAAATAAATTGTGGACTTGTTATGCTTGTACCTATGTGAATAACCCGAACGCTGAGATTTGTGAAATGTGTGGTAAAAGTCATCCCAGTCGATTGAAGCGCATCGGTCAACGGGGAAAACAACCAAGGCCAATGAAAGAAGAGCCGACGAAAGAGAATCGATCAGTCGAATCAGCTAATCAATCGGTTGGTAAAAAGGGACCTGAAGTAGTTATAACCAGTGATTTAATTCGTGAACAAATGGAGATTGAGAAGGAGCTTCGTCGAAGGTTAGAAAATGAGAAACGAGTTGAACGGGAAAATCGTCGACTTGAAAGAAAAGAAGAGAGAAAAAGAAAACAATCATTATCATCATCATTAATTGATGAAAATGAAGATAATGATCATGATGATAATCAAGCTAATCAATTGATTGCTTCAACTTCATCTCAAAGGAAAGAACCAGTTCCATTGAGAATTGATTCCATGAGAAATAGTGATGATTTTATGAAACAATTTAAAACAAATAACGGTAATTACGATGATAATTATCATCAGGATAATGAAGATGATGGTCATCTAATCAATAGTAATAATAAGGCTGCGGTCAAGCATTTGGATAAAGCGATTGATAGTGAATTGGATTGGCCTGATTCTGTGAGAAAAAGAGATTCAATTGATAAACATCAGAATAATAAAGATAATAAAAAGGAAGGTGAAAGGTCAATGAGTCCATTATCATCTAATAATTTCAAAGATATTGAAGAAACTTTTGAAAAATTGGAACAAGAAATTGATCTAATCAGAAATTCAACTAATAAAAGGGCAACAATTAAGGAGGCTGAGCCTGTGAAAAGTGAAACAACAACAATTAAAGTTAATGATGAACCACAATCAAAACAACAGCAACAACCAATTGAATTTGAAAATAATGAGATTACAATTAAAAGTGATCAACAGATTAAACAACAGCAATCAGTTGATGCATCTTCAACTACAATTAAAAATGATCAGGGTAAAGATTTGAATGAAAATCATAATACTGGATTGGTGGGAATTAACAAAAGTCCAAGTGAAATTAATCAGGCTAACAAACCTGTTGATTTTAATTCTAATGAATTAAGTCAACCATTAATCACACCTCAAGCATTAGTTAATCAGCCAATTAATCAAAACCCACAATTAGGAATTGCTGGTTCACCAATTCCATTGAATTTACCAGCAATTTATCACAATCAACAACAACAGCAAACAAATCAGCAAATTTATCCATCGTATCCAAATCAATATCCAATGATGGGCCAACAATTAAATCAAATCAATTCTAGTCAATCAATTGTAAGTCCTGGTTCCATGTTTCCAAGTTACGACGTAAATAGATTACGATCAAACAATTACATCGGATTAAATTCACCAAATTGTGAAATGATCAACCATCCATTAGCAGTATACGCTGGCTCTAATTACCTCAACAGTTCACAATCAATGTACAATTTACAAATGGCAATATACCGATGAACCAATTGCCGAGCCATCAAACTATTCCAGATCACAATCAACCGCTATTTCCAGGTACTCGAACTGAGCCAAATGCTTTAAGTTACTTGGGTCATTCGAGTGGTTTTAACGGTAAATTCATGAGCAATGAAAATTTATCGATTGATAATCGAACCAATCAAAGTGCCGCTTCCGTTGGATCAACAACAGCTTCGATATCTTCAGCCCAATCTCAACTACAATCGGGCTTTCAAATGTTCAAATTACTTCGAGATGCCGAGAAAAAAGGTTTCACCGCTGATGATATTGAAATCGCTTTAACATTTAACTCAACTTCACCTTTAGATTGGTTAGATGAGAACTGGAATAATATGATTGAAACAGTTTTGACACTTTCCAACAATCAATTAGTTCAGAATGAAAAGAAACGCCTCGGGAAGAAATATAAATTAACAGCGATCGATTTAGTTACAACGAAAGACGCTAAATTGGCCTTACGATTAACCAAAGGTAATATTTGGCAGGCAATCGATAAATGTGTCCAACGGAAGGAGGAAGATAAATCTGATGAAAAGAAAGATGTAAAATCATTTAGTCTCGATATCGAGGAATCAGGTTCAGGTAAATCTAATATGGACGCTGTTCCGATCGCTTTGCTAACTAACCAAAACCAGCAGAACCAAGAGTCGATACGATTGTTACAATGTTCATCTTCGTCCCTGAGAAATGATAAAAATGAACTTAAAGCCGATGAAATAACTTTATCTCGATCATCTTCATCTTCTGGTGAATATTTTTCTGAACCTTCAGATGACAATGAAGATGAGATGAGAGAGAAGATAAATGTTGGCACCAATGTAAATGATGAGGATGAAGATGAAGATGAAGATGACGATCGATTGGTGGATATTGAAGTTAAATATCTTGACGCTGTTAATGAAGTGGAAGAGATTGAGGAAAATATTCTTATTGAGGAAGAGGAAGAAGATATCGAAGATGATGAAGAAAATGTTGACGAAATTGATGGAGATGAGGATGAAGAGAATGAGGAACTTGTAAGATTAAGGTCTGATTCAGTGGAAGATAAAGAAACAGATGATGAAGAAGATAACGATAACGAAGACAGAGACTATGACGAAGATGAAGATGAAGAAGATGATGATAAAGAAATGGAGGATTATGAAAATTTGAGAAAAAGTTTAGAGCAAAGATTATCTCAATTGGGGATTAACAGTATTGATGGTTATAATGATGATTCGGATGAAGATGGAAACCATGAAGATTTAGCTAAAAGTGATAAATCCCAAGAGGAAGATGAGGAAATTAACAGAGATTTTGAAATACTTAATAGAGATGATTTTGATTCAAATGATTCAGACAAATGGAGTCAACAATCAGAAGAAGATGAATCCAATCATGAACCAATCAAAGAGTCTATGGAGACTTTAAAAACATCCTCACAATCAGAGACGACAATCAATATAACAGAATCATCATCATCAAAAGAACATCAGAAAGTTAATCAAGAGAAACAATCAGATAATCAAGAAACTCAATCAATTGGTAATATTGAAAATCCGCTGGAAAAAAAAGTTACAAAAAGTTTGAAGAAAAAAGTTGTTCCATTAACAAATCTAAAGGAGAAAGTAACAGTATCGGAGGCCGATGGTTCTAACGGTAAATCAACCTTATTACCTGTTACACCGATCACTGAATTACCTGTAATCGATAAGGAATCGCTGAATCCTCACTTTGGTTATGCTCGATCGGCATATGAATGTGAACTGTGTGCAGGTTCATTTCATATTCGTGATATGGTCTCAATGATTTCGTGCACTCACAAGGCCTGTGTTAATTGTTTACGTCAATACTTTTCCGTTCAAATTCGTGAGGCCTCAGTGTTCATAATCACATGTCCCTTTTGTTCCGAACCTGTAATCTCATCGGACGATGAAGATTCTGTTTGTGATTATCTTTCCCTTCTCGATCAACTGGTTAAATCTCTGGTATCAGCTGATCTTCACGAACTTTGGCAACGAAAAGTTCGAGATAAAGTTCTATCTAAAGATCCATCTTTCCGTTGGTGTACTAATTGTTCATCAGGTTTTATCGCTTCCAATCCAGCGGCTAAAACAATTACCTGTCCTGATTGTAAAATCGTTAATTGTGCCTCTTGTCATAAGGTAAATCTAATTGTTAAAATGTATTAAAGTTTACAATCTAATCGATTATCTTTTCATTCATATTCAATCATCTTCATCATGATTCTGATAGATTTGGGAAGATCAACATACCGGAATTACCTGTGATCAATTCACTGAATGGAAACGATTAAATGACCCAGAATACTCAGATAATCAATTAGAACTTCATCTCAAACAATTCGGAATCGATTGTCCCAATTGTAATTTCCATTACGAACTATCCAAAGGAGGATGTATGCATTTCCATTGTGTCCAATGTTCCCATGATTTCTGTGGAGGTTGCAGACAAACATTCAGATTAGGATCAGTAAGTAATCACAATTAACTACACAACAATCAAATCAACAATCAATCTATTATATAAATTAGAATACAATCCCTATGATACTTTTCCCTTCTCCTTCCTCTTAATCACAAATTAATCACTAAACTAGTTCTATCTAATTAATGGTTAATTGTTTACCTTTTACCCTCTTGATTATGTTTATTATTATTACCAGAAAAAAAGTAAAAATATAATTGATTAATTCTGATGGTTAACTAATGATAATTATACTTGATGTTCCGCTCTTCTTGTGCGGTTTTCAGGATAATTGACCATTAGTTGTGATACAATTAATGGTACATTTAATTGACTAATTGTCAAGTTAATTTCTTAATTCTACTAATAATTAATTGTTAATTAACTTCTCTAGAAATGTAAAATCTCAAATTGGTGCGATAAACTTGGATTACATGCTCATCATCCTCGAAATTGTTTATTTTATTTACGAGATAAAGAAGTCAATGAATTAAGGCAACTATTAGATGTAAGAATTAAGATGAATTAATCGTTAATCCTATTGACTATCTAATCTTTAACCTAATTCTTGTGTTAATTAGATTCATAAGATTGAATATAAATATCATGAAGATAAACAATCAACCAATGAATCTCGTGTTTGTATGATAATGGAGCAGAAAGAGTATCCTGAAGGATTGAAGGATTTGCCCTGCGGCAATAATCTTGAAACCGCCGGTGTTTGCAAGTGAGTATTTCTTTTCAATGAAAATTAACTTTAATTGTTGATAATTGGCCAAAATTAGAAGACAAAATTAGTTACCAATTTTTATCAATTCTTTTCTTCTTCTTCTTATTTGCCTTCAGGCAACATTATATCGAATATCTTGGTGGATTAATCTTCGAACATGGAATCGATCCGATTGAGATTTTCACCGAAGATGAATTGGTTCATGTTCTTCGTCGAGATAATCTTATACTTCCAATTAAGAAGAATGGACAAGATTATCGAACTATTCTTTATGAGGTGAGTTCGATTTGAACAAATATCAACTCGAAAATTTTGAACAATCGCCAAGTTGATGATCGTGTTCATCTTTTTATGATACAATTTAAAAATAGAATCGCAATTAATACAATCCTTTAGATTTACAATTCGTATTGTAATTGTGATTTGTATTATTCTGTTAATTTTCATATTCATTTGATTGTAATTATCTTTTGATATTTAATTCTCTATACAGATAATCAGGAAGGAATGTCCATTGATTAGGGAACCTGTCAAGTGATTTAATTGTTGAAATGATAATTTGGCAACAATCAACGAGCATCATTCGTATTCATTGTTATTCAACTTTAATTCAATTGTGTAAATATTAATTTATATCAATGAAAAAATCGGATAATTCATTCATTTTCATGGTAGAAAATTGTGTTAATCAAATGTAATCAAAATAATTAATTTAATTCTTTCATTCAGAATCAAATGTAAATAAGTTTCATCTTCAACAATCAAGAAAAAAAAAAGTCTAATTGTTTACCATTTAGTTACCAAATTATAGTAAAGTTTTATTAATCAACGAATCGTAATCACAGCTAATCAGTTGTAATAATAATTAGTTAACAATTAGCCGGAGATGAAATCTAATTACGATTACAAATCTAATTGTGCAATCGAAACTTTTAATCAACAAATTAAAATATATCTTAATTGTATTAAAATCGTTGGTTATTCATAAAGGTAAATAATCAACTCTAATTTAAGCAAATTGATTAAGTTAGAAAATTAAATTATCAAATGTTTCGTGTGGTAAATTGCCTGAAGAAATAAATTAATTAACAGTTTCGTTAATTTCTTCAATTAATTTGCAATTCATAATAAACACAATTGAATAATCAGATTGATTATTAAGACGATCTGAATCATTGATTAATCATTTGAGAACAAGTGAAATCTATTGAAACAATTTAATTATCAATTTGATTCTCATAAATTTATTCACATTTTCTATTAATAATTAAAATTCTCATCGTAACAATTAAACTTAAACAATGATGGAAACCAAAACAGATCAGCAATTAACTCATTGATTTATGTAATTCTCACAACAATTAGATACAAAGTCAACTATTGATTGAACATTAATCTATTAATAAAGTTGCGATTTTCACAATTAACTTAATGATAAAATGAAATCACGATTAGAAATTGTTGACAATTTAATCAATTAATTGATTCACAATTAACGATACAACAACCGCAAGGTTTTTGTTAACAATTAGACAATAATCAATGTTTGAAAAAAGTTTTTTTCTCATTCAATTAACTAATTGTTATCAAAATTAATATTCAAATATTACTAAAAAAAACAATCCGAACCTTAATTATCATAAATTGTTACCCGATCAAATTACTGTGAGCTAAATTGTTGAACTGATTTAAAGGTAAGGTAAACAATCAAGGATTGTAATTCAACAATCAATAACAAACCTTGACTAATTGTAACTAATTTGTTAACCAATTGTCCTCAATCATATCAATATACTAATCACATCCTCTCACTGATTGTGATAAATATATACAATTAACAATTTGAAACGATTAATATTAATACCAAATGAAAGTTTTATTTTAAATTGTGAGAAATTAAAAAGTTACAATTTAAAAATCCGCTTCCAAAAATAAAAATTCAATTAGTTAAGATGGACAATTAAAAAAAAGTTTCAATTGTGACAATTAAGCTGAATTAATCTAATTAGTAATTAATTTAAATACCTTAATGACTTTAACAATTAACTTTTTAATGACAATCAGCCAAATTATATTCATGGTTAAATTAGCAAAATAAGTTCTATGACTTTTGATCAATTCCAACAATCAACTAAATCAGTTACAATTGATGAACGAAATTGCAGTTAAAGGATTGGCTAATTTTCATCATAATTAAAAAAATTTTGCTCTTAATTGTTTGTATCAACCAAGAGACGATAAAAGTTGAATTGTGAACTAGATTAACTTTCACAATTTGTTGATTGTAGTTAATCAAGTAGATGATGAATGATTAACTAATAACGATCTTAACTATTTTGATCATCTATAAAAATAACCACAATTAAATTGATCATCTTGTTGATATTACAATTAGATGAACAGAATTAACTTGTTACAATTGAGAAAAAAATCTCCAATGATTTAATTCACCAATTTAAGAGTAATTAAATTGGTAAAATTAAAATTAATCAACATGATTAGCCAAAAAATTGAGAAAGTAAAACTATTAATTATGATTCGTAGCAACAATTAAGGATTGGTGTTTGAATTATATATAAAAAGGGTTAAATTAAAATGAATTAACCTAATTGTTACAATATATTAAACTGATTGTTATGTTAAAGTAAGAGTAAAATGTTAATTGTTTACAATCAAATCAATCAACCTTCAATAGGCAGAGAGAGAGAGAGAGTCAACAATTTGAATTAAAAATTCTGGTTAAAAATTTATCCTTTCATTAGCCCAATGTTAAAGTTACTAAATTGTTGATGATTTAAAAATAGATTAAAGTTAAATTATCTCTTAATTACTTGGCATCAACTTGACTCTCTGATTGTTGATTAAAATAGATTCGTAGTTAACTATGTTTACGTCTGGATGTTAATGATTAAGACGATGATGATGATGATGATGATGAGATTGAGTGAATATGATCAACACTGTTGGTAAGAATTGAAGAGATGAAAATTTTCACCAACGAATCAATTTAATTGTGAATTGTAACAACGAACAATCAACGAATCCATTGGTAAACAATCAACGACCCAACGAAATTAATAATAACCAACGAAATCAAAGTAACAACGAAACTGAATCAACGATTGACTTTTGTACGTTTGAACCTAATTTACTTCACGATTTACACCAACAATCAACTCTAATTGTTGAAAGTAACTAAATTGTTTTATCCTCTATCATAATCACCAAACGCTAATCACGTTTGTTTTTAACCAACATCCAAACAATTAACTAATTGTTAAACAATTTACTCTTGTGTTTTAACAATGATGATGAACAAATTGTTTGTTTCAATTAATTTCTTGATTTGATTATCATCTTTATGTCTAATCATTTGATTTAATCATTTCAAATATTTGATTGTTTCACATCTTCTTTAATTATTATAATTAACTTTAAATTTGTGTTTTTGTCTTAAATTAATCAACTAATCAACTGATTGTTAAACTTAATTGAAACAAGAAAAAAACAAACAACAAATTTAAAGGTAATCATTTACTTTTAATTATTTTAAATTATCACGGATTCATTTTCTTACTTTTTGTTTAATTGTTCATGTTAATTGTTGGCAAATATTTTATTCTGACAGGATGATGATTAACGGAAGAGGAAGAGGTAAATTAACAACAATTAACAATCAAGTAAAAAGTTTGTTAAATAACAACAACAACAATTAAAAAGGTTAGTTGATAAACTGATTGTTGACCAATTAATGATTGATATTAATCATTTAATTCACCAGGTAACAATTTATTGATTATGTTGATGATGATGGTGATGAATGGATTTTATGGTTAATTAATCACAATCGTAATTAAATCAATCAAAATGGTTCAACAAAAAGATCAACGGAAAAAAGTTTACAATACATTTCGATTTGATCCTTATCCTAATCAACGAGTTGGATTAAAAAATGAGGTAATTAACTAAATTATACTATTAGGTCATCCGGAAAGTTTTTTACCTACCCATGTTCCATTATAGATAGAGCTATAATTCCAACGGCAAATTGTTTCTCGTAGGCTAATTCCCTAGAAAACCAGATTTCATGAAAAACAACAAGTCCGTGCAATTTTGAGGCCAATTCAGGTCAAAAATCGCGATTTTCAAATTAAATAAGCTTTAATCTTAATTTTATCATCATAGAATTGACTGATTATCAGGCTTTAGAAAAAGCTATCGAACATAATTTCACGCCTTAGTTTCCCCGAGATATTCGAATTTGAATCAAAAAAGTCAAAAATTTCATCCCTTTGAACACCAAAAATTTGATGTTTTTCATGTAAAAGTTCATATTAATCAATGACCTCAAATTACACATCATGAAATCTTAGAATTATACGAGAAACAACAATTATACTATCTATAATGAACAAGTAAAAATTTCATGACCTAATATTTAATTGTTACCTTAACTAATCACTATGACATATTAATCAATTTCTAACCATTAATTACAATTAACTGACCAACCCAATCCCCAAAGTACACATCAAGATTTGGAACAAAAATTTACAATAGAAAAGTTTTTCGACTTTTTTTTCCTCGAAATCGAAATGTTCAAAAAACCGTTAATCAGAATTAGTTAAATTGATTCAGTGGTGAAGGGAAAGTTTAATTTAATTGTAAGTAGTTAATTGTCATCAATATAAGTTAACCATTTGTGTATATAAAGGGTTTGGTTAATCAAGCTAATCTAATCACAATTAACAGCTAATTCATTTGAATTAATATCACCGATAACCGTGAAAGTTTATCAGCAATCAATTTTGATTGTTGGAGTGAAATGTTAATTGTTCAACTCTTGTTACCAATGTTAAATTGTTGTTGTTAATGGTAACAAAATAAACAATGATTTAACAAATTGTTACCGTTTTGATTGTTTTGTTAACCTTGTTAACAATCAACGATGACACTGATTTTTTGATTGTTATTTAATTTTAGATGATTGTAATTATAATAGTAATCAAATTTGTCCTGATTATCTAATTTTAAATATTAACTGTTGGTGATATTTGGTTAAAATAATGATCAAGGTTTGATTGTTGTTAAAAATAAATCACCAACAATTAAAACAAAAAGTTGTTCTTGATTGTTTATTAACTGATTGTCTCAAATAAAACTTGTCCCTTGTAGTTTGACAATCAGTAAATTGTTGATTAATTTAAAAATTAAAGGAAGAGGTTACAACAACAAAGAGTTACAATTAATATCTTAATTGTTTCAACACTCGAGCCTGTTGATTAGTTTTTTTTGCTGACAATTAAGAGGCTTCATGATTGTTATGATTATCAATCAATTGTGTCTGAAATGGTTCATTGACAATTAGTTGATTTAATTGTGAAAAAGTTTATTTACATTTCAGCGCAATTTAAATTATGTTTTCAACTTTTCAGTATAATAAATAATTAACTGATTGTCTTTCTTAGTTTTTTTTCTCAATGATTCTAAATAATTAGAAAAGTTAATTGTTACCTTTAGTGTTAACTGATTGTTGCTGTTTAGTTAATGATCAATATTAATTTGATAAGGTTAAGGGAACCTTGAAAAAGTGATTTACAATTTACTCAACAGGAAAACAAATTGTTAGGAAGATGATTTAGTCTGATCTTAACAATTAGCTGATCAACACATAATTCAACAGCAATTAAAAGGTAATTTCTGCTAATTAGTCTAGAAAAACTAGTAATTTAAATTGTATGAATGTTTACACATGAAAATATGAATCATTTAACTTTCTCACCAACAATTAACTGATTGTTTGTGTGTCTATTTCTTAATTGTATGGAATTCAAGTTGATCCGAAAAGACAATTAAAGTACGATAATGATATTTATAGAAAGTTAGTAAAATTAAATTGCAACAATTTGATCAACAATCAGACAGTAAAAGTGGTTGATTTAAATTGTTCATTAATTGTCACCATTATAAAAATGTTCCCAACAATCAAGGTTTTCTTAATTGTTAGTGTCTCAATTGAAAAACTTTCAGGTTGATTGGATGATCATATTGTCTAACTGAATCAAGGAAAGTAATAAAAGATGAAGAAAGAAATTAATAAATTGCTAATAAAGATCAACTTGATTAAGAATCATAATGATAATTAGCAAGAAAAGAAAACGGAAAAAATAAAACTCGAGGCGGAAAGATGATCATTGTTACCATTGTAAGTCTATGGCAAAGGAAGAGAAGCAGATTGACGGAAAGAGCGAGAGAGAGAGAGAGGGATGAAGATAAGAATAGGAAGAAAAGATGAAAAGAAAGAGCAGATGAGAGGAAGGAAAGAGAGAGAGAGGAAGATAAGGGAGCGAGTAACATGATGAGGATGAAAAAAAGGTAAGTCGAGTGAGAATGAAAAATCAACAAGTAGGTTGAGTTTTTTTGCCATTCAGTTTACCTGAAGTTGTTGTTGGATTAACATTACCTGGTTGTAATTGTTAACATCAATGTTGATTAGTCTTTATTGGGTTTACCATCTGTCAAAAATATTTAAGTATCAACGGTGAAAAACAGTCAACAATCAATGTTTCCAATCAACAATTAACAATCTGCATGAAAAAAGTTTCCAAAATTGTGTAAATTGTTTCAAATTGTTTCTCTAAATTGTTTACATTTTCAATCTCCACCAAATTGGCCATGTTAAATAATGGAAATTATCCCTTGAATAGATATCGATCATTATGTGATCTTCGAAATCAATCAAATCAACCAATATCCTTAACTAACAATTATCATTCTACTAATCAACATAATCCATATCATTCATCTAAAAATGGATCAATTCAAACAATTAACAAGCAACAATTAAAACCTTCTCAATCTACATTATCTTTATCATGTTCATCCTCATCACAGACCAGCAAAAGGAAGTCAAATGTAACCACCAATGGTAATTGTCCATCTAATGGTCATCGTCTAGTGTCTTCCACCATTGGTAAAGGGATTAATAGAAAAAGATTATCCTGTGATAATCTAAGTGAAATCAATCGAGTTAATAGTTTATCAGTAAACAATTTAAATTCACTCAATCAGATAAACTCAATATCGACGATTACATTGTCAACAACCAATGAGATTACCAATAAACGAGGATTATCATCATTAGAACCATGTTGCTTGTGTTGTATTCCTCGAACCAAATTAACCAAAAACAATTCAACAACAAATTTACGACATCAAAGGAGTAGCACCAATAATCGTTGTAATAGTAATCAGGTAAGAGACAATTAACTAATTGATTAATATTGAAAATAGAATCAAAAAATCATCAATGAATCAAATGAACAGAAAATTGTGAACGAGAACAAAAAACTTTGGGTGTAACTAATTACACTTTTAATCCTTTACCATTTGTGATCCAATTATGCTTATTATTACATTTTTAATCACAATTAATACTGAACAATCAGTAAATTATTAATCCGAATACAATAATAACCGGCTTAGCCTGACACCACGCGTTTTCCCCGTAATGAGAAACACAAGAAAATCCTCTCGCCAATACAAAAGGCCGTTAGGCAAAGGTAACATCCAGTGATTGGGTGAATCCTTTTATCCTCATCACTTTTTTTCCCCTTCATTCACTACTTTTATTCATCCTCATCCTTATTTCATCATCATGATAATGATAAAATTTCAAGTTTCTTCAAGAAGCTCAACAGTTTACTACTTACTTACTATCTCTTAACAAGAGGTTGATAGTATTTCCAATTGAAAGGATGAAATTCAAAGAGGATTTAATTCATGGAGAACACTCAGAGTTACTTCCGTATCACCCTCTTTCACCCCTCGCCCCTTTTTATCATCATCATCATCATCTTATTAAGAATAATAATACAAAAATTGGGATGATAATGAATAAAGAGAGAGAGAGGAAATTCTGGTTTCAGAATGGAAAGAAACTCAAAATGATAAAACCTCTCTCTCTCTCTCTTTGCTATCCAGAATTCATTCATTTATCATGGTGATTCTGATTCTCCTCATGTAATTTCTTGTTTACCTAATCATCATTTTATACTAACACACAAATATAATTATCATTATAATAGATTTTCAATGATTATAATTACAATTAACTCTATTAGCATGTTATCAATGGAAACTCTCATATTCATGATAACATGTAATACTTTTTTTTAGTGTCTAATTCTGGTTTTCATCTCCATCCTCATCCTCATCATCCTCATCTTTAATTTCATTAGGAAAACTTAATTATTATATTAATCATTTTTTTTCCTCTTCTTCTTATTTTTCATGTTATTTTCATCATCCTGTTCAGGAATTAAAATCTGAATCAAAAAGTTCAACACTCAACATTCTGATTCTTTCATGTTGTTATACATATTTTCATGTTCATCAAACATCATGAAACTTGTTCATTAAATCATGATGATTACTTTGTTGATTGTTAAACTCAAATTAACATTCACAATTAATTGTAATTGTTTTATTTACACCTTTGAATATTAATCAGTCGGTTGTATTGTTAATCTATTGTTGTTGTTGTTGTTAATCATATACTTTGAATGTATATTATTATATCAATGGTGAGAGTTAATTAATTGCTATCTTATCATCAGATTTAATTGTTGGTTAGTCTTTAGATTTTTATCATTCATTTGGGATTAAGACAATTAACTTATTGTTTATTTAAGTGTTTAATTGTTTATCTGTTGTTTTGATTAATCAACGATATTGAACTTTACCAATATTTGCCAAATTATTACAATTAACTTTCATTTAAATCAATTTGATTCTGATGATGATGAATAATTAATTATATCTACAATTTAATTACTTAACCTGACCTTAAATTATCAGATGTTGAGTCTCATCGCAATCAACTGATCATAATTTGTTGATTGTAACAATATTAATGTTAATCACGATCATGATTACAAACTTAGTTTTTTTTTTGTTGTACAATCATTTTAATTGTTACAATCAAAACCTTAATCATGATGGTAAGAAAACAAAAATTTCATTTCTATTAACCATTGATTAACACTTTTTATCAATGTTAATTGTTGTACTACAAAAAAAAACCAGCAATCAGTTAATCACTTGGGTGATTAAATTGTCTTTTGATTTCATTTTTTTCTTCAAGCTGATTAGACATAGTGATTAAATTGATTAACAATCAATATAATTATTTGATAGATTTCAATGATTGACACAATTTAACCAGACCATAGATTTTGATTGCAGTTAATTAACAATTAATCGTCGTGGGAATATCATACAAATTAAACTCTTCCTGATTAAATAAACTAATCATGAAGATGATTAAAGATAGATGATTATAACAATTACCCAGATAATCAAAAGGATTGATTGATTGTATTGATTCAAATTGGGAAACACAGACAATCAAAACAATCAAATTAGAGAAACAATTTAATGTCTAATCTGATGAGAGATTGTGATGATAATCAAGATGATGATTAAGAATCATGATGATAAAATCGATTAATTATTATCACTGATTAATGTTGATGATTAAGTGTGAGTGATGATGAAAAAAATTGATTACTTTTGATTGTCCATAATAATAAACGGCGATTGTGATTATTATCATTATACTATTGCAACGATAATCAAGACAATCATTTAAATCATGATGAATGAATGAAAAACAATCATGATCAGAATTGAAACGCTTTTCAATTCCTAATCAAATCGTGATCTTTATATCATCATTTTCATCCCAATCCCACTCCCTCACACCCTTTCCCTTAATCACAATCAAAGATTATCATCTTAATCAAGTTTAAATCATATTCGAGAAACTAAAACTTATTAAATTGAGTTATTTTCGGTCAATGGAAAGTAATAATTTGTTTATGGCAAAATAATCAGACAAACTAATCAAAACCTATTAACCGATTAACAATTTAATAATAAAATCACATTAATCGTGGTTAAATCAGCCAATTTAATCCACTTACACCAATTAATTCAATCAATACAATTAACATGATGATGTTTCAATGGGAATTGAAAAGTTTTTCAGTTAATTCAATCACTTTTTTTTTGCAAAAATAAAAGTTTAAATTTAATTTTGATCAACCAAATATAATTTATATATTAAATTGCTGATGATTTAGATGATGATGATGAAAATATATCTCATAATAATTAACTATTCAGGTATTGATGATAATGATGATGATCATCCCACCTCATCATCCATCTTTAACCTTTCATCCGGTTTAAATTGTTACACTTAATCACTTATCAATCAATGTATCATTCATTTGATTGCTTAACTAAATCAACTAATCACATCTCTCTATATGTATCATTATATAAATATAATTAAACTGTTGTTAATTTAAATTTTTACATCCATTTACCATTGGCAATGTTTAACTGTTAAACTTTGAACCGTTAATTTCAACAATTTAACTTTAAATTGTATTAATAGTTTGTTGATTGTGATTAGAATCACTTTTTTTCCGTATAAATTGTTGCATTTTTTTTTTGATGGTGTTTCAGTTTCATTGATCAAAAATAAATTGTTACGATAACCATGAGAATCAATTCAACTAATCAATCATTAAGTTAATCAGTTTTTATTTTGAAATTTTTTTTTGAATAATCAAAACCTATTAATATAAAGTAATAACAATTAACCTTTCAATTGTTGATCGGCAATTTATTATTATTTAACAATCATTGAAACTTTTTTTTTCTGGTTAAATAACAATTTGACTGATTGAAAAAAAAACTTATCACAATTAACTGATTGTAACTGTTGTTAGTTTTTCAATGATTATCGTATCTATTTGATTTGAATATATTGATTCAAACTTGATGATTGAACAGTTGATTAATTTACTAATACTAATTAACTAATTTAAAGTGACAATTAGTTTGATTGATTCGCAATATTTAAACTTGATAACTTTCACTTTTCAACAAGTTTAATCAACAACTTGTATTGACACAATCAGTTAATTGTGTAACAGTTTCAATCTGATAATGATCAACAATTTAACATGATTACACTTTGAATTTGTGAGTTAATATTGAAATCGGTTACTGACCAATAGTCACAATCTAAAAATCAATCATGACGAGAAATCAAATCATGACGATCAACATTTCAAATTCAATTCCCAATTGATAACCAACTATTATCATCAATTAACCTTGACAATTTAAATTGCTGATCATCATTGATACTCATGATTATGATGATCAACAATCATGATGATTAGACCAGAGACCCATCATTATCCATCAAGAACTTGTTCACATGAAAAAAAAACTTTCGAATGAACTTTTTTCTCTCAAAAACTTTCACCGAAACTTCATCTTACCTGGAAATCATTTCTATCGCCCAAACCCACCATCAGAACCCCCTGAATTCAGTGAAAGTGAAATAAGTGACTTTTTTTGTTCCATTTTGATGAAAAAAAAAACTAATAATAAAATGATTCTTTCATTTTCTTGGTGAACAAAAAAACACGAAATTCAAAATCTCAGGTAATCTTTTTGTGAGAGGGTTACACTTGAGGGTCTCTCTTTTTTTTTTGGTAATTTATGGTTCCAATTGCTGATTACTGTTGATTGTTATTCACAGGGTAACAATCAAATTTACAGGTAACTGAACCTTAACTAGAAAAAGATTGAGAGAGAAACGGAAGCAACAATTTAAATGACAATCAGTTGATAGTTAACAATTTCTCAGGTTAATCTGCTAACCAGATCTTGTTTTCTTGTTGTAATTGTTAATCATGCTAATCAATTAACATCATCTTTGGTTTTTCATTCTGGTTTTGGATTAACTGATTAGCCTGATTGTTGATAATTGAAATTGTGTTTTTCACCTTAATCAGTTTAATTGTTTGTCTTTGTTTTTGTTTCATTTCAAATATCATCAATCAATCAATTGCTCTCATTCAAATCTCTACAATTAATTATTTACCTTTTTTTTCATTTGATTTCTTGCTCAGTCAACAATTAGTTAACTGAATCAATGTTTTACTTGTAATAGTTGTAACTAATTACTGTTACTATGATTATGATTAAAGTTAATTGTTGATGATGAATGAAGTGTTTCTAATTTACTCTTTAAAAAAACAGGAAACTTATGATTACAAGTGATTAAGTGAACCAAATAACAATCAAATTAATTATATGCCATTGATACATAAAGTTTGTTGATTAATAGTTGGTTTGATATGGTAAATTGTTAGTTAATCGTCAGGTAATTATGTAAGAAACTGAATTAAATTAACAACGGTTTCAGTTTTAAATTTAGGATAAGGTCAATTGGGTTAATTTTTTATATCAATAACTTGTTATATCATTAAAACCAATTACTTGACCTCGACACGGAAATACAAATATTATCATCTTAATCATGATGATTACCTTAATCATTACAAGATGATGATGATGATTAAGACGATCTCATTTGAATTGAAAATTGGTTAAGAAAGAGACCAGAAATTATTATCATCATTAAGATGATTAGTTAATTTATTCTTGTGCCAAATTTAAAGTGATCAACTTAATGGTCAACTAAATATAACCAATTTAATTGTTGGTAAAAGTTAATTTAACTTAATCATAGTGGTCAAGACAATACCCAATGGTTAACAGTTAATCATTTTGATTTCCATATTGATTAGCATATGAGAAATGGGATTAAATCAACAATTTGATTGGAGCTACTTTTCAATTGTTGTGGTTTTGTTTTCTGTTCATTTTGATTCACTTTTTTTTAGGAACAAAATTACAATTACAATCACGATTACGAACTGAATTAACTTAATTTCTAAATTTTTTTTTTCCAATAGAAACTTGATGATTCTCGGAAGAATTTAAATTCATTGAAAGATCAAGATGATGAATCAAGTCAATTGGAACGCTATGTGCCCGTAAGTTTAATTGTGATTAGTAAATTGTTTCCCATTTTGGTGAAAGTGAATTAACACTAATGGTCAGTGGGCATTAACCTTTGACCACAACAAAAAGCTCATTGTCCAGTTTTTTTTTCTTCATCCAATTCGTTCACTTCCCATCACCATTTCTCTTCATTCTCATCATTTCTTTTTTTTTCTTCATCTTCTCTTACATCCTAATCATCCTCATCTTCATCATCTTGACCATGATCAGAGTCAAGAGCTGTATAAACGAGTGGTCAAGGAACATCTTCAGCTTCAAAGCTCATTCAAAATTCTGTGTCAACGATTGGAAGAGGAAAAGGAAAGGTCAGTTACCGAAACAAAGGAGAAACAATCACTTAAGGAACAGATTAACAATCTCATGCGAAAGGTAAATTAATCCTTTAATCCACCAAATTAATCCACAAAATGGTTAACAATTGCTAGAAGAAAATTTTTTCTATCCCTTTACATTTAAATTGAGAAACGTTTCTCTTTACTAATCATAAATTGTTCCAATCAAATGGCTTAACAATTAAGTTGATTGTTAGTCTATTATGTGATTAGTTAATCACTAGCTACAGGTAAAGGCTTAATTTAGTTTCCATTGAACTAATTGTTTACCTTAATCAATCAAAAAGTAAACAACGATTTTCAAAATATTGGAAAAACTTTTTCGCCTCATGTTAATTTACTTGTTGTTGGTTTTAATTTACTAATTAACTTTTCTTAATCAAATGATTAATTAAACACACCTTTGGTTGCTATGGTTACGTTCCGGTTAGATTGTTGTTGTTTTCATTTTTAATTAATCACAATTAGTTTGATATGATTTGGTTAAGATTGTTTTACCTTATGGGTTAGGTTTACATTTCGTAAAGATTTTGATTAATTTAATTGAGAGATTATGTTTTCCTTAATCATAGTGATTTAAAACTTTAATTACAACATTAACAGACTCACATTCACATAATATAAACAAAATTGTAACAATTAATCAAAAAAAAAAATTAACATGATTCATGTGAACAATTTAACATTATAATCAAAAGTGTGATCAGAATTATTTAATTATTTAAATTGTAACGTTGATTGAATTAAATTATTTTCGTCGAGGATAATTTATCACTTGCAATTGTCACTCCCTGATTGTTTAATTATCTTCAATAACAATTAACCATTTTAAACTAAATTAAGGGTCAAGGAGATGATTGATCAAGAAAATTAAGTTAATCATAAAAGTTAACTTTTTGTCGGCCTTAATCAATTTTAATTTTATCGATCCAACTAAATTACCAAACTAATCAGAAACTTTTTCTTAATTGTAATCAATCAGGTTGATTTACTGGCAATGGAGTTACAGGAAGCTCGTGATCAGAATGAATTAATGGAATTCAGAATTCTTGAATCTGAACAATCAAAAGTAAGTAATTTAATCTAATTGTAATCAACGATTCCAACGAAAGTGTAAAAAAAACCTCGAAACAATTATGATTAATGTTGATTACAATTTAAATCTACGATTAAATTTGGCAAACATTTCCAATCATCATCAGTTAAATTGTTCATTCATTTCTTTGATTGTTGTTGGTTAATAGTAAATAAGATTTGAAAATCAATTGATATTGTACAATTAGATTATTAATATTGAACAATCAATTTGATTCAAACAATTATATTCATTGATATTTAAATATTAAGACATTCAAATACTTAAATAGTAACAATTTAAATGTAAAAGTACATTTTTAAAATATAATCTTGATTACAATTAACTTTTAATCATATTAATCATGATAACTTTTTATCCCAAAAAAAAGTTATGATTAAAAAAAAATGATTTTAAATTGTGATCTGATTACTATCAATAGACTGACGATTAAGATTAGTTGATTGTGGTTAAATTGTTGCTGTAGTGATACAAATTGTTTGTAGGCTGATGATTTACCGATTAACTTTGATTAACAATCAAGTTAATAATAAACAGTTAATTGTTGACCACAAAGGGTCAACACTTTTCTTGATTATCTCTCACTTGATAATATTTAATATATGAACCAAACCTTAATCAAGTTTAATTGTTAATCATTTTACCGGTTGATTGTTACCGTTGTTAAAACCGATTATGGTCAAGTTAAATAAGTAACAATTAAGTTAATTTACTTTTCGGATGCTTTTGATTAACCAGAAACACCAGTATATTTAATCATAGATTTTGTGGTTAGTACAACAATTTAGGTTATCAGAATTGTTTTATCAAATTAACTGATTGTTGTTGTTGATATTGTCTAATACAAATCAATTTAAATTGTAACACTCCCTTTAATTGTAATATATTAGCTTTATGATTAAGATGAGACTTTGATTGTTATCAGATTGTTACAAGATTAAACTTACATTAGGATTAAGTTAATCAACTTTTGAATAAATTAAAGTTATTAAAATTGATTTGATTGTAATTGTAATTGAAAAGGTTCAATCAAATTGTTAATTGTGAGTTACTTGATTGTTAGGTTATTATATAACTAATTTGATTTCTCATTTGAAAAAGTTAACCAATTTACCAAGAACATTAAACTTTTTGTTTTATTATGTAGATTTTGATTTGATTGAGTGATTAGTTGATTGATTAGTTGATTGATTAGGTGAAATAATAATTAAATCACAATTGCCTTTGGGTAGCAAAAAAAATTAGTTGATGATTTAAACTAAACATGTTAAAAGTTGATATAATCAAAAATTAACAACAATTAACTCAAGACAATCAAATTACGTGTTTGATTGGTTATCACTTGGTTATTATAATAATTATAAGGAGTGTTGATGAAACAATTTAGTTAATCATTTCAACTACAATACAAAAAAAACAGGTAACATATCAATTATTAATAGTTAATTGTTTTGACGTTGACAATTGATTTGGTTAACTGTTAATTGTTACTGATCCATATTAATTGGTTGAATGCAAATCAACATATAATACCAACAATGAAGGGTAATCTTAATTTCTGATCAATTTCTGAATCAATTGAGATCCAAAGTTTATTAACATGTTAATCCTTTAATCGTAATCATCTTAATCACATCATAACAATCACAATTAACCAACAACAATGACGACAAAACAAAACGCAATCAAACAATTAAAATTCATTTTAAATGGTTAACTAAATTGCTAATCACGTTTTAACTTTGTCCACCTTGTACCATGTTACTTAATCATCGTCTTAATCATGATTAGAATTATTTTCTCCCAATAATCAATTGAACAGCAATTTGTTAGGAAAAAAAAAGCAAATCGATTGTAACAATTAACTTAATCATCATGGTAAACCGGACATTCCAATCAGATTAACATCGGAAATAGCGAATATCAATTGTAAACCAAATAACTTTGTTTCCTTTTCCTCCTCCTCTTGACAATTAACTAATCACCATCAAGATTAAGCGAAAAAGTAAATTGTAACTATCAATTAATTGTAATGATAATTGTTCGTTACCCAAATGATTACGTTTAAATATCCTAATGATTTAAATTGTTCCATTACTGTAACAATTTACTGATTATCCTATTAGAATCTGGGATGAGGACTCACCTTAATTTCAGGGGGTTTTATGAGTTAATGTTAATCATCATAATGATTAAGTTAATCATTATACCTTTTTGACCAAAACAATTTTTTTTCAGGAAAAAGACATTAGGGTTTTGCCCTTAGGGCCTAATTCTTGATGATCATCTCATCTTATTATTATTATTTACTGTGTTTGTATTATCAACCTGAAAACCAGGTAACCGTAGACCTTTAATTTAACCTTAGGGTGAATAATATCATCATCATCTTCAGGTATCATCTCAACTTAAGGAGTGTCCCTAAAGTTTTGTCTGAAAAGAAAAAAAAAATTTTCTCTCTTCATAAAGTTCACCAACTTGCTAAAGGTTACACACGATTTGACCTCTCATCTGATTGTATTCATTTACTTGATTGTAAAGATCAATCACTTTCCATTGATAACCTTTAACCTTGATCATTTGGTATTCACTTTAATTGTTATCCTTTAATTGTTAGGAAGAAGTGAGAAAAAAAAAGTTTCTCATAGTTTTTCCTTTCATTTTCTTTGAGGTGGTTGATTGTTGTTGTCTTGTTTTTCTGATTAGTTAATTGTTTGGTTACATGATTTGTTTTTTTTTCTCTTTACCTTAATTGTCGTTTAATTAGTTGTATCTTTTTCTAGATTGACCGAGTTTCAATTGTCTCACTTTCGGTCATCGTGTTTCTTGTGGTCACCCAGTTTTGTTTATCCTTCTAATTACTGATGATTAGATTTTCTTTTTTCTCCTTGACTGTTTTGATCCTTTTGATGGAAACAATTAACTAATTATTTGTGTCTTTTTTTTACGCTTTAATTACAGGCAACCTTTTCGGAAACAACTAATCTAATTAAATGTGACAAAGCGATACAATTAGAACCTTCAACGGAAGCGGAAAAAAGATCTAATTTGATATTACCCTCGATTGGTAATTCTGTTAAGATGAAAACAATTTCTCCCAATGGAAATGCTCCCAATGAATTGTTTCTTTATGGTTTACCTGGTAAAAGATCAGCTGTTTCTCTTGATGGGTTACCAGGTAAATCTAATAAAAGTTGCTCTAGTTTGGAGTCATATGGATTGACCCTTTCACTGACCAGTGAAGATGAGGGTTTAGGTGATGATGGACGTCGAGATCAATTTTCTGGACCTTCAAGTTTATCGGACATTCAAATGTCCGATGAAGAAAGTAACGCTTCCTCTGGGTCATCATCATCGTCATCGTCAAGTAAATTTACTGATGCGGCCATTCAAACATCAGAATCATCGTTGACCATCATCACTGGTCCATGTCAGCATTGTAAGGAATCAACTAATCTTGAAGATAAAGTTAATCTATTAATTGAAGAGAGAGATAATCTCCAGGAACAAGTACTTGAATTAGAGGAAGCTGAGAATGACGCCCGATTAGTTAGCCAACGGCTTCAACGGCAAGTTGAAAATCTGGTTAATCAGGTTGACTGTTTACAGATCAGTCTGGTCAAAGCTAATCAACAAATTGACCAATGTAATGAAACCATACATACACTAAGGGAATGTGAACTTAAACTAAAGGTTGACTTTATGATGGCCTTAATTGCTAAATCGGAAGATTCACCGAGTAAATTGTTGGACGAGCTTAAAACTAAATTAAAGGAAAAGAAAAATGAATTAGCCTCAATGGGACCAATGGTCTTTTCCTCATTGAATACATTTGATGACCGATCAATTGATCTATCATCAACCTCGACAACAATCAATGGATCAACAAATCGCCATAATTTTAAACAAGCAATTTACCAACAACAACAACAGCAACAACAACAAAGTTCACATGGTAATTCATTCAATCATCAATCTTATTTACCGTTATCATCGTTCACCGGGTGTGGGCCAGATGATTGCGAGATATTTGTACCTGAGGACAGTTTACCACCGAACCCTGGTTCCTCTTTCCATGTTCAAATGTTGACCTCCAACCGATACAACCCTTGCCGTCCCTCGCAATCAACGACGACATTTTCATCGCCCCGATCACCTTTACCTTTATGCGAAACCGTTAAGCCTAAAAAAATTGATCTACTATTATCTCCATCACCTACTTACTCTTCATCTTCATCTCCACCCTTATCTTCATCCTCATCACCTTTAGTATCACCCGCCTCGTCATCCTCATCTTCATCTTCATCTTCATCAACTTACCTTTCAAATTTACCTTCATCCTCTAATCCATCAGTTAATCAATCTAATTAACAATTTTGAAACGATTGAAATTTGTTATAACTAACGAAGTTTTTTTTTCTTTTTCTGATTTTTAATTATTCACATTAATCAACAAGAATTAATTTCTTGATGATTAACTGATTTACTTTGCTAATCACAACACAAAGTCAAAAATTTATCACTAATTTTTAATCATCGATCTGTTGAGATCTTAAAGACAATTTAATTTGATGAGAAACAATTAATCTATTGGGACAATTAATTTCTAAACAAAAAAGGTTAATCTACTTTCTAAATAATATTTAATTGCTATTCCAATGATGACAAGTTTTAATTCAATTGGACAACAATTAAATCTAATCATTGGATAGTCAACATTTCTCACTCTTTACGAATTAAGTAAAAAGTTAATCGACAAATGTTGAGCTAACCGGATTAACTAATCACTACAGTTACTTAATCAACGATAATCGTTTACCCTTTTGTTTTCAAGTCTTGATTAATTGTTTCATTGATTTGTGCTAATTGTAAATTATATATTAACCTAATCTAATTATGCTAATTAACTTAAATAAAAAGTTTGATCACTAATTAAAATCTTAGATTTTGATTAAGTGAAAGAATTGACAAAAAAAAGTTTCCATAGACTTAATTGTTTTCAATTGTTTTTCCTTGATAATTTTTCATGTAATTAATTGTGACAATTAAATCACCTATTGGTGGTTAATTGTTTTCTCCTAATAAACTGTGTAATTTATATATTAATTGTTGTTGATTTAGTTTAAATTGTTGATGAACGATGAAAGGACAATTAATGATTTATTTTAATTACATGTTACATTTTGATCACTAGTAATTTTTGTTTGGTTTTATATCACAGAAAATGATTAAGAGTTAATTGTTAATTGATTCAATCAAATAAATGAATGAAATCAAATTAATTGTAGCAAAAAAAAAAGAAACACCAACACTTAATTGTCCTCGAAAGTGATTACTAAATGATTGCTGGTGTTGTGAACATTGGTGATCACAATTAACGATGATTAATGAATTTTGAATGATGATTTGATCTGATGGACACAATTAAGAAACGACTAATTGTTTGATTATAATCAACCAGAGGTGTAACAATATAAATGGAAGGCGTTAATTGTTGGTTCTGTGTGGCGCACAATTAAAATTAAAAGCCCTGAGAAAAGTTAATTGTTAACTAATCACCATCATCTTTTCAACTAGAGATCAAATTTGATTCAGTTGACAAGATTAATTTTTCGTTCCTTTGATTAAAAAGCTCACAAACAATTAGATTTACAAGAATTAATCATCGTCATAGTTATTGATGATTAGTTAATTATCTTATTGATCATAATCATCGAAGAAAAAAAAACATGATTATCCATTGGATTTGAATGGATTCGATTGATGATTAAGGATAATTATATTATCTCATGTGCTTTATTTTGATGTTTAGAACTCGAGTTGATTGTTTTGAGCAATTTAATTGGTTTTTCGAGTTGATTTCTTTTAATCATGATTTTCATCGTTCTGGACTATTTCATGGTTCAGAGTTTCCATCATGTTCACAGATCGGAAGTTTTCACTGAATAATCATCTTCTGAACTCGTTTTATCCAATTGATCATTTGGTGTTCTCATTGTATTGATTGATGTTATATCGGAAGATTTATCGGAATTTGATCTTTCAGATGATCGTCGACGTTCACGCCTCTCTCGAAGCGATTTACCAATATCGGCGGACTTCAATTCGAATCCAACCTCTTTACCAGATTCTTTTTTCGATTCTCTCCCAGGATCACCATTTCCACCCGTACCATTAACACCACTTCCCGTTATCGTATTAACATCTAGACCCAATTGGGCACCGATTCTGACTTTTGCGTTCTCAAACGACTCGGCAAGTCTTTCTTGAATTACATTGATACACATTGAGGTTAAGGCTAAACCGAAAAGCATATAAATAGATGAGGCAATCATTGAAAGTGAATCTTCTGGAACGTAATCACCAAATCCAATGGTACTCATTGAGATGTAAACGAAGTAAAATGATTCAAAGAGACGCCATTCATCCGTGTATGTGAAAATAAATGAGCCCAAAAGGATGTAAAGTACTAGAATGAAAAGCGCTAAACTGACTGGAAGATTGAATTCATCGTCCACGGTAAAAGGAGCCGGTGTTTCGGGTGTTATTGGGCTTCCTGGACGAGATTCGACATAGGCTGTCATCGGCGGGGTTGGATTCGATGAGATGATAACAGGCGGAGGTGGTAACGGGGAAGATGAGACAACACCCGAAGATGGGCTGATTAAACTCGGCATTTCTCCAGGATAAATTATTGGAGTTTTATAAATTCGAGTTGTGTCCATAGGAAAAGCTGATTCAGGATCTTCCGAAGGTAATCTCAAGTTTATATCATTCGACCTCGTTGTTTCCTTAACGACACTTGATTCCTTCGAACTTGCCTTACTTTTAGATCGCCTTGGAACGGATAATCTTCTGATAGCATTATAAGCGCCTGAAACATACTGATTATAAACAAGAAAATGGTTGAGAAAATTTTCTTCAAACTTTCATCTCAAAGTCTATTAAATGGTTGTCACTTGAGGATTCATATTCTTACCTGTGTTTGATAGGCAGAGACCGTGCGTCCAGCTTGTCGCACCCGACGGAATCCATGAGCATAACAGAATCGACGGATTTTAAGAAAACTGAACTTAATACCTCGAGTGAAAAGTTTACCCAAATCGGTGAGAACCATAAGTACCAATGGAATACCAATAAAAGCATAAATCATTGTGAATCCGCGACCAAGATCAGTTTTCAGTGTTACATGACCATAACCTATTCGAAAGGATTGATTGAAAAATTAACGAGAACAATTGAACATTTCGAACAGTCCATTCAACCTTACCTATTGTGGTGAAAATGGTTACACAGAAAAACAGTGCGTCCCAAAAGGTCCAAGCGACATCTTCGACTTCGACCTCAATACCGGACTTGAAATTTTCCAATAATTGTCTCTCGAATTCATTCATTCTTAATTCAACAAGACGATAGATCGCATTTCTATCTCTTTTTATCACCCTGGCCTGATACCAGAATTCCCGTTTGAAATCCTGAATCATGTAAGAAACTGGTTCCTGGAAGGGAAAATCAAAATTCTGATCAATTCTGAACATTATTGTGACAATCTATCTAATCGAGACAAACGAACCAAGAAACTTAAGGGATTGACTTTGTATCTATGATAATTGTGATCCGAATTTCTTAATTTATCAACAATTAACATGTACATATGATTATTAATAGAAATAAATTAATTTATATTCTTGGAGAGAGAAACTAAATTAGTGTAAACATCAGATTCGTAATCATTATACTGACTAATTATGATTTAGGCCAAATGGATTTTGGTTACAAAGAGATTACGAGATATGAGAAAATTATATTAGGATATTTAATTTAGTTATAATTTAGTTACAATCAGTAGCCAAAATAAACATGAGAATAGTTTGTTGTTAACTCAATCAGGATAATCAAGTTAAATTGTTGCTTTTCATTTCTCATATTGAGAGACAAACAAAAGTTAATCAAACATTAAGAATCACATTGAATTTGATAAATCAAAGTTAATTGTTATTCTAGTTGATCAGTTTTCATTCACAATTTATAATCACTTGATTGTTGATTTAATTTAGATATTGATTGTTGATGTAGTAATTTTGTTTTCCTAATTCAAACCTAATTCTGATTCTTGTCTTCTTGTTTATTAGTAATCATTGACTTCGTTGATTATTTATGTTAATCATTTGACAGTTAAGAGATTACAGTTAGTTAACTAACTGTAATTAGGTTGGAAACAAATTTAGTTGTGATACAATTTACAGAATTAGAAATACAAATTTGCTTCACTGTTTATAATTCATCTTAAGATTTGAGATGTGATTTAATTTTGCTAACAATTAACATTCAAAATCAATGAAAACCGTTGACAATTAGTCAGTCAATGATTAATTAACCTGAATAAATTGTTTATCAACAGGTTTGTAAGGTGATGAAATATAAATTGTCAGTTTATTATTTTTCATCAATGGATTTGATTGTTTAATTGTTACGATTGTGTTTCTCTCAATGGGACAGTAATTTAATGACAACAATTAAGAGTAACGAGTAAAGGTAAAAATGATAGGGAAAAGTGTATTTGGATGTCAGGGTGAACATTGTTGATTAACTGCCAACAATTAAGATGATTAACTTGACGAGGATAAAGTTAGTTGATGATTAAATGAACCTTAATCTTGTCAATTAAACGCAATTAAGTTTAATGATCAAATTCATTTACATTTAACCAAAGGATGGTAACAATTAAGTTTCATTAGGTTAGTTTGTATTTTAAGAACTAAATTGTTTACAATTGAAATTGAATCTCCATGTAAATTTGTTGAAAAAGTTAATTGTTTGAAAATAAGTGAATGATTAACTTGATTGAACTTTGAGTTCTTGTCAACAACATGAAGCGAGCTGAGTAAATGGTAATTAATCAGTATGAACTTTTAATCAATCTAATAGTTTGTATATATTACAAGTAATATATAAACTGAATTAGTTTTAATTGTTGCGTCGATAAATCAATCGGTTAATCCGAAAAGAAATCAAATTAATCCAAAAGAAACCGAAACCGAAATCGTAAACGTTCAGTTCCGATTATATATTAGACTCAAATGATTAGCAATTAAAAGATTGATTAATCACTAAGATGACTGAAAAATGGAATTTTTTCTCAACAATTAAATTTAATTGGTAATCTGGTTCTTCGGTGGTTTTGCATCGGATTAATTGAAAAGTTTCATTGTTTTCGTAACCAAAACGTTTCATACGAAAACTTCAATACCAAACTTTTTTCGTTCCAAATTTTCGGCCTCAAGTTCACCTCAGGCATTGTTGTGAATCTTCATTGACCATAGTGACCTGGATAATATGCCCGTCAATGTGTTCATTGCCCAGGACACCGAAACTTTGAGGAAAACCATAACGATTTGGATAAAAGTTCAATATTCAAACTCGTTCTATGAAATTGTCGATGAATCTAACAATCAACTGATCTTTTCAACGATCCATTGGCAATGTCCAATGAAAAGGACTTCGAGTGGAAAATATTTTGGAACAATTTTCGAAATTAGAAAATGGAAAAGGACAAATGATCTACAATTCTAATGGTCATTGGACGGAAATGACCTGAAGACCGATTAGATTATCATATTTACCTGTGTTTAAAAGTGTACGAAAGTTAATGCCCATGACTGTATGATGTTCATTGATTGATTTAAATTGTTGTCATCGACTGTCATTGATTTAAACAAGCGACTTGTAACTAACTGCCAACAATTATCTTAGTTATTTAACTATTTCTGGTTTAGGATTATCGGTTAATCACTTTGGATTAACCAATAATTACTTACATATCTAAATTTGATCATCGAATCAACTGATTTACTGATTGAAAAAGAGTTAAAACAATTTGAACAATTGTAATTGTAACTTTTCTTCAAGACTAAGCAATTTAAAAGTTTAATTGTTATCCCAAGATGATAAATTGTTAGACAATTTATTAATAATAATAATTAACTAGACAAATCTATTAATAATAATTGCTGATTGTGAAAGATTTAATTTGAATAACTAGGAAGCAGAAAAACAAATTAAATGAACCGTTAATTGTAACAAATTTTGTTGATCAAACCAAATGATCAGCGTATACATTAATTGTTGGATAAATTATTGTAACAATTAACTGATAATCCTTTTTTTTTTGATTGTTGACTATGTAAAAACTTATAATCAATAATCTTGTTAATTTAATATTATCAAATTGGCAAGAGACCAAACTAATTGTGAACCTTATTACCTACAATTAACTCAATGATGATTACAATTTTCAGTTGTAATGGTTACATGAGTTAAATTAGATTGTGAGGTTTGAGTAATTCATTGATTGTGTTAATCATAAATTTAGTGGGTTAAGGTAATTAAGTTGAGTGTCAAATGTTATGGTAAAACTTTGACAATTAGTTGATCAACAGTTAAACTTTTTCAAGCTAATTAATTATAATACTTGAGAGGACTAATCAGTGATGAAAGAATTGGAAAAATTTTTATTAACCAGCAATTAAAACCTCAACAATTTACCAACTAAAATCAATGGAGATCTCATCAGTTGGCCTCATCACCTTGTTAATTTATTTATTTTTCGAGGAAAAACAAACTAATCCAATTGTTAATTGTGTTAACATGTCAAGGTTTAAATAATCAATCATTGCCACATCCAAAGTAGTTGACAATTAACTCCACATCTAATCAACAATCAACTCAATGAATTCAAGAATCAGTGACAATGTTGAAAGAAGATGAAAACAAAAAGTTGTTGAGGACGAGAGACTTTAAGTTTTTGGTTGATTGGTTGTTTCAATCGGTTAATTGTCGCTAATTGTTGACTTACCTTGTATTTCACTTCGGCTTTACCCTCGATCATCATGAATATCCAAGCACCAAAACACCCGTACAAAAAAAGGACAAAAAGTAATAGGATGTGGGAAAACCAACGCTCTGTGAATGTCTTGAAGTACTCGAAGAAAGCGACTAATTTAGATCTCGTTTCTCGTTTTAATTTAACAAAATACATTGGGTTATTAACGATAACGACCTGGGGCTGAAGTGCCTTCCAAATATCATATGGGTCAGCCTGAGGTTCAGAATTTTCCATGATCAAGTTGATTTAAGAACACAAATTTGAAGGAACAACAATCGAAATGGTCACAGAGAGAAAAACAAAAACACCAAAACAGTAACAAAAAAAAACGATATTACAATTGAATCGGTCGACAAATTAACTAATCATTTGATGGATTAACAAAAAAAAGTATCAAAATTAAGGTGTTGATCTTAAATTGATCAATTGATTAATCGTTAATCATTTTTCTCGTCTCATGGCTCATGTGAATTTAATTTATTGTTTTCATTTGAATTTTTTTTCCTCTTTCGCTTTTACGATTGAAAAGATTTGGATAACAACGTTGGGAATGATGATGATGATGATGATGATTAGGGTGATGAAGTAAAGGATGAAGATGATGTTACCGATTTTACTACTTGTTGTTGATGATGATAAAAAGAAATCATCTTCCTCTTTCTTTCCCTGAGCAATTGATATGTTAAAAATTTCCGACTAGACTTTTTTTTCACTTTTACAATTCAATCTTTGCCAGAGCAACAAAATTATCTTCGTATGACTGTAAGTAACAGTGTAAATATCTTCTCTTTCTTATCTTCATCCTCTTTCTCTTTCTCTATCTTCATCTTCATCTTAATCATCATCTCTCCATACCCATGGTGGGAAAGGGATGGAAATTACTGGTGAATATTTTTCGCACTCCTCCTAAAGCTAAATTGTGTCTTCCCTTAATATTAATTTCGGATGGAGGCCAAAATATTATGAGGGAAGGTGGGAGGTGGTTAAGATGCTCGAATTTGTTTTTACTCGGTGTACTTTTCGTTTATTTTCAACCAAACTCGAAGTGAACTGAGTGAACAGAGATAATAATTGTTACGGAGGAAGTAAATATTATTTGAACATCATTTGAACTTTCAATTGATAAACGAAACTTTTTTTCTTCTTCTTCATTTCTACTCTCTTGTTAAGCTCCTTCTAATTATCTTTCATGGTGTTAAAATAGATAGATGAAATTCAATAGTTTATATAACATATCTTTTAATCTGATAGTTGATTCATTAATTGTTCATCACGTTGATTAGTCTTTTAATTAGATAGTCTCAGAATGTAGTTATGACCAGCTAAAGTGAAGACTTCGAACCAAAGTCAATAAAGAGAAAGAGAAAACAATGAAGTTATTGATATCAAGGTTCAATTAGTCATCAATTTAATTGGAGAGATTTTCTGATTGAACTGAATGATTGAGTTTAATTAGTTTGGATCAACTTTGTTTTGTTAATTGTTACCAGTTTTCGATTTTAAGTTTGGCGCCTTTTCTTTGAAACGAAATTTGAATGAGAAAAAGTAGCGACATCTGGTGGGAACCGCGACGAATAATCTGTTTTCTGTTTTTTTGTTTAATTTTTTATAAGAATTAAATTGTTAAATTTAACTAAATAATTAATATTTAAATTGTGTTTTATCATAAAAATTGAAGTACTAAGTGTGGAGACCAAATTGAATACAAATAATCAGGTAGGTTCAGCAAGACAGAATACTCTGAGACAGAATACTGAAAAACACGTTTCTTATATAAGAATGAACTCTGACACTAACAACTTCTCGACAGAATACTTTTACCTTCCCCTATTTTAGAGATCCACCTGAATTATATGAACAATATATTAAAATGTAAGATCAAATGTCTAATTGATTAATTTTTTATTTTTTTCAATTGTAAACAAAATGAAAATTCAACAAAAAATTTTTTTGCTTTGTGTTCTCTATCATTCGGTGGCTCAGATGACCGATCGAGGGCAGCACTTGAGGCTGCTCAGTCTTCGGACGACTGTAGTTAGTCACCTCTTGGAGGATCAATAAATTGTTTACACGTGAACTTTTTTTTCTTGGATTAATTAAGATTTTGATTGTGTCCTTTTGATTGTTTAATTTAATTTAGTTGTTTGATTCACCGGTGTTTGAACATGGAACCTCTTACAGTTAAACTTGAGACCATTTATAGTCAAGCGATTGAGAAAAGTTTCCCTCAATTGGCTGGAACTCGAGCTACAATTAGGCCAAGTATTCATGCGGATTATCAATGTAACTCTGCCATGGCTTTAATTAAAAAGGTTAAAGAATTAAATATTGAAGGTAAACTTGATCCTAAATCATTGGCGGAAAAACTGGCTGCCAATGTACCTGATAATGATTTGATTGCCACTCAAACTGTCGACAAAGGATTTATAAATATTTCTCTTCAAGATGGTTATGTTGGAAAAAAGGTTTTATCTATATTGAAAGATGGTATTGTCATTGTACCGGAGAAAAAGCAAAAGGTAATAATTGACTATTCAGCTCCGAATATTGCCAAAGAGATGCATGTTGGCCATCTTAGATCAACTATTATCGGTGATAGTATTGCCAATATTCTGGAGTTCTTGGGACATGAAGTTCATCGTATCAATCATATTGGTGATTGGGGAACTGCTTTTGGTATGTTATTGGCTTACATGGAGGAAAAGTTTCCCGATTATGTTGAAAGTCCACCAGCAATCGGAGATTTACAGAAATTTTATCAAGAGGCAAAAAAACGTTTCGATGAAGATCCAGATTTCAATAAAAAATCCAAAGATTGTGTTGTTAAACTTCAATCCAAAGAACCAGCTATTTACAGAGCTTGGGAATTAATTTGTGAAATTTCACGAAAAGAATTTCAACAAATTTATGATGTTCTCGATATTCATGGACTAATTGAACGCGGTGAATCTTTCTATCAAGATAAAATGAGTGATATGGTTGAAGATTTAAAGAAACGTGAATTAATTGTTCAAGACGATGGACGTTGGATGTTTTTCATCAATGGTAAAACCAAAGAGGTTCCATTGACTGTAATTAAATCTGACGGTGGATTCACATATGATACATCAGATGTTGCCTGTCTCAGGTATCGAGTGGCCACTGAGAAAGCAGATCGAATCATTTATGTAACCGATGCCGGGCAAGAAAGTCACTTTAGAAGCATTTTCGCCGCCGCCCAACAAGCGGGTTATTATGATCCAGAAAAGGTTCTCGTTCAACATGTCGTCTTTGGCCTTGTCTTGGGTAATTTCATCGATATCATTTCATATTTGTGTCCCTTTAATTAATTGAACAATTTTCTTTTCCTTTCCAACTCTATTTTTCATTAGGCGAGAAAGGAACCAAATTCAAGACTCGATCTGGTGACAGTGTCCGACTCAAAGAATTGCTGGACGAAGGAATCGTTCGAGCAGAACAAAAATTAAAGGAAAAGGAAAGAGACAAAATTTTATCACCCGAGGAATTGGAAGTTGCCAAAAAAGCGATTGCCTATGGTTGCATTAAATATTCTGATTTAGCTCAGGATCGAATTAAAAATTATGAATTTAGTTTCGATCGAATGTTAGACGATCGTGGTAATACTGCTGTTTATCTTCTCTACTGTTTGGCTCGAATTCGTTCCATTATTCGAAAAACGGGCATCACCAAATCAGCTAAAGAACTTGCAGATGAAACAAAAGAATTAGTTCTAACCCATCCTCGTGAACTTCGATTAGCCAAATTTATCCTCAAATTTCCCGACATTATCATGACCGTTTCTGAAACTCTTTCTCCTCATACTCTTTGTACCTTCCTCTTTGAACTATCAGTTGTTTTCTCTGAATTCTATGAACAATGTTACGTAATCGAGAAAATTCCCGGTGGTGATTCAGAACAATTTAAAGTTAACATGGAGCGAGTTCTTCTTTGCGAAGCAACATCTTATATTCTCAGTTTGGGACTCAAGCTTCTTGGAATCAAACTTGTCGAGAAACTTTAACATTATTATTATCACAAAACCAAAGTTAATAATAATAATCTCTCAACAATCAAGAATGAGAATAAAAAGAAAAACCTAATTTAAAAGTTAAACTCCTAAAAATCGTCAAACAATTTACCACCTAAACAGAAGTGCATTTTCTAATACAAATAAAACCTCAACAATTAAAAATTAATTTCGATCAATTGTAAAATCTTTCATATCGAAAAATTTTATCAACATTTCAAATTAAGATGCTTAATTCGATTGATTATGTTAGAAATTTTCGGCCTAATTTCAGAAAATTTACAAGTCACCGTCGTTAGTGTTTATTGTTGATATTGAAAATCGAGCATCACTTAGCTGTGATATTTATGTACCAAGGCCACTTATTCCGTTATAGAGGAAAACATACAAAACGAAGACACAATGAACGGAGGATTTTCCAATTGAATATGAGCCAAACCAGCGCCGAGTATTTCATCAACACCTGAAGGTGTTTTCTCTGCCGCTAGTATGGCCGCGGTTCGGAAAGGATATGAATTTGTTTAGAAGGCGATCTTGGTCCTTCCATGAATTTTTACTAACATAGTTTGAATTTTGATAATAAACTCGAACCAGAACGGCCATTCTTTTATTTCGAAACCGAAGTTCGATTACTTGCCTTGTTCGTAAGGTCCAAAAGTCCGTATCAAGTAAAGAAGTTTCCAAAAACTTTAAAGTTTGTTCAGAGATAAAGATTAGCGGATTCACATGACGAAGATCTTAAAACTATATCATGAAAGATTGATGGTTTACTCAGATCGACAATTCTTAAGGTCACTTTTTCGGTTTTCCCTCTTCGTCAAAAATATTATTATCAATATTTAATAATAAATTCGCATTGAAACTTTTCCTCCCTCGATAGGAAATGACTCTTGATTCTAATAAAAGCACATTAAACTTGGAACATAATCAAGCACATTTTGATCTAATTACTCAAATTCTCTCGACCTTTAATCGTAAATCCATTTACAAACTTCCAAAAGTCATTCATGAAAATGAAGAGAAATTCCATTCAGATAATCTCAAAAAGATTATTCTCCCTGGGAATAGCTTGGAATCACTATTAACACAGCAAATTAATTTTCTATCAATTGATTATTGAGACACTCGATCGGCTTTTGAGTCCTCTTTTTCACCATTTCACCTTTCGAATGACCAATATTAACTTGAATCGTTTCTTGAAAATGATTAATTAACCAAAGTGAACAATCAAAGGAACAGTTCAGTTGTCATGGTTACGTTATTTCAACAGAGTCTCAGTTGTTTGTTACTCTTTGCCTTTGCTTGTTCCTTGTTGTTGTTTATTGTGAACAATTAACTGTTGGTTTTGATTCTGTTCTAATCATGTTCGTGTCAAGCAATTTGATTAAATCTCATCTTCTTACTCGGTAAGTGGCTTGTGATTAATTGGGGATTTTGATTGAAGATTTTTGGTTGTTTGTTGATTGAAATTCTAATTGTTTTCTTTTCTCTTAGGCTTTGCCGTAATGCTTTCGCCCAGAGTGTTAATGGTGCTCACAAATTACCCGATTTACCTTATGATTTCAATGCTTTGGAACCAACAATTTCCGCTGATATAATGAAATTACATTACACTAAACATCACGCCGCTTATGTGACTAATTTAAATGTCGCCGAGGAAAAACTCGCCGAGGCTTTGGCTAAAAATGATGTTTCCACCGCCATCAGCTTGGGACCTGCTTTAAGGTTCAACGGCGGTGGTCACATTAATCACTCTATTTTCTGGCAAAATTTATCGCCCAATGGAGGAGGGCAACCTGAAGGTGCTCTTATGGAATCGATTAAATCATCTTTTGGCTCATTCGATAATCTTAAATCAATCATGAATTCCGCTGCTGTTGGTGTTCAAGGCTCTGGGTGGACTTGGTTAGGTTATAATCCAATTAGCAAGAATCTTCAAGTAGCTTCTTGTCCTAATCAAGATCCTCTCCAATCAACAACAGGTAAATTGTTTCTTCATTACCTCAAGAACAAATTTACTTAATTTCTTCAAATTCGTAATGATTTTTCTTAGGTTTGATTCCTCTTTTTGGTATTGATGTTTGGGAACACGCTTATTATTTACAATATAAAAATGTTCGACCTGATTATGTTAAGGCCATTTGGAATGTCGTTAATTGGAGAGATGTTGCTGATCGATTAGCTAGATCAAAATCTTAAATAAGATGAAATCTCCGAACGAGTTAATCAAATTTACGAATAGATATTCACTCAGTGAGAATCATTGGAAAAAAAGAGAAGAAAAGAAATTAAATTTTCTAAATTAGGTTGTTTTCCAATATCTCGAATAACAATAATCAACTTTTCTGTTCTCTAGATTTTAGAATAAAAGAAAATTTATTTTCTTCAAATAATAAAATCGCTTCATTTTGATTATTTTCCCAATAAGAAAATCAATTGTTACGAAAGAAAAGTGTGAATTAGAAAGTGTTATTTGTAGTAATGATTTTCCATCCTTTTTATCCGATTTACTTATAAATCATCATGTAAATGAACAAGAAAACAAATAGAGTGAATCCTATTAACAAGAAGTAAAATTTACAACCACCAGATCGGGAAAGTCTTTTAATACGATTAATATTTGCCGATAAACTTCCGAATGTAGAATCAGCATCTTTATCCAATTCATTAAGAAAAGCATTTTGATATTTTATCTCATCCCCCATATCCAATGAAAGCTGATGTAAAAAAGAAAACAAATTACAAAATATAATTACATTTAAATGGATAATTTGACAAGCGAATTAAATTTTCCATCAAGTTACCAATACTCACCGATTTAAGTGTTGTGACTTTGCTTTTAAGGCCATAGATGAGTTGGTCATTTTCACCCTCACCAGCTAATTGAATTGAAAGGAAGATAATTAAAGATAATTAAAAGAATTAATTGTTATTCTAATATAGAAAAAAAAGATGGCGACGATTAGAGAGAAAAGAATTGATTAAAGGCCTACTTACGTTCAAAGGAATGAGCATTTGGTCTTCTAGCCATTTGATCGGAGAAATTAAATACAATTGGAAAGATGGAAAGAAAATTTTGTGAAGATAATTAAATTGTCTCTGTGAATCGTAATTCCGATTGATTGTTAAATTGAGAGTATCAATCAGTTGGTAAGATGTTTTTCCAAAAATGACACAATCTGTTGATCAAGTTGATTCAAGAAATCACCGGTTTGAATTGTTGACGGTATATTGAGTGAAACATAAACGGGTTTAGATTGACTGAATTTATTACTCAATTTGAGTGATAATTTACTGGACAATAAATGTAGATCATCACCAATAATTGAGGTTGAATTTTTAGCCACCGATAAACTAAGATCACCCAATTTTGGATTACAAGGTTCACCAATCCAAAGAAGAAAAGAACAAGACAATGGACCAGGTTTAATTAAAAGAAAATGAAACAATTTAGAATTCAGTTGAAACGGTTCTTCAATAATAATAGGATTCATCGTTTTACCGATTGTACAGTAAAGAAAAAAACCTAAAAAAGGAAAAGAAAATTCTATAGGGTGAGAACAGAAAAGAACAACAAAAATCAAACAAAATCATTTACCTTTACCTTTAAGTCAACATGGAGAAATCATATTAAGATTATCATAATAGGGAAGCAAACAAATCAAGAGATTAACATGAACCCAAAGAGTAACAACTGATCCACCACAGAAAAGGTATTACACTTTTACCCGGTGGGTAAAGTTGAACAAAATTCAAATTGAATCAAAACAAAATCAAGTTGAAAAGAAAGGGAAAAAGAAACCAACCTACCGGGTGAGAAAAAGAAAACAATCAGTGGATAGAATTTCTCTCGATCACCAGATGGCGACACGAGGCTGAAATTCTTTTTCTACTCGTAGTGCCACCTGGCGAATTTATGAAAGAAGCTCAAGTTCTATTCTCTTTTGAGAATTTGAGAGAACTTCTTTTTCTCTTTTTTCAGTTTTAACTTTGTTGTTGCCTCTTGTTCTTGTGAAAATGATTTCATCTTATGATACTCATGGATATTACACACCTGATGTGGCTAATCAACGAGCTATAATAATCAGGAAGAATGAAAATGAAAAAGAGATGATGGATACTTACAGGCTGAAAATCTTGATTCATCATCGTATTAAAAATGTAGCTCCACATAGATTACTATATGGTCGTGATTGTGTTAAACTACTGACGAATGATCCAGCACCTTTCTTGGAACTATTATGGGAAACAAAAGATCTAACTATAACCATGCCACCTCTACGAAATCCGATGATAAAAATCCTGGTTAAGACACAATCACTATTGATGGATGACCTGGCTAAACGTATCCATGATGAAAATCCTATGTTAACAGAGCAACCACTTATAGAGCACATTCATGTGGGTAATAATGTGAGTGCGATCATATTGACCATTAATAGTGAATCGAGGGACAAATTACAAGCGGACATAAAACTGGATGGTGAGGTAATAAAATTTACGGATCACTTTCAGATTAGATTCTGTGAAATATGCTGCAGTTATGGTCATACCAGTAGAGGTTGTAAAAATGCTATAAAATGTGCATTCTGCACAAAGAAACATCACTTTAGTAAATGCCAATTTAAGGATCATCGACAACACTGGAAATGCAATTCATGCGATCATCAAGGTCATTCGGTCTACTATTTTTATTGTCCTCAATATCAACAGCAATTAAAGAAGCAACTATATCGTACAGCCCACAAATATAACGTGTTAAGAGTCGAAGGCAGGAGATCTTGCTAAGATGAGGATGAGTATAAATGAAAATTATAAGAGAACCAACTTCATTTGAAAATCTATTGTTGAACCAACTACTTGACTTGTTGTGAATCTGTTCTGTTTGAATTCTCTCTCCTCAATCTCTTAATTCCTTACAATAAAAGTTTAATTAAATTAAGTTATAAGTAAATTTTCTTTTTGAACTACTCATCTTGATCATCAATGGCTCCAACGAAGAAACAAAAGAAACAAGTTAACACTGGAGAAAACAGTGAAGAAACAGTCCTAAATGTTAACGACGAGATTGACCTGGAAACGATTTTAAAACATCTCAAGGAGATTACCAATCACTTACCGATGGAAGAAGCAATAAAGGAACTTGGAAGACAAATTCTACTAGAAGACAGGGAGCTCTTCATTGAAATCCTCTCCAATGCGAAAGATTATCAAGACCAAGAAGAATTGGATAAGTATTTAGAGATGCTTATTGTTCCAATGACAAGAAAACCAAGCAAGAAGATGATCAACCCAACCAAATCCACGGTACAAGAAGGGAAAACAAGATTAGAAATTAATCTACGTTATGAAAAGAAATGGACCAAACCTTCATATTGGGTAGAAGTGGATAAACTTGAACTGAGACCGTTGGCATTGATACACATGAAGAAAGGTGAAGAGATGGCCAATGGATTTGTGATTAAAAACTGGTTCAAAGATCTTATAAATCGATACCCGGATTCACAGCTAAATGTTGAGCATCTTGAACTAGCTCGTTCTTGTATTAAACTATTCTTTGAAGACACCAGAACCAGGGAACGCTTTATGGTCAATTTTAAAAAATTAATCAATGATACAACGGAAAAGGACGTTTCGATTGAGGTCAAAATACCTGAATTGACAGACCCTCTGGTCTCCTTTGACGTGGAAGGAATAAGAAGAGAAGATGATTGGGCTCAATGGACAGAGAAACTAAAGAAATGGAACTCATGGGGTGACTCTGATCAAGTTAAGGTAATTCATGTTGAAGACAAACAAAGAGAATCAAGAGTTATCATGCAAATCTCATCAAAAATTCGCTCATCCCTTGATGATAACAAAACGAGAGGTACCATTAGCATTGGCTGGAAACGAATCGTATTTTTTGACCACTTAGACATTTCAACATGCTTTCAATGCAGTAGGTTTGGTCATAAGACAACAAACTGCAAAAACTTGCTGACATGTGGTTTTTGTGCAAAACCTCACAAATCGACTGAATGTCCAGTCAAAAGAAATGAACAAAACCATCGATGTGCCTCATGTAACAATAAAGAAGGTCACAACATTTGGTCCAAATCCTGCCCCACCTTACAAAAACAGCTACAACTAACCCTGATTAAAATTAATCATACTTACTCTAATGTAATCCTTAGACATCTCAATCAAATCGATTGATTCTCGGCTCCTTGTGGAAACAAAGTTAGAAATACAAATAAATAAACTCCTGAAGATAAAATCTCTTGTTTTTTGTTTTGAATTAACTTATCACTATCTTTTTGTAAGCTAAGTGAATTACGAAATCTAATTGAAGGGAATAAAGAAATGACTCAATGCATCTCTTAATAGATATAAACATAATGAATATGAGTAAAACTGACTTCTAAAATTGTCTCTGATCCTAACGAATATTCAGTTTACATTTATTATCAAGAATAAAACGGATGATATTATGGGAAATGATAACTACTTCTGAGACATTCTCAAGAAAAACAAACTAAAGCAATAATCGTAAATCTCAATACTTGACGTTTACAGCTTAAGACCTAAACAAAAAGATTATGACGATCATAAACAAAATGACTCAAGCTCTTACTGTCGCAAAGTAATAAATATTAATGGACGACTGTGGGTCAGCTTTTATGATCGATTGCACTTCTCTAGTCGAACAAGGCAACTGTCGATAAGTTAACTAGCAGATCGATAATAAAGGTATGGGTATATAAGAAGAAGTTTTTAAAAATTTATTGTCATTTTCACTCTTAACGGTCAATAGTGAGAAACAAACAACAAAATAGCTCCAAATATTATTTCGTGAGAAGAAAATCTGTGATTCAACTATTTCCCCATCGATCTCAATCAATATTCTAAACAATCATGATTTATCAACGTGAAACAGGCATAACGTTCTACATGAACGAGCCAAGTGAATGTGTCATTTTTGAATCCAAAGGAAAATGTACCAATTGCTCCCACATGAATGTACCCGGGATATGGACACATAGGGAAGATGATGAGATAAGTCATATAACAGTGATTCTTATGGAGGATGACTTTACAGCTGACACTATCATCAAAATATCAGAACTGATTGAACAAGGACTTGAAACGAGCATAAAAAACTGGTACGAAGTGAATATAGAGGGTCATGAACACCTCATGGATGAAGACGTACTAACAATGGGTTCGGATGATTTTGCTCTGATTAAAGGAAACCGAAGGAGACTCTTTGTTCGCCATAGGAGGGCAAGAAATGACTTGATTAAAATGATGAGAGATTGCGAAAATGCCAATGCTGAATACACCAGAAGATTGGAATTGTTGGAACTTAATGGAACTGAACCACACTAAATTGTAACCAGTTCTATAAAATAATTGTATTAATCAATTAGGATTGAGATACCAATAAAATTGTAACAATGAATGAAACAATGGGAAACACTGAATAAAATTAAGTCTAAAACTGATAAAAGAAAATTAAAATTCGATTCTTATTATAAGTTGACATCATTATAATGATTTAATTAAATTGTTTCAAATTATTTCAAATGATTCAATCATAGTATTTAATTTTCCGCCTTTGGTTTCTATTTGAAAGCTTAATAAACAGTGGAGCCACTTATGTGACAGGATAAATAAAAATAAACAAATTTCCTTGAAAGATAAGCTTCTTTTAGTGTTTGCATCTGATTAATCTAATATTGTTTATAACTAAATCAACTAATTAAAATCATAAATTGGGACTAACTCATCATTCTAATTGTGTCTTCAAATAAGTTAAAAAATCAAGATGAATCTTTCAAATACCTTTGGTTATCAACGTGAACCTTGTCCAAGACCAACACTTGAAGAATACATTGTCATGGTGGATGAGCTTGATGCTGATGTGGCTGAGATTCCTAAAATGGTGATAAAACCTCTTGAACTTCAGATGTATGATGTATCCAAGTCAATATCTTCATCAGAAGGACAATCAGTTATCTATTTCTATATTGACATCTCCAATTGGATTGTGCCCGAGGAAATTGAGATGCAACTCAAATGGTCCAATGACTGGTGTGAGGAGGAAATTAGTCAAATTTACTCATCAAAAATAAATGACTCCACTTGTAGAATTGAGATTAAAATGAGTACAATGACCAGAAATGATCTAGCTAAACATCAGCTACTAACTATCAGATATAAACAACAGATAATCAAAGCCTTCGACCTTGTCAAATGTCTTTGGGATCAATGGTCAAATAATCCAAAGGAACTCAAGAAATACATCAGTCGCCTTAAACACATTGAAGGCCTGAAACACAAGATATATTTGGAACTTGATCCAAATGATGATGGAAAACTTGAGAAAATAAGAAAGTTAATTAAATCTGAGATTGTTAAAAAAGGATCGGATGACATTTTTCGAGTTTCGCTCCTTAACTAATCAAAGTAACAAAAGGAGGCGATACTAATCAATCTTACAATCTTGCTCTCTAAAAGAATAAGCCACATGATTGATATCAATTCTTACATATTCTTCGTTTATGATTGTTCCCTCTCTCTTGTTACTCTTTTTCTTTTTCTTTTTCTTTTTCCTTTCTTTTATTATTTTCTCGAGATTGATTTTCAACAATTTACAATCTGTGTTTACAACCGAAACGCTAAAGTTTAACTATAATCAAGTATAATTTCTTATTTTTTTTCTTCTTTTCAAGTTTATTGTTCACTCATCTTTATTAGCTACCATAAATCTTCTTGATTGCTTAGCTGACCCAAAGAGATGGAACAATATAGAGGTCACAGAAATGGCTATTTGGGCGAACAGGCTGGAGTCCTGGGCAAAAGATGGAGATCAACAATTGCCTTTAACCAAATGGCTGAAATTCTTATTGGACTGGCAGAAGGGGTACCAGAAGAAAGATTATTTTTTGTTCCATCTTTGATAGTGGCATTGCCAGATGTGGGAAAATATATTATTGCTGCCCCCACTTATGAAGATCACCTCATAAAATTAGGTGTTTCACTACAAGGATACGATGAATTCAGAATGAAAATGGAGAGCTCATGGTGGTGGAGAACAAATAAATACAGAGTAGTCTTAAGTGAAAGACAAATTCCAAGCTTCAAAATTTATCACAAACATACCGAAATCAACACCATTGAAGCTACCAGAAGTTGGCTGATGCAATCGCAAATACAATGGAATAATTTGAGAATAAATGGTTTGGTGAAAACTTATGATGGCCTGATTGAAGTGATATTTACAATGGATGATGGTCGAAACATTATGGAAGAAAATCAGTGGAAACTCATCATTAGAGGTGAAACTGTTTTGGTTGCGGACAATGTATGGGTCACTCAGTGCTCCTTTTGCTGTCGAAATTTTTATGAAGGAGAAAGGCATTTGTGTGGAGTTGAACCGAAGTGCTCAGTTTGTAGCAAAACTAACTGTGGAAGACTCAGCAACAACAATTATTGTACTGCAACACCCTGTTGCGTTGATTGCCTTAAAAATGGTGAACCCAATGTATCACATCCAACTGGCCACTTAGGCCTTTGTCCAACAATCAATTTTCTAATTCAACTTATGCTGAGAAATACGGATGAAAATTACTCAGAACTCCACTTGGCTACATTTTCACCACCACTAATTCATCCTGATCTTCTTGGGCAATAAAACTAATGGGATTTTTTAAAGCCAGTTGCTAATTTTCCTCAAATCCCATCCAATGAAATATGATTCCTTCATAATTACTTGTACCTCAGTTACTCAACTAACTTTTCTTCAATAAAACCTCTCGAATATAAAAGATCAACAAACTTCTCTAAATCATTCATTTCTCTTAACTCCTTCTAAGTTGCTGGTTGATCGAAGTATTTCTACTTGACCTTATACTTTAAAATGTTCTTTGAATCTGAATTTATTAAGATCGTCACTGACGAAGCTGTTGACTTTATGATAATAGAAATGGTTCTACCGGAGCGAAATGCCATTGAGGTGAGGATAATGAATATCTTTCGTACGGACGAGCTTGGAGTCTCACAATACATTTTTGCAACTGACAGTGAAACAGCGGGAAGACATTTTCCAATTGTGAGTCAACTCATATCACGTGGTGCCATCATTAAGGTCTGGAACTGGTGGAGACCAAACCTTAGGGCTGATGTACTAAGGCGATTGGATGCTAATCTCATCTCGGTGGTCTGTGCTAACTATGTATGGATCAAATGGGGTGGAGAGAAAGCCATCATTGTTGAATCAGAAGACGAATACCACAATCTGTCTTTCTTCAATAGAATGCTGTCCTCATAATTGTAAGTCTAAGATTGTGACAAGTCAAATTGTACTTTGATTAAATGGAAGTGAAATTTCTTGTATTCAACGGTTATAATAAAAAAGAAATAATCTCAAACCTTAAACAATGTGATAATGATTTTATTTTTGTGAGTGAGGACAATTCGACAGAAAATGGATCAAACATCTTTAGAGGGTTTCGGATAAGCTTGACATGGTCAACTGAATGGATGATGGAAGAGACAATCTTATTGAAAGAAGATCTAATGCTTGTAACGCTGCGAAGAAACAACTGTAGACTTAGAATCATTGGTATTTATGCTTCACCAAGAAATATGGATTCTATCATTGGTCTGATACGATATCTGAGTCAGGCTGATGATGAGGTATCGACACTTATAGTTGGTGACATCAACATTGAGACGCTGGTTTGGACTGATTCGGTAAGAGTCAACAACAACATCGATGTTAAAACGAGAAAAGAAGTGGAAGCCATACTGAATGAGAAGCGATACATTTCTCTCCTACCAAGAAATAAACCTGACTGCTACACCAGAATTATGGGAGATTCAGCCTCGGCTATTGATATCTGTCTTTATAACGGCAAAATTAAAGACAACAAAACACATCTGATTAAAATCAATGGCCTCGATCATTTGGTGATAAAGGGTAAATGTACTCTGATCTACAGAAGAACATTGACAGAACCAAAAATTCCAATTTATGGGAGTGATGTCCTGGAAGAAGGAAAAACGATAAATGAAACAATAAACAATTTATCGATGTTGGGAAAACCATTGAGGTGGAAGGTCAAAATGCAAGGCAACAGGAGAACCAGGAGAATCAAACGCAATATCAAAAGATCTGAAGGATTGGAGAAGCAAATATTAATAGAAAAATTAAGAAATAGCAGAATGAAATCAAAGAACGTTAAATTATGGAAAATGAATGAACCTGATATTTTTGAACATATTAAGAAATTGAATTTTAACTATCAAAGATCTTACCTGAACAAAACAAAATTAAATTTGATTTGTACAAACGATGAACCGAATATAATCCATGAAGGATCAGCTGGTCTGACGGAAGAGGAGATTCAAATGGTGAAAGCAATGAAATTTAAAACTTCCTCAGGCTTGGCAGATGGATTCACGGTAAAGAGATGGAACAAAATCTGGGAGGAGAATAAAGATAAGATCATTAAATTAATTGATCAAATAATTAGCCAAGGTTATATGCATCCAAACATCAATTTAAGTGGCGGAACAAAAATACCCAAACCTAATGGTGATTTTCGAACTGTTAGGACTCAATCCTTTCTTGGGAAGATACTTGATAATGTACTTTTAAGGCGAGTTAAAAATACAGTACTAAAAGATATCGATCAAACGCTACAATTTGCATATCTAGGGCGCAAAAGAATTGACTTCCTGTATATGATTTACCTACACAGAAACAAATATAAATTCATGGTGAAAATGGATTTAACGAAGGCCTTTGATAAGGTGTCGAGATCAGCAATCAAGGAGAGACTAATTGGAATGGAAGAAGAAGACGAAGCAATGGTGACTGACTTTACAATGAAAAGACGCATAAGAACTTATGAAAACGGCAGACTTATGATCAATGATGATCCTGAAGGGCTACAGGGATTTGCATTAGGCCCTTTCCTCTTTGTGCTGGCAATTGATTCAACACTTAGAGAAGTAAACAAAGACAACTCGATACACAAAGTCTTGGCATATGCTGACGATCTGATTCTTCTGACAAATAATATTAAACATTCGACAGAGGAGATTAAATTGGCCTTTAAAAAGATAAACCTAGAAATCAATGAGAACAAAACAGAGGTGATCAATGTCACTAAGATGAGAAGACATGAGATTGTTGGCTTTTCACTCCAGCCAACAAAATCAATACAGCGAATAATTAATGATGCAAAACAAAAAGTTAAACTAAATAGACCTCAACTCAAGATCTTCAGAAGAATAACTCTGAAAAGAAGGAAAACCTTATACAATGCCTACTTTAATCATGTCTTTGATGCCAGAGGCCTTTCGCCATGGTTAGAAAATAAACTTTATCTGTATACAGTTGACCTACTGTTAATTGCTGGCCGACGACTTACCAATATACTAACAACGGAGAGAAAATACAAAAATTGGTGGTCCGAGTGGGCGCATGATATGCCAAATCCAGCGGTTTCTTATATAACGAACATAATATATGATTTATGGCAACTTAAAGAAAGAGGTGAATTGTTCCCGATAGTAAATTGGATGAGTGAGATCTTAAAGAGAACCATCGACCTAAACGGAAACGAAAAAAGAAGTGATAATTATGAGAAAAATGAATGGACTATTCGATCCAAAGGATCTAGTTACTGTCTCGAACACAGATCATATCATATACATATTTACGACGAAAACAACTCAAGACACTTACAGGAAAGACGATTAATATTTCTGATAAAAGAAAAGATTGAAACGGGCCTAAACTACCTGATGCTTAAAGTTGAATTATTAAATTATAACAAATGCATTCTCATTCGGATCTGCGAATCGTATGGCATCGAACTCGGATGGGGAGAACCAGAGGAATGCAACTTGGAAGCTGAAACCATATTGGTTGAATCCTTTCTTACGGAGAAAAATGCGAAAGAAGAAATCAAGAAAAAAATCAAAATGAGAGAGCAAATCATTGTAAGAAAACGATGTAACTATCTTCGTAAGCAACTTCTGAAACCTGGAGAAAAGATAAATACCTTTTTCTACAAAACGAATTTGATGAATAACATTGCCTATGTAGAACGTAATGTTGAGTTACTAACACATGAATGTACGGAAACGATGAATCTCAAACATTTGATAAACTGTAAGAGCTATCATCTTAAAACATGGAACTTAAAGAAGAACCTACAAAAAATTGAAGAAATGTTCACAACTATGAAAGACAATATTCAACTTCATATAAACTCGTTGAGGCTCGAGCAGCCGACTCTCGGTATGGGAGCCGCTTCAATAAGCGGGAGCAGCTGTTGAATCAGCAGGGTAAACCCAAACAAATCATTTGTGCTTTCTTGGTTTCAAGAACGGTAACTAATCGTTTTTCCTTCTTGTTGTTAAATTGTTGAGATTTAACAATAGTACCAAAAATGGATCTCATAAAATATCAACACATTTCCTCTCAACGTTCAGTAATTAGGAGTAATAAGAGTATTTATTTAAATTTGTTTAACTCATTTCATTTCATTTCTTTATTGTTATTATTGTTGTGTTCCTCTTTTGTGGTATCCAATGTGTCGTCTATGGAAACAATTTCATCGGATGATGTTCACATCGAGTGTAAATCAAATAATATTGCGGTTACAATTAATACTTCATCAACTTTTAATGGAATGATTTATCCTAAAGGACTTTCAACCAATTCTTCTTGTATGATTGAGTTTAACAGCCAGGACAATGTTACTTATGTTTTACCTTTAAGATCATGTAACACAATGTCAACTGATGTGGTGAGTATTTTTATTGTCACTTCCATTGTTAACACTCTGTAAGGATTGTCCCTTTCTTCAATTTGGGAAGACATTTTCTCTTTATTCCAAAGGCAAATGTATTAATAGAATACACAAATACTTTTCGATAGGCAATAAGATAATACTAACAATAATTGTAGAAGGAAAATTTATCATGAAAAGTTTACAGTTAAACAAATCAAGAAAAATTTGAAATGTTTCTATTTCAGAACTTCTTGAACATTTGAAAATTGTAATTACAATGATCAAATTGATGTTTAATGAACATAACATTGGTTTAATCTTTTTCTATCATTTCTATTTCCCCATACGTTATTATAATAACAATACAATTGAATAATGGTTGAAATTGATCAATTCTCTTTGTAATCAATATTGTATTATTAATAATGGTGATGGTGCGGATGATTATGTCTGAAAAAATGAAAATTGGTTACCCATTACCTTGATTTTCATCTATTGACCCGAGTATTTCAGTGTAACGGTAAAAAAAGGAAGAGATCTATCAAAGTAATCTAAGTTTTGAATCATCTTACTTTAATGATGATGAGAAATGTGAATCAAGAAGATGTAATTCTGTTAACCGGTTTTTGTTAAAAGTTTCAGTTGATGAGCGGGAATTACTTCCGCAATTCTTTTTTTCTTCTTCTCCTTGATGTTTCTCAAGATGAGAATACTGAGAGAGAGAGAGAGAAAGTAAGAGAAATATCAACATCTCAACCTCATGATCATCATCATCATCATTGTACTATCAACCGGAAGCTTTTCTTTAGAATCTATCTTGACCTTTTATAATTAAAATTTATCTCTTGTGTATGTTAACAGGAGAGAGAGGAAGAATAGAAATAAAAAAATGATATTTTATATTACATCTACAGGAGATTATGATGATGATGAAAATCTCATGAATATATAATATAAACAAGTAATTTAATGTATTGATTGTATTGTCAAGATATAAGGACAGTTATTTTAATCACTATAACCATAATTATAATGATCATTAAATTACCCTAACCAGTATTTATAAGAATAATATACATTCAGTGTCATTACAGAGAATCACGTTTATCCATTTCATTAGAGTTAAGGAAATGTTAACATAGATTAAGAGAGAGAGAGGGATAAAATCCTTATGAATTAACCTTCTATCACAATTATTGTTCTAATCGTAATTATCTTCTAATAGGATGATGGAATTGAATATTATAATACCGTCGTCGTTCAACCTCACCGAAAATTAGTCACTAATCAAGGTAAAGGTTATCACATTCGATGTCGATATCAAACGAAAGAGAAGACGATTGCCAATTCATTCAATATAAGGTAAGTTGATCAACTTAATTATTAATTTCGACTCAATCAGCTGATGGAAAACATGAAGAATAAGATTATCTTTACAACGATTATTATTTTTAATCTTTAATTTCAACTTCTCTCACCGGCTAATGTGAAAACTTAGGTGATCGATTTTTCCAAGTTTTTCCAATTACGATTAAATTGTTTCTAATACACTAAATTACACATTATCTTTTTGATTTTCTTGCTTCTTTGGCTTTTCTATTACACTAAAGGATAATCTTAATCATTTGAGGCTTACACGCAACAATCAACAATGATCAATGATCATAATAATAATAATATATAACAATCAACCTTGATAACCATTGTCATCTTACCAATTTTTTTTTCTTCTCTCTCAGTTGATTCTTGTTTTTTCTTTATAAACAATCAACTCTTTACCTGTTTCTTTTTATTACCTGATATTGTTAACATAGTTTTTAACCTGTAGTGTTTACTTTATTATAATTTATCATGATTTGTTCATCAATATAATAATTAGCACGCAAGCAACAATTGAATTTAAATTGTTGATCTAACGCTATTTAGTATTTACAACAAACGTTAAAAGATCTGATAGTTTTTCATCTGCTGTATTAGGTATTAACGTTTCTCTAAATTCAACATCAACGATAATATTTCATTTAGATATTAAATAGATAATATTATTATTGTTTTTCCCCATACAATTAACATTTAATTGTTACAAGTTACTTGTGTAGTTACAGGTTTTAAGCTGATTAATTTGATTGTAATCATAATACAAGCAAATACTACATTGATATGTTACGATTTAAATTGTTTCATGATTATAATCTCTCCTGAGATGACCATTGAACTATCATGTAACAAGTTAATTGTTTTGTATGGCTTAAAGTTCAGTTATAATCATTAGACAATTTAATGATGATTTAATTGTTGACAATTTCTTTAATTCCTAATCCTTCATTATTTAAGATGATTATCATCAACTGCTACCAGAATCTTTTATGTTTATCAACTTTTTTTTTTCTTCAATGGTGAGAAATTGAATTAACTAAATTAACCAAATTGTTGAAGGAAAATGATGATAATTGTTCATTAGGCGTTTTCCCCGTCTTATTACAATTACTACAATTATTGTGATTATTTTAATTGTTACCGTTGTCCTTGTCTTTGAAGCATCTTTAATCATTTACATATTTAAACAAAATCCATACTCTATTCAAAGTTGATTAAATGTTTTTAGTGGGTGTTAACTTTAATTCTTGATTGTTTTTATAATTAACCATTAATCATTTATTATTATTATGATGATGATTCGTTGAGAAAATTGCTGTTTACCTTGGATAGAAAGAGAAACTGTTGTTTTAATTTCTTAATAAGGATAATCAAGGTTGAGGTTGATTGTAAAAATTGATTAGTAAACTTTAAGCTCTCTTCTTGGACAATAAACAATCATACTTACTCAATAGGTAACGAATAAAGTTAATTGCTATTTAATTAACGTAAAATTTGAAACAACAGTTTAATTTTAAAGATCAGCTGATAATCATATAATTGTTTGAAGGTAACTTATTCAATTATGTTAATCAAGTGATAATATTGATTCACTTTCATTATTAAATCATAAAATGAAGGATTGGTTTGTTTACTAACAAAATTGAAATGAAAATTTTAATTTTCATCTTAATTGTATCAACTATGTATTATATAAATGTTATGGTAATTTGATAATTCAAATCTCTCGACTAAATTAATCTAATTGTGATTGATTTAGATATATCTGCATGATGAGAAAAGTTTAGTTGATTGTTGCCTTATGGTGTCTCACGATTTGAACTCTCAAGTTGATTGTTTTCAATGTTTGATTAACCTCGAAATTTGAAAATGAAATTAATCCATTGGGCACACCTTATTTAATCTTACTACAACAATCAATCAACAATCAATTTGAAAAGCAAATCAAGTAACAAAAAAAAGAGAGTGAGTGTGAGAGAAAGTTAATCATTAATTATTTTTATTATATAAGTGAAAACTGATTTGGTTGATTGTTGTGTCAAGATGATTAGTGATAGATGCCTGTGGATATTGAATTAACTTGATGAAGTCAAGCTATTTACTATTACTATTACCGGCGCTTGAAATTTTTCATCATAACAATCAAAATGTTGATTTTTTTTGATGATGATGATGGTCCAGGTCCATGATGATGATAGTCAATGTTTACTTAGGTTGAAAAACCAGAATATACCTGGTAAACCCTATTTCTGGTTCATCATCATTTTTCATCATCTCCATCAAAATAAGGCAACCGTGTAAATCCTTATCATAATACACTAACTAATAATAATGATAATATCGATAGTGATAATGTTAATAATATTTTTTCCAGTTTTTCTTAACCAATGTTACGGTCTAAAGGTATTTTCGTGAGAAACTGTCAAACAAGTCTCTTTCTATCTCTTTCTCTTTTCATTATCATCATCATCAAAATTACCTGTAGGACCAAAGATTGGCTGTGTTCAATTGATAGGGAAGAGGAGGCGGTGGGGGTAGTAGGGAGGAGATGAAGGATGTTATCAGGATGCTTACTTTAGACAACATCAACAAAAAAGTCAACAACATCAAGATAAAGATGATGAAGCTACAAACAGAAGCTAAAAAATAGAAGAAAAAAAATGAAGAAACTTTTTTTACATTTCTCTTTATGCAAACATCATCATCAATTTAATGGATCACAAGAAGATGAGAAAAGATGGAAAACTTCGGCTCCGGAAGAAAGAAAGAGAGAGAGAGAGAGAGAGAGAGAGAGAGAGAGAGAGAGAGAGAGAGAGAGACTCTAAACATTCATTTATATCAAATCTTCATCAATTTTACCTGAAAGATGATTGACTTGTTGATCTTTCCTTGAAATTTGTTCACAATTTGCATTGTAATTGATAAGCTGATATTCAGTGGTTCTGACAATTTAAATTGTGGAGACAAAAACAATCAAAGATCATCATTAGTAAAATGTTAGCAAATTGTTAATCTTCTAATTGTGACCATCCATTGTTTCAAACTAATTCACAATTGAATTAACCATTAACGATACTCTTGCTATTAACTAACTCATGTGAGAGTCACTTCAAGTGTAGTCACCTCGCTGTTTAATTTTCTTACCTCCAGAACCATGATTATCATGATAATCATTATAACTATTATCATGATGCTTGTTATTAACATTATTTTATTTAATACTTTGAGTATGTTCAGTTTTTTTTTGCTTTATTCTCGCTCCTTAAATTGTCTAGAGAATGGGATGAGAATGAAAAAGGAGGATGATAATGATGAGAATTCTTATAATACTATGTAATGTATTCATCTTTATCAATCCTTAAGGTTACATAAAAAAACACCTAAGGAGCAATCAAACCTTCATCTTGATCGTCATCATCATCATCATCTCTCTCTCTCTCTCATCATTATCATCATCATTCATCAGAAACTAAACCTCCATTGAAGTTTTTTTACTCATTGTAAAATTATATGGTTTCTTTGGTGGTTTTTTGCATCTAAATTGCAATTTCTACACAAAATAATAGTTTATGTTGATTATTCTGATTATTATCCAGAGAAAGAGTAACGATTATCCTTTCTCGTCTTTGAATTCATGACAAAATCTATATAATTTACCTAGAGTATAACAATTAACCCTACCGATACCCCCCACAACTTGAGGTATTTTTTTCTACTACTAAATTGTTCATTGATTGAAAATCTAAATATCATTTGGTTAGAAAAGATTTTACTATCAACTCAATTTTAATCATATCTCTAAATTAACCATCTATTAAAACTAAATTAGATTTAATTGTCTTGTTTTGCCTACTACCTGTTGATTATTTTCCTTTTCTAAGGTCATTAGTTGAGATTTTATTTCATTTTCATGATCAACATTAAGATTATCATTTGAATTAGTTTTTTTTGACTATTTCACCAATACAAATCACTTATTATCAAACTATTAATGGATTACGTGATTATGATAATACCTATCAAGATTAAAAGATTTATTATCCATATGAATGATATTTAATAACAATATTTTATTATTATTATTATTGTTTTGTGATATAATTTACATACAATATCAATACATTAGTTGAATAGATTTAGAAAGTGAAATTAAAGTTAAGGTAATTACGATTCTTTCATATTAATAGTACATTGAAATTGAGATTATCATTTATATAAGTGTAAAGGTGAGAGAAGAGGCCTTGATATTTTACCTTGAGGTCAATATTTAAGATGATTGAGTGATGATGATGAGGATAAAAAAAAAGTACAGATGAGACTAGTATATAAAATGGTAATGATATGATATATAATAATTTAACATCTTCTTCATGATTTAATAGGAACAGGTAACGGAAACTGTAACCAGAACCATTTGGATTACTTTTTCCTTTATCAAAGAAACGTGAAAATAGACTAGTTAAATTAGCAATTAAGTGATTAACATATTGATCAACTTGATTAGTTAAATGTTACTTGTTATTGTAATAATTTGTTTGAAAGTGAAAGACAATTTATTGAAATAACAATCAATAGATATTGTTGATTGTTATTTAGGAATAGAAAAAGAAATTGAATAAAATACTCTCAGGGTGTAACCTGATAAATTTAACATGTAATTAGATGTTACAAAAGTGAATAAGATGAAATAAAAATGATGAAAGATAATTACGATGATTACAGAAAATCAATTGAAATTATATCAATTTATGAATGGTGAGTCTGTTTCGATGAAGATAATGAAGGAATTCCTTTTACCTGTTATCTTCTGGCTTAAGGTGTTATTATAATGATTGTTATGTTATTAAATTGTCACTTTCTCAGTATTTTTATTGTTACTAGGATTGTGATGGTTAATACTAATACTTGTGATATTCCCTGTGTATGAATTAGTTTCTTACCTTTTTGCCAGAAAACGATGATGAGCAGGATAAGTTTGTAAAGAAAAGATGAAGACTGAAATAATAATATGACGAAACATGACAGTGAAGGTAAATTTGATGATAATAATAAAAGTAATCATGATAATCAGATAATAATTTACCTTGGGTCAAAACATTGGAATTAAAAATTTGTCAAATTTTTTTCTTCTCCAATCCATTAATATTTTGTCAAGATTTTTCTATAATATGTATGAAAGTTTTTTTTTGCTTTTCTTCAATTTATAACTGAAAAGAAAACCAAATTTATCACCAAAAACTAGTTGGAAATTGAGTTGAACGCAAGAGGAAAACTGAAATTTCAAGTTCCATGTTGAGATTACCTGACAATTAATCATTTTCTTCACCATAATTTTATTATATTATAACATGAGCGTAATTATTATCAAGTAATTTTCTGATTAAGGTAACAAGAGACTCATGACAAACAGTATCATCACTAAATTCAATTACCATGTGATTTTATTGGTTAATTAAAGGCTTTCAAATTAATCTGATCAACACATATCCAATGTGAAACTATGTAACAATAATACTTGTATTGATTACTATCAATATCGTTGAATATTTTATTGTTTCCAATAGGCGAAACTGATTGTGATTAACATCATAAATTAATGTGTTAACTGGTTGATGATATCATATCAGGTTGTTCAACCTTTTTTTTCATGTTCCTACCAAATTAATATCATTATTTGAATCTCATATTCATCATGTTTGTTATCATGAGTTTGTTAGATTATCATTTTGAAACGTTACAGTGATAAAAGTGATTAACTTAATGACAGTTACTTAACTGTTTGTTTATTATCACATGTGTACCTTGATTATTTCATCATTATTATGATTAGCCTGGTGATAAAATATATATTTATACATGATTCATATAACAATCAACATCTTCTGAATTTTTTTCACTTCCATGATGATGATAAAATTATTATGAATTTAATTGCTACCGTAAATATATATTTTTACTAATGTTTAAAGTCAGTTTTCCCGACAATTAAGTTTAATTTTTTGTTCAACTACATGATTATGATTATTTTCCTGAATGAATAATTATGGTTTTCCGTTGAGCAAAAATTAACTAATCATTGAACTTTAGTAAATTGTGTAAATCAATTCAACAATCAAGTAAACAACAAAATATTGATGATTGAATATTTAGAAAAGTAAAAAGCTAATTACGATTCCAACAATTAGCTTGAATTTTGAGATTAAATTTTGTTCATTTATCTTGTTGTTGTTTCATTATGAAACTTGATTAATCTATTAAATTGTTATATGTTATCTTAATTGTTGTTGTATGGTCAGTTAATTTGATTTATAAAAATAATGAAAGTATTAATATAAATTGTAATACATTTTCATTGTAGATTAAAATCTTAGCTATAGTTTAATTGTTTGAAGATTGTTACAATTATTGTTGAACAATCATGATTAGATTTGGGTTAACTGGTAATCTTATATTGTTAAATTTACTATTAATAATATATAACAAGTTGATAACAATGATTAACGGATTAGAATCATTTAACTAACTATAAAAGTATATAATTAATCAGATGAAATTGATTATCTTCATATTACTTGTAACATGAATCAAAAATATCTCATTGATTGTTTTTAATTGTTGGGAAAGTTAATAAGTTAACATACTTTTTGAGGTTATTATCAATTCTAATTGTCTGAACATCACTTCAACAATTAAAAGTTTAATTTAAATTGATTGTATTGAGAAAACTATTCATGTATTGAATTTTCTCTCTCATCAATTCTTGATTACAATTAACAATTTATCAATTCAATTGAACTCACAACAACAATGACTACAATTGTTTCAATAAAACAATTAGGCAAATCGATTTCCATATCGAAAGTTAATTGTTAATCAGACAGCATTGACCGTTAACCAATCAAATTAATTGATTATAAATATGATATATGATTTGTTTTATCATCATCATGTATGTTGATATTTTCCCTGTCATCATTTCATGATAATTGTGATAATAACGATCATGATTATGACGAAAGTGATGACGTTCCAATATTTTTTTCAGAAGAAGAAAAAAAAGTTTCAAAAAGTGCTAATAACCATGAAAAAATAACATGTTCCTACCATGATAAGAGATTCGGTTCAAACTGAATTATCTCCAATGATAATCAAGAATGATTTAAATCTTAACATGATTCATGATCAGCTAAATGACAAGCAATGAAAAGTAATTAATTGATCATCTTCATAGAGATCATTAAATTGAATTTTGTTCAGAATTTTGTTGAAGTAAAAAAAGTTTTTCTTCCTATTTCAACAATTAATCAAATTCAATGATACCAATGCCAGGAATAAGTGATTAAAGGATTTAATTTACAGCCCCACACTTTATAACCATTAACAATTAATAGCAACAATTAAGAAACATGATCATGACAAAATTTTCAAGTCTCATCATCAACTGACAGCAACGGTTAACAATTAGTTAAACGATTATTAGTGATTTTTAAATCTCTAGATATACAAATTGGAGGATGTTAGTTACAACTAATCATATGATTATGTTTAATTGTTGATTAGTATGAAAGTAATAATTGATCGGAATAAAATTAAGATATAATTTGTTGTTTATTATTGAGGATTGGGAAAGATGAAGGTGAAAGATTATGTTCATCAAATTAATGTGGTTAACTTGATCTAATCATTTGGTTTCACTTTTCTTAATCTTCCTCCTCATTTCCCTTCACTGTATCGTCATCATCCTATTTATCTTCCTACTTTCCTCTCCACTTTACTTTGCCCACGGCGGTTGAACTACAACATTATTAAATATACTTACCTTTATACTTGAATTTATTGTCACTCTAATCTTGTTTGCTGCTTATCATCATCATTTAGGATTATCCTTATGTGATATAGTTTAATACATATACAAAATATATCATCGTCATCATCATCATGGTCATACGATCAAGTCTCCCCATGAAAAGTTGAATTGTTCCTGAAAGAAAATGAATCAACAACTTCAACCTGAGTTAACTATCATTTCATCTCTCTCTCTCTCTCTCTCTCTCTCTCTCTTGTTTCATTATCTTACCTAAAATTTGGGATGAAAATGTTAAACTTATGGTTTCCTTTTACCATGGTTGAGATTCTGAGACTTTTGATTCAATTTGATTACCAAGTTTAATGGCCTCAAGTTGGATCACTTTCTGAGATCTTGAAATGTTAGAGTGATGGTTTTATCATGGTCAGGCGATTACAGCTCATCCTCTAATCCAGAATGATATGTGGTCATGATGATAATAATAATACTATTATATTATTAATATGAATGCAAATACAAAATCTTGTTGAATGTAATTATTATACAGAAAAAAAAGTTTGCAACAAAATGATGATGACCAAAGAAAGGAAAAAAATGATGACGATGATGATAATGAAGATTAACAAGATTCAAGATACTGAACGATAGAAACGATAATACTGATAATAGTTAATTGATATTGGTGATGATAAATATTGATAACAATGAGAAAATTATTTTCATCTTCTTTTTCCCATTGGAACTCCAATGGAATTGAAATTTTCAGATTGATTAGATTGATGATGCAAATTAATGGTTACAGGTATTGATGAGGATGGAAAATATGATAAAATGAGAAAAGAGAAAAAATTACTCAATGGAATTGAGAATTTGCTATGTAAAGAATTGAAAAGATGAGGATGAGAGAGAATGAGCCTTTATTATCAATTCCTTTATCATCCCAATTTTTTTTTCATCTTCCTCTACCTGTTATTATCTTCATCGTTTTTTCATCTCATCCATTGTATTTGTTATTTGATTTCATCTTATTTTTATGTAAAAAAATATTTATCATCTTCTAGGTTAACTTTTTTCTTTTCATCTCCATCCTCATCCTCATCATCTTCATCTTTGCGTTCACAGTTGATAAGATGATGAGGCCTCTCTCTCTTATTTTTTTCACTTTTGGCACTTTGGCACTTTGATTTTCCTTTTCATCTTTTACCTTTACCTTTTTACCCATAGATTGAGATAGTTTATTTTCAAGGTCATTTTCTACCTTCCTCATCATTATTAATCGTTATTACAACTAAATTATCTTTAAATAACTTTGATAATCACACCTAATTATCTTGATTGGAAAAACGAATCAGTTTGACAATTAAAGGTTACAAGTTGATTGTTAATTATCACCTCTAATAATCAAAAATATCCACAGATATTTTCATAATTTAAAGCATCAATTTATTCTGTAGTGATAATTAGTGATGTTTTTATATAATTATATTCCTATTAATTGTTAACGTTGAGTTTTGATCATTAATTTCGGACATGAAAATAAGTAAAACCTCAAGGTACATGAGTTGAACATGATTAACGATTAATCAAGTAGTGTAATTGAAACAAGTATTAAAATTAATAAATACATAAACAATTAAGTTAATTGTTTGCTAAATAATAATAAATAACAATTTTTTTTTCGTTTTCTTTTCTCTTCTCATCAATAGTACATTGGGAGCCACTTCGGTGATGGTACAAGCGCCAATGCCAAGTTGCTCAATGAAAATCTACATCGCTGATACAAAGAATGAAATTGCTGCAGAAAATGTGAAAATTGGTGATCGATTAACTCTAACCATTGCTTTAGACAATCAACGTGAGTAAAATAATTAATAATTCCAAGAAAAGTATTTTAATTAAAAAAAAAAGAAAAACAATTCATCAATTATCATGATTAATGTTAATCTTTCTTTTTTCCAACTAATCACTTTCTTGAATACAATTAGCTGTTTATGGTATGAAAGTAACCAATTGTCTGGTTCGAGATGGACTCAATTGGGGCGAACAGCCTTTACTTAATGATGAAGGGTAAGTTAATTAACTGATTGCTAATCATTAATTATATAATTAAACTCTCTCTAGATGCCCTGGGTAACCTCTAACACTCCCATCCAATGTTAAGGCACAAGTAGATTAGTCTTTTTTTACCAGCAAAAGAATAGACTGAAAAACTTTGAATATACTTTTTTAAACTTCTCTTCTTGATAAGTTGTTCCGTTTCTTTTGTTGATTCACTAATCTATTGACTATTTAATCTCAAGTTGAAACTTAAAGTCTTCTTTTGTCTCTATCCTACTATCTTTTTAATCATCTTCTTTCTCATCTTCACTCTGTCTACCTCATTCACTCTTACAATAAAATGCTTCACTGAAAAACCCTCAAGGGCATCATGTTCATGAACCAACTGTTTTTTTCTTCTCTCACTCAGATATCACCCTCCATACACTCTCTCTCTCTCTCTCTCTCTCTCTCTCTCTCTCTCTCGCTCACTCACTCACTCTGTTTTTCTTTCTTCTCTCCATCATTATCTATTTACTTTATTGATCAAAAGTTTTTTGGTGAAAAAAACTCAGACTCTGATCCATTCCGACCTTTCCACCCACCAGAATCACACTCTACAGATACAAACTTTTCCTCTAACAAGTTTAAACTATTTCTGCTTCTAAACTTGAAAGTTCCCATTCAATGTTGTTGATCGTTAAACCATGAAATCCTCCTGTAATTTGCTACTACCTGTTCATCTATCCACCCCTCTCTCTCTCTCTCTCTCTCTCTCTCCTTCACTCTTTGTGATAAATAATAAAAATTGCCAACCATTATTATCTTACCTTTTTTTCTTATCATCTTTTTATTATTATTTTTATACTTGATTCTTTTCTTTACTTTTTTTCTGATAAAACGTTTTTTTCTTTTCTTATTTCTACCTGCAGATGTCCAGTTGATGAGGAAATCATGGGTCCATTTGAATATACAAACAACTTAACTCGAGCTGTTGTTTCATTTCAAGCTCACAAATTTCCTTACACAGCATCGGTCTATTATCAATGTAACGTAAGGGTTTGTCTTAAAGAGTCAGGTGGATGTGATGATATTGTAAGTATCTTGACCACCCCCTTTAGCTACTGACCAGAAAGAGAAAATACAAAAAGAATTACTTATACAAAAAGAAAAGAAACTTAAAGAGAAAAGAATAATAGAGAAAAAGTTCTGAGAACCAGGAATTACGAATCTTTGAATTAAACTACAAGGATGAAAATTTTGAGGGATAATTACAGTCACAATGATAATTATCTTACTTTGTGATGATAATTATGATGATGGATGGATGATAATAACTTTGTCAACCAACTATTACAGCTCATCATCTGTATTTTCCTTCCCTTACCTTGTCTTCCTCAATTTTTTTTTTCATCATCTTTATTTTTATCTTCCATTAGCCTCCCGATTGTGATCGAAATGGTCGAAATTACCGACGACGAAGGCGACGTGACGTTGATATCGAGAGTGATTCGAATGTTGCTCTTGGTCGTCAAGACGATATAAGAGATTTAAGTGTTGAGGTTTATTCGGGTTTAGTTGTTAATGAAGCTGAAGCAGAAGACGAAGGTAAGATTAGTGCGAAAGTGCCAATTTCCATTTTCGTTCATGAGAAGGTTTTTTTCTTCTTATTTTTGTATTAAATTCTGATTACTAATAATTGTTATTTTCTTTTCTTTCCTTTTATATTCATTTCGTTTTTCGTTCGATTTTCAAACGTTTTTTTATGTGGGCCTAATATCGTAACCATAATAGTTGATTTAATTTCACCTCGACGAGTTGCTACCGAACAAGAATTTTGCATCTCAATGAGAAAGTTCGCCGTGGGTGTTGCCATTGCCAGTTTACTTCTTATGTTGGCAGTTATCCTTCTGGTCGCTTGTATCTTACAACGAAGACGACGACGAAAAGATGCCTCAACTTCGGCCAGTTCGATATATTCTGGACCTTATTCAAATCGTGCCTATGGTCGAGATTAAATTTTAACCAAAACACAAGCAAAACAAACAAACAACGAAACAATTAACTAATACAAAAAAACTCTTGACCAAACCACACAAAAACACCAATAACGATGAACATAATTTTTATTTTTATCTTTAATTTATAACTAAATCACTTTATTTATTATTAACATTTCCTTAAGGGTGTGACACTTAAGAAGTGTGTTAATTAGGATTCACCGAAATTGTGATTCACAATGATAGAGATCACAACCAATCAATCAAAGAGAAAAAAAATTTACCTTGAATGGTTGTCAATCTTTATCATTGGTTCATAATTTGTATTTTTTTTACTCATCATTTCCGTTTCCTGGAACCTCTTTTTGAAGTGTCACACCTTTTATCCTTCATCTATTACATATATTTTTTTGTTTCTAATTATTTTATGTGTTGGTAGCAAAAAAAATCAACTTAATCACTCACCATTCCTTTAATTAATTAAGGGCTAACCTTAATTCACATGATTTTTGTTTAAATTGTTTGCTTGTTTTGTTTTGTATTTAAAAAAAGACAATCAATTTTATATCTTTGTTACTTAATTTTGTATTGATTAATTATCTCACCAAAACCAATCAATCAAACAATTTAAACAATTCAACTGAATTAAATTAAATCAATAAAATTGTAAAATAAAAGCTTTAAATTAAATTGTCCCTCATAATTGTCTCCATTTTTATTTACTTAATCATCTCAATTAATATCACCACAATTTGAGAAGCTAAATTTTTCCTCTTGTTTTAAGTTTAATTGTTATAATCAGTTTATAATTTGAAACAATTAACTGGATATTTAATTGTCACGGTAATTATATTTTTCCTTTTCCATCTTAGTTTTAAATCATCAATTAACTGATTACCACGTTTTCTAAGTTCAACCTGAAAGTAAAAGTAAATTGTTTTAATTACTAATTGTTGTTAAATCATCACAAACATTAAAACTAATCCAGTTATGTTTTTATTAAACGAGTTTCATTTTTTTTTGTTAACTCACAATTTGGAAATGTAATTTGTTTTTCTTTTAATCTTTAAATTGGTTAACTTGATTGCTAAGGGAAAGTATTTAAATTATTAACCATTTTGTTTTCACTAATTATCATCCGGTGAACAATTAGCTTACAATTAAATTGCGAATCACGAGAAAATTAAACTAAATTTAAATCTCTCTTTGTGTTATATTATTTTAAACTTTTTCCATTTCACCAATTTATCCATTGATTGTAACAATTGATTCTAATTGGTTATTAACATCATTTCATACAATCAAGATCATCAATTTAATTACAATCGACATTGAAAATTAAGCTAATTAAGCTAATCAAATGAAAGTAAACAACAATTCAAATTGATTAACTTCTCAATCTAATATCAATAAAAATAGAAAAATGGTTGGAGAAAAAATCAACCAATAGATTAGAATCTAAAGAAATTAATCAAATTAGTAAATTTTTCCAATAGTTAAAGGGAAAAAATTGGAGAAACAATTAAATTGCTGATTAGCAATTTAATTAAGAATTCGGATAACTAGCGTCATCTGTTGTTCCCCATTCAGACTAAACTCAAAGAATAAAAATCGATTAGAGTTCCAATTAAATAAATCGATTCGAAGTAGCGCGTAAAAAGATCGATTGATTCGATGGATCGGTTGTGGTTCGATCTTTAAAGAGAAAAAGTTTCTTCACTTTCTAACCAAAACATAAATTGTCTCATATTGTTGAGTATTAATCTCAATCATTGTAGAGCCGTTTAATTGTTAATTTTTTGTTTGTTTTTTCTTTCTAATTATCCTTGATTATTTATTAACCTGTTTCTCTGATCTATTCTCACCTTATGGATCCTTTTAGCTCTTCTTCACCAACAGTGAAAATGTCCACATTCAAGAATATTTTGTTCACAATAATCCGATTCTTTTTACGTTCTCTCTCTTCATTGGTTGGCCTTTTCATCTGGTCATCTAAAAATGCTCTTCCACCCATAACTGACCCTCTTCTCCTTCTCCCTGGATCCACATTGGTCTCCATGATTAAATCAGGCTCACTGAAAAGCGAGAAATTGGTTCGAGCCTACATTTCCCGGATCAATCAGGTTCAACCTTTTCTAAACGCTGTAGTCCAATCTCGTTTTGACGCTGCCTTGAAGGAAGCTCGAGAAATTGATATAACCATTGAAAGAGAGATAAAAAATGGCCTACCCGCTGATTCACCTGATTCCATTAGAAGGAAAACTCTTCTTGGTTTACCCTTGACAACAAAAAATTCACTTGGTGTTAAGGGAATGATTATGGACACTGGTTCGGTACCAAGAGCTGGAACTTTGGCCGAGAAAGACGCTGAAGCGATTGGAATAGCCCGTGAAGCTGGAGCCATTTTAATTTGTATAACCAATACACCGGAATTAGTTTTATGGTATGATTCTCATAATTTTGTCTATGGGAGAACCAACAATCCCTATGATCTTGCCAGAATTCCTGGTGGAAGCTCTGGAGGTGAAGGTGCTCTAATCTCTGCTTGTGGTTCTTTGATGGGTGTTGGATCGGATGTCGGTGGATCAATACGAATACCCTCCTTTTATTGTGGTGTTTTCGGCCATGCAACCTCACCCGGAGTGGTTCCTGTCACAGGCATGTATCCACCACCATGTAAAGCTTGGGCTGATCACTTATCCTTTGGACCAATATGTCGCTATGCCTGTGACCTCAGGCTATTGTTGAAAACGTTATCCCAATCAAATGGCACTGATCCTCTGGGACTCAATGAATCAGCCTCACTTGACAATCTAACCATCTACTACTTTGATGACATTGGAAATCCTCTGGCTAATCCAACCATTCCTGAAGTTAAACAAGCCATTCAAAAGGTAATTATTGTTTACAATTTATTTTTAGTTAACCTCCTAAATTAGTGTTTAAATTCACTCACTAAACAAGTTTCCAACAATTACCAACCTGAATGAACCTCTCAGATCACTTTCAGTACCCAAATCAGCATCAGTCTCATTCTTTCCCTTTCACAATTAAGGTTATGATTAACTAAAAATAAAACTCAACCACTCAGCTTAATAATCATTACATTTGAAAATAATTGTCACCAAAAACCGTTCAACTTTAAACAATTGATTAACAAAAAAAACATCAAAAGTTATATTGTGATCAATATGAAACCAAATCAGTTACAATTAGTGTTATTTATACAGTTGAACGAATCAACAATTGATTATAATATGTTTAATTCCTTGTATTTGATTGCTAATCAAATTTTCCACATTTAAATCAGAGACTTGCCCTTAACTTTCAAAGACCTTGAATTAGAATTTAAATTTACCTTAATGTGACCATAGAGAAAACATCCTATTAAATTGTTGGACTGGAAAACAATGAAATGATTAAGGAAATAATTGAACAGAAAATCAGTTTTCTTCATTTATTGATACATAGAAAACCATTTTAAATACAATTAGTTAATGGATCTTTTCCGTCTCGAGCATAAATTTAATAACAATTAACAGTTCATACTTTTAATTGTTTTCTTCAAATATCTGCCCAATAATAAGTTGATTGTTGGCAAGGAAAAGTTAATTTAACAAAAGTTGATCGTCAATTAAAATCAATGCAAAATCAGCTAATTCACAAATCATTGACTTGATTGATTGTCTTTAAGTTGAATAAAAATTGTAATTGATTCTGTAATTTTAATGATAGTTTGATTGCCTGAGGGTAAGATTTTGTCAAAATGATAAAATCATTAAAGCAATTAAAGAATAAATATTTCCAATGATATAAAATACTCGTTTTTCCTAAATAAATGATATTTAAATTCAGTTTTATGATCAATTCGACTCTAGACAATTTAATCGAACAGCGATTGAATCATGTTCTGATCGTTGGAACGACATTAGCACTAATTATTTTTACTAATTGTTCTTTTTTTTATGATTCTTTTGAACTACTATGACGATCGTCGATAGACCTTGAAACATTTTAGATGCAATTTTAATGCTCGAATAGAGAAAATCAATTACGATAGAATGGCCTTTTCTTTGATCATGTGGGCAACCCAACTATCGTCAGGAGACGCATATCCAATGGCCGTGGAAGCAGCGATTCGTCAAGGTCGGATTAACCCGTTCTGGGAATTGATCAAATTTGTTTTCTATCTGTCCAATCATACACTTCCCGTCATTTTATTATCAATGTTTGAATCGATCGGGCCCAATAAAGGGTCAGCATTACATAAGAAAATCCTCGAAAAAGCCGATGAAATGAAAGATCATTTCACTCAATTATTAGGTAAATTTTTGGTCCATCCATTGATTGATTTTCTTCAACCTATTAACCATTTTTCATCTCTTTATCCATTAGGTTCCAATGGAGTATTAATCTGTCCCACTATTCCCGTTCCCGCTATCAAACACAAAACAACCCTGTTCAATGGATTCGACACCGGCTATACAATGTTCAGCAACGTAATCTCATTCCCCTCCACCCACTGTCCAACAGGTCTAACCAAAGACGGACTGCCCATCGGTTTTCAAATTATTACCCCTCCGCTCAAAGATAACACTTCGATCACGATGGCCTGCGAGGTGGAAAAACTATTCGGTGGGTGGACTTCACCCTCTCAACTAAATCTACCACAATCAGATTGATCAAAATCGAAACAGTTTTTTTATTTTTGTTTAAAACAAAACAACTTTCTCGCTCTTATAATTATTCAACAAGCTTAACAAACTTAAGAATCAATTGCGGCAATTAACTAATTGCTTGTTGAATCATGTAAATTTTATTTATACATCAGATTGTTTATTTTTCACTTTCTTATTGTTATCACACTTTTTTTGTTTACATTTTCCTCATCATCATCTCCCATCAACTTAATCATTCCCAACAATTGTCTCTTGAACACAATTATACTTTTAATGTGCCATTGAATGGATTAAATTAATTAAAAGTGTGATTCTAATAAAACAATCAAATTCATCCAAACAAATCATTAGGAAAAAAAAATGATTAAAATTGAGAAAAACTTTCCAATAGCCACCAGTTGCATAACACTAGCAATTTAACCGTGACAATTTACCATCATAAATCAATTGTAGAACTCGTTCTCCTCTTAACTGTGTTTTGTACTAATTGATCAACTAATTTCAATTTCACCGTTCAAATGTTAATTTACTATCCTCCTAAGGTCGCAGGTAATGCATTAGGCATTTAGCACCCGAGCGGGTGGCCCTTGTGGGCACTGAGCTAAACGCCCAGTTTGTACAATTTTTGCTTCTATTGTTTTTACAATTTCATTTCAAAATCTTTAGTTTGTTTCAATGTTTTCTTCGTTCGTTAAATACAATTGTACCAGTCCTCCAATCGTAAGTGTCTTGTTGTCTTGGATTCATCAGCTCGGTTTTTGAACAGTGACACATTTGAATTTTTTACATTTGAATATGAAATAGGTATCCGTAGGTTGAGACGAAGGCCAAGATCAGGTCCAAAAAAGTTTAACTCATTAGGTTCGTCATGAAAAAGAGAAAATAAAATTAGAGAAGAGAGATTTCAAATTTGTATCAAGTTTATTTTTCATCATACGTGACAAGAGCCTTGTGCATTTTCGTCTTCAGGGTGTTAAGCGAACACTTTTGCTCAGTTTCAAGAGATGGAGCCAGTTACCAAAAAGTTGTATGAATTTGGAAAAAGTTTCAAAGAGATTTGAACAATTAATATTACTGAATACAATTAATGTTAAGGGCCTTGTTTAAAGTTGCCCATTCATGCTTTTAACCCTTTGATTGCAAATATATTTGCTCGATTGTTTGTTTCATGAGAGTTGAGATTGAATTTTATTTTAGATTGAAAACAAAACTAAAAAACGAAATAAACTTTATCAATAAGATATTAATTCATAATATGTAAATCCCATTGAATCCCTGAGCTGAAATTCAGCTTTTCCTTTTGTTGCAATTTACTATTAATAAATTGCAAATCAGTTGTGAATAGGGAGAGGATCTCATCATAACACTACATTAATTTGAACCAAAAGTGTCGTACAAATTAACGACTATGGTCGATTTGCGATTTGCGAACACATTATTAATAATTTCATTAAAAGCCAAAAACGAAAAGTGTGTCGCGTATTAAAATAAGAGAACCGACTGATTCTGTTGGATTGATTTCTAATGAAAATCAATAGTTTCACCATCGAAATAGAAACTTTCAAGTCAATTTCGGTTTCAATCGTCGACCGACCAAAGTTACAATTGGATGTCACTCACTTACCAACTTACCTAAGACACTAAAGTGACATCATAACCGTGAACTTGCGAGAGAGACTCCAGAGCATCTCAAAGCCTAATGAACTTTTTTCTCGAACCAGAGTTTTGCTCATGCTCGCAAGAGATCATTGGTTGAACTTACTGTTTAACCGTCTTTCCCTGACTCGAGCCCGCATAGCGCAGTGGATAGCGTGTTGGACTTCTAATCCAAAGGTCCGGGGTTCGAATCCCCGTGCGGGTGAGTGAAAACTCAAGTTCGACTTTTTGTCCGATCGATTATCTTTTCACTTCGACAATCAAATCAAATTGAACTCGTCAAAAAGTCTATCAGTTTATTTGGTTGTTCTTTTTATTGACAAATTAGATTTGGTTACAAGTTTAGAAAATAATTAAAATATTAACAATAAGTGATTGGCTACAATTAGTTAGTTAACAATTAGTTAATCATTGGGATTAAGGTTTTAAAATAATATATGATTAGATGATTAGATGATTAACAAATTAGATTGACTAACGAAGTCCAATTTACATGAAGTTAGAAAATATTACAATAAATGAAATGGCGAAATTATCAATTTAATTGATTCTTAGTTCTAACTGATTAAGTTAATTAACAATTTATTTAGCAGATTCAATCATTAATTGTTTCTCCTCCTTTTCCAATAATCGTATTTGTAATTTTCGTGAGGCCAAATGAAGAGGATTTAAAAGAGCTAAAGCTGTACAGACGCAATTAAATAAATTTACCTGTGAAAAAATTAAAAGAAAATTTGATTACAATTAAAATTTAATCACTCGAATGTAACAATTAGTTAATTACCCATAAGGCACATTCAGGTGAACCCTCTTCCCAAATGAACAGAGGAAATTGTAACAATGAAATTACCGCTCCACAAGTGGACATGATTCCCAACAATCTAGCGAAATGATCACCCGGAAATCTAAATTGTTAACAATTAACGAGAGACAAAAAAAAAGTATCATCATGATTAGAAAATTAGAAAATTGTATTAACCTAATATAAGTGATTAAAGATCAATCCATTAGAATTGTATTAATAATATCAATTGGTTTCTCCAAGTAAATTAAAAGTCGATATAAAAGTCAATTGTCTCTTATTGTGTTTTCAACGATCAGAACAATTAGTAAATTGTGATTTCTTCTCAGTATGAGTGCAAATTTAAATCATTATTATCTATGTAATCGTTTTAAAATGAACACAATCAATTTAATTGGTAATCGATTGCACTGAAGTAGATCAAATAACCTGTGGAGTTTTTGATTACCTGGAATAATAATTGTAATACTGAGTCGATTGTTGTAATTTCCGAGCAATTGGAATAACAATTTACTACAATTAGAAGCGAATTAATTTCAATGTCAAATAGTATTTATCACTTTCTCTCTCGCGATCTTTACCATTCTCCTGTTTTCGCTCTGATTATTCTGGTTAATAGTGTTTTCGATAATAATGAATTCAAACAGACTCTTTCAGGGAAAGAAAAAGGTAATTGGTTAAAAATAAGAAGAGAAAAGAAAAGGTCACTTAGTTTTCTCTTTCCTCATTGACAAATTAAACAACAATTAAAATTGATTGTCAACATTGAGAGACACACACAATTAAAGAGAAACCACCAAGATTACCAAACATTAACCTTTAACCTGATCTAAAAATAGTAACATCAATTGGCTATTTATATAAATATAAAATCTGTAAGTTGTTTAGTTGAATTGGAATTAGATCATAATTAAAGCGGGAAGAGGTTAATTTGTTGTGACTTGATTTCTAATTGAGTCTCTAAATTGTTGACAGTAGGGAAATCAATCAATGAAGGACAATTGTATTTAAATTTTACCTTATCCTTAAGAAGGCTGAAGCAACGGCGACAAGGAAAGACCTTAAAAATGTGATAAAAACAATGGACAAATAAATAGCGGTCGGAGTGTCAAAGAATCGGCAGGCCAAGATTCCCGCTAGCGTTGCAGTTGTAAACATCATGGGCCAAAAGCCGGAATCGATTCGTTTCAATTTTCTTTCCAATGGATCTGAAACTAAATCAGCTTGGTTAACTTGATAGTCCATCCAGAATCCGGCTAACGGAGCCAATGCCAGAGATAATATCTGAATGAGGCCATAAATTTTGGTAAAATTACCGGCGACCACAGCGTCATGAGTAACCCTGTTTAACCATAGATTCATTGATCCAACATACATGATCATGTAGGTGATTAACCATGAAAACCACCATTGGTGAAGTAGAAAAGCCAATGAGAAAAGTGAAACTTTCAATGGTATTACTGGTGGGGAAATTTTGTTCGTCGTCATTATTGAAGGAGCTAAAGACGAAGGTGACCTTTCAACGGACGAAGTTGGTGTGGCCGCTCCTGTGGTAACGGTAGATGTCGATGAAATGTGAGATAAATTACCAAGACTGTCCTCATCATGGGAAACATAAGCTAAATTATCCGCTTCATATGTTGACCTTTGAGGGATCGGAAGGCCAATCGATGTTAATTTGGTCGTTGATGAGGAAACTGTGATCGGCTCCAGGGAACATGTGGGTAAGGATGAGGTTGATGATGTGAGGGAAGGTGAAGCCTTTCGGCCCATTGGTGGACTTTTAATGTATCGAAACTTTTCCAAAGTAACTGGACCGACGATATTTTTCTCGTAATATTTACGATTACCGGTGAAGGTAAGAGCCACTTTTGAACTGGTCAGATCGTCTTCGCTTATAACGGTCGATGGTAAAAGGAAAAAGGTTGTCGGTAACATGGACAAACTACATAGTACCAAAGTGAAACATGTCCAATAAAAGGAAAGTCCAGCGTCGAACATGAATTTAAGTATGACAAAGGTAAACGCCGAAGCGCTGAAAGCCCCGCTGTAGAAGGTGATTACAGATGATCGCTGTTTGGGGAATAGATTGGCAATTTGCATATTGGCAATTCGAAGGGGAACACCGCCGAGACATAAGAGAATCACGGAGGGAAATATCAGGTAAGAACGAGCTGAGAATTAACCAGAATCGAGAAAAAAGAAGGAAAGAAAAAAAGAAAACCCAAACCAGAGAGTAAACATAATGGAAGGAAAAAGAATTAGAAAAGTAGATTTTACGAAGAACAAAATTGAGTCGAAAATATCATATTAGAATAGAATTTATCAAATTGTAACAATTTAATCGATTCCATTGATATTATCATCTTAATTAGTTGGAAATATTGTCAACAATCAAATCATGAGAGTGAAATTTGTGGTGAAAAGTGGTACAACCAACGATACGAATATGGAAATTGATCAAAGGTCTTAGTCTTTCTCAGCAATTAACGAAACAATTAGTGGTTAGAATAAATTATTCTGATAAATTGATTTGGTTTTTCTGTGAGAATTTAAGATTTTCTAATGATAACTCGTTCATATTTCTCACTGGCTTCAAACGATAACAAATATTACATCACAATTAAAGGAACCAAACAATTAAGAAAAAGTTATCTAAGTTAATTGTTCTGTCAGATAAATCAAACAGAGTCACAATTTTGTATCTTTCATGTGTATCAAACTGGATCAACGATTCAGGACAATACAATATGTGATCAGTTGAATGAAGAAAAAAAATTAAGCCTTTAATCAGCAACAATTGGAAAAAAAAATGATCCAACAATCAACAAGGCAAGAAAAAGGCTCTTTAATTGTTAACAAATTGTTTTCTTCTTCTTGATTGTTCAAATTTCTGTAATTTTATTCCATGTTGATTTTATCCATTCGCAGCCATTGATTGTCACCTAAACATCGTCATGATTAACTAGATTGTTGACTTACGATGATTAAATGAAGATCAACTTACCTCTCGTAGTGAAACAAAGGGAAATACTTCCAAGGGTTAGAAATGCACTGAAATTAACGATTAAATTTAACAATTAGTGGTCAAAAATGTAATCAACTCATTCTGATCAATTGTATTTAGATGCTGATCAAGACAATTAAGCTAATTGCTAACAAGCTTCCTTGATTCTATTATTATTAATACTTTCACTTTCGTTTCAATATCATCGATGGAAAAACTTTGATTATGATCAAAATCAACTTCTTAATATCATGATTAACTTTAATTGTCCCCAACTGTAGTAGTTTAAATCTAAAAATTTCCAATCTATAAATTCAATATCAACCTTACCCTTTAATTACAATTAAATTGTCACACTTTCCCTGAACAATATAACTTTTTTTTCATTCCAAAAAGGGAACAATAAAAATTGTCAAATCAAATTGTTGATTATAATTTCCAAAATAATCTCATTGAGATGTTAACAACAACAATTAAGTGACAATAATAAATCAATCAGTCGATATCAAAATGATAGATGAATATGATTAGTTAATTATGATAATAATTAACTTAAAAGCAACGACAAAAAAAAATTGATACTAAATTTGTGTTGAAAAGTTGACAAACAAACCAAACTTTGAGTGAAAGTTAAAAAGTGAATAGTTAAACAAACATAATGCAATCAGTTAATTGTTGATAACAGTAAATTATGCTGATTTGAATTAATTACTTACTTAATTAATAATCGGACGTTTCTGAGGCCCCATTTATCAAGCAAAAATCCCCATATAAATGCAGTGAAACCATTGAAAAAAGTACCAACAGTAAAAGCTAAATTTAATACCCGATCCTGAGTCCCACAGGTTTTGATTAAGTGTGATGATGGTGATGAGCGTGATGAGTTAATTGTCAGCTCCTATTTAGTAATGATTAAAATTGATTTAATTAGTGGTAATCAATGAGTGGTATAAAAAACCATAGATGAAAACAATATGTAAATTATAAGAGAGTTGTGATCAAGGTTGTTGACTAATTAGCTGATTTAGTTTTATTAACCTCTCGATTTTATGATTGAGACAAATTATTGTTTTCACCAAAGATAATCAACTAATTGTTTGTTTTCATCATTCGAAGTGTTAATTGTTTGATTTGTAGTTAATTTATTAATAGTAACTCTTTTTGAATCAAATCCAATTGGTGTTTGAACAATTAAGTTAATTGAGTTTTGATGATTTGATAAAATCGTGAGTTTTTTTTTATACTTTTCTGTGTCATATTTGTTAATCAACTTGATTGTCTAAACAATTAACAATCAGTTTGTAATGTTTAACTAATTGTGAGCCGGAAATGGTTAGTGATTAGCTAATTGTTATCTGATTTAAGAAAAAAAAATTAACTTCTAATAAACTGATCAACAAAAGTGATAATAATTTAGAAAGTTAAAATTAAAATTCAACATTGACCATGAACAGAAATGTAACAATTAACTTGATTGTGAGTAAATTAAACTTTCAACTAACAATTAAAAGTGTAAATCCTTTGACCAAAAATCAACGATAATCAAGTTAATTGAATTAAACTAATTTTGAAAAAATTGGTCCAGTTAATTTAGTCAATCAGTTAGTTAACCAGATAATCAATTACCGATGACAATTAATTAAATCAAGACCTTGATTGTTTATTAATTGAACAACAATTTACTTTTAGTTATTAGTTATTGAAAATAGTTAAAGGTGATCAACCGAAAACAGAATTAAATTTAATTGTTGAGCTAAAAATTGAGCTACAATTTAATAGACAGTTTAACGTTGATTAGTTTGATAATTAACCTTGAAATTAAATACACTTAATGGTTCCGGGATTGCCTTCAACAATCAAATCAATACAATTAATCCCAACATCAAGTGAGAGCAGAAAAACAAATCAACAATTAACAACTTTCAACTGTCAGAATCATAGTTAGTTAATTATTAAACTTTCAGGTATCGGTCATAGTTAATTGTTACACTAATCAACCTGAGGTTATTTCCTTAACTCTTCCTACAATTAAGATTAGGCCTTGTTTTGTTTGTTATGATTAAATTTAATTGTTTCCTTAATTATATAAACAAAAATTGAATTTAAATTTTCATGAGAAATTATAATGTTTGTCAATGAGATTTTGGTTCAATGTTGTTAACTAATTGTTGGCATAATCATTATATCATGAATGTAAATTTAATTGTCTGTGGTTATTTTGACAATTCTGTTGATAATTAACCCTTAATTGTTGTAGATTCCTTGTGGTAAATAACCTTGATCATTTGAAGGTAAATCTTTTACCTGATTGATTGTTGTGATTGAATAAAAACCATGGAATTGATTTCAATAGATTTGAACAATTTAAATTATTCCAATTTCTAATCATCAATTGTTACAATTGATTGTAATTTTCCCCTTTAATCAACTACAATTATTAAATAACAATCATTAAGAGAGAGAGAGAGAGAGAGAGAGGTTGAAATGTTTACCATTTAGATTGATTGAAATTTTCTCATAATTTAAAAGTTAATTGTCAACAATCAACAAGATTTAACTTGAAGAATAAATTTTCACCCGGAAACAAAATTATCTCCCTGGAAATGATAACCTGACCATGGATTTTGCTAAATAGATTGTCAACAATTAACTAATCAAAACAACTAGAATAACAATTAGCATTTAAATTGTGAATACCGGAAATTGATCAACTTTCATTCAAAATCAATGTTACTAATGAAATAAATTTAGCTTGAAAGGAAAACAATTAACTTCATCCAATAAGAAACAAAAAATCAACTATGTAAATTGTCAACAATTAACATCATCAAGAGTATTTACCTTGAGCATATTGAATATAATATTTGAAGAGCAAAATTAAATCATTTCAATATTGAACTTACCTGATCAGAGTAATAAATTGTTGATATATTGGGTGTTGGTGTTGTTAATGATTCGGTTAAATTGTTGCTAATTGTTGTAAATTGTGAGTTTCAAAGGGAAGATATTCAATTGTTGAATAGTTTTGCAAGATACTCGGAATCATTGGAATATGAATATCGGAGTTCAAAGGTAAATCACATAGAGATTCATAGACACCCTCTTCCTTTAGCATGTAATTCAATGCTGACCAACCCAGAATCGAACCGGTGAAAATTAAATTCTCCATCAATCCAACAATTAGAATTAACCATTTCTTCCAACTAGGTGTTCTCATTGTAACAATTAACACAATTAACACACTGATCACTGATTACGAAGACACAATAATAATAATAATATTAAGAAAATCGTATCAATTATTGTTTAAAAAACTTTTGATAATTTGTTGTTCAATCGAGGATTAGGATTATAATGATTAGGGTTTGGATTTGGTTGATTATTTTAAGTTTAACTTGATGTTATTAATCATAATTGTGGTTGGTTTAATTGTTTATGATCAACTGAAGGATTGGTGATGGTGGTGGTTGAGTTAAATTGTTCAGATAATCACCATTAGTCATAACAATCATTTTTTTTTTATTGTGTTTATATCACAGAGCACAATTAACAATCAATCTTGATTTACCAATGACCATAGGCGTTGATATTTGGTTAATTAACAAAAAGATGAAGATGATAAAGATGAAGATGATGATGATAACATAATGATAATAATAAGTGAATATGGGAGGGGACACTTAGAACTTTTTTTCTCCGCTCGAAAGAGGTGGGAACTTGTTCGAGTCCAGAGATAACTGTGAGTGTGATGATGTTCGTGGTGGTGTCGAGGTGGAGGCGAATCGTTTACACAGATGAAAATCATGTTTTCTCAGAGGAAGAGATGAAAAAGAAAGAGAGAGAAGAAAAGGGGGAGAATAGAACATACATCACGTCGAACTTACCTATTCCGAATCATATGAATTCTGAGAGAGGGAGAAAAAATATTCGACGAAGGAGGAGGAAGAGAGAGAGAGAGAGAGAGAAGGTGGAGATTCGATGAAGGTGATGTTAATTGTAACAATTAAGATGCAAAGTGGGTGGTGGGATTGACGAAGGCGGGAAATTAACCTTGTCTTTCCTTAATTTAGTAACTAATCTATTCAATTGTTGTCACAATTTAGATTTAGAAAGTTGAATATCTACTAATCTTATTGATTGTTCATATAATCTGATGACAATTTGATTATACGATTAGTTGATTGATAATTTTGGTACATTTTGATTAATTGATTATTATTAAGCTAATTGTTGTTTTTATTGTTGTTGTTGATGATATTAAATTGTTTATTTGTAAATTGCTGTTTAAATCAATTTATTTATGTTTTGTCCCTTAAATTATTTGCTTAATTAACTGTTACTGTTTTTTGATTACAATATTTATAATATTTACAATCAAAACCTTGAATTGTTTGGTGTAACTTTGTTGATTTGTTTTGCTACCTTTAATTGTTAATTAACATGAAGATGAGTAAACTGTTAGTTGTGATCATAACTAAATCAATTAATCAGATTTTTTTGTTTAATTTGATATTTTGATTACAATTATCATTATGATAATTGCTTGAAACCTTGATTAATTATCTTATCTTTTAATTGTCCTCTTTACAATTATATTGATAGTAATAATTAAGTGGTTGATGAGTCCTAATTAAATTAAAATCAACTTATTAATTAACTGATTGATTATTTAATAATCAGATCGTTATTGTGAAATTTTAATCACAATAATTAACTATTACAATCAATGGGTAAGATGTTTAAATTATATGATTGATCTGTTTTTTTTTCTGGATAATCAATCAAATTTTGTGTTAATTGTTATAACAATTAACATAACCCTATGTATTTAAATGAGGCTAAATTGTTGTAAGATTATATCATTGATGAAAGTTAATCAACAATCAACAAGGTTGAATTGAAGGTGGAATCAATTGAAAAGGTGATTTCCAAAATGATTACAATTGAAGGTTTTTCATCTTAATTGTTGACAATAGACTTTTGATCAACAGTTACAATCAATTTTAATTGTGACTCAAAAATTCCTTGACGATTTACACGAAAAGTTAATCATAATCAACAGAATTAACTTGATCATTGTAACAATTTAATTTCCTCTGAGCTCAATGTTAAAATCTTACACTGGCTTCAAATCTTAATCATTGTAATCGCCTTGATTGTTTAAATTGCCAATGGATTAATCAAAATCAAATTATTCCTTAACCACTGCGATGATTAACTTTGATTATATCATTGTAATTACAAGATAAACTAAATCCAATGTTAGTTAATTGTCATTAGGATTGTTGAGTTTTTTTTGTTTCCCAACTATTAAGATAAAAAAAAAAACTTTTCAAGTAAATTAACCAACACAATCAACGGACAATTAACAAATCAACTTTGATTTTTGTAACAATACATTCCCACTGATTCACTAGATTTTTTTTATCAAATTAATTGCTGTTTATCAAGTGAATCTAATTGCGTTGATTGATTAGTTCACTTGGGAGTCTCAACAATTAACCAGAAAATTAACAATAATTGAAACTTTTTTTGTTCAATTTTTCTAAAATACCAAAGGTAAAAGTTAAATCTAATTACAAAGTAATGATGTTTAATAAGAATCTCTTAATTGTTATCAAATTATCAAGGTTTAATCATAGGTGCAATGCCTTCCGGCTTAATCACAATCATCAAATTAATGATCAAACAATTTATAAATCAGTGTAAGATTTGATTTCTTTGTTAACTTTCAAGGTTTGGTAAAAGTTTTGGATTATCAAATTTATTATTACAATTCAATTGTGATTAACTTTTTTTTCACTATGTTATCATTAATAACAATTAACAAGATGTAACAATGATCACCAATTTGAATTGTTAATCATGATTAACCTTATATAATAATAAAATTAAATAGTTAAATTGATTGGATTATACATTTGATTACTAGAAGGTCAGTAAATAGATTTAATATCTTGTTGGGCTAATTGTGTGTGGACAAATTATCAATTGTGATTAACAATTTAACCTTGATTGTTGAATGAGAAAAACTAATTCAATGTGATCAAGTCCTTGTTCAATTGATTGTAATGATAACAATCAAAGTATTCACCTGATTGTAATTACAATTACCTAAGAAACAAATTACACAATTAAGGGTTTGATTGTAAATTTCTTGGGAATTTTTTTCCCAACATGATTAACATTTAAATTGCAATGTTAATTTCTCAAAGTCACCAACAATTAGAGTTGATTACAATTAAAAAAAAACTGTCTGAATATTGTATTAGTGTTTACACATGATTAAGTTAACTGTTAATTGTAAACAATTAACTTTGATGTGCCTTTGAAATTTGTTTTTATCATCACATTTATTAGATCATTGAGATTTTATTTACATCTTAATTGTGATTAAAATTTGATGATTAAATTGCGATTTTTCTTGTTGATTATTGACAATACGGGCTAATTGTTCAAGGTTAATCATTAAAACCATTGAACAATCAAACCATGTTGATCACCAATGATGATTAACTTAATTTTGTTTACTAATTTAAAAGTTTTCTTGAAAACCCTTATTGGTGAAAATTGATTAACAACAAAATTGATTGTTTATGATTAGCTAAATTGTTTACACTTTATACTAACAATCAATCATTAAAGAAACTTAATAACAAATCATTTGATCACAATTAATTTTAATGAATATCAAATCAATCGGTTAATTTGAGTAAATTGTTGATTGACTTGACTTTTTGATCGGAAAACTTTTCTTTCCCGTTTAATTGTTCATTTAATTTAGTTGAGCCTCAAATTACAATTTAAGAGACCAATTTGATTTGATTATTAACCTTTATCTTAGCAATTTAAAATTTATGTCCTGTAATTTACCTTAATTTTTTTTCGTTGAAAAGTTGATCACAATTTAAATTAATTCGCAAATTGTATTGCTATCACAATTTAAATTTTACAATTAAAAACGAATCAAATTGTCCAGTAAATGTCCGTTTGAAAGTTAATTGTTATGAGAAAACTAAATAATTAACTGATTGTATCTATTTTTTAATCAACAATTAACCGGAAAACTTTTTTCAAAAAAATTGTAAACAATTTTCAATCATGTTAACAACAACAATCCCACAATTAATTACAGTTAATTAATTAAATGTTTAGTTCAATCAATGAATGAACAATTTAGGTTGTAAATTGAATCATCAATGATTAAATTGTTATTAAACTTGACATTCAAATGAGTGACAATCAACAAGGGATAATTAGAGATGTTTCAATTTTTTTGATTGTCAATCAAATCACATCATCTTTAATTGTTGTTTAATCATGACCGATGGTTAAATTGTGATATCATTTGACATTTAATGAGTAACTAATAAGTATCCATGACATATAATCGTAATTACTGTTAAAAGGGATAATTAACTGAATAAAAGTTAAACAACAATTAAACCTTTAAATGCAAACAATTTAGTGTAATAACATTGGTATTATACAATTTATGCAATTGATTAGTTGCTAATTGTTGCTAATTTGGGTGAGATAATTGTAGTTAATCATGTTTGATGATCTATACCCTTGAATTGTAAATTTAAATTTCCGCAATCAATATTCAAGAAAAACAAAATTTTAATCAGTTGACATGAGAGAGAGAGAGAAAAGTTAATTGTCAATTTAAGGCTTTTGGTAAGATGTTGACAAGAGTTAATTGTCCTCAATTAATTTACTCATTTTGTCGAGGTAAATCTGATCATGGATTCTGACAGGAAGTTTGTTTAAAAATAGGGGAGACTTTCAACAATATAAATATTGATACTAATCACAATTAGTAAATTAGTCGATTGGATTTCAAATTGATATAAATATTGGTGAAAAAAACGATATCCTTTTACACACTAGATTTGATTTGATTACTTTTTTTTGTTGTTGTAAATTGTTTCAATTTACACAATTGTTTGATTTCTCTCCTTGTTTTTCTGTCCAATACACTTTTGATTCCCTTGGAATTGTGATTAATTAACCTTGACAATTAGAGCGATAGTTTGATTAAAGCCCTTTCTCTCCTTCTTTCTCCTCCTTTTCTCAACCATAGATCAACTGTGTTCATTGAACCTTTTGATTGTTGATTGGTTTGGTTCATATGGATTATCATGGTTAATTGCTTGAAGGTTGACAAGTAAGGTTTAAGGTTTAAAATCAGCTAATTAGGTAATTATGGTTCACTTGATTTTCTCTTTTTTTTTCGTAAACGCCAATTGAATATTTTTAGGTTGATTGCTTGTTACTCTCTTTTCGTAGTGGAGGTTTAATTGTATGTACACTGAATCCAATTCGTTTCCGTATTTACTGAACTCTAGGGGAGAGAGAGAGAGATACCATTGTTTGTTCAAGAAAATTCTGTTTCGAATTAAGAATTTGATTTTTGTTGTTGTTTCAACTCTCCTTGAGATCCAAAAAATACCGATATTGTGAATTATGGCTTCATCTTGTTAACACGTTTGGCCTTAAAAGGAAATTAAGAAGAGAAATAAAAAATGGCAAATAATTTGCTTATTTGAATGTCAATTATTTTTGATTGTGTCAAAAGGGTTAAATTGGACAAGTTTGTTTAAGTTATAACAAAAGAGAAAAGGAAAATGTTTAGATGATTAGATACCAGATATTCAGCTTGATTTGGTTGATTCTGGTTTAGCAAATGAGGCCAAATCTCTTCTCATGGCATAGGCATCTTCCCCATCGGCATAGTATTTAGGCTCAGTTTCATGGATCACAAATCCTAAAGTATTAGCATATAAATGTAAAGCAGCTCGGTTACTTTTCCTCACATGCAGAGAAACATATTTAGCATTGAAACATTCAACCATAGCTCGAGATGATTGATTCATTAGCTTCTGAGCCAATCCTAAACGCCGGTGGGACCTTTTAACAGCTAATGAAGTGATATGACCATGTGGATCATCTTCCGAGTCTTCCTCCATTTTGGCTAAAACATAACCAACAATTTTACCACTTTCATCTTCGGCAACATAGGACAATTGAGGCCAAGATAATCCATGGTAAAAGTAATATTTCATTTGGTAATTTTCTGGTAAACAAAGCAAATTACAATGTTGCATATTTATTAGATCTTCGGGTTTAGCACAGCGAATATTCATTGTAAATCAAATCGAGTCAACTAACGAAGCAGAAACTACACAACTAATTAGACAAATTAAGAAAATAATTAAAAATAAATTCTATTGAACTAATTAATTAAATCGCGATGAGAAACGATTGGAAAAAAAGTAAACACATTTGAAAAAAATTCTGGATTCCGAATGTTCGCCTATGGAAAATGAGCGCCATCTATTGGGTGATTTTCTTTTTACAAAAGATTTAAATTTAGATTAAACAATTTAAATTCTTAATCATTGGAAGCAATTGCAAAGGTGAATTAATTTTCTTTTCACTGATCAAGTGATTGTTTATTGGATTAAGAAATACATGATTGATTTTTGTTTTTTTTTGTTATCCAAAGTGAACTTTATTATCTTCAAAAACATTTGCTATACCATTTTTTGTTTTCTTAAGAATTAATTAATAATAGTTAATTAATTGGGTGATGATCAAATCTTACAAAAAAATAGGTAAGAGAAAAAGAAAGAGAGAGAATTGAGAAAGTTAAAGGGAGAGAATTAGTTAATAGCAAATTTTTGTATTCTGTATCCAATGTTGTTGTTGTGTCCAAGCTCAATTCCAGCAATTAGGTTAATAAATTTGTTTTTCAAATTAGTTAATTTGGTTTAAGGTTTTTTCTTTCAATTTTTTTGCTGATTGGATTGGAATTAGGGATTATATCTGTTTATCCGCTATAATTTGGATTCTTTTTTAATATCACGAAACCTTCAAGTATTGGTGTTAATGGTTGATACTCTTCGGTGGCAAGTTCAGCTCTTTCACCGAGAGCCAATAAAACCGGAGTGGTGTGTGTTTGGAAACCGGTAATGGTTTTGGGTTTACCCGCTTGACCGACAACATCAACCGCTTGACCCACTCGAACGGGCACAGGTAAGGGCAGGAGATCTTCATTGAAAGTAACCAACATACGAGGTTGAATGGCTGCCGTCAGGTAGTATAAAAGGTAATGTGATTTACCCAAAATGGTTGATTTAACATCAAGTAAACTAACCAAGACAATTAATAAACCAGCCAATGCGGTGGGAACTAACAATTGACGGTCAGAGTGGAAAGGTGACAATGTTAGTGTACCTTTACCCAAATGGGTTAACCCTTGAGCAATTCGAGTCATAAAAAGTCCATTAGGCTCTTTTGCATGATATTGGACAAGTTGACGTAACATGGTTGCCAATCGAGCGTTATTGGTTCCCGCACCGATGATTCCCATGGCGAAAATTGCATTACAAGCTACTTCCATATCGGTATCGTGACTAAATTTACTAAGTGTTTCCAAGATGTTTAATTTTGGATTGGAAACAGAAATTAAAGCCAAAGCCAGGGGAACGGTTCGTTTGATGGCGGCATCACCATAACGTAAGAGATGACCAAAGGATCGGAAAGCCATTTCTGATCCAATTTCTTCGGCCATTGCAATTAACGCGATTCCCAAAGTAGCTACAGATTGTTGAGCTGAAAGGTCGGATGTTGATGAGCTACTGCTGCTACTACTACTGGGAGAGTCTTTCTTTTTAGAGGATGATGATGATGGAGAAGATGAAGATGATGAGGAGGTGGAGGTGGAGGAAGAAGAAGAGGTTGAAGAAGTTGATGTAGTTGTGGAATCACCACCTTCTTCTTTGGTGTCTCTCTTTTCAGAGCAAATATGAAGTAATTGTTGAATTTTTAAAACATTTCCAGTGGCAGCATAAGCACAAATGTCCAATAATGTTTTCGACATTGCTTTAAATGGTTCATTGGTGAGTACATCTAATGTTGCTTGAATTGTTTCAGCTTCTTCTTGTCGTCCCAAATAACATAAACCAATGGCGAGGGATAAAAATTTAGCAAATGGTTCAGATTTAAGGTCAATCTTTGATGAAGAGTCTCGATCGATCAAAATTTGTAAACAATTTGCTGTTACATCAGAATTTCCTGAACCAACAGCAATTAGACCACAAGAGACAGCGGTGATTCCTAATACCTCCATGTTTTGTTTAGAATCGGTAAGAACGGGAAGAAGAGTACTGATAACATCTTCTCGATTAGAACCAGCATAAGCCAAACCTAAACCGATTATCGCTCCGAGACGCATTTGAGGTGAATTATGGGTAACATATTCACCAAGTAAAGCAAGAGCAGGATCACAATCATTTCTAACACCACAATTAACCAATCCACAGGCAAGTAAAGCTCCAGCTTTAATATTATCTTCACTTGAATAAAGATATTTATCTATTTGGGTGAGACCACTATCAACATCCCAAAGTAAAATTAATCCAAGTGAAGCGGTTGCACTAAGCATACCATGGTCTTTGTTTTTGTAAAGCCATTTATTACCATCATCAACTAAGAGTAATTTATCTTTACCAAAACCACAATTGACGAAACCATTGACAAAAGATGAGGCCAAATTAGCTCGAGCCGAGTCAACATTACTTGCACCATGAGATGATCGAGTTGAGGTTTCCAAATGACTTTTGTAAATATCTTCAGGTGTTTTCGGCTCAAGAATATCTAATTCACGGGCTAAGGCAAGAAAATGACTGTTTAAGTGAGTGTTTGACATAATATCAGTTAATTCAGCTTCGGGAATATCTTCCATGATGAAAATTTGCTGCCTTCCAATCATGAAGGCTAACTGTTTTTGTAGAGCAGCATCTTTACAACCAGTTAAAATACTCTTAATTTGATCCATATCATTTAGCTGCATAGCCAAACGTAAGGCTTCTGGTAATTTGTTAAATTTAACAAAAATTCTAAGAGCTGTTTTCAGAATATTGGTATTCTCGGGATCGGGTACATAAGAGACACAACTTGTCAGGTAAAGACAAACTCTTTGACAAACATCCTCATCATCAATATAGCTATCCAAAAGTTCAAGTTTCTCAATCTCCATTAAAAGATCGGCTGCTTCAGCTTCAGCATTGTGTTTCATATGATATGGAACAATATCATGAACTAATTCCACCAATTTAGCTTTATGTTCAGGAGTTGATTCATTTAGCCAATCGTTTGCAATTTCACCGGCAATATGACGAACATACTCATGACCCCAAGATCCAATCTCTTCCCGACTTCCCTTTAACCGATACCTAAACACGAGAGAGAGAGAAACAAAAGAAAAGGGATAATTACACAAAGGGAATCATCATTTTTGTTCAATATTGAGAATTTAAAATTACTTTAAAGCTTCTCCGACACCATATTTTTCGGGTGGCATGGTCATTGCTAGAATAGAGATAATGTCAGCCACAAATCTTTGAGTTTCTTCACTGGGCATAGATTCAAGAATATTCTTAAGAGTCTCATAATGATCTCGTAAAAATTTCAAAGGCTTGGGAACTGAGGTCATAGAAGTTGTTGCACTTCTAATCTGAGATCTTAATTGTTCCAAAGCGGGTAGATACAGACTTGTATCACTTTCTTTCAAACGATTAACCAACATCTCTAAATCCTCTTGTAATTGCTTATCCTCTTCAGACATTTCATTTTCCTTTTCATCTTTTCCTTTCTCTTTCTCCTTAGTAGTTTCCTTTGGTTCCAAGTCACGTTGTAAATCTTTCATTTTGCTCTTCCGATCAACTTCAATCAAAACCAAATAATAAACAATTTAACAATAAACAAAGAAATAGATAAATTAATTTAACCGATAATTAAACTTGAAGTCACAATTAAAAACACAATTGAAGTTTAATGTTAATAAAATGCTGACAAATCCAATCTCTTTAGTGGCGCCATCTCTTGGATAAATAAGTAACTTTTAAAAGGTCAATCAAATACGAAAAAAAAATTCAACAATTAAATCAGATCAACAATTTAAATGATGGACACAAACATGAGATAATCAATTTAACTTTGAAAAAAATAAATTAATTAACTCTATTCCTTTTTTATGATCCAATGAAAGTGAAAATTTGTTTAGCTAAGAAAATGAAAACAATTTAGAATCTCAATTAACCAGAATAATGATTAATGTTTTATTTACTTTAATTGTGATTAAAGTTGTGGGAAAAATAAATGATTTATGAATAAAATTGAAATAGAAATTAATATTGATACTAATTAATCATTGGAATTGATAATTTTACTCTAATATATATTAGAAGAAGGGAAATTTGAATCACTCCAATAATAGGAAAACAATAATTTTAATTGGTTCGAGGATGAAGATTGTAATTAATGGAAACAATTAACCTTGTAAATATGAAACAATAATCATTCTGTTTATGAATTAAATGATTTGGATGAGGATGAATTAGAATGATTGATTAAATGTTCTAATGTATAGAGAAAATGGTTAATCGGCTGAGAAAAAAAGTTTTTGGAGAAAAATTTTTCTCGTTTCTATTCAGATGAAATGGTAAAGAGAAATGAAGAGAAATTTATGATTTAATAGAATAATAAGATGATGATGATTAAGAAGAAGAAGAAGATTAGAAGATTTCGAGAAGATAAAAGGAGTGAGTTATTAATACCAAAGATTTTGACAGAATTTTTCTCCATCTCCTCGAATGTAACCAGAAGTGTTCGTATGAGCCAAGAACTATTTTTACAGCGAATAGACTTGCGATCTTGTGTCTTCCTCTTTCGAAATTATCTTCATCTTCTATTATCATCTTCATCCTCATCTTTCTCTCATTAACATGTTGTTTCATCTTCTCTCTCAACTCATCCACTAAGATGGAAGAAGAAAAAAAAACATCGTATTAACTGTTTCCTTTGATTTCTTTTCGTGATTCTTGTTGATAGTTTTCGAGATTTTTTTCTCTCGAATTTCAATTTCTTTTAATATCCATCAAGTGATCAATTGTTAATTGTTCCTGTGACCTGTCATCTAGATTTTGTGCCTGTGAGAGTTTTAATTGGTTGATTATTGATCATCATCATGATTACCCTTAAGTCAAGGGTTGTCACCCCTTCGGGTGATAGTGGAAGTGGTAATAAGTTCACCAGTGATTATTTGACCTCATCATCGTCTTCACCTTTCTCGAATCGACTTTACTTTACTGGTGTTGGTCAACGTCCGACAAGTTCAACGTCTTTCTATTCAAAGGGTCGCCTTTTGGCCTCATCGTCGGTTGAAAGGCTTAACCGGTCAGAAAGTCCACCTCCGTCCGCTTTTCGAGGTGGATCAAGTTGGGATTTACGAAGTTCATCTCCCATGAGGCGAGTTAAACCTTCACCTCATCGTAATCCATCAGTTGATAGACTTCGAAGGCTTGACCATCATTCAAGTTACCGGTCAATTTCTCGTGATGAATTAAATTCAATCGATTCAACGGTTACCTCAGGTGCCACTGGACTTTCTAACCTTCATCCTCCCTCATCCTCGACAATGGAAAGACGTAACATGATCTTATCCAATTTCCATCGGAATTTACCTCCGACCGGACTTTCGTCAACATCTTCAACCTTCATTGGTCATCATTCACACCATGGTCATCATGGTAATCACCCTAACCTTCATCCTCGAAGTAATTTTGCCGCCTCACGGAGCAATTTGACCACATCTTCAGCCTCACCTTCAATCTCAACTCGTTCCCATTGGCCAACATCGGGATTGGAGTTTTTCAGGCCCAGAATCAGAGATCGACCTTCGTTAGCGTCAATCAAAACAACTTTAAAAGGTAAACAACTGATTAAACCTTCATCTGGATCATCTTCATCTCGATACATTAGACCAACACCATCGACATCATTGTCAACAACAACATCATCTCCAAGTGACGCAACTCTTTCTCGATATCGTCATGTGATCAAATTTCGTGAATTTCATATCGATGAACCTTTGACCAAAAGGAAAGCTTCAATTTCCTGGGATCTTCCCTTGGAACCAATCAGCTCATCGTCAAGTTACAATTCAAAATCAAGTGGAAATTCACAGAATTCACCACATTCACCAACCTCTCGACAATCAACCCCAGAAATAGATCAAAGGAAAACACCAGATGATAATAAGTCTAAACTGTCATCTTCATCTTCCTCATCATCACCTTCCCAACCCTTAATCGAAAGGAAAAATTCAGTTTCCCGTTCACTTGACGATCGATCATGTAAACTTAAAATTCCCAAATTAGAGATAACTCCTGATTCACTTTCAGGTCAATTATCATCACCCGATGTAATTGAATTACCCAAACCAGTAAGTCCGCTTCGAGTTCACTTTGAAGTGTCAATTTCCCGTCTTGAATTTATTCCCGTTCCCAATGATCAACCAAACCAAGAAGCAAATTCATTTGAGGTTAATGTGATTATCCCTCTCAAATCTAAATCCAAATCTCCAGATCCTTCGATGCCAAAATCCCAATTAGTTGATTGTAATAAATCAATTTTAACAAACCAACTAAACCAAAATATTGTTAACAAATCGATATCTCCTAAAATAACTTGTTCCCCACCACAAACACCGCAAACACCACCAACAACAACACTTTCCACTCCATCATCTTCCCGAATGGTTCCTCTACCTCCTTCACACTCTCTGTCAATTTCCCCCAAAAATGAGAATGATAAAGTGATCACTACACTTGCACCTTCTCCACCACCACCACCGACAATAACCTCATCTTCCTCTTCTTCTTCTTCTTCTTCCTCCTCTTTACCCCCTCTCAAGCTTCCCAAAGGTCGAACCAAACCTCCAAGTGACAAAGATCGTCCACCAACCTCACGTCCCTTGGCGGGTAAACAAAACTATCACAGGAAACCATCTTCTCCTGATCCAACCCGCTCCTCACCAGTCGATTCCCCAATCTCATCTCGACCACCTTCACCTTCACCCACCTTCATATCAACCATAGAGGAAAAAAGTCGTAAAATTTTATCCAAATCGAAATCAGGTTCAACAAGCCCAAACCTAACGGGATCGATAACAAATCTAAATACAACCAACAGTAAACTTCAACCAAACGAATTGAAAATCAACAATAGCTCATCACAAGCATCATCTTCACCATCATCGACAACTTCATCAGTACGAAGTGTTGTCAGTCCACGACAAGAGTTAAAACTGTCAAAGGGAATAACTAATTCCAGTTCATCTGGAGTAAACTTGTCATCCAACAATTCATCACCATCCAAACTATCTCCATCATCTTCAGTAACAGGAACAACAACAACAACAACAACATCACCATCAACCTCAACCTCAACATCCACAACAAAAACACCGATATCTTGCCATTCATCATCTCAAGTAACTTTTCCCTGTGAAACTGAAGCCAAGAGCAAAGGCCTCATCCTTAAAATCAGCAAGGAAACTGAAGAGACTAAAAAAAGATCGTTAACACCCAATCAACCTAACAATAGATCGTCAAGTCCTAATTTACCATTGGCTTCATCCTCTTCTCCATCAACACCACCACCACAATCACAACCACAAACTTTAAATCAGGTTAATTCAGTTGGATCTGATTCATCAAAGGTTGAACCAACTCACAAGAAAATGAGTCCACCATCAACACCACCAGTAACTTGCCGTTCATCACCCATGGTAAAAACATCAACAGATGAAGTGAAATTAAGTCTCAATCTACCAATTGCCTCTAAAAGTTCAAGTATCTCACCTAAATCAACATCACCAGTTAACATGAATCCAACAATTAACTCAAAATTAACCAAGAATCAAGTCAATTCTAAATCAACTTCTTGTCCACCAACACCAACTGAAACTTTACCTTCTTATGTGGTCAAGGTGAAAACCTCATCAACTGGACCTAAGGGAATGACTGGTGATAAACAATCAATTTTACCAAAAAGTAATAAAATTAAATCAACTACAATTAAAGGGTCAACAGATAAGGTTAATTCAATTGCCAATGAAAGTTTAATTTCATCTGATCATTTACCTGGATCACCATCATCGTCCACAGTTAATCCAGTTAAATTGGTTAAAAAATCATCAACTGATTCTGCTCAATCAACAATTAAGCAACAATCAAGTGGGTCTAGAAGTCCATCAATTAATCTAATTGAAAAGAAAATGGATCCTAAATCATCAAAGAAAAGTACAACTTGTGAACTTGATAAAAGTAATCAAAGTAAATCACAATCAAAGGAAAACAATCAAGAAGCAACAATCAAAGAAGCCGAAAAATTAAACAAATCAATTAATAAAATCAACGAGAAGGTGAAAATTGTTGAACAATTAAAATCTACAATTGAATCAGTTGATAAATCAAGAGATGAGGTTAAAGTTGACAAATTGATGAAAATGTCAAAGAAATTGAGTGTCAAAGGTAAACCAGAAGACTCCAAGGTGAAAGATGAAACAATTAAGCAACAATTAAATGGAACAATCAACAATCAAGACTCTAAACCAGACAAGAATCAAATTAATCAACAAAATGCTACAAAAAATGGTAAGTTAATCAATTGAAATCGAAACCTAGTTAATTAAATATCCATAAGATTTTAAATTGTTGCTTCTATTTTAGAATCAAAAAGTCCTTCGATTATTTTAATCAACTCAAGTTCATCTAAATGTTTAATTTTATCATCAAGTTAATTTAATTTTACCCTTCTAATTGTCAAGCTTTCTTTAAATAATCATTATCAACATTTAGTTAGTACCTTAATCATAATTAAGGATCACAAGTCTTTCTAATTTAAACAATTAAATTGTAGGTTCAACGATATTTGTTTGGTATCATTTGGTTTTAATCGCATTTTAATCACAATTTATGATTAAACTTAATTGAAACAATTTAACTTGAATATGTTTGCGAAAACTATTTCCAAAGTTAATCAAAACTAATCAACTGTCAAGTGATTAAGTAACACAATTTACTGGCAAAAGGTTACATATGTAAATCTGCTTATCTTTGCAGGGTTACAATTAACTTAATTGCTAATGTCAAGGACTGTAAACAGATTAATTAATCAATTTACAATTAGAATCAAAAACTAGATTAGCAATTAGTTTGTTACTTTTGCAATCTTTAAATCGATGTTGTCGTTTATCAATTACGGAAACTTTTTCTATTCAATTGTTATGATCTTAATTGTTAATTGTTAATCAGATGCTGATCGAATCACTAAATTGCTGGTTAATGGCGGAAATTCAGAGGAACCAAGTTTAATCGAAGATCAGAAAAAGGAGCGGAAACGAATTCGATTCCGGACTTATACTATGGACGATTTCGAGTTACGAAAAGTTCTTGGCCGAGGAAGTTTTGGAAAAGTAAGTCAACAATTAACTAATTCGTTGATTGTTATAAATATCAATAAGTTCCTCACTTAATGACCTAAATCATATTATTAGTAAATTCAGTTGATCCCAAGAGTTAATCCAAATGATTAACTTATGAATCGGAATTAGTGATTAAGTGTAAGTGTTTGAAGATTCAGAAACATCAATGTTCACAATTTAAACTTAACCTTAAAAATTTAAGAGTCCAACTGATTAACTAATCAGTTTTGTTTTTTCACTATCAATTCAATGATTAATATGTGAACTATTTTGTTTATTTACACCAATGAACTTTTTGAACAAGATTAATTACATTGCAACAATTAGGGTGACAGTTAATTGTCACATCAATCAATCAGTGAACTCGAAAAAAAAAACTAAATCGGTTACATAATAATAAACAAGTCGATTACTGTTGAATTTAAGATTAGAACAATTAACTCGTTGATTATAATTAGATGAAAAGATTTAATCAATTGGAAGGTAAAAGAATCAATTGTCTAACTGATATAACTAATCAATCATGATTGTAGTAAATGAAATATGATTAGTTTCGTATCTTAATTGTATCACCTCAACGTTCATGGTTTGTTTACGAAAAGATTCAATTAGAACTAAGAAACTTTGAGTTCGAACTTTTATTTTTGGCAAAGTTTCACTTCAACGACAATCATCAAATCTATCATCGTCTTTATCACTCTAATCTTTAGCATCCTCATCCTCATCCTCATCTAAATCAATTACAGAGAAGAACAAAAAAAACTTACTCATCTACCTGATTCTCATTAGTACGTCATGAATTTCAAGAATTGAATCATTATTATCCTTTCATCATCCCTTTCATCTGATGATTTACATGATGACAATGAAATTTTGTTCCTTAATCATTTTAATCCAGTTAATCCTCTTGTCATCATCATCTCATCAAGTGTTTACATCTCTCCCGATGATTGTAACCAGAAAGTTACAAAGTTTCTTGAACTGAACAATTTCAAACCAATCAACTAATCATGTTTAATCAATTTCTTTTCAGGTTTATCTCGCACAATTAAAAGATCATCATGACGTTTTCTTTGCAATTAAGTTCCTCAAGAAACACGTTGTCATCGAAGACGATGATCTCGAAAGCATTATGGTCGAGCGAAAGGTTCTAGCGCTCGGGGTCAAGCACCCGTTCATTTGTAAATTATTTTGTACATTTCAAACTCGAGTAAGTATATTGATCGAAGTCGCTTCGACTATTGATTCAATTGCACAATTAACTTAACCATAATCTTATTGCTCTTCAACTGAACGTCTTTAAATATGTGGCAATTCAATTGAAACCTTGAAGATCAAGTTAATTGTAGATATTTAATTTTTTTCTGCTTATTCATTTGTATTTGAATAATTGCCATGATTATAATCGTAAATTAAATTGTTGCCAATATAGTTTAACTGTTGAGAATATGGTTTACTGATTGTGATACATTTTCTTTGAGGTAAATTAATTTTCACTAATCAAACATTGACTCACTGATTGTCACAATTTAGTTAATTTCTTACTAGTTAAATCCTTTTTAACCTGAATAATTAGTGAGGTGATCAAAGGGAACAAAAATTTACTTGGTTACAATTAACTCTTTGATATTTTTAATCATTTTGGATTTGCTCATATCACAATTAACGAGTAATTTACTAAACCCTTGAATTAATTTAATCTAAAAATGATCAACTTTAAATTGTTGTGATTTTTTTTGGCTAATTATTTGTTTCCATCATGATTTAATAAATGATTGACAATTAAAGATTTGCTTATGATTAAAGTTTCTTCCTGGTTCATATTGGTGAAACAATGACTTTTAATTGTTGACAATCAGTTTAATTTTGTCTTCATCTCATATGATTACAATCAGACACTTTTTTTTATGTAGTCAAATAATAAGCCAAGAAAATGATAATCAATTTAATTGCTAAAAATTGGCAACAAATCAAATTTAAAGAAACATACAAATAAGAAATTAACTTTATTCACAATCAACTTACTATTATAATAATCCATTGATACTAATCACAATTTAGGACAATTTGTTGATTGCTCTGATAATAATAAGAAACATGGTTTGATTACTTTCCAATACATTAACTTGAAATGCTAATTATAACTTTTGAGGTTCATCAAACTTTCAATTAATTACAAAGAGAAATGAACTAATTAGTTAACTAATCAGTTGCTTATTGTGATTAACTTTTTAATTGTTTATGATTCATGTTTGTCTCAATCTTTTACAGGGAATGGTTTGTTTTGTGATGGAGTTTTTAGCCGGAGGGGATTTAATGTTCCATGTTCAAAGTTGTGGACGATTTCCTGAAGACAGAGCAAGGTAACAATTAACTAATTGTGATGATTGTTGGAAAAAAAGTTCGATTCATCAATTTTTTCTCTTTAATTGTTTAATTCTCGCAGGTTTTATGCCGCTGAAATTGTTTCCGCTCTCAACTTTTTGCACAGTCGTTATATTATCTACAGGTAATTAACTGATTTTCTAAGTTAATTGTTGATCAGCTTTTAATTATTTTCTATTTATTTCCAGAGACCTTAAATTGGACAATATTTTACTAGATTCTGAAGGTCACATACGATTAGTCGACTTCGGGATGTGCCAATGTCACATATGGAAAGAGGAATGTCTTCCGTCCAATTTTTGTGGAACTCCTGAATATATGGCCCCTGAGGTACTAATTGTCAACAATTAACTCCAACAATTAACTTGGAATCTCTCCAGTAACTCGAAACGATAATCGGATCAATAGATTTTCATTGATCGGCCATAACTTCAACATCGTTTTATTATCATGATTGATTCCTCTCTCTCTCTCTCTCTCTCTACCATTAATTTAATCAAATCTATTTTTACTTAATTGTTATCGACAGATAATTAAAGGTGTCCAGTATAATCAAGCAGTCGATTGGTGGTCATTTGGTGTATTACTTTACGAAATGATCGTCGGCGATTCGCCGTTCAAAGCAACCGACGAAGATGAACTTTTATGGAACGTTTGTTATGAGAAAGTTCGTATTCCTCTTTTCGTTAGTTCGAATGCTCAAAGTATTATTCTAAACGTAAGTATAGTAATTAACTAATTGTTAAGAATTCTCTCCAAATTGATTAATTACTATTCCATTTCTATTAATTAATAGTTATTAGAACACGATCCTGCTGAGAGACTGGGAATGCCGACCAGTTCTAAAGGTGATATAAGGAGTCAAAAATTTTTCGAAACAATTAATTGGGATGCAATTAATTCCGGCAAAATTAAGCCTCCCTTTTTACCCACTCTGGTAATTAATTTGAATCAATTGTTTTCTCATTTGATTGTAAAATCAATTTTCTAAATTTTATTATATTTATTGTAGAAACATTCATCTGATACTTGCTACTTTGATCGGGAATTCACCGAAATGAGGCCAGTTCTAACCCCGATCGATGATTATACCGTTGAAAGTGTGGACCATGAATTGTTTTTCGGATTTGATTACACTAATCCAAATATGACCGATTAATTATTGTTCAAGTTTTCGAGTTCCAAACACAATCAAATGGATTAATTAAAAAGAATTTTAATTTTCTCAATAAACTTAATCAACTCATATATTATATAATTAACCAACAATATACATATAAATAAATATTTAAATTCTTAATATTTAACCACTTATTCTTAAGCAATGATATTAAATTGAATTCCAATAGCAAATAAACATAACTTTTCAACGAGAACAATTAAAAATAATTAAAGAACAATCAAAAAGAATCAACGAAATTCGTTCAAGACAAGAAAAGAAAAATTTTCTATCAATCTAAATATCTTCATATTCTAATCAATACAATCAAATGTTGACTGTTACAATTAATCTGTGATAATCTACTCAGTGGATTAGTTAATTGTTGCAAATTGTTTTCTAATTTAAATTAGTCCATCAAAAGATTTCAATATACGACACTAGGGATCACTAGTTTTCGTTGGTTAACTTTTTCTGTTCTTGTTTTTGTTTATCTGTTAATCTGATGTGATTAGATTAAAATTAGTTTGTGATTATCTATTTAAATTAATCACAATTAATCTGAAAGAACGATTGTCATTCGTTGTATTAACAATTGATTGGAATTTCTAATTGTTTCCCCTTTGTTTTCCATCTTTAAAGATTCATTGGTTGTTACTTTTTCTTTGTGTAAGCTTTGTGATTTTTTATTTTGTCTAATTTAATTGGTTGATTTCTATTGATTTACATCATTTAATTGTTACAATTTAACTGTTTATCTAATTTAAATGATGTCACAAATTCATTTAGTTTCCCCATAGTTAATCTTCTATTGTTTTCTATTCTCTTTTGTCTCTAATCTCTAATCTCTTCTTTATCATTTTCCATTTTTTTTTTTATTCTCTTTAGATTGAAATCTATTGGTAAGTTAATCGGACATTAGATTACTTTGTCTCCATTAATTTCTATCACAATTAGATTTGTATGTCTGTTAAATGTTTCCAATTTGATTAGTGTTTCCATCATTTCCTTTTGACTTTCCTCTGATTCCTGTTTTTCCTCTCTTTTTTTTGTTTTATTTTAATAACCTGTTGTTCATTATTCTGGTTTACTTCCTATTCCCGCTTCAATCTAATTGTTTCCCTTTCTTCAGGCGCTGCAAACACAATGAATTTAATTAGTTCAACAATCATCTCAATTACTATTCTTTTCCTTCAATTGTACCTTTGTGTCTCTGGTAAGAGATATGGTAAAGCCGATTCAAAGTTAGACCTGTTAACTATTGTCCATCGTCATGGTGAACGGACGCCCTATAAATTTTTCGCCAATGATCCATATTCTGATCCAAAATATTGGCCTGATGGTGAAGTGGAACTAACAACTCCTGGTCGTCAGCGAATGTACCAACTGGGTGTCTCCATACGCGAGAAATACTCAACCTTTTTCGTGGACAATCCAAGGTTGACCTATGCCCGCAGTTCCGATGCTGATCGGTGCATCGAAAGCAGCGAATTGGTCTTACATGGAATCTTTAAGGCCACAGGCCGATGGGTTTACAGTAATGAGACCCGATACTTGCCAATTCCTATTCACACCGTGCCAACTGCTTTTGACAGTGTAAGTAATTTAATAATCAATATGTGTAAGCCTAATATCAAATTTCACTAATACTTTGTGTTCAACGATCAATTTACTCAATTGCATCTGTTTATAATACATGGAAATAATTGTTTCCCTTTTGATTTCTTTACTAGATGTTAACAATTGACGTTAATTGTCCGGAAGCTTCAACTGAAAAGGCTCGATTACTGACTAGTGATACTGCTAAATCAATTATGAATAAATATTCTGGAACCTTGAATATAATCAAACATGAAACAGGCAATGATTTGAGTGATTTAAACGCTGTTGCTGATTTTTTCACTACTCTTGAAATTGAAGAGGCAAATATCCAAAACTGGACAAGACCAACATGGTTGACCGATAAAGTCATGGAAGAGCTTCATATTATGAGTGATGCTGGAATTTATATCGCTCAAAGTTCATTTAAAATACTTCGATTACGAACATCAAACTTTTTCTATGACCTTCGAAGACGAATCGACGCAAAATTGTACAATGATGTTAAAAACGGTGCTAACTTAAAGTTAATCTCCTATTCTACCCATGATAATCTATTGGCTTCCATCCTAATTGCTCTTGGAATATTTGATAATAAGATTCCTCCTTATGGAGCTACTTTACTCTTCGAGTTGGTTCGTTCTGAAAAACCTTTCGTCAAGACCTTTTACTGGAATGACACTAAATCTGAACCCAATCAAGTCGCTTTACCCGCTTGTGATAATCATCTTAATTGCTCAGCTGATCGGTTTACCAAATTGATTTCAACCTACATTTTGGATGATTGGGAACGAGAATGTGGCCTTAAAAAAGAGATCAGTCTTTGGTCTAATGGCCTTTTCGTCGCCCTCGTTGTGATCCTTGGCTTAGTCATTTCTGCAGGTTTAGTTTGGTTCATGGCAATTCAATGGCAAGCGGTAAGACGTGGATACACCGTCATTTCTTGATTGTTTTCCTACAATTAAAATCTACAGGTTAATTATGATGTGAACATCGAACTCGTTACCCGTGATAACTCCCTCGAAGACCAAGAAAGTGCGTTACCTTTGCTAAATCGAGAAACTAAATCGTAAAAATTTGGAAACCAAGTCAATGGAAACACAAACGTTTCAGCCATAAGAAACATTTTCTCAACACAAATATTCAACTAACCTTTCATCAAATTAACTAATCAATATTTTAATCTGTTAATTACAAACTATTATTATGAATCTTGTCCACTGTGTAAATAGAGAAGCAAAGAGAAATTAATTTTTTACTTTTTGTTTACATTAACTTTGCATCGAAATTAAAAACAAAAAAAAAAGGTTTTAAAAACATTAACTTTTAAAAAAGTTTGTATCAATTGAATTCGATTTGCAATTAAAATTGAAACAATTAGCTTAAATTGTTGCTGAAATTAGATCACGACAAAGAATACAAATGATAATTGAGGGAAAAAAATTTGTGCGATGTTAATTAAATTTCCATTATCTGATTTCAAGCTATTAAAAAGGTTCATTCATATAATTTTATATTCATCATTTGGATGAGCTAGAAGATCTCGAACTTGAACTGGATGCGGATGAACTAACGCCCGATGAACTTGACGATGAGGATGAAGTAGATGAATCTGATGACGATGTTGAAGAGGCTGAAGATGAAAATGATGATGCTGATCGTCGTCTCTTCTTGTTCTTATCGTTTCGATCTTTGCTCCTATTTCGTGCACGCTTTGAATCGGTATCTTTGATGGACGAAAGTTTATTGGTATTCGAAGAATCTATTCTTTCTTTGTTTGACTTTTTCGTTTCCTTATTATGTTTCACGGGACTTTTATCTCTTCTATTGAAACTACTTCGATTCTCGTTTGCACTTTTATCTTCTTGTTTTTTACGATCATCATTCTTTTCTTTTCTATTATCAACGTCGATTCTCCGGGAACTTGAGGTATTTTCTTCTCTATGCCGACTGCTTTCTTTAGATGATTGTTTATTTTTCTCATTTCGTTTCTCTCTCAATTGACTTTCGTCTTCTTTAGTTTCATCACGTTTACTTCTGTCATTAGATTTACGCTCGATTTCATAGCGATCCCGATCCGATCTAAATTCTCGTGAAGCTTCTCGACGAGTTTCATCATTTGGGCCTCTTGATTCTTTCGATTCTTTCAATTCTTTTGATTCCTTCAATTCTTTAGTTTCTTTAGTTTCTTTGGTTTCCTTAATTTCTTGAACTTTTTTCCAACTTTCAGTTTCACTAATTTCCTTGGGTTCTTTATGATCTTTTAATTCGAATGGTCGCGTGTCTTTTGATTCTTCTTTCAATTTTCTAGATTCTCTTGCATCTCTATTTTCTCTGGCATCTTTGCGGTCTTTAAACTCTCTCGAGTCTCTCAAATCTTTCGATTCTCTTGGCTCTTTTGATATTCTAGACTCTTCTCGTGGTTCTTTCGATTCTCTCCGATCTTTACTACGTTGGTATTCTCTGTCTTTTAATTCGCGTGATTCACGTCTCTCCTTTGATTCTCTCTTTTCAGTAGAGTCTCTTGATTCTCTGCCATGCCTATGCTCATTGAATCGATGCTTCTCAGAGCTATCGCGGCGAGAATGTGTACTTGCTTCCTGTCGTCTAGAAGGATCCTGAGTTTTTGGAGGCCTAAGAGCATTTTCTGTAACGTAATGAGAAAAATTGATTAATATACCGATATTGAGATGATCGATGATAATTCTTTACCTTCATTGTCTTTATGTTTAACCTCAGGTGGAAATAATGCAACTGACGGAGAAACATTTCCATCACTATTTGAATCATTTTCATCTAACCGCTCGATGATTGTTGTTGATATTTCGGGTACAATTTTCGCTTCAATTGTTTCTGAAGCTTTTGTTTTAACAATTGACTCATTTGTACCACGTAACGGACTGATTGGATAAGAGACTATTTCGTTAAGGCGATTTTTGACCACAACAGAAGACGAAATCAATTTGCGTCGAAGGTCATTCTCATCATCTTCGATTTCTCCTTCTTCGGGAATGCTTGTTCCACTTCGATTTAAGGTTTCAATTCTATCGTTTGAAATTTCTTGAGGTATCGGTTCTTCGGTAAACCTTCGTCTTTTTTCAACTGGACCATCTTGATTAAACTCTTCACGAGATCTTATCAATTCGTTGCCATCATTGGTTACTATTTTGTCCTTTTCATCTCTTTTAATATCTTTATGATCTCGAGTTCTTTCTGAATCTCTATCATGTCTTCGACCTTCTCGATTTTCTGACTCTCTTTCTCGTTCATGGTTACGATCTCTTCTTTCTCTGTCATCTCGACGCCTTTCTCGATAGTCTCGTTCATTTCTAGATCTAAAAGGGTCTTCATTGTTACGATTTCTATTATAATCTCTATCTCTCCTGTCTCTCCTTCCTCTATTATCTCGATCTCGATTACCACGATCATCGTATCGATCCGACCTATTGACAGGTTAAAGATAAAAATAGTTATCTAATCGCCCGAAAACCTAAATCTTCATTCTTACCTTCGTCTTTCACCTTTACTATTTGTACTATCTTTTTGGTCTTCATCTTCATCGTTGCTGAAATTTTTAGAAAGAAAATATTAAAACTTCTCGAAGAAAACAAAAGTTTTTGAACTATTAATACTAACCTTTTATCGCCAGATTTCATTACTTCATCGAGACGTTTAACGCGAGATTGGGCAAATTTCCAGTGTGGGGGTGTCTCACTTCCATCTCGTGCTCCAGGAGACGGAGTTCGATATCGCTATTGATTAAAAAAGTTGTAATTAATCAACCATTTACTAAGTTAGTTATGAGTAAACTTACTCTGAAACCTCTTCCTTTGATTTTACGACCAGATCTAGTTGTTTGAAATCGAGGCTTAAAACGTTCAGCAAAATAGTCTGTTTTTTTATCGTCCTTATTGTCACCATCATCAGGTTTTTTCACTGTTCGAAGGAGAAATTTGTTCTCAGGTATTGTCGGTATTTCGTCCGGTTTAACTGAGCATTCGTAATCTTCATCAACATCAGCTGGTGCATTATTATTGTTCGCCTCATTTTCATTACTGAAAGAAAATTAATCAAACAACCGATTAGACCAAATCAAAATTCACCACGTCGATTTACTCTTCTTACTTTTGAGGATTTTCAATTTCATCTTCTTTACTGTGTTTTCCATGTTTCTTGTGTTTTTTGTGTTTTTTCTTCTTTTTGCTTTTCTCTCCTTCCTCAGAGTCAGAATTTTTTCTTTTCTTTTTATCTGTCAACCGAATCAACAAAAAGTTATATTCATTGTTACGTAATAATAATTGAAGAGTAAATCTTCAAACCTTTGGATTTAATTTGAGGTACCAATTCTCCGCAGTTATTGATAATCACATCGGTCAATGGTTTAGATGATTTATCTGTTGGTAGAGCTTCAATTTCATCAACAATCTCATGTCCAGAGAAAACGTGACCAAAAACAACATGAACCCTAAAGAAAACAAAGAGGATGAAACAAATAAATCAATAACCAATAACAATTTGAAAATTACAGTGATTATATGACCAGAAAACGATCAACAATTTACTTACCCATCTAAGTGAGGAGCTGGTTTAGTTGTGCTGTACAAGAATCAGAAAAAACGTAATCCAGGTAAGGTAAAGTTGAATAGTTTAGAGATTCAATGAGCAATCATCCAATAGGATAAATGGTCAACTCTTTTTGTATTGGGTCAATATTTGTAAAGATGGAAAACTCTTTATCCAAAATTTTTAAATTGATCACCGGTACACGATTTAGTTGAGTCAATTAGTGTAGACTAATTATTGATAGAATCCAGGGTATATCTTTCTCCCTTCTAAATGGAAAACCTAATTGAACACCTCAATATTAGACTCGCTTCTAAAACTGAATATTCCTCAATTTCCCATAACAATTAGTTTTATGATTACCCACAAGTTTACCGACGATAATTTTAAACATTACCTTACAAAATACTCAACACAATAATATTTCACAAAAATAGTATGAGACTCACATGAAAAATTGAGATCCATTTGTGTTTGGTCCTCGATTTGCCATCGAGAGTAAATAGGGTTTATCATGTTTCATTTCGAAATTTTCATCTATAAAAGTTAAAGAGAAATTATAAATTTAGAAATTGATAAAATATTAGTAGTGTCAGTTTTTTAGAATCGTTTTGGACTAAACATTTTAGAGCAAGAAAGTGACTGAGACGATTCTCGTGTTAGTGATGACGATGATGAGGAAATGAATAAAATAAAACACCTTTGAAAGTTCCTCCATAAATTGATTCTCCTCCTCTTCCATTGCCTAAGAGAATAGAAAAAAAAAATTAATGAATTGTTGTCACAATTTAGCAAAATAAGCTAAAGGTTAGCTGATTAATACCAATGGAAAAATCGCCTCCTTGGATCATGAAGTTTTTTACAACCCGGTGGAAAATGACATCCTTGTAATGAAGAGGCTTATTGGTCGTTTTACCGAGTCCCATTTCCCCTGGAAAAATAGAAGAAAATTTAATTAAAAATGAAACAATCAAAGGAATAAGAATAAAATCGACAATCTCACCTGTACAAAGAGCTCGGAAATTTTCACATGTCAATGGACAAACATCATTGAAAAGCTCAAAAATAATACGACCAACTAAAGTAAAATGAATGAAAAAACTCGATTAGTATAACAATCAGTGATTAGATTCATACAACCACATGGTTAATAAATGAATTGAATAATCTGTCTAATCAATTAACCAGACGATGAAGGAACAAAAATAAAATCCCATAGAAAAAAAAATCTTACCTGGTCGGTCTCCAGTCTTGATGTCAAAAAAACATCTTGTTCGAACCTTTTTACTCGATGTCATGACTATTAAACAGTATTATTTTCTATTAGAAATCAATAAAACACTTAATCAAAGAAAATGATCGAATAATTTACTGAAAACAATTAAATTAGAAAATCAAAACACTTGATTTTCATTGAAAAAAAATTCTCGACCAAATGATTGAGCCGAAATCAGAAAAACATTTACAGCTGAAAATTTTGGCGGTTCTTTCAAATTCTTGATGACAAATTCGGTAAGATCTTACAAGTTAGTGATGAACGCACTGGTGTGGCTTAAGGCCCGTATTCACCAACCGTAATTAAATTTGAGTCTAGGTTTAAATCAGCTGATCACAGCTTTTGTGTTTCACCAACTATGATCAACTCTTGATCTCGGATCAGATTTAAGTTTAGGTCAATTTAATTAGAGGATCAAAAAATCTTGTTTCACCAACCGACATCAATTGATCTTAGCTCAAATTGTTGTTTCACCAACCGAAATCATCTTCAATTGATCTCGGAAGTCTTGATCAAAATTTAAACTTGGTAATTACCACGATTAACTTTTGATTATGACTTTTTTTCCTCATTTTTTTTGCATTTTTTTACATAAATTGATTAATATCGTTATGTCCTATTATTTTTCTACAATTTTCGCTAGCGTAAAAAAGATTTTTTTTCTTAAAAAAATATTAAACAAAGATATTAAGAAAACTTGATCAGTGTAATCATATAACTTGTTAATTGTTTGGAAATCAATCTTAATTTCAAGTCTTTCCATAAACAATTAATTAATTTATCTCCTTCAAACTTACCGCTTTTGTCTAAAGAAAAATATGTTTTTATTGTTTTGACCGTTGTTTTGTTTGATGATCGGTTGGTTAAAAAAATTGATTGAAAATTAGGGGTAAAAATGAAAAAATAGTGGAAAATGACCTAAATTACTGCGCTAATTAATGCCACTAATTAACTAATTGTTTGGCTCGTTTTGTTTTGTTAGATTAGGTTAAGTTAGGTGTCACTCGTAACCGGGTTAATAAATGAAAAAAGGCCTGGAGGGCCTGAGACAAGCAAACTAAGTTTTACACTGATCGCCTCTCATTGGCTCATCAGATTTAAGCCCCATCAGTGCGATCATAAATAAGATGTTACCGCAAAAACTTCAAAACTGAATTTACCACAAAAAATACATCAGAAAAATGATCCAATTTCATTTCTAAGTCTAGGCAAAATCCCTTATTTAAATGGGCTTCATCCGTACTCAATTAAACTTTGACAATTAAATCAACGAATAAAATCAAATTTTCGAGTCAAATGTAATTTCTACTTTGCTTAACTTACAGTCATTTCAATCAGAAAGCAACACTCAACTCCAAATCGTGAACCTTTTTTGTTTATTTTACATCAAATAGATAGCAACACCTTTCAAAACAAAGGTAACACTAATTGAGAATCTCTTTTCGTTAAATACACTTCGATATAAACCGGAGCACGTGATTGTAATAGTTAATACAATTTTGTTCTGATACCTTCTCAGATGCTAATTTGATAGATTGCAGATGCAACTTGTAACTTTTGATCTGAATCTTCACTGATGATGATCTCAGTTGTTGAAAGGTTTTAAGTTTCAATCCAGCAAGTGGAGTAATCGGGGGGTGAAGGTTGATAATACAAAGTTCACTTATTAATGATTGATCAAGATTAGTTTCTCTTGAGTCTTTACTGGCTCAGTTTAAACAAACTCTGACTGGATTTTTCACTAGTTCTATTGAATTGTCCATATTGAGGCTACTTTTCTATCATTGCCTTACAGGTTTTAGTTCAATTAAAGTGCGTCTTTGAAAAAGGTTAAAGAACGCACGATCAGTAGTTTGCTAAACACATAAAGGATTGCTTAACTCCAGGTTGATGCAACGTTAACAAGGTGATTTAGTTCATTGGGTTGATGGGTATTTATCCATTTTCTTTGTGAGTAGTAGGGAACTGTACGCCTCTAATGCACCGTACGCTTTAAATGCACCTCTAATGAATCTTAATGCTGTACCTCAAACTAAACATTTGAACAATAGATTAACTAATTAGTTTCCAATTGTTTTTTCAGAATGAATAAATAACAAAACTGTTTGATGAGGGTAAAGTTAAATAAAAAGACATGTTATTATGAAGTTTTTAGAACAGTGAAAGCCTTGTAGAAAAACACGTAAGGTAAATATTGAAAAAGTTAAGATAGATCAATTGATTAAATATTAGCTCAATAGGTATCATAAATTTGTTTAGGTGTCATGAAAAGGAAGTGTATAAAAACGAAGATGATGATGGAGTAAATTATCATTAAACAATCAACCATAAAAGAAAAAAGTTCTTTGATGAAAAACATCATAGTGATTCTCTCTCTCTCGTGCCTTTAAATAGCTTTGCGGCAAATTATTTATTCTGAGTGATAGAGTATCTCTCTTATCATCTTCATTGTATCTCTTTCTCTCTCTCTCGATTGGAACTTGGGTTTATCCGATTATTGTCACCACCACCACCTATTCGTTTCTCTCTCTCAGTTGGAACTTGAGCTGAATCAGTTTATACCCATTAATTCATTGTCTCTCTCTCTCTTTCGATTGGAACTTGGGTTCATCCGTTTATTCAAACCACTATCACCGATTCATTTGTTTCTCTCTCTATCATCTTCTTCAGCTGGTCCTACCTAATCTCTCTTTCTCTGGCCAATCATTGTGATAATTGTCGTGGGTTATCGTCATCATCTTCTTCAACTGGTCCTATCTCTCTCTCTCTCTGGCAAACCATCTAGTGATTTTATTGAGTTTACCATCATCATCATCTTTAACTGGTAAAATCTCTCTCTCTCTCTCTATCGACACATCGACACATCGACACATCGAATTAATCTACTGAGTTTACCATCATCATCATCACCATCATCATCTTTAACTGGTAAAATCTCTCTTTCTGTCAAACCATCCATCCATTTACCGTCACCATCTTCTTTAACTAATTGAATCCTGGTCCTTCTCACTTACGAAGCTTTAAAGTAATTTAGTTCCTTTTGACTGCATCATCATCATCTTCTATTTCAACTGGTTCAATCTCTTTCTTGGTCTTTTACTGTCTTCATAAACTGGTTAATCTTTTTGCTCTCAACATGTCCGATGACGCACAGTGTTTCTCAGGTCAGGCTGCTTATACCGGACCTTTATGGTACCCAGTGGAACTAACGGCATAGTGAGAAGATCCAATTACTGGGGCAAGAGAATTTAATTTCTTATGGACCGAGGGCGGATGGGAGAGGGACGTTTATTTCGAGGAAGAGCCACCGGAGCATTTGAAAAAACCAATTGAAGTAATCAGGGAAAAAATCGGAAAATCATGGAGAAACTGGAAGATCTTGGAAAGGATATTGAAGAAAATCCCATATTCTATGTTTGTGGCTTTTGTCACAGAAATTTAACCTCCACCAAAAGCCCTGAACGACATATTTTTTAAGAGCCCGCAACAATAACAACCGCTATGAGGTAAACTGTCAAGTGAGAAAAATAGAAGAAGCAATTACTCAATATGTTCCTAGAAGACATGGAAAACCAAGGAAAGATCCTTGGTTCTATGTCATGTCTAGACATGACGAAAAAGTGCTCGATCCAATGGTTTATACTCATAAAATAGCTCGAGATGTTGAAGCCCTTCTTGTCAAAGTAAAAAAAGATTATTTTAAACCTGATCAGGAATAATTAAACTTGATTTATGAAAAAATGGAAACTTTACTTTACGATTACTTTTTTTGTATCATTTTTTTGTTTAATCGTCGTGAGTGTTAACAAAAAAAAACGTTAATCGCAAACTCAACTTTCTCGCGATACAAATGATAACTCTAATCTCGCGAATAAATTGAACTCGCGCAAACAAAAACATAATCGCTCACGTGAATCACTTTAATTCAAGTTTCTCGCGATAACTCGATGATGAACGAAATGTTATACCTCGCCAGTAACCCCCTCCCCTCGTAGTTATTTTGTGATCGTTCATTCATTAAATATCCATTGATTATGTTATAAGCGTTAAAGTAAATAATATTACGGAAACACTCTCTTCTTTATCTCTCCTTTCCTTTTTCTTTTTACTGTCTTTTCACTCTCTTTCTCCAACCCTTTTAACTGAAAAACCTTTCTTTAATGACCCCACCGTCACGCGAACTCAATCTTTTTGATCGCGCTTTGAGGCACGTCTATTCATTTGTTTGCAACAAATAATATATTTTTTTAGATCAGCTTTTCGTGCTCTTTCCAAATGTGTAGTTTTCAAAAAGATTGCATTCGAGATTAAACATTTTGACCTTTTGTTTTCCGTTCGGCATACGATAGTGTTGTTGATGATGATAGTGGTGTTGGGATTTTTTGTAAATTTTGTAGAGATGGTTGTGGTACAATTCTTGGTGGTGGTCGAGTTGGTTGCACAATGTGAGTTTGGTTCAGGTTCACATTTCTGGTCAATCTCAACGGAACAGCTTTCACACTAGGATCGGATGGTGAACGATAGACTACGTACCACAGTCCTTGAAACCTTGTCAAAAAGTTTCAGTGGTTGCATTTTCTTATTAGAGTTTGATGGTGAGGATGGTGATGACATTGCAACTTAACAGAACAAACCAAAATAATAAAAGTGAGTGAACTAGGGTCTAAAGTGAAAATGAGTTAAATTTCATTTGTTTTAAAATAACAAATACCATATTATTTTCACGGTCAAACTTACTAGTCAAGGTCATTTAAAGGTCATCGGAACAGTTTGGATTTTAACCAGTAGACTTTCATTTAAAAATGAATTTTTGATTATCTGTGCCTTCCAATCCAAAAATTTCCGCAAAGTGCCATCCACATGTATGACCCAGGTGTTGAACGCTATACACTGAAAAAGTCTCAAGACGATTTACGGTGGTGTTTTAGTCTTATAAAAAATACACTACTGTATAATAAATATACATTATAATCAAGTGATTGACCTCAAACTTTTGTCGAGAACTGTAAAAGCCGTAACATCCAAATATCCGGACTTTTGACGCTTTACCATTTCTAGGCTATTTATTAGATCAGAAAATTTACTAGGACTCAAAGCAAGCAAAAAAGGCCAAAAATTACATTTAGTAGTAAAAATACACCGGTGAGGCCACTTTTCTTCATTTCTCTCTTT